TTACCAAGTATGACGTTCAGGCAAACGATTGTTCAAAACTGTGTCGCAGTTCTTGAACGTGATTGGTTATAGGAAGCCCGATTTGCGCACTAATTTGACAGTTATGCCTGTAATTTGATTGTCTAAAGGGAATTTTAGGCGTCATGCTGGTTTGAGTTGGACGGTGTGTTCTATTTGCTATACCGACTATTGAATTTAAAATTTTCGCAGAGAAAGTCATCTGTGTTGTTGCCATTTATTACTTGTGCCTTAAATCGATAGGTGTTTTGTTTCTTAAATACCGTCATAGTTTTGACTTTACTTTTTCCAGTTACCAACATTAACTCTCATGGTTTTTCTCACTTGATTCAACAGGTACTTCTGTGAATGACGCAAAGGAGGCTCTTTATGAGATAGGTGCCACAGGCAATGTTCATCCTGGGTTCCATGGCTCTTGGGCCTTCGTGGGGTACACAGGTCCCGAGCAAGTTAAATGGGCAAAAAATATAAGCCAACCGCGGTACCAGGGACCTGCAGTTATCGAAGAAATGCTGACCAGTCCGTCAGCAGAGGAGGAAATAAGTAAGATGTCGTGGATTGGATGGGATATTTACTATTCCATATCCCGAGATTAGTGAGATATTTACTTTGTTGTTCTTGGATTGTCCACAGGCGCCATGACAGCTGCGGAGTCTGAGTACGAACCAGTGTCTGATTACGAATTTGAGGGAGCAGTTTCTGATTATGAGGCTCGGTCTGAGTTTGATGACACTGACGAATGGGAAAAGGATAAGAGTATATCAAAGAGGAGTGCAAGGGTAGGAGATATCACTGTTTGTCCTCTTTCTCTTACCGTAGGCAAGGGAGTGTTTCGCGTGTCGAGTTTCGCGTGTCGAGTTTCGCGCGTCGCGCGTTGCGTGTCGTATGACTAAAGCAAAAATACAGTCGCGAAGGAGGAAGTTTTGTAGCTTGAAAGCTGTGTGGTAGTTTAATTCAGAAGGATGACGGCGCCGGGGCAAATTTTTGCGGTCTGAGTGTACCGAAATTTCCTTTGGACCTAATTTTTTTGACTTCCTCTTCAAGTAGCGGAACATTGTCTAGGAAAGAAACGTCACTTACATTCATGATATTTCACTTTTTTCTCCCACATAGCTTATAACTGTGTTTTGTTTTTTCGTGGACAATCCAGAAAATCCGCAGGAATTAAATCCAAAAAATCCGTCTTACGTATTCAGTTTCTACACTCATCACATAATCGTCTTCTTGAGTTTGTACCACTAATTCTTGGTTATTTCTGATCTTGTCTCCAGTCCCTTATGAGAGCTCTGCCGGCAGAAGAAAAAGCTAAGATTGAACAGCTGGCCGAGGGACTGAAACTAGAGAAGAAAAAGCTGGAAAGAGAGTTGACCAAATGGGACGAAAGTGGAAATGATATTATTATCCTGGCGAAGAAGATGTGCATGATGATGATGGAAATGTCCGATTTCACAAGGTAGAGTAGGTTTTTTTACTGGTTTTTGCTAGTGACTGAGTTTGAGACGGAAATGAAGTTGGAGACGAGGTCGTCGGAGCTCTTACGAGTATTGAACATTGGAAGTTGGAGTCGTAAGGGGAGTCGCAAGATCGACGGAGTTGGAGTCGTGAGGAATTCGGAACGTATTAGTGTTCATCCGATTCCGCAAATTCTCCCGTGAAACCAAGATCGTCGTAGTTGCAAATTTATCCATTGTAATGCTGGTTCCGAGGCTTCCGAGTATGGCACTACTCTCAAAGTCTGTCTGCTATACAATTCTCATTATGTTAGATCGGAGAATTTTAGTATTGGATCAACTAATAATTCCCAAATTAATATTTATCTTTATTATCATAACTTGTCTGTCTGATATATGTGAGGAGAAAATCTGTCTTGGTCACTCAAGGGAGTTACGGGTTTAGCAACGGAGTCACGGGTTTAGCAACGGAGTCACGGACGATATCAATATTATGCTGGTTGTTCCGATCATGTCATTATGCTTCTGATAACACCTCTAACTCAGGCCCCGTTTTTATTGGAAACAGAACTGTCGTCAATAAGCCATGAAATTGTGAAATTTTCATTAATTTTGTTGTTGTCATTTTGACTTCAGGGGAACAGGACCGCTGAAAACTACGATGGATGTGATTGATGCTGCTAAGGTAAGAAGCAGTGTTTTGGTTGAATTTTAGTGCTTATTGACCATCAATGATTATTCTATTCGTTCTTCATTCTTCAGAGAATTGCTAAAGCTGGAAGAAAGATGAATGAAAAAGCTACCGAAATTGCACAGAAGGTAAATTCTTAACTCAAGGAGGCATTATTGATCAACATGTTTTGGCAGCGGCTGAAATAGATTTCTGGGCCCAAAATGCTCTTTAAAAAAGCGCTCTAATTTTGTTGTGTGGATTAGAGGTTCTAAGCTCTTTGTTGAGTATAGTTTGTGCTAGACTCTGACTCAGTGGAGACAAGTGAAGTGGGTGAAAATTGCATTCGGAAGGAACAGGCTATGTTCCTCTCGCTCGACATTTTCACTCTTCTGAACTGACCGAAATCCTAGAACAGGGATTTGATTTTTGAAACTGTTGCGTACCTTCGTTTGGTTAATATACCAACTTCTACTTATATTTTTATTAGTGTCCTGATTCAAGTTCAAAGAACGATCTGTTAGCGTACATACAGCGCATTGCACTATATTCCCATCAGCTGACCATCACAGCCCGAGTGAAAGCTGACGTACAGATGATCAGTGGTGAACTTGTGGTGTCCGGGGTAAGTTCGTCTTCATCACTGCTCCAGTAACATGATAACTTCTAATCTCCATTTGAATCATTGTTATTTCACAACAAATTTTTTTTTTTTGGCTGGGGGGTGGGAAACTTTTGTCTTCATCGTGTGCTAAGCTAAAGCGACGTTCAAATGCGTTGCGTTTTTTTTCGTGGAAGGTCCTTGAAAATTGTACTTCTGACGAAAGAATAAAGCTAATAGGATTGTGAAATGTGGCGAACATCAACTCGAATTCCAAATTAAAAACTTTAAAAGAGCAGGCATACGTTTTCCATCTGGTCTCATCATTATATTATTTTCTTTCAGTTGGACAGTGCTACTTCTCTCATCACAGCGGCCAAAAATCTAATGAACGCTGTCATTTCTACAGTGAAGGCCTCGTATGTTGCTAACACCAAGGTATGGCTATCGCTCTCTTCTCATCACATCTCGTTGTCTGTTTGAGCTTGTGTTTCTGGAGAGTTGGGTCAACCACACAATTAAATGAACATTTTATCAATGTTTTATTACTGGAAATTTATCTTTTGATGTCACACATAAATTTATACGTTTCCTTTCTGGTTTACAGCACAAGTCAGGAGATGCAAGGGTAAGAGAGAAATTCAACTTTTTGCTTAACAGTGTGGTTATCACTTTTTTCAGATGTAATCGATAAGGAAACTTTAGGCGAGGGTTTCGTTGTGTAGTTAGATACATCGTTAGGGCTTCCAATTCAAATGGTTCTTTGTTATTTGCAACAAGCTTTTTGACCTCGGGAATACAATAATTTGAATTTGAAATCACCTATACCATTTTTTTGAAACCTTGTTCTCGGTAACACTTAACTTTTCCCTTCACGGAATCTAGGGCTCCAGTCTCACCTGGCGTATGCGTGCACCGGAGAAGAAACCGCTGGTTAACCTCGAGAAAGATGACCGCGTGCCACAATTACAGCGTGCAGAGAAAGTAAAACAAGAGTCGCCCATTCAGGCACTCTCTGAATTTGACACTTCGGAGACGAAACGCACACCCGACTTTTACTAGGCAGTAACATTTTACTGGCAGAGTGAACGATGAAAACTTGCTTGCACATGCATTGGATATAGTTCTTTTTATGACCCATGAAAATAAAATGCTATAGGAAACCTTTATGTAACCTGCTCAAAAGAGCTGGGATTTGTCAAGTGCGACTGTGTGAAATTCGAAACGAATTCACAGACTATTTTTTAGATTTTTAGGTAATGGTTGTAATGAATTTAATGTTAGGTTGATATCGCCTTGTTTGAAGTACGATCTCGTAGAAAAGTAGGTGATTAAAGGCTAGATTCTCTCAAAATGAAAAATGGTTGTAAAAAATTTTGTTAAAACTACCAGAAGGAGTACATGATTTGTTAAGCGTTGTTAGGGTACAGTGTAGGCATGTTACGTTTTGCCTACGTAACTGCTGAATTTTTATAGAATGGCAAAATAATTTCTAGAGAGGAGACCCGCTGCAGGCTTTGCAATTTTAGGTAGTAGTCAACAATTTAAATGGCGTCATTGTGTCGCTAAGTAAGACTATCATTTTGGAGGCCAAAGTTGCTAAGGGAATAACGTCACGGACGGTTCTTACAAACATGACGTGTTTGTCGTTGTCAAGCACCCTGCTTATTCAAGTCAAAGGTTTTTCTTTTGATCAGTCTGTGACAAAATTGTAACACTATTTTTGTAGTTAGGTAGCGTGGTTCCGAGATACGCACGCAATGTCTTGCGTCACAAAATAAAACAGCACGAATCAATGGGTCTTCGCCTTAATGTCATATTCCAGGACCCTAAGCTCAAATACTGGAGTAAAAGGAAATGAAAAATTTCTTCCCTTCAACGGCAGCTGCGCGAACACAATTTACTAGTTAGAAATTTCTTGCATTCATTGCGTAATGATGTTTTCCGCTAACCTTTGCGGTATCGACTTGGACCCCATAGATACCTAGACAAAAATGCTTTTACAGACCTGCCTGTTCTGTGGGCCAAGAGTGTTACACACTGGTAGAAATGCAAGGGTACTGGAAACGAAAGACAAAGCTCACGCTTCTTTTTCGAGGGGGAGGGGGGAAGGGAGTCATTCATGATCAAGGGAAGTTGTAGTAAAACCCAGGAATGTGTAGCATCGGTATTTCATAGATTTTCAACCATCATCCAGCGAAATGTGCCATTCACTACGATAGAGAATTGGTGAATTTAGGAGAAAAAATTATTCCACAAATCTAACAAGGACATGGAACAATATATTTGACATTCAGTAGCTACAAAAAAACTAGATGGAATAACAATTCATTAAAAAGCCATTTTTATCCATGTAAAGCTAACATTCTCTAACTTCATTTTGATGGTAACATTTTGCGGGCAATATTTGGCCCAGTCTTAAATTTGTGCTTTACTAAACGCTACGCCCGTGAACGTAAACTAATAGGTAAATCTCTTGGTTTGCGTGACGGGAGGAGGGGAAAGCAGAGCAAACATAGGTTTATTAAGGAGATAGTTATTTGCCCTACTTCCCATACCACTCCATCCCCCCCCCCCCCCAAAGCGGATTCAAAGCGGTTTGATTGTTTGACGAATGCTATTGAACACAACTAGAAGCTCCTGACTGAAATGTCTTTAAGTTCTCATTACACTAATCTAACCCTAAAAGAGTGGATACCGTATCTAGCCTAACGGAAAACCGAGTAAAAAATGGAGCACGTTTTTAAGGAGAGTAAAAAACTAACGCCAAAGCAATCAGAAGGTCCAGTCCAAAAGGAAAATACCAGACAGAGTCAATCAGAGGTATTTTCACTTACACTGCCTAAAGCGCGGGAAATCGTGAGCGCCTAAGTCGTGATTGGTTTCTGTCTTGCACCTGATTGGTTGAGAGGGTGAAACGAGATTCTCACGCCAGTTTTGGAGCAAACAAAACAAAACCAACACAAAGATAACTTTCGACACTCAATTAAACTATGCTCTACTTATCTACTTGTGCAGTCCGGATTAAGCTATAATTTCTAAACAGCGAGTACTTATGTATAAATATTGACGATTTCCCTAAATTATCACTTCTTCCGCTCTACACCCAGACGATGAGAAAAATTCTAATTTTCTACTAATGGTTGTCAGACCTATCGATAAAACTTGTTTAAATAAACATCTTTGTGTTTTCAAGATTGGGAAAAGTTTATGAAATAAATCATCTTGATTCCATCGCAGGAAATACATTTCCTTTCCAAGGATAAGTGTGCATTTTCTGTACCAAATTCACTACTTTTTTTTCTAATCGATCATTTCAATTTCCACACTCAAAGTTGAGACTCCAATCACAAGGTCTGAGAAAAATATGAATGCCCAGGCTTCGATCCACGATTGCAAACGCTCTGATTCCATTCATGAAACGTTTTGGCCGAGGCACTTTGGGTTAATTAGGCTATTTAAAAATATTTAATCCATCAATTGGTGAAACACCTGTCGCACCTCATATAAGACACCACACTTTTCCTTTTTTTCTCCTCAAGGCTTTGGCAAATTTCCATACTTTATCAAGAAATTGAGTCTCCGCACGAACAATGTTTTGACTTTTGAGTTAAGTGTCCAACTTCAAGACCAGCGTTCATTGTCACTCAGTAAAATCTTTTCCTGGAGTCTTCTTGACGTTTCTGGTATACGTAAATAGAGACTCCAACGACACATACGGCAACAAGGGCAAACCAGAAGAGCCAGCTGAAGACCTTTACAGTCTTAGATGAAAAACTGCCTTGCACGTCCTCTACGCGTTCTTGAGAGGGTAAGAGAGAGAAAAAGAACAACAGAGAGTCGCACTATGAGTATTGACTTGATAACTGTCTGAGCAGTCTCTAGTTCATATTTAGTCTCAATCAGCCACAGTGACTGACGATATGAAATGCTATCTTAGAAGCGAGTTTCAAAACTATGCTAGACAACAGAAAGATAATTACGAAAAGAGGAATTAAATCTCGAAGTATAATCGCGCCACTAGTACTCGTTAGCTTGTAGTAATTTGCAATCATTAATACAAACATACAAGTAAAAATCAACAACAAAATGGTCATACAGAACAAAAAAGAGGAAAAATAAGGATTATTCTGTTTCCACGTTTGTAGTAGGTCAACACCCGCACGTTAACAACTAAATATTCTCCATTTACAAGTTTTTAATTTCAAGTATTTCTTACCTCTGTATTGTTCGGCACCAGATGCAAACGGAACTATTTTGGCTCGATCTTCATCAGCTCCTTTAGAATCAGACGACATTGGCATTTCAGTTTCGTAGAACTTCAAGGATATGATGTCGTGGTTATCTAAGGGAAAAAAATCAATTTTGAGTCTGGCAATCTTCAAGCTAATTTGGTTTTATCAGCTTAGATGATCACGGAAATTGGGTGCCTAAAAGAGCTTCTGAAGCTGACGTTCGAGCGTTAGCCCTTCGTGAGAGTGAATCATCTTCAAGCTCATTGGATAAACCTTTTTATAGCGTTAAAGGCGCGCTCTAATCAGCTACAGCAGAAATAAATGAGTTAAAATCATTTTTTTGTACTATATTACCCTGCGGTTTTATTATCTACTTCGCAGTTTGGTAAATGCTTACCACTAGCCACCAACACTGAGTTGAATAGGCGTTCAATATGAGACAAACGACTCCCTAAATAGACGCTTGATATTCAAGTCGCATTGTAAGTAAAGAAAAACTCTAGGTTCATTGCAGTTCAGCAAAATGCATTTTCTCCTAAGTTAGCTTTGTCAATGATAAAATGTAATTGTCAATAAATACCAGCAAGTTGTCCTGTAGCTGCTGTTGTTCCAAAATACAATCCTGTTGGCAGCTTCACACCACCTACATCTAAACAATCCTCCCACTCGTTCTTGTTCTCTACGTCCACCAGTATCTATTCATTCAATTACAACAGAATCACCGTATTCAAAATTGCCCTCGTAGCTAGTTGATTATTACTAAGGTTTGTCAAAAAGTCTTTGAGGAGGTGGTTGTGTTGATAAAATGGGAAGACACTGCTAAAGCCGTGAGGAATTTTTAAGGGGGGGGGGAGGGGAGGGTGAAGGCTTAAGAGACACATTCCACCGGAACATTCTTTAATCAAGATATTCTAAAATTCCCTCTAGAGTCCCTCTGGTGTTTTTCAGTAAAGAAAATCAGAAGTGAATTATCAGATCTTCTAAAAGATAGAGATATTGATTTAAGTTTTCTCAATCTTTTAATCAGTGTTGTCAAAGCTTAGACAACCCATCCAATAAGTTGCAAAGAGAGTTTCCAAGAACCTTGAAACTTCCTCAAATTGTTTCAACTTCTTCATTACTGAGAGATACAAAGTAAGAAAACCTAAGGGTCTCACTAATGCCTTTACCAGGCACTTGAGCATTGCACAGTACTGAGAAGATGGCTTCTTTATCATAAAGGGGCTATCTTTTGAAAAGATAGAGTAGCTTGCTGATGAAAGCTGGCCTTTTCTTACAGTTCTAATTGTTGCCATTAGATAGCACGACAACAGTGGAGTTACACATTCATCAGGTAAATTGGGCTTCATGCTGCTGTCAGTCGTGTTGTGGACCTCTCAGGAAAATAACTGTCATACTTTGAAATAGTTCAAATGCATAATATTATGACTTCAAGGGCAATTCGTAAATTCCAATTCAAGGATATGCCCTAAGTATAAATGGCCAACTAAGAAGCATAGGGTGGGTGCCCCCCCCCTTCCACCCCTCTCAAGAGAATTAGGGTCTGACCTTTCAAGATCAAATTGGTTGGATCAGCATCATTATCTGAGAAACTGCATACCCACCCCTCCCCTAACTCAACAAAAGTCAACTGATAACAACTTAATGTTGGGTCAGGGGAGGGGAGGGTAGGTGTACAAGGATACTGACATTGATTCAAAGGGTTTATCAAGGGTTTGTCACATAATTGTCAACTTACTGTCAGACGATTCTGTGTTCCAGAATAACGGATCAGTGCATAGGTATCATGACCTCTTCCACGAAAACTTTGCTACAGTATGAAAAAATACATTGTAGTGTGGGTACACTAGGCACTCCAATCTATCAGTGCTTTACCACAGTGTAACAAACAGGATGCACAACATACAAGTTATACACATAAACTTTAATAACCTAAACTTCATCATAGATACATAAGTTCCAAAGAAGCTCACATATTTTTAAACCCATTTATTTATTGCATGATGGTGCCATTTTTAACAAATCAACAATAACAATTATACATCCCTTATTTTCACTAAAATGATCTAGACTTCTGTTTAAGTCGCCAACACATCTTTCCCACACCAGGTTCACAGTTGGCAGAAAATGGTGAAAACACAAGCAAGTGAAACCTCCTCCTTCCTTGCTCTGACCAAGGGCTAATGCTCAAAATGTCAGCCTTTAAACTCTTTGCGGTGACCAATTTAAGTTTTCAAATCAGTTGTTTCCACTAAACTAACTGTTCTCCTCCCCCTTTGTTCTTTTTTCCTACCTGCCCCAATGTTTTGCTTGTTTACATACACTTACTGCCTGGAACAAGCTAGGAATGTTACTACCTATAACTGACAACAGTTCTATTCTGGACTATTCTCACTGATGATCAGACTACACAATCACATATTACTACTGGCTTCAAACCATATCAAGAAAAAAAAGTAACAATGCTGGAGGTTTCTCTATGTACATGTACTTACTGAGCAGCCAGCCACTTGACTATGTGTTCCATCTCGATCGTGATCGTAGTGAAGAGATCCATTTCCAACCATTACAGAAATGTAAGGGTGATCATGCTATTCAATAAATTATGCATAATTCACAGATCAGGAAGTGAAGATCATCAAAAGGGGTGCAAAATGTCTTACAACACAATAGACAGAGTGCTGCCAAAATGACCTGATCACAGGAAAAAGTTCACCCACCTGATGTTCACCATTGTGGTTACTGTAGGTGTCAAAGAATACTCCAAGACCATAAAAATAATCCTTGCTACCAAATACATCACCTGAGAACAAGAAAAGCAAAGGTGACAAGATGAGACAATTGCTGAAAGTGAAGGACTTTGGGAGTTTGTCTGTACTTATTATGTACTTTAATTTTTATAAATTAATACTTAATTATAAAATTCAATAGATTAAGTCAATACCTTCTTGCATCCTGTCTTTGGAATACCAAAATGCAAATCCATCTCCAAATAATGTGTCACCAACTCCATGTACTTTAAAATGAATTAACATTTCCCAGTCTTTGACATGACATGGCTGGTAAGAAACACAAGTTACAAAACTATATCAGATTTTTATTAATTCAGTTTTATCAACACAAACCAGTTAGAGGTGTTTTTAACAATTTTTGGAGGGTATTGGAACACTATAAACAATTAATCATACCCATTTTAACTAACATTTTAGGAAAGCCATGTAATAGTAATTGGCAAATCTTGCTAATGAAGGTTAGAAGGGATCAACTGGTTTCCATTTCCACAAAATGTGCCAAATTTAACAAGGAGAATGCAGAACACAAAACTTAAATGTGGATACTTTGACTCAATCAAGCTTTTATCGAGTGGTGAATTACTATAGCTATCACCAGAAATGAAACTATAAGCACAAGTACATGTACTGTAATAGTAAATTCCATCAACTTACCACATTATTCCACAAACCCCCTTTCTTACTTTGATGGTCAGGTGTTAATCTAATGTAGCTGCTGGAAATAAATGTACTTCCAAGGAAATCCCAATAAGGAATAGAAGGACCAGCCCCTGGAGAAATTATTGTCATAGTCATTAAATTAGTTTCTTGTCATTCCATAAACCAGTTTATTTGAATTTGTCTAATAAAAACATCTGCATGCAAGTCATGAACAACTGACCAGAATGTCTTCTGAGATCAAGAAATTTTGATACCGATCCCATAAATGTTAGAGCCTTTTTACGATCCATTTTAAGCCTTTTAAGTGATGAACATGTAACTTCTCCCTATAATATGCATACACTATCCAACAAAATGGTAATGAGAATACTCACACTTATCAGGTACATGTAGAATTTATCCTAATCTAACAACAAATTATCGAAACTAATTTTACAGGGAAATATTTATATACAAAAGGAGAGAATTAACAATCAGATCTTGGGAGTGAGAAAAATAATACAAGAGAGTTAGCCACTCATCTTCATAACCTGTAATGAGCTCTTTCAAAATTAAAGAAACTTAACAGATGCATCATAGTGTTCCCTTTCCATAACTCTTCCCCACTCTCCCTCTTCCCACACTTTTGCAGAACAATTTTCATCAAAAAACGAATGTAATACCTATTCCACAAGTAAACCAACATGTTTTGTTATAACTGGGGATTTGAAAAACAAACATTTGTTTTTGGCTGCATAATCTGAATGATCAAATTGTAAGGGCATTCAAAAAATTTTTTCAGGGGGAAAATCAAAAGAACTCTTGTTCTCAAAGAATCATGGTTAAGGTATATTTCTGTTATGTAATTGCAATATTTTTACACATGAGCTCTAAAATATTAATGTACAATTTTTTAATTCATATTATCATAAAAGAATGGTAATTAATAAAATACTTTAAGAAATCATAGTGGATTGTCAACACAAAAACAAATATATTGAGTTCTATTTTCGCTGAAAAATCTCTAGTATGGTGGCACGATTCTCTTGGGTGAAATAGTAGTAGTTATCATAATGGTAACTTATTAAGTAAGAAAGGAAAACTCTAAAGTTCGCTTTAAGGATAATTAATCATTTATGAACAATGAAATGACCTACGATTCATCTTTCTGTAACAAAACTTTTAGAAGGGATACGTACAAAAATCAGTTGGGAGGAAAGCATGAAGCTTGAAAAAAAAATATCTCTGTAGAGGTCTTCACATGCACGTCACATGAGACATTGGCACTGATTGAATATTTGCAGTTCCTGATTTTAAAATAACTATATTGAAACCCGTTACATTTTCATTAACTGAGGATGTCAAATTAGGCTTTGGAACGAACAAATGAAGAAAAAATTCTTCATATGAAAAAGATCAAACTCTTAGAGAACGAAGTTTACATCGACAGGAAATAGAATCGAGAAACGCGAACTCATCAAATCTTTCACGAAAGTTTCCTTGAGAGTGTAAAAGTCACATTCACGAAGGATTTGGAGCACAATTAACCAACGCCACGTCAAACTCACCTTTTAAAACGGAATGCTCTCTACGAAGGTATCCTTTCGTTTCGCCTTCAGCTAAAACTTTCGAAAGAAACAGGAGAAATACCGCGAGGTAAGTGTTCAAGTACTCCATTACTAAAGTCTTCTGTAGCGTTACGCTGCAGTCTCACTTTGATGAGACAGGAAGTTTACTTCTAGGGTGGGGTAAGAAGGCTTTTATCTACTGGAAACTAAATTTTTCTTTTTTTTTCTTTTTGTAGTTTGAATAAAATATTTATCAATTTTAGCTTTAAAATTTTTTAAGGTCAAGATTCTTTTGAATCTCAAACGTCAAAATAAAGTTTCATCAAATACATAAATCGTACTACCCTTCCCTTACTAAATTCGAAGTAGGAAGTGACGTTGCCTTCAGTACTATTCTACGACTCTCGAAAAGCATCTTGGGGACAGAAAACAAGATGGTGGCTAAAACTGAAGATGGACAGAAAAAGAGTCGGCTGGATTGGCGTAAAGAAAAGGAGTTAGAGGAAGCGAGAAAGGCTCGTACAGCACCAGCATTGACGGAAGAAGAAGGAAAGTAAGTACCCAGAAGATTTGGAGAGGATATTAAAGCTGATGAACACATACAGCCTAAGCTTTCATTTGATTACATTGGTAAAAGAGATAAGTAAACCTGCATTTCTTTCAACTTTTTTTTCCATATTTTTTTGGGCACAATTTCTTTTTCATTTTTGTCCTTTGTTCTCATCCATCACCTGCTCTTCCCAAATTATTTACTGATCATAATTTCTGGCCTACTTTCAAGTGAGGTCGTGCCTCAAAGAAGGCAGCTTGTGCTTTGTACTGTTCGGTGAAGTGGGGAGGGGGTTTGCAATGCTTTAAATGTGGGGCTACTAAGCTTCCTTTCATAAAAAACGGTGGATGCAAGAAACAGAAGAAGTTGCTGCAATAAATTAGTGCTACAAGTTTCACCAGCAGCCATGCTCAGCTATAACCCTAAACATGCCTTTGTGATTTGAATGTGCTGTCACATTCATTTGTGTTCTGTGGAATAAACTTCTAGCTTAAGGGTTTTTTTTCATAATAAGAGCTATCTGGTATTTTTCATTTGTTTGTATGAAACCAGTGGGTAATTGGTTAACAAATTTTGTCATAGTGTGGACTCTTGCAGTTGGTAATTGGAAACAGTGTTTCTTGTTGTCTAGCTGTGCCTTAAGTCTTTCCTGCTTCACAGTAGTTTTATGTTGTTACTCAATTGCCTGGATATGAGTGATACTTTACTCTTATCACTTTTATTACCTTTATTAGTTTGTGACTGATGACAATTCTTCTTTGCATTTAGATGGAATGGTTATAATGTTCAGGACTACAAGAAAGTTGTTGATGAATATAACAAATTAGAGATGGTTGGTTTTCACTCGCCTTATTCTTTGTCTGTCATTCTGTTTGATTAAAGGTCATTCCATGGGAGGTAAATTTTCATTTTCTTACCAAAAGGCAGGACTTTTTAAAATTTATATTCAGTAAAAAAATCATCAGGTACAAAAAAAATTCCCATGCAATGACTAATATCCAGAGAACCTAAGAAACCTAATCCTAACATTATCTTAACTTACAACGTGCCACTTGAATGCCATGTTTAAAAATTATGATAGAGAAGATGTTTAAATTGGTTTAATGAACCAGACTCTCAAATGTTACAGGGTAAACTATTCCAAAGGGTTGCGCCACTATAACTAAAACTATTTTTCATGTAGTTAGTTCTTAGAAAGGGGACAACAAGTTTGTTTACGGAGTCCCTCAGAGATTATTTTGATACATTTCACGTTATAGATTTAGATGTGAGATATTTGGAAACCAGACCTTAAAAGGACTTGAAAAGCATCAACGTTGAGATCTCAAGTCTGAGTTGTGAAACGAGGAATCGACATCTACGTCATAGTTTGATGAAGTTATTACACATGCAGCACGGTTTTGTAGCTTGTTAGATAATGTTTTGCCACAACTACCCCAGACTAGGTTGCAGTAATCAAAGTGAGATTGAACAATTGAGTTGTATGTAGTAAATAGGGTGGATTGAGGCAAAAAAAGCTTTACTCACTTTATGACTCCAACAGCGGAAGTGATCTTTTTACACAGTTTATCAATGTTAAATTTTCATCAATATATATTCTAAGGGATTTTACTGAGGAAACTTGTCCAAACGAAATATGATCTATGGAAAGTTCGAGTGTATCAGATAGAGTCCTGGAGCTGATTAATATAAATTCAGTTTTTGTAGCGCTCAAGGTAAGCCTGTTAGACACAAGCCATTTGCTTAGCTTTTCAAGGTCATGAGATAGACTAGACTGAATCAAATGTAAATCAGAACCAGCATCATTAATATGGGTGTCATCAGCTTACATTCTAGGTACGTTGAACGATAGACAGTTAGGCAAATCGTTAATATAAATTTGAAATAAAAGAGAGCCAATCACCGTTGTGTGCGATTCGTCAAATACGATCTGAACCAATCAAGAGTTTTCCCTTGAATACCACACCGATTCATTTTAGTTAGTAATAGCTCATGATCAACAATGTCGAATGCCTTTTTTAAGTGGAGAAACACGACGACATTGACGTAGCCACGATCGATATTAAACGCCCAATTATCAGTGGCTTCAAGAAGAGCAGTGACAGTTGAGTGTGAAGACCTGAAACCAGATTGTTGTTTAGAGATAATTTCTTCACTATCGCATAACGGGCCTGAATTAATGACAGAACACTCACGAATCAACCTAGCAGAGATATTATCTAGCCCTGTAGCTTTAGCTTTTTTACAATCTATTTAGATGAGTGAAGACAATAATGGTAGTCGTTGGACGAAAACAGAATTTGTTGAAATTTTCAGGAATATTGTTTAAATGAGTAGACCTCTCGTCCGAATTTAAAGGTATTTCGCGGGCTAGCCCACCAATTGAAAAATGTTCGTAGGATGGCCTTGATTTGATGATAAAATTTGAATATCAAATGTTTAAATAATAAAAGTATTATTGTTTGTCTCACGATATGGTCACTTATGATGTGAATCGCGACGTTTCGACGGCATTCTGCTAGTCTTCATCAGTCTTCAAATCTTCTTATAGAGCAGGATGCTCCACTGTGGTTCGTTGGTTTTCCTACAGCCGTGATTGGCGCGTTTCGATCTTCGATGTTTGTGAGTTGTTCCCTCGATGCTCTGCTGTCCTACGGCTCTCCGGTTGTGGTTTTTGACCTTGGGCATCCACGCTTCATTTCTATCCCACTGTTCCTGTTGATGTTGTTAGGATGAAGACTTATGGAATAGCCTCCTTGACTCTTCGAGTGTACCAGTGAGGATCACGATCAATAAACTCAACGTTATCCCAAAGCGGTAGGTGTCCGGTGTTGTGAGCGTGTTCTGGAACGGCGGAGGTCTGGGTATGGGCTAGTTGGACGTCTCGGTCGTGCTCCTTTATTCTGTCTTGCATTGGTCTTCCGGCTGAAGTTAACTTTGCCGCATTCACAGGGAATCCTGTAAACTACGACGTCTTTTTTAGCCGGATCGACAGCGTCTTTCACTCTTACTAACCCTGATCTTATTGTTGTTTCCGACTTGAAGAGGCGTACGCCTTGTTGTTGCAGGCAGCGGCGTAGCTGTTCGGACAGACCTTTAATATAAGGTAACACTGCGGTGGGTTTGAACTCGATAGCGGGCTCGGCAGCGGCGGTTGGTTTCCTGGTCTTGGTGACTTTCTGCAAGAAAGAAAGAAAGAGGATAACCATTACAAACAGGAACGGATGACAAATGCTTTTTCTCCCTTGAGATGACAGAGGGTTTCGCTACGAGGCGTATGGCGTATTAACAATAAAGCGTTTTACTGATTGTGGGTGGTGTGAATCATACGCTAAGTACTGATCAGTGAGTGTGGGCTTCCGGTATACGCTGGTGGTGAGGCGGCCGTTAGGTTCTCTTGAAACTGAGGTATCAAGGAAGGCTAGTTTGGTGTCATTCTCTGTCTCCATGGTGAAGCGGATGGACGGCTGCTGGTTGTTGAGATGCTGTAAGAACTTATCGACGTTACCGTGATGCAGGACGGTAAATCATTAAAATAGGGAATCTTTAAAAGTGGGAATCTTTAAAATGAGGAATCTTTCAAAGCGGGAATCGCTAAATGGGGAATCTTCAAAATGGATCCCGCTTTTAAAGATTCTCCATTTCAAAGATTTCCGCTTTTAAAGATTCTTCATTTTAGAGATTCCCGCTTTTAAAGATTCTCTATTTTAAAGATTCCCGCCTTTAAAGATTTTTTATTTTAAAGATTTCCGCTTTTAAAAATTCCCCATTTTAAAGATTCCTGCTTTTAAAGATTCCTACTTTTAAAGATCTCTCGTTCCCACGTTCCTTATTTTAGGGCCTGTTTACATGGAGGTGGGGGACCCCAGGTAGGTGAGGTAACCCGCCTTGTCGTGGTCGAAAAATAAAACATGTCTACATGCAATCTTACAACCCCGAGACGCTGGGGTGAGGTTTCTTGAGGCTGTTGTTGCGCTTTCAGTTAAAGAGTTTGAGCAGAGGCGTCCCGAGCTTACATCTCGAAAATGACAAAAGATTAATTCTCGGACACACGCATTTATTCATGAAAGCGTCACGCGGTATTTGGTTCGCGTTGTGTTACGCGGTATTTGGTTTCGCGAGTAACCGTTGACTTAATACGTCATACGGAATAGTTTGGGAAACCAAATATGGTCGATTTACAACGCTTAATATTCCGACATATGAACATTTTACACTCCTTGTGTGTCCGTTGCGGTTTCTGATGATTTCTGCCATGAGACGGGTAGGAAATGTACAAAGTTTTAAAACATAAGTGTTTTGCTTTTGAACTTTTTGCTATGAACGCGACCCCGGCTAGGCGGGTTACCCCACCTTGATACGTTTACATGGCAAATTGTCACCCCGGCTGACAGGGTTACCCTACCTGGCAGACCGAGCAACCCGCCTAGGCGGGTCACCCTAACTATCATGTAAACGTGACCAAATTAAAATAAGAAATTATATGGACAGGCGGGTTATCTCACCTACCTGGGGTACCCACCTCCATGTACACGGGCCCTTAAGGTAGCCCATTGTGGGTTATCATTGAATCCCTGTAAATAAATGGTTTGAGTTTTCGCTTTCGAGTTTCATTCTTCTGTGGTACTGCGAACTGCGTAATATAATTGTGTCGGCCTTGTGGATCTTCGGTAAACCGTGGATTCTAGGAGGCTACGTGTGCCTGTTTGTGTCAAATGTTTCGATAATTTTTGCTCTTTCTTGGAATTGAGTAAAGACTTCCTTTGGTAAAATAGATTGTTTGGAGGCTTGGCACATTAACTCCGCCCACGCTCCTTTAAATCGTGACGATGGCGGTCTGCTTCCTGACGCCTATTTACACCTCGTCAGAAAAAAGGCCGCTAATTAGTGATCATATAAAAGGACCTCTTGTTGCAGCGTTTAGATCACCCCTGATGAAGGCACTAGACAGGAGTGTCGAAACGTTGGGTCTATGAATTGTAACTTCTTCGGTTACATTCATTAAATCTGCAAACCAGTGTAGCTTCAAACTATGTCAGATACAAACCAGTTATCAGTGTAGAAAAAGGAGCAAATTTTGAAAACACGAATCTAGTTAGTATTTGTTAACATAATTTAACACATGCCTAATATCTTTGTGTTCAGACCAAACAGCATTTAAAAGCAGAGAGACTGGAAGAGGAACTAGCGGAAGGAAAAAAGACAGAAATTGTGGCGACGTCGATGAACAGAGGAAACTTTTGTAAAACCATTTTCAAGATTGTGCATTTGTGTTCTTTTCGAATTCTTTGGAATTGTTTGCAGGATGACCCAGACAGTAGATAAGTATGCAGACAGGGCTGATATTGTTAAACGATAAAAATGGGACTATATTTAATCTGAAACATCGTAAGGGTTTCCTTATATTGGTATCGGGGAAAGGAATGGAAATATTATATTACTTTAAACCATTCCTGCAGGGGATTATAAAAAGGCAGGTTGATCACTTCTTATTCCTTTTGGAAGCCTCATCTTAAAGGTAGAGTTTGGTCACGTTTTCCTCGTTATGATAGTGAAGTTGACATGGAAACAGTTGCTCAGTTTCTACGGTAATTAGAACTCGTGATAGTGTCTGGGGAAAGCCATGTTATTATTTAAGTTAATTTGTTAGTCCAGGAAGAGTGAATCTCTCTGGTAAAAGGTCACGTTCGACACCTCTCGTTCTTAAAGGGGTAAACGTGTGATACCTTCATGTTTTGCAATTAGAAAGTTATTCTGAACTAGCACGTAGCAACTTGGCGCGGTACTTGTGAACGCCCTTTCTTCTCCAACTTTTGTAACCATGATGCTGTCATGTAACGGTCTTCTAAGGCAATTTTCTCTTAAGATACCCCTTCAGATGTGAATAATATTCTGCCAATAGGTTAGTTATGATTTTTATATTACCAATCTCGTTTCCGTTCTGGCCGATCTCAACTGTAAGAATAAGAAATTTAAGGTAGAAAATGATTTTGTAACTGCGCAAATAACTCGAAGGCGCATACCTAGTAAGCAGGAACTGTCATACGTAATCTAACGTAATTCGCTGGCTGAGATAGAACGATGACGATAAAAGAAGATTGATAAAGAGAAACTCTTTATCATATGATAGGAGTTAGTTCCCGTTGTAACAACTTGAGAAGAAAAGAGATTAAAGAAGAATCAACCAAACAAACAACGGTTGTTAGAGATTTTACTTCTAGCAATATGCCGGGACAAAAGTTCGATGCTAAAAGGCGAGTTTTTACCCGTCCTGTGCATGAATTAAGTAATATGATACTGCTATGATACTAGGAGTGCCTAGAGCATTTGGACTTTATTTCCTACGTATTAAAACAAAATAATTATTTATTTCGTTGTTCATCGGTATTTATTTAGCCTTGCCGCATTTAGTGCACGTTCAACTTATTCATACAGGCCTGTGGTCTAACGGCACCTGGTCACCAGAGGCGACTAACTTTTCATATCATACTAAGTCCACTCAGCTAAATCCACCAATCACAGAATTGATAACAATAACTATAGCAACAACCACTTACCCTAATTTATTTTATTTTCAATCGTTCTTCTTCCTTTGTTTTGCAGTCACGTTCCATTTTACTTTACGTTTTGATTAATTTCTCTTTCATTTTTAACTATATGCTAGTATAACTAGAAGCAACACAATGGTTACAACGCAAACGACGGCAACAAGCACACTCCAGACGAACCAGTGTAGGAACATTCCAATCCTAGATGTAAAAGTGGGTGGACCAAGTTCTTGGGTGGAGAAAAGAGAGAAAAAGAACACGAGAGAGTTGCACTACAAGTATTGACTTGATAACTTCCTGAGCAGTCTCTCGTCGGATATTTAGCCTAATTCAGCCACGGCGACCGACCTCATGGAATGCTATCTTAGAAGCGAGTTTCAAAATTATATTAGACAACAGAAAGATAATTACGAAAAGTGGAATTAAATCTCGATATATAATCGCGCCAAGCATGTCACTCGTGCGATGGTACGCGTGAAACGAGCCCACATCGACGGTGACAGACACTTACAACATGATCTTGTTAGTTTATAGTCATTTGCAATCATTAAAACAAACATACCAGTAAAAATAACCAACAAAATAGACATACAGAACAAAAAAGAGGAAATATAAGGACTACTTTATGGTCTACACCCGCACGAAAACAACTTTTAAATATTCTCCATTTAAGACGTTTTTTATTTCAAGTATTTCTTACCTTTCATTAATAAGGCATAGTTTGAAGGATGATAAGGCTCTAGTGCTCGGATTCGATCGCTATCACCCCCTTTAGAACATACCAATAAAAATCAACAACAAAAATGGACATACAGAACAAAAAAGAGGAAATATAAGGACTATTTTATGTTTCCATGTATGTACCTACTACACCCGCACGAAAACAACAATATTCTCCATTTAAGACGTTTTTTTATTTCAAGTATTTCTTACCTACAATTCGATCGACATAAGTTGCAGGACAAACAGACCCTATTTTGGTTCGATCTTCGTCAACCCCTTCAGACAACTTATCAGACAACAGTATTCTGATCATTTTGTTGACGTACTTGATTTCGTTGTTGTCTAGAGAAAAAAAGAAGAAAACTTTGAGTCTAGCAATCTTCAAGTTAATTTGGTTTTATTAACTTAGATGATCACGTAAATTGCACTTTAAAGAGTTTCTGAAGCTGACGATGGAGCGTTAGCCCTTCGTTAAAGTGAATCATCTCCAAGCTCATTGGATGAAACTTTTTAGCATATATCAAACATTACATAGCGTTAAAGATGCGCTCTGATCAGCTACTGCAGAAATAAATGAGTTAAAATCATCTTTTTGTGCTTTATTATATTACTGTTTTACTATCTACTTCGCAGTTCGGTAAATATCTACCACTAGCCACCGACACTGAGTTGAATAGGTGTTTATTATGAGACAAGCAACTTCCTAAATAGATGCTTGATATTCAAGTCGCATTGTAAGTAAAGAAAAACTCTAGGTTCATTGCAGTTCAGCAAAATGAATTTTCTCCTAAGTTAGCTTTGTCAATGATAAAATGTGATGCAGTAAGTTTCTCAATAAATACCAGCAACTTATCCTGTACCTACTGTTTTTCCAAAATACAATCTTGTTGGCAGCTCCCTACCAACTACATCAAAGCAAACCTTCCACTCGTTCTTGTTTGCTACGTCCACCTGTATCTATTCATTTAATGACAACAGAATCACTGTATTCAAAATTGTTCTTATAGCTAATTGATTATCACTCAGGTTTGTCTGAAAGTCTTTTAAAGGCAGCTGCATTGATAAAATGGGCAGTCACTACTGAAGCCGTAAGGAATATTTTAAAGGGAGGGAGGGGGGGGGGGGGGTGGGTGAGGTGAAGGCTTGGGAGACCTATTCCACTGAACATTCTTCAAGTAAGATATTCTAAAATGCCCTCTGGAGTCCCCTCCAGTGTTTTTCATCAAAGAAAATCAGAAGTGAATTGTCAGATCTTAAACAAAATGGAGATATTAATTTAAGTTTTCTCAATCTTTCAATCAGTGTTGTAAAAGGTAGATAACATGACAACAGTGGAGTTACAGATTCATCAGGTAAATTGGGCTTTATGCTGCTGTCAGTCATGTTGTGGACCTCTCAGGAAAATAACTGTCATATTTTGAAATAGTTCAAATCCATATGATTTTAAGGGCATTTTGTAAATTCCAATCCAAGGATATGCCCTTAGTAGAAATGGCCAACTAAGAAGCATAGGGTGAACCCCACCCCTCTCACAAGAATTAGGGTCTGACCTTTCAAGATCAAATCCCTTGGATCAATGTCATTATCTGAGAAACTGTATACCCACCCCTCCCCTAAACCAACAACCATCTACTGATTACAACTTAATATTGGGTCAGGGGAGGGTAGGTGTGCAAGGATACTGACATTGATCCAATGGGTTAATCATGAGTCTGTCACATAGTTGTCAACTTACTGTCAGATAATTCTGTGTTCCAGAATAACAGATCAGTACATAGTTAACATGACCTCTTCCAAGAAAACTTTGCTGCAGTATAAAAAAAGTACATTGTAGTGTGGGCACACTAAACACTCCCGACCAATCTATCAGTGTTTTACCACAGTCTAACAAACAGGATACACAACATACAAGTTATAAACATAAACTTTGTTGACCTAAACTACATCATAGCTACATAAGTTCCAAAGAAGTTCACATTTTTTTAAACCCATTAATTTATTGTATGACTGGTACCATTTTGAACATAAAACAATAACAATTATATGTCCCTTATTTTTCACTAATATGATCTAGACTTCTGCTCAAGTTGCCAACACATCTATCCCGTACCAGGTTCACAGCCAATGGAAAACAAAAACCTCCTCCCCCTTTGTTCTTTTTCCTAACTCACCCCAATTTTTTGCTTGTTCACATAAACTTACTGCCTGGAACAAGCATTAGGAATACCTCTCACTATAACTGAAAACAGTTCCATTCTGGACAATTCTCACTGATGATCAGACTACAAAATCACATATTACTACTAGCTTCAAACCATATTAAGAAAAAAAAGTAACAAAGCTGGAGGTTTCTCTATGTACATGTACTTACTGAGCAGCCAGCCACATGTGTTCCACAAGATCCATTTCCAACCATTACGGAAATATAGAGGTTACCATTCTATTCAATAAATCATGCATAATTCATAGGTCAGGAAGTGAAGATCATCAAAAAGGGTGCAAAATGTCTTACAACACAATGGACAGAGTTCTGAAAAAATGACCTGATCACAGAACAAAGTACACCCACCCGGTGTTCACCATTGTGATTACTGTAGTTGTAAGAGAATACTCCAATTAAATTACCTGAGAAAAAGAAAAGGAAAGGTGACAGATAAGACAATAGCTGAAAGTGGAGGACTTTGGGAGTTTGTCTGTACTTATCACAAGTATGAATAACATAAATTAATACTTAATTACAAAATAAAAAGATTGAGTCAATACCTTCTTGCATCCTCCTTGTGGAATACCAAAATGCACATCCACCTTGAAATAATGTATCACTCTCTCCATGTACTTTAAAATTAACTAACATGTCCCAGTCTTTAATATAATATGACTGGTAAGAAACACAAGTTAGAACAATGTCAGATTTTCATAAATTCACTTTTATCTACACCAACCAGTAAAATATGTTTTTGAGAAGTTTTGGAGGGTATTGGAACACTCTAAACAATTCATCACACTTGTTTTACAAACAATTTTGGAAAGCCATGTAACAGTAAGAGGCAAATCTTACCAATTAAGGTTAGAAAGGTTTAACAGGTTTCCATTTCTACAAAAATGTACCAAATTTAACAAGGAGAACGCAAAATACAACACTTTAATGTGGATGCTTTGACCCAATCAAGCTTTAATCGATTGGTGTATTACTATTAAAAGCTATCACAAGAAATGAAACTATAAGCACAAGTACTGTCAGTGGTAGTAAATTCCATCAACTTACCAGGATACTCCATGAAGCCCCTCTCTTGCTCTGGTTGTCAGGTGGAAATCTAACTAGGTTGCTGGAAACAGATCCAATAGAACAGCCGGTCACTAGAGAAATTATTGTCGTAATCATTAAATTAGTTTCTTGTCATTCTATAAAGTAGTTTATTTGTGTCCAATTAAAACATCAAATGAATAAAGGGGTAAGTTTCTAAAGAAACTGTGGTGCTGCATCAGTGGGAGAGTATAGCAGGTAATTTAGTGTTAACAACTGAGTTGAAAACGTAAATTAGCCACCGTAAAGGGTAAAAAAGCTGACATTCAGAGTGTAAGCCCTTCATCAGACGAAGCCTTTAGGGATGTTAACCCTTTATGGTGTTTAATTTACGTTTTCAACTCAGTTGTTAACACTAAATTACCAATTAAAACATCCACATACAAGTCCAGAACTACTGAACAGAATGTCTTCTGAGATCAAGAGTGTAAAAGTTAAATCTAACAAAGGATTTGGAGCACAATAATTAACCCACGCCATGTCAAACTCACTTTTAAAAACGGAATGAACTCTACAAAAGTATTCTTTCATCTCACCTTCAAGTAAAACTGTCAAAAGAAACAAGAGAAATATTGTGAGGTAAGTTTTCCCGCACGCCATATCTGAAGTTTTCTGTACAGTCTCACTTTAATGAGACAGGAATGTTTACTTCTAGGGTGGGCTAAGAGGGCTTTTATCTACTGTAAAGTAAATTTGGATGTATCTCTTTTTTTTTCTTTTTTGTAGCTTGAATGAATTTTTTATCATTTTTAAGCTTTAAGAGTTCTTTAGGTCAGGATTCTTTTAAATTTCAAGTGTCAAATAAAGTTTCTTCAAATAAATATATTGTACCACCCTTCCCACACTAAATTCGAAATAGGCCGTGGTAAAGGAGTACCGTAATTTCCGGTCGTTTACCCGCGGGTAATCTGTTGATTTTGCATTAAACGCGCGCCACTGCGGGTAATAGGGAGGTGCGGGTTATGTGACAATTTTAAAATCTAGTGGTAGTTGAATTGAAAAAATTATCACCAACATGCGTTTCCACCTCTCAAGTGAATTTTGGTGTATTAAGAGTGCCGCAAAGCGGCACGAAAACATGATGCCGACTCGAGTTTATTTCACGCTTAATTAGTTGCGCGACAAACAAATTGCTATCGGCACGCATGAAAACAAAACCTCGATGGTGACAAAAATAATCCAAAGACATCCGGCGCATCAGTATCAAATTTCCATTTAACACTAGCTTGAGCTAAAGAGAATTTTCCCGTTTAAATGGACTTGTTAGGCCCAATAGAACCGGAGATGTCGTTTTTTTTTCAGAAATCGCCGACAGTACTTTATAATTTAAGTTTTAATACTCACCCAGCTTTTTTTCAACAAATCAACATGGCGCTGAACGATCGCTCGCACAAATGTGGCCACAAATTCGCATTCTGTCAAGTATCAAACGTTGAGATTTGGGCATGGGCCGCTAGTGTTTTTACTGTATAATCTTATCATTAAAGTACATGCTAATATTGACAAAGAATTGTGCACGCGTCTGAATTTCTTGGACCTTTAAACTCGACAAAGACGCTTTCAAGTTTTCGAAAGTTGGATCAGACAACTTTTAAAAGACTGAAATGTATCACCTTAATGTCACGTTTTCTCCACCAAAAAATTGAATAACATGACGTGCGGGTTATCCACCAGTGCGGGTAATCTGTTGACTTTTTTTTTCTCCGTATGCAATAATCGGCCGGTGCGGGTAATCGGCCGTGCGGGTAAACGACCGGAAATTACGGTACTACTCTGTCCCAGATGTGAAAGTTTTTTATCTTGTTGATTGCTTGTTCAATGTGAATTCTGAGACTAGCAATTTCTTGGGTCTGTACCACATCTTCTGCTGGCATTTGATTTGATCCTCCCAAGAAAGGTGGCAGGTTGAGTGAAACTCCCAAAGGCAATAAATCTGAAATAGTGAAACATTTATCTGCCATTATGGAGTCTTTGTCTTTGAAGGGTACATCTAAAAGGCCACTTCTTCTGACAAACTCTCTGTCAGAGATGCTTCCAGTATATAATTGGCTGATGATGTAATTGCTCCTCCAGGAGAAATCCCCACCAAACCCTTAAGTGTGGTGTGATGTTTGTAGCTGCTGAAGAGCTCTCCATTCAATTGTAAGCTACTTAGCATCTGGCATCTTACTTCCGTACAATCAATTATCACACGTGTACTCCCATATTTATTCTTGAATGCTTTAGGCATTGTTCTGTCTATCAATTCCTTTGAAGGCCAAATGTTAATGTGACCAAACTTAAAGTACATGAAATTGATACATATTATGACCATCCGACTTACAGTCGGTGTTGACACGTTGAACAAGTGAGCAAGATGATCTTCATGAAACCCTTGTCTAAGTCTGCACATTACAAATTCGTCCATTGGCCTCAAAGACCTAGCTCTTCCTTTTTTCGTGAAAGAGTCCTCTGACTGATCCTGGTCATAATCAACAGAGACCTCACCATTTCCAGAACGCCAGTAAGCAATGTTTCCTCCTCGTTCTCCGGGATCAAGGTTATTATACACCGCCTTAAAAGCATCGCAGTTATTAAAACAAGCGTAAAAAGCTGCTGTATTTTTCTTAGCTTTCAAGTTCTCGAGCACAAATTGTTTCTTTGTAAGGTTTGTGATTTGCCGCTGAGCATTTTCTAATCGCAATTTAATGTCATTGATTTCCTGTTCTAATTCTTCAATTCTTTTGTTTTTGTTAGCGATGGTTTCCGTCAAATCATAACATTCCTTTTCTGGCAAGATTATATTCTGATTCTCAATAACCCTGGTAGTCAAACCGATACTTACTTCCACTTTTTCTTCCAAATCAAATTCCACAACACTCTCGGCCGATGCATTCGATCTAGAAACAGCAGAAATCGACGCCACTGGTTCGCAAACGTTCCTTTCTGTCGGTGGTTTCCTCTTGCGAGGCGACGTGCGAATCCAGGGAAATATCGAAGGTATGGCGCCAGGTTTTAAACATATTTTCCCCGCAAGAGTCTTTTTTAGATCTTCATTTCTAAAATGTCTGGAACAGACCTTTGTCGAGTCGGATATTTCATTTCCTTCGTCTCGCCTAATGGCCTGTATCCATTTCATCTTTATTATTTTTTCTTTCGACCCATGCTCTTCGCGATAGCTTTTTTTGGTGCATTCTGGAACGCAGCAGTGTGTAGGCATTCCTTCCTGTTCCTAAACGTGTATTTGACCGCAATTGAGTCTTAAAAACTTGACCTAAAACCACTACACGTGCGCTATGTTTACGTCCGAGAGGCCTTTGTGGCCTCGTTTCCATGCAAAAATCGTTACCAGTTCCGCGCGCCTTTGGCCATTATGAAAGTCAGCCCTATCCTATCCTACGACTATCGAAAAGCATCTTGGGGACAGAAGGCAAGATGGCGGCTAAAACCGAAGATGGACAGAAAAAGAGTCGACTGGATTGGCGTAAAGAAAAGGAGTTAGAGGAAGCGAGAAAGGCTGGTACGGCACCAGCATTGACGGACGAAGAAGGAAAGTAAGTTGTCTTATTAATTGTTGTATTTTGGTAACTTGGCAATCCTTTGATATGTCCATGGAAATGATATATTTGGAGAAACAAATGTGTGCAGATGTCCGATTCGAATGACTGTACTTTCGTTTCATTTTTAAGTTTAGAATAGTATGGAAGTTATAATTTATAACTTACACAATCCATGAATCTGTGGTTTAATAGAAACGATACGAGAGCTTTTCATGATCAACAATTGTGTACGTACGTCAGTACACAGCTTAATTTGAACCTTTACACTTCACCTACGTTATAGGGATCAATATCAGTATCCGGGAAACTGCCCACCTACCCCTCCCCTAACCCAACATTAACCCTAACTTGTTATCAATTGACTGTTGTTGAGTTAGGGGAGGGGTAGGCGGGCAGTTGCCTAGATACTGATATTCATCCCGTTTATAAGAGGACTGGTATATTCTCAAAACAAGAAAAGAAAGGAATATGTATCTTGATGGTTGACTCCAAACATGGGTTATTGCATTGGTATTGTGCAATTCACAATATGAATATTACTTTGTAATGCTGTTAGGCCAGCTATGTAGGTATTTCCCATGATGGACTGCTGAAAAGATGGACCTCTGTGGCATTGTATTCCATATTTGCTCCATTTTTTGTAGCTTTCTAATTCAGGGTATGCTTGTTTTCACTACTCTGATAATGGATTACATCTCTCAGTTAGTACATACATGGCTTATAATAGGTCAATTTAGTAGGCCTTACTTGTATTTCACTCTATAGCATGCTCTATTAAGCCTTTAACTCTCAGAAGGGATCAACATGTGACTTCTCCCTATTGCATTTATACATTATCCAGCAAATAGTTAGTGAGAATACTCAAACTTATCAGGTACAAGATATTATCTTGATTCCGAACACCAAATTCCCATAACCAATTTACAAACAAATGTGTAGGAGCTAGGGGAGAGAATTAACAATCAGATCTTGGAAGTTAAAGGGTTAAAAGTGTGTTTTAATTGAAATCTTCCCCCTCTACTCAAAGCCAAAGATAATAAACTTCATAGTAACCTGAATTTCTTGAACTCTATTTTAAGTTACAAAACCATGTATTTTCCACTCAGATTTATAGCCCTTACACCTTGCACATGGAGCTATGAATCCAAGTGGAAAAAACTTGGTCCATAACTTACAGCATGGATCTCAAACTTAATTAATAGGGGGGAGTTAAATTTTATATTTGCTTGCTCTTTTAGGGATATCAATCCTCATATTCCACAGTATATCTCACAAGCTCCTTGGTATTATGGCACTTCAAGGTAAGAACTAAGATTAATTAATTTTCTTTACTTCTCCCAGGAAACACAGTGTTTAGTTAGCTTAGTTAATTGTTACATTTTTAAAATTTTGATACTCTTTGGCCTCTACTTGTAAATTGTTTTTTTTCATTTCTAGTGTGAGTATGATACTTGAGGTTTGACTATTTTGATCAATTCTTTTTATTTCACTATTTTTTAATTAAATAAATTTAATTTGACCTGCGGATGAAAATCAAGCAAAGAGATGATCCTGGCAGGTGGACTTTGATTGAAGAAAAGAGGCTCAGAAAAAGTCAGGCTTTGGTGGGGTTTAAACCCCAAGCCCTCTCAGATTCTAGTTGGGAACTACTACAAAAAAAGCACCTCAAAACCACACTTTAGGAGCAAGGCAACTTTTTGAGGGTTTTATTTTCTTTACTGAAACATTTATAGCCATTCAGCTCAGCCAATTTTCTTTAATTTAAAAATTGACTAATATTTTAGGCAAACATCCTTTGTTTTTGGTGTTTTACAGTAATTAATTTGTTGTATTTTCATTTTAGACCAACCTTAAAGCATCAACGGCCACAAGAGGAAAAGCAAAAGCAATTTTCAGGGATAACTGAGTGGTACAAAAGAGGGACTGATGTTGTAAGTGTCATAACCTTTTCGAGATGTAGAAATCAATTCGATTTTGATCACAGTGGTTAAGTTAGTATTATTTAAATTTTCCTAGATACCAGCTGCTACTAAGTTCAGAAAGGGAGCCTGTCAAAACTGTGGAGCCATGACTCATAAAAAGAACGACTGTCTTGAGGTATACATGTTGTACAAAACATTAAGTTTTTATAAATAAAACAAGCAATTATGTCTATTTGGTGGTTAGTACCCTTTTATGTTTGAGTAAAAGTTAAAACCTTGTTTACTTAACCCTTTCACTCCCAAGATCTGATTAGTAATTCTCCTTACTATCTGCCATACAATTCTTATGATGTTAGTTCAGAGAATTTGGTATTGGATCAACCAATAATCACATGGTTGATATTCTTCTCTATTCTCATCACCTACCTGTTTGATATTGTATTGATATTGTAAGGAGAAATTCTCTCTTGGTCACTTGTGGAAGTGAAAGTGTTAACACTCAAACCCCTAGGGTTGAGTAGCATCTAATTTCTCCTCACTGTATTACCCCTGAATCAAACACTAAGGTTGTGAGAATAAAGGAATAATCAACAACTGAAGCAGCTCTTGATTGTTAACCAAATTCTCAATGTCAGCACCTTTGGAAATGTATAGAGAACAGTGTGGAGAATATGCATACTGATATAAGGGTGTTGAGGGTGGGACCACCAACTTGAATATGTATGAAATGAATTCAGTTCAGCAGAGTTTGAGTAAACTAACAGTAATTGTCTCAAAGGGTACTTTGAGGTATTTGAAATAGCTCTAAGTTCAAGTTTGCCAAGAAGTTCTAGGTCATTTAGTTTGGGTCAGTAAAGTTCTACTGTAACAGTGAAGTCTGTACAAAGATTCAACTGGCTGAAATTAGTAGCCTTACAAATTCATTAGATCTAGTGACAACAAAGAATTACTGTTTTTTTTATGTCAGAGACCCAGAAGAGTTGGTGCTAAGTTCAGTGGAGAGGATATTAAAGCTGATGAACACATACAGCCTCAGCTTTCATTTGATTATGATGGTAAAAGAGATAGGTAAAACTGCATTTCTTTCAATTTTTTTTTTCACACATTTTCTTTTTCATTTTTCTCTTTTGTTCTCTTCTATTACTTTCTCTTCCTAAATTAACTACTTATCATACTTTCTGGCCTAATTTCAAGTGAGGTGGCTCAAAAGTGGTGTCTCAAAGAAGGCACTTTGCACTTTCTATTGTTTGGTGAAGGGGGGAGGGGGTTTGCAATGCCAAAAATGTGGGGCTACTAACCTTCCTCTTTAGAAAATGGTGGATGCAAGAAATGGAAGAAGTTGCGATGAATAAGTGCAACAAATTTCACCAGCAGCCAGTGTTCAGCAACAACCCTAAACATCCCTTAAAGGCATGTTTAGGGTTGTTACTGAGCACATAATATGCATTGTCCATTCACAAAGTTTGTGATTGGTGGACTGTGCATTTCACATTAGTGTTCTATGATATAAACTACTAGTCTGTGATATAAACTACCCTAGTTTAGGGTCATTTTCTTTCATAATAACAACTATCTGGTATTTTTCATTTATGTATGTATGAAACCAGTTCAGGTAATTAGTTAATTTTGTCATAGTGTTGACTCTTGCAGTGCTTCTTGTCTAAAAAGTAAAGCCTTTATACAGGCCCAAGTGGCCCATCGGGCCGGTGCTTAACTCCGGTTTCCTTTAGCATGAAGCAGCTAGGAGTATTGCTACTCCCCCCTGGATGGGATGCTAGTCCATTGCAGGGTTACCTTAAGCATATTTGCTGGTACCCATTTGTACACCTGGGTGAAGAGAAGCACTGTGAGAGTAAAGTGTCTTGCCTAAGAACACAACACAATGACTCCAGCCAGGGCTCAAACCTGGACCACTTGATCCAGAGTCGAGCTCACTAACCATGAGGCCAATGTGTTGTTGTCTAGCTATGCATTTAATCATTCCTACTTCACAGTACTTCTACGTTGTTACTCAATTGCCTGGTTACAAGTGGAATTATTTCTCTTATCAGTTTCATTAGCTTTATTAGCTTGTGACTAATGACAATTCTTCTTCATATTTAGATGGAATGGCTATAATGTTCAGGATTACAAGAAAGTTGTTGATGAATATAACAAATTAGAGATGGTAGGTTTTCACTTACCTTATTCTTTGTCATTCTGTTAGATTTAAGGTCATTCCGTATTATTGCATTGTACATCCTTTCTGCTCATTAATTCATGTGCAACTAGCTTGCACATTTAAAAAAAAGTGATGGCTTTTGTCTATGATTGGAGCTTATCGGGGAGGTGAATTTTCATTTTCTTGCCAAAAAGCAGGATGACCTATATTAAAGTAGCTTTTTCATTTAGATAACATAATTTGAACATAAAATGTTTAGACAATTTTTGCTCTTTTTTGGAATTGAGCAATGATTTTCTTTTGGTAAAATACAAATATAAACCAATTCTGAGTGTAGAAAAAGGAGCAAGTTTTGGAAACACAAATTTAGTTGGTATTTGTTAAAACATAATTTAATACATGTAATATCTTTGTGTTCAGGCCAAACAGCATTTAAAAGCAGAGAGACTGGAAGAGGAACTAGCAGAAGGAAAAAAAACAGAAATTGTGGTAAAATCTTGCTAACTTAAAGATTTTAAAGTTGATGAACAGAGGAAACTTTTGTGAAACTATTTTCAAGATTATGCATTTGTATTCTTTTTTAATTCTTTGGAATTGTTTGCAGGATGACCCAGACAGTGAAGATGAAGATAAGTATGCAGACAGGGCTGACATGCCGGGACAAAAATTTGATACAAAAAGGTTAGTTTTCACCTGTCTTGTGCATGAATTAAATAAACATGATACTGCTTTGATACTACAATTGCTAAATGATGAACACATGAAACTAAAGCCCTTCTGACGCACTCTCAATTTTTGTAACACAATTTCTTTAACTGTATGCTGCTGTGCAATTAAGTCTGAAATCTTGAACCTCTTGATCTTTAAGTGGATTGCTGGCCAGGCAGTCAGTTAGGTGTTGTAACATTGTGGTATCATTTAATTTTTTTATGCATTGAGGATCTGCAGGGTGTCTAATATTTGCAATGGATATGTTGTTTCAGTTCTAATCTATTTTTGCTCCATCATCAGACGAACAACAGTCAGGAACTTAAGAATCCGTGAAGACACTGCAAAGGTATGTGATTCCACAATATGTTGTGTTTCAATGTTTTTGTTGTTGTTGTTGTTTAAAAATTTTCAAACTAGTTTGATCCTTATTTTTTTTTGTGTTGTATTCTGTCAGAGACAAAAAAAAAATGAAAATCAAAGTTGTTTGAATAACTTTAAATTAAGGAAAATTGTAGTTAAAAGAAAGATTTGTACCACAACATACCCATGTTGCAATTAGGTTATAATTATTTATGGTAACTTTATTGCTTTGCAAACTTTTGATGCTGAAAGTAAGTAATCATTTCTCTTGTTTCGATTTTGATTAGTATTTATACAACCTGGACCCCAACTCAGCATATTATGATCCAAAGACAAGATCAATGAGAGAAAACCCTTTCAAGGAAACAGATGCAACTGCAAACAAGTGAGGATTTTTCACTTTCTTTGTGAGAATGTTTATCATAGTGGTTGAAGGCTTTTTCCTGCTAGGTACTAAATAAGAAAAGTGTGGTTGAATTTCTAACTCTTTCTTTCATCATACATCATTAGTAATTCTTGCTGTTTAGCATACAATCCCTATAATTTTTAGTCACTAGAATTTATCATTGGACCAACCAATATACCAGCCTGTAATTGATATATTTTTTTCCCCCATCATTTGTCTGCTTGATATTGTATTGATTTTTTTAAGGAGAAATTCACTCTTGGTCACTTATGGGAGTTAAAGGTTAAGTAAACATGGTGCTAGCTCTGTTGAGAAAGAAAACTGACAGAGCAAAGTTTTTGCATAACTATAATTGTTAATGTAAGATGCTCTGAATTTTTCCTTTTCAAGTGTCACCTACTCTGGGGATAACTTTGTTCGATTTTCTGGAGACACACAGAAGATGGCTCAAACACAGTGTAAGTCTATGTATTTGTGGGTCACCAGTATTTACAAAAGATTTGGGTATGCCTAATAACTTGCATTCTTTTGTGTTTACCAGTATTTGCTTGGGAGGCATATGAGAAGGGAGCTGATGTCCATCTTCAGGCAGATCCCACCAAACTTGAGCTGTTACACCAAGAGTACAGAGTAAAGAAAGGTGACTTTGAACAAGACAAGAAGCTTACAGTACTTGAGAAGGTGAGAATCCTTTAGAACAGTTGTACATTAGAGAGGTCTTACAATCTTTACACAGTTAACATAATCCTTAAATTGTATTACTTATTTCTAAATACATTGATCATTGATAGTGTAAGCTATGTCAGTGTATTATAACTAAAAAAATATTACTTCGTTTTTTTCCTTAGTATGGAGGTGAAGAACACTTGAATGCTCCTCCCAAAGACTTGTTGTTGGCCCAAACTGTAAGTGTTATTAGCATTGAAAGTGCCCTGTAGTAGGCAGTGTTTCTTGTTGCATGGTACATTGTGATTAATTGTATTAAAAATTGATAAACTCTGTATGTATTACTTCTTATTGAATTGTTTGAAAATAATGCCATTTTCAGGAGCATTATGTTGAGTACTCAAGAACTGGAAAGGTCATCAAAGGTAACACAGCTGTATTAATAAATTCATTCTCCCTTAAAGATCAATTTGCATTTGAGTGTCAAAGGTAATCCAGGATTACATTGGTTTGCTTTTCTTTACTCTGTGATTGGTCCAAAAAACTTGTGCCAATCTCTTAACCAATCAATTACTGTGTTTGAAATTGTTCCTTGCAGGTCAAGAGAAGGCAGTTGCAAAGTCCAAATATGAAGAGGATGTGTACACAAACAATCACACAGTGAGAATTGAGAACATGAAAATGACATCATGATATTAGTATAATTGTAGTTTTGATAATCAGTACTATTTTAGTTGGTAATCATTTATTAATTAAAAATGTGGTATACTCCACATCAGTGTGTGCTTCCTTGCTTGTTTTGTATGTTATAGTTTGTTTTCTCAGTCCAAGTCTGCCTCTCTTTTCAGAGTGTTTGGGGTTCATACTGGCAGGAAGGAAGATGGGGCTATGCTTGTTGTCATTCCTTTGTCAGAAATTCCTACTGCACTGGGGAATCTGGTAAAGCTTCGTCTGCAACAGGGGTATGATAAAAATTAATTCAGTCTGCAAAATAAACCATAAGGCAATAATGTATCTGAGTTTGTAGTTTAAACAGTGTACTGCATATTTAATTTCAAATTTATCTCTAAATTCCTGTGCTGTCCACAGAATAATCCACCAATTACAAGTGCAGCAAGAATGATTCAAGAAGCAGAAGAAAATGGGAAAACATTACTTGAGGTTAGTTGAGATGTTACCAGGTAGCCTACACCTTACCAAGTGAGAAAGCCACTTTTCCTTTTGTTTTTGTTGTTTCATTCTAAAAAGAGAAAAGCCTGTGTAGAAGGATGCTGAATTCTTGAGTTAAAAGCTATGGTTTACAACTCCCAGTTCACTTGTGACTTAGGAATCCAAATGATGTCTGTCAAGTGGGCTGCTGTTGTCGTAATGGGTAGAAAATTGTCTTCAAATGTGCATTGAATTTGGTTTATGGATGCCACCATCTGAAAGCAACTCAGTAACATGACTAAAAAACCACAACATGCAGTTCACAAGCAGCTGTAGCTTTGGCTATTGAAAGAATTATTATTATTTTTGTGTAGCTAGTTAACTATTGGTTCATACGTCAGTGTAAAGGATGTTAAAAAAAAAAAATTTTTTCTGCAGCTGACATTCTAAATATTCATTTGGATTCCTTAATTTTAGCTTCATCAAGAAAATCGCAAGAGGGGCAAGAAAAGAGAAAAGTCAGTTGATGAAGATGATGAGGAAGTTAAAAAGGAAAAGCTAAACAAGGTTTGTTGACAATGAGGCTCTTTATGATTGGGGTTTTAAACATAGTAGTTTTAGAAGACCAGGTAAAGTATAGATCCTTCGCCAAAGCTATCAAAGCTTTCCTCGATGAAGACACTTTGATAAGTATTTCATATTATTTCATATTCCGTCTGTTTCTTAACAATACTGGGAGTGGCATTTAACAAGGAGATCTTTCCTTTGCTAGGCACTAAGAAAAGAGGAACGGAACCAGAAAGAAGCAGACAGACTACTTGCCATGGATGAACGAAAGAGACCGTACAACTCTCTCAAAGGTGATTACCATGAGGTTACTGAGGAGGAGATGGAAGCATATCGCATGAAGCGTCGCCAGGAAGATGATCCAATGAAGGACTTCCTTTAGCCCACTTTGCGATAAACAGGGTGCCATAGAGAAGGCTAAACAGTGACTTGACATCTTCCAAGCAAAAGATTATGTGCTTTACCTTGACTCAAACAGTGTCAGTGAGTTCTAAGATCAACTTGCAACAGCAGTCACATAATGCTTAGTCATAAGGATCCTTCAGCAGATGGAAAGACTTTAGCTTGTGGCTAATGATTCAAGTCCCTCACTTTTTTCTGTCTAATTATAATTTTAAGAAATGAGGGTGAGACTTAAAAAAATTATGCAGAATCTTAGATGGAAATCTAGAAAAAATAGGGTTTGGGAGACCTGAAAGATGTACTTCTCCAATAGACCATTCACCACTCTGGAGAGTAAATGATGACTTGTATTGCTTTGCATGCAAATATACATATGTAGCTGGGAACAGGATTTCATTGTGTGGTCCTTAAAGAATTGTACAGAGACACCTGGAATTACAGTTAAGTGATGATTCATGATGTGTATGTAGGCAAGTCTCACAGGAAATCAAAGACACAAGAGAACATTTTTGTTAATCCTTCATTTGTACTGGTAAAAAAAAACACTCCTGTAAATAAACAATAGTTCCAAGGAGTAATAATATGCTTTTATGCACCTGAACTTTGCCTTCAGTTCGAATAATGCTTTGACTCAGTGGTGGAACATTGGAGCATCAAACCAAAGGTCTGAGGTTTGATTCCTTACAGGGACTCAGAATTTTTTCTTTGTCCCATGCTTGTGACAAGATGAAAAAACATCTTTTGCAAAGTCCTTTTTTGCACAAGATAAATAAATAAATATAATTCAAATAGATCGTGATTTCTATCCATAATCTTTATTTCTATCAACCAGAAAAGGATTCCAATGTTTAAATTATCACAAATTCATCTCTAACAACAACAACAAATTTAATGTTAATTTTCCCTTTAAAAAAGTAACACCCTTAATTAATAGTTTGGAAAAGAAAAAGGGAGACTTCTGTCCTCTGAACCACTAAGACCTTAACTGGTATGGCAAATCTGTATATTTCAACTTTACATCTAATCAATAAATAACATCAATTGAAAATGATGACAAAATTTTTTTGCCCTGTAGAAATCTAGAACAAATAGTTTTCCCATCTGTTTCCCAATGATTTATAAATAATAGCAATTTAAACTTGATTTATATGTGATTTTTAAATGTACAGTGAGTACTGTAGGTAATGCCCTGACCACAAGCTGGTTGCCCTTCAATAAGATCACCATATCCCCAAAGGCTCTTGTCTCAGAAAACTGGGGTATCCAGGTTTTGAAAACTTTTATAAATAAAGTTTTACAAGTCACTAAATGATAAAAGTAAGTCACCTATAGTACACTGGTTCTACTAGAGCACAGCCCTGTTAATTTACACTGCATTTGGGGAAATGTATTCAGAACCTCCATGTTAGGATACAGTGTAGGCTATGATAAATTAATAACAGACACCCAATGCACCTTTGTACCTAAATACACTTCAAGTCAATTACATAAAAAAAGTTCTTCAAGTAATGATACTGATTAAAAAAAGCAGGGTGTGAAGTAGATCTAGCAGACTACTTGCTTTTAGCCTTATCATAAACGTCATTGCATTCTTAACATAAATGTAGTTATCTTCAATTTCTTTTCAAATAGACTGAATTTTTGGAATAGCAAAGCAACATAAAATAGAAAATATCCCAAAGTGCAGGAGAAAGCTACTACAAGAGTCTAGAACTTCAAAATTTCCCCAGAGAGTCTGGACCTCCCTGGGAATAGAAGGCCCTCTCAACTTTGAAAACTACCCACTCAAAAGAGACCTCTAAACATCTGATTAATTTAAATTCTTCTTTAAATAGTTTAATTCCCTGTTGAAGATATTTTTACTGTATGCCAATCAGTTCTGTAATTGGTGGAGCTTTCACCATAAGCTCATCATAATTGTTGTAAAATTTTGATAGTTGATTCATATAAGTGGCTTCATTATATGGAAGGCTATTATTCTTAAGGTAGCTGGACACCACAGGCTTGATTTTCAGGCACATGTTATCAGACAGTCGTGGAAATAAATGATGTTCCACATGGCAGCTGATGATGGAATGGCCAAAGGAATAATCCAGAAGTGGATTTCTCGGCAGATTGAGAGCTGCTGAAGCTAATTGGTAGAGTCGTCTTGGGCGTTTCTTTACATCATACATGGGCAAACCAATGTGCTGGAAGATATTCACATGGATGTATGGAATGGCAAATACCGAACGAGTAGTGATCATGCAAAGGATGGTGCCCAAAAGGGACAATCCAGCTAAGTACCGGAACAAGCAGAAGTGCATGATGTAGCCAGCTGTTGCTATACAGAGAAACCTAGCAATTGAATACCAGCGTCCAGCGAGCAAGGTTATGCCTATTGCAGTGTTGAAGAGTGGCAAGGACAGTGGAGCAATGAAGAGGTATGTAAAGCGGCCCAAGAATGGTGCTCGCCATGAACTAGAATCACCCAAACCAATCACATTAGTGTAAGGGTGATGTAACTGAATATGAGCCTCAAAGCTGCCTTGTTCTGTAAAACCTCCCCAGATCTCAATGAAGAACACAGACAGAAGGCGGTTGAAGAAATGTGATGAGCCTGCCAAGGCATTGTGTACAGCTGCATGGGCCAGCTTCACTGTAAATGTGGCATGGACATAGGAGAACAGAAGATAGCCAGTTGCAAACAAAGGTATACAGCCAGATCCAATCAGAAAAAGACTGATAGGAAGAAGTGCAAAGTTTGCAAACATAATTGTTAAGTCAACACCATAGAGGTCCCACCAAGTACTATGTGAGACTACATCTTTGACCAGTAAGTTGAGTTGTTTCATGGATGGCCTATTCTGCGACATGTCCTCATCTTTCTTGTCAGCCTCCATCAAAAATTCTTCAGCCACATCATTCTTTTCATACGGGGGCATGGCTATTGCCAATCTGACTGTTAATAATAGGGGGATGATTTCTGAAAAACAATCGTAAAATAATTAAACTGGGAATGACTTCTGAAAAACTATAATAAAGTAATTGAGTTCTTAACAGGTGTCTTGTTCCTTTCACCAGTTTACTGAGAGATTTGATGATGACCTGTTATAAAATTAGCATTTCAAATGAGTTATTGGTAAAAAAATAAATTATGAATTTCTCCCTTTTTGCCAGAATATTTTCTAGAAGAGAACATGTTGACACTATTATGAATAGTATGTGCTGGAAATTTTCCCTTTACTTACGTACAGCAAAAGGTGTGACATGTATTACCTAACGCATACTTACTAGTCTAAAAATCTAACACAAAAAAGCACAAAAAAAAATGTCAAAATACGTGTTAAGTAATAACATGTAGACTTATTTAGTCTTGTGACATCTATAGCTGATTAAACACCTACAAAAAAAAGAATTTGAAGCAAAATTAAGTAGCAGAGCTTAAAGTAAAGAGTTTCATTTACTTTGGTAGCGTTACTGTAAAGCAAATTGCATAAAAATCTGCAAGAACAGTCTTTGTTTACAAGCTGTAATCCACAGAAAGCAACAAGGTGATATTGATATGCCTTCGGGATGCCTAATGACACCCGAAAAATTCTCAGGTACGAAACTGTACCTTTCAAACATCAATAAGAGAGTGACTGCTGATTTATATTTGGTGTTCAAGCAACAAGTAAATATCCTTTTTTGGAGCCAAAGAAATTAAAAATGTCACACAAGTGATGACATTTTTCTCAGTGCAAAGCAAATATTACGCAAGTTCTTAATGTTGCCGTGGAGCGTATCTTTTTCCAGTAGAGTTCGCATTAATTTTACATTTTGTAACTAAATCGAGTTTCCTTTGCGCCCCTGGCGGAAAAATCCTACATACCTAGTGACGTCCAGAGTAGAAGCTTATCGCTGGTCCGGGAAAGCTCCCTGGAGTAATATTTGTTTTGATTTGGTAATTAGGTTCAAAGTACGGATTCAACCGCGAAGGACTGGGAATTTGAGGAGACGATACGTTGGGCCATACATGACAAGAGTGAAATGGAGGCAAATCTGAAAAAAAATGCCGTCGTGTGTTTTGTGCGATGGAGAAGTCTTTGACTGTATTGATGGACTGTATTACTGCCAAAGCTGTGGTACTCAGTCTCAGGTAACCACTTCAAGCTTTTCCTTTGTGTTAAAATGTCTTTCACGATCGATACAAGAACTGTGTTTCACTGTGGCCCACAATTGTCACGGCATTAACAAATACCTCACGGCAAACTCCACGACAAAACCAAAAAGCTCCCGGCTTCTTCAGTTAGAATGGAATTGTCCCTTTTCCTGTCTAACTTAACCACCGCTGTATACGAACGCAAGTGACGTATTGGTTTATGGTTAGCCATGACCTAAAATAACATATCCCCAAATTCGGGCGAAAGATGCCTGAAATTTGAATTAATTTTATGTTGGTTTTCATGGTGGCAAGGATGTAATTTTTTCTGATGGCGTAATTAATTGGCCAGCTGGGGCATGGGTAGGGAGTTTTCAATCCTCAAGGTGAGAGTTGATAATTAAAGTTCGCTGTTATGGAAAATTCACTCATGACTAAGAGAATAACCAGATTGGCTTGACAAGGTATTTTGAACACTCAGTTATAATGTGCAGTAGTAATTCTTCTTCATTTTGATTTTTTTTGCATTTCATCTTTAATTAGGATATGAGAGATGAAGAGGCAGCAAATCCTTATGAAGCTGGAGTTGATAGCCGATTGCAGGTATCAAGGAAGGGCAAAGGTGGAAGACAGAAACAGTTTTGTGAGTCAATTTCTCCTCCTAATAATATTGTTTACTTAAAAAAATATTTATTATAAATTTAATGTGCATTACTTGTTTAATTATAAGGTTATGTTTTCCACTCTTTCAGTGTTTGATAATTCTTTGGGTTAACTATTGATCTTTTTGTTGTTAATTATGATTTCTATGAGGAGTAGCACTTGGGCCCTGAGCTGTGTCAGTTTCAATAAAGAGTTATTATTCTACATTTTCCTCCAGGAAAAGAGATTCTTTTTCATTAATTTTCTTGAGATGTTAACTTTGCAGATGATTATTGTACTAGTAATAATTGTTGCCTTTTTTCATTTCCATATATTCAACAGTTGCAGATAAAGGGAAACCTTGGTTCATGTATGAAGCGTATCAGTACATCATAAGAGTTCAAGTGGAATATCTCATAAAACTTGGAGTCAATGATGCATTGAAGGTATCTCATTCATTAATGGTTTAATAGGAGGAAGGAAAAAACTAAGGAATTACATAGTATCTTCAGTTGATTATTGAAAAATTGTGAAAGCTTCAAACTGATTTTTTGATGGGCATTTTATTGATGGTTCAAATTGAACTGAAACCTATTTCTTCCCACTGACGTAACCATTAACCATTTCTTTCACAGTTCTATTGCCTTTCTGTTTTTTTTTTTTTTCTCCTATATTTAAAGCTTTCTGGTGGTCATATGCAAGAATACCCAAATTTCTTACCAGGCTATTTTTTTTTTAATTGATAAGAGCAGTTTTTGATTGAGTGTCAGAAAATTAAAGTATTTTTAAAATCAAAACAAGCCATCAGGGCCAATCAAATTTAACACCATGGATAAGATTTGGATGATGACTCATGTTTTGAAGTACATATTCAATTATTTAGCCTCAAGCATTAAAAAAATGCCAACAACCAAGTAATAATAGGCTACTTTAAAGTCTGGAAGCCTGAAAAGAAGGCCAAAAACAAGCCTTGAAAACATGAGTTTCATTTTCACTGAAGATAAATTCAATAGAGTTATTTTCTCTTTAAAGGCTTGACACACACCCTCATCTCAAACAGAGGCTCAGAAATCTTGCAAATGGCGCACTGTTTCTATTTCACATCATTCTGTTGAGTATTAAGTGACAGGGCGTAAAATTAACTTTTTTTTCTGATAGCCACTTGGCTCCTAAATTCTTCAAAGTGGTAGCCAATTCAAAAAAGTTGGTCGCCATTTTCAAAGACAAACAAAATCTTTCTTTACGCTGTCAGCGTTCTAGATAGACCCTTCAAAATTACGTTAGGGAAAAGATTCTTTAACGTGCTGCAAAGTGGACACTGGGATGGATGATATACAATGTTCAGGCTCATCTAAATCCAAGATGGCGTCTAGTTATCGATTGAGATGCATGTGCTACGTTTTGGAAACAAACTTAACGAGGAAGATTGCCGCAGATTTATATTTGCAAGTCTTTTTAATTCACTATATATCTTGGTAAGGTTATGTTGAAACGTTCTAGTCGCCAATTTGGCGACTAACTTTCAGGATTTGGTCGCCAAAGTGAAAAATTTAGTCGCATTGGCGCCTGTATTAGGCGCAATTTCACGCCCTGAGTGATCATGGGGATATTTTGCAGCAAAACCCATCCAATCCCATGTAACTTTAATTTCTCATTCAAAGTCTTCTTCCTCTCCCTAGGATGTTGTCTTCAAGCTGTGGTACAAGTATTTGCAGGTCACTGAAATTGCCTTCACTGGATCTCCTCAGGGAACTGTACCAACCAAAGGTTCAATTTTTTACCAGCGAGATGCTAATCTCTTAAACAGAAATCAAAGAAATAAGAGTGGACGCAAGAGAAAGTTGGATCCTTCATGTGAATCAGATGATGATGATGAATTAGAACTGTGTTCACACTTTAGTGATGAGGAGTTTTATGAAGGTAGTAACAGACTTTTTTATTGTGTTGTATTCTAGATTCAGCTGCATTGAAGATATAAGAATTCTTCCCATTTAATCCATGACCAAGAAATTCAGCAAGTGGATTGGATAGCCCAGAAGTAGTCAGTGTCACATTAAAGATTTCACCAGAAACCATTGAGAACTCAGTGTACTCATTTGCAAAAATTTGTAGATCTTCTATTGACTTAACAGTTCGTGAATGTTACTCACAGGGTTGCCATGGTTACCAGCAGACCCAAAAGCAGTTCTTGATTCTGCTAACCTGTCAGCCCCCCCACCCTGCCCCCCATGTTCATCTACTGTCAATGGATGGCTTAGATGATACATTTGAAATTAACATCTAGTACCTCACCAGTATTTTACTTTTTCATACTTTTTCCTTTCACTCCAGGTGATGATCCTTCAGAAGCATTGCCAAAACATGACGATGATGCCGATGATTTGAATCCAGGTGATGACTGGACTTCTCTCTGCCACAATAAAGAGATGGATGTTGATGATGTCTCAGACAGTAGTGAAGACGAATTTATTGGTTCCATGACTTGCCATCAAACAAAAAAAAGAGGAGTGTTGTGCGGGCATGTTACTCTTCAGTCCACCTTAGCATTTTGTTATCTTGGCTTGCTGTGGATAGATGAACCAGTTTTTATCAGCGACTTGGTGAGGTAGGTGTGAAGGGTGATGTTCTCTTTTGTCTTTGAGTGTTTGCTGATCACAACTGATTTTAATCCAACTTCATTCTCACAACAAAGACTATGAGTAGTCCTTCCTTTCTGGCCAAATCGGTTGCAAGAGTTAAAAAAATTTGCAAAAACAAAATTGATGTTTGCACAGTGTGCCTCACTCCCAGAGTGTTAACATCAATTTTGTGTTTGCTGATTTTTTAATTTTTTTTTTTTAACTTGTTGCACAGATTTCACCAAAAAGGAGGGACTACTACTCATGTATTTAACATGAGACATGAATGCCTCTAGAAGTTTAAGTTGCATTGCTTTTAAATTAGGTAGGTTCATGTATTGAAAACTTAGATATAAACTTAAACATAAAACTTAAACATAAAACTTAAACTTAAACATGAGTTGTAGGGTGTCATTTTTGGTACTTGTGTTCTTGTGATTGCTGTAAGATTTGGAAATTTCTTTACGGTCATAATTTTTGAAAAAAAAATTTGCAAATTATTAAAACTTAAAAATATTTTCAAACCGACCAACTCAAATGGAGAAGGACTTTCAGTGTACATGTATTATTTACCAGATGGGCCAAACAAGGACAGTTTCCATACTTCCAGACAACAAGACACATCCCTGGGCACATGAAGTTTGGTTCTGGTGATTTTAGCTGTTTATGTCCAGTCATGTAAGTGAACTTCCAAGATCAGTTTCTTCACTTTCTTCTTTTTGATATTTTAGTTTTTGTAAGTTGTTAAACTGAGATGTGAACACTAAAAAAAATTACTTGTCTGATGGAAGAATGAAAACAAAGTCAGGCAATTTTTCAGGTGGTTGGGTCTTTCTTTCAAACTGTATTGGCTTTTCTTATGATATAAATCTTTCTCTCACTAGTTATTCAAAATTCATTTACCAGAGTTCCCCCAGTATCGTCCATTCTTCGACATGCGTCAAGGATTGCAAAGCTATTACAACTTCCGTGTTTTCCAGAACCTAAATTATCCACCTACACTGCACGTTTTATCACAGATCTGCATCTCCCAGGTGAGAAACAGCTGTAGGATAAATTTTCACTGCAACCAGACTCTATGATATTTCATAATCAACGCAAGAGGCTTAGCCGAAGGTAATTTGAAAAATTCCTTGTTCATTTTAAGACCAGCACGTGGGGGAGCGGAGAGCTCTCGCCTCCCATCCGGGGTTTTGAAAACGATATAAAATAATTACCAGCCAAAGAACAAAATCGACTGGTTAGGGTATTAGAAACTGCTTCTCTTATGTATAAATTTTGAGTTAAAAATATGGTCTCGGACCTCTCTCTGCTGCTCTTTTGTTTTCATTCAAGATGGATGTTTCAAAAGTTTTAAGAATTATACAATAAGACTATCAGCTTAAGAAGCAAAGTGGACCAGTTAGAGTGCTATAACCTGCTTCTCTATTTACAAAATTTTGATTTTGAAGTATGGCTTCGGGCCCGATAAGTTACCAAAACGTTCGAGAAGTGGGCCCCTAGCGTCACATGGGTTGAGTTTTTTGTGGCTTCTCGTCGTTGTCCCCCACAAAATCAACATTTCCAAATTCCAATTCGATCTGGAAACAGTGGACAACGTGAGCAAACTTGTGAAATGTCTATAGGTAAATTCCCTTTGTTCCCATTTGATTTGTAACCAGTAGAAAACTGAGCTCTCTGTATCGGCAATGGCGACAGCAATCTCTCAATGGAAAGATAGTACCGTTAAGGTAAAGCTATTATTTCTGTTAAGCACGCTGACTTAAGATACCTAGCCTGCTTCACAAGCATATTCTTTTTATATATGGCCCTCCCCTTCCCGAGCAGATGCGCAAGACGTGCGCGCGGTAAGCGTGATGGGGGAGCGTCACTCACCCTGAACTTCCCTGAAAAGCAAATAAAATTAAATACGCATGCCGCCGGCCAAAAAATTCCCAGCAGTTGTCTTATTTTCACAATTGGATTGACTATTATGGGATTGCGTTTTCATCAGTTACTAGATCGGGATCGCAAATTTTCGGGATTTTTTGGGTTAGAAAAATTCTGGTAAGGAGGGATTAAAAATGGGAAGATTTGCGGTTAAAAAGTTAACACAGTTGCCCAAAAGAGGCTAAGATGGGGTCTATCATTAGACGCAGTATAGATTATAATGCCGTGGGCTGAAACTACCCAGGAGTTGTCTTATTTTGTCAGTGTGTTTTATAACAGGTTTTCTTCATGGTGTAGTGCGCAAACTAGCAGAAAAGGTGAAAGTTAAAACCAAAATCCACCCAGCTCTCCAGACCTCCATTCCAAATCTTGAAGCTGGTGCTATGGCTTTCATTGTTGTTGCCTTGAAACTCTGCTACGGAATTGACGACAAAACAGAAAAGTAAGTACAAGTAAAACTAAATAATTTGTAAACAAAATATATAAAAACGAACAAAGAAAAACAAAAAACAAAGATTGAAGCTTCAAGGTAGGCATGCATAGAGTTAACTTATTGAGGATCAAATTAGTAATTCTAATTTTTAGTTTGACGACTGTAGCTGGCAATCGGCAAATTGAAATCCATGTGGTTAATTTGGTCACAGCTGCTAAATAAAAAATATGTGAAATGAAACAACAGTTGGGAAAAGGAAAACTCGAGACTTTAGTAGCACAACGCTTAATTGATGGCGAGTATCCTGTTGAATTACCATTTTTGTTATGCTTCATAAGAACAAAAAAAAGTAACACGCTTTTAATTCACCGTGGCATACCGACTTGTGCAGTTGTTTAACACTTACAATTTGATTCTGACAGCCTGTACTATTACAAATTTTTTACATGCTCAGACGTTTGAATGCTGTGTGGAATGTGATTATTTCAGGCCTTATCTGATCCTTTGACCTATAAGAGTGACTAACATCTAATTTCCCCTTACCATATCACTGGTGAATCAAACATTAGGGTCGCAAGAATTAAAGAAATGATCACAAAGTTGATTGTTAAATAAACTCTCCTTGTCAGTACCTTAGGAAATGTATAGAGAACAGTATGGAGAAGATATTGATATTGACTGACTGATATTGGGGTGTAAAGGGTCAATATACTTTGTAAATCCTGACTCGTAGGGACCAGGAAGAAAAAGCCACATCCATGGAATCAAGCTTAAATGAAGGAACTTGTCACACAATCCCCCTGTTCACTGATTGGCTGAAAAGCTGGAAGCATTGCGAAGCCAAGAAATTTCATAATGGTATTCCTTGGACAGATGAACAGTTTAAACTTGTTGGTGACCCTACGTCATACAGCGCGTTCTGTAAATCGGACATTTGTGGTTCGTGGGAGCCAGCCGACCGCGTTTATACCGGAAGTCAACAGAAAAATTTGCGTGCGAACCGAATCACGAACGAAGAGAGCCAGAGCAGGTATGCACAACTGTTCAAGAGCTTAATGACACGACAACGGGACGAGGATTTCGATAGTACGGACACGCCCCAGGTTACAAGTTTTCCCGCCACGTGCAGACATGTGGACGACTCTGAAAGTGGCACTGGAAGTTGTTTCGACAAAATGCGTTCGCGTGGAATCAACGTGGAATTTGTACATGGGAGTGGTTCAGTTGAGGGTAATGATTTGAAGTACATTTGTTACTCAGCAGACCATGCTGATCAGGACACTTATTTTCATAGTTCGTACAGAGAACTGTTGGGTGTTTTGGCAGACCGCATAGAAATGAGGCCTGCAGATGTGCAAACTAAAGTCCGCAAACTAGAAAAGGCTTTGTTTTTTAAACAAAGTCTTATTAATGGAGTGTTGTGATCGACTCAAACTGTGGCAGCGTTTAATCAACAGAAGAGTACTTATCATTCAGTAACTCTGTTCTTTCCAAAGCAGGGAGACTTCTTCTTAGGGAGGTTGGCACTTGTTTTTCCATGTTTTACTCTACTAATATTCTTCTTGAGCTATTTATCTATTGGTTTATCTATTGATGTAAGTCTCATCTGGTAAATTCTTCTCGCGAACCTTTCGGAAATTTCAAAATTTGAGACGAGTGACTCTCTTTTTTGCCTTAAATGATATTCTTAGGATAAGAAATGTATTATGTGAAGATGTTTCTATTTTTTTCCTTTTCTTCTTTCTGTCTTTGTTCAGAAATCTCGAGCCACCCTCCTAATCAATCAGATGCAAAGTCAAGATAAAAAAAACGACTTGCGTTTTTCGGCGCCAACACTCCTTTATTTTGACTGGTCATCGAGATAACTTTACTGGTTTTTCGAGTTAGGACACTTAAGCCCAACGCCTGCGGAAGCAGTTTGACAAATCTGATAAAGTCAGAAATATCACCCCGCTCCAAACAAATCGTTGTCTGATACGTAGCTGCTTCGTGAACATTGTCACTTAAATACCATGAGAACAAAGACCTTTTTTTTTATTTTCATGAAAAGAAAAAGATGCAAAATACTTTATGTCGGTAAACTTGACTAATAAACAGTGAATACAAGAGGGCGATGGCTAGTCATAATTATATCATTCTGTAGCGAGAACTTCACCAGAAAGAGCATAAATATCTTTAAACATCCCTCATAAAATCTCTACATTTAACCTCTTTTTACAGAGTGTATGTTTACAAACTTGTGACCAGAGGTCTGATGTGGCCTTCAAGTACAACTGTCCTGTTATGTCCTCAGACCGAGTAGGGTCAACAAAGCGTAATATTAAAACGGGCATCTGCAGACTGGGGGTAAATAGTGATGTCCATCCTCAATGAAGGGGGGGGGGGGGGGGGGTTTGAGGTTGGGGGGAATATAACAGTGGCCAGTGCTTCTCTGTCAGTCTCCGGCACTGTCGTCTTGCGTAGGTTTTCTGTCCGCACTCCAAAGGCTTGGACTTCCACTCATAGGGCTGTTACCAAAGTCTCCGTCGTCGCCGACACCATTGCTGGCATCATACTGAGTGTTCTCCAGTCTGAAAGTGGAAATCAAAGATATCACTGATACGATTGGTCACGACGGATGCTCTAAATAGTACTCGTGTAAATTTAGCAATGACTAAGATGAACTTACGAAAGAAAAGAAAAAAAAAACTTTTCCCTTTCATTCGCGAGAAGGGAAATATTCCAACACTTGATCTCCAGTATCTCAATAAAAAATTTTCAATTTGCGTCTTACATCCCTCTCCCGGCCTCTCCCACAACACTTAGGGGTAAATTGTTGATGAAACCGCTTTGTGCAATGCTCATCTCAACATTTAGAAAACTTGTCTCATGTGAATCTATTAAACAACGCCGTTGGATCTCGACAAATGTTTGTCATAATATTTCATTTAAGCGAAATCTAAGATCATAATTTTCGAGTGTTACTTCGATTTTTAATCTGCAATTTTTATCAAACAATAACAGAGATACCACGGGCTTTCTGATTGGTCGATACACGTGTTTAGACTAGGGTATGTAAACGCGGATGTGACGTTCTCGATTATCACATATATTTTGAGAAACATCGTTTGAAAGCAAAATAACTCTTCTCTGTGGTTATGTAACCATCGCAAAGTTGGAAGAACTCTCGAAAGTAAGGAAAGCCCGAAACGCGGATAAGCATAACTGTCTCGCATTCTTCCAGCTCCCTTCGTGACAGACGAAGTTTTGCACACAAAGAAAAAGTCTTCTATCGCTTTAAATACAGTGCAAGGTCAGAGTTGTCGTTCGGTTCACCCTCCCTCTTCAATTTCCCTCTGACAAAATAACACAATTTTAAAATAAAACGGCTCGTGAATATCGACCTTACAGTACGTAAATCAACGGGAGGAAACAGTTAAAACGCATTCACCAAATGATCCCCTATTTACATTTATCGTAATTGGACAAATTCTGCGAGGTGTTAAGTCTTTGGATCATCAGCTCATTATCTATTTGTCAGAGGTAAATTAATGCGAGAGGGAGGATAAACACTCACCGAGGGCCTAATGTCAAGGAAACTGCTCTCACCATCATCACAACCCAATCTGAAGTGAAGAAGAACCGTTACTGGATATTCACACCCCACATTTTAATCTTCTGTCCCCTGGAAGCGACTAACATCTAAATTCTCCTCACAATATCACCCCTGAATCACCCATAAGAGTAACAAGAATATAGGAAATGATCACCAACTAAAAAAAGCTCTTGACTGTTAAACAAATTCTCCTTGTCAGGACCTTAGGAATTTATAGAGAGCAGTATGGAGAATATACATACTGATGTTAGAGTGCAAAGGGTTAAGAATAATCTACATGAACTATCTGTGCTTATTGCAGGTAATTTAGTGTTAACAACTGGGTTGATCAGGGGTTTGAGTACGGAACGACTCAAACACACAACCCACAATTCCTCTAATCGCTCTGACGAAGGGCTAACGCTCGAAACGTCAGCTTTTTTACCCTTTACGGTGGCTAATTTACGTTTTCAACCCAGTTGTTAACACTAAATTACCTGCTATACTCTCCCACCGACGCAGCACCACAGTTTCTTTAGAAACTTACCCCTTTATTTATCTGTGCTTATTACCTACGGTAACATTTCAAATAACATTATAGAGGTTCAAATAAGGGAATAAACTACTATTAAAAAGAAGCCTACGAAAATCAAGGCTTCGACTAGATTTAAGTACCTGGCTCCCACACATTAATTCGAATCTCGTCGAAGCCTGCTAGTTTTTTTTAGCAGTAGTGCAAGGTCTCATTGGAACTTCTACGTTTTCCTCAACAGCCGCATTAACACTAGCTGGTTTCCTTTTCAACTTTTCCTTTAATGTTGCTCGACAGTAAAACGAAAACGCAACATTTTATCCTTAGTAGACACCGACGTGGGCTTTTGAACAAGAAGTCGTGTCCTGGGAAAAGAGTGTTCTTTACGTCGAAGGCGAGTGGCTAGGTTGCTGAGCAAGAATCAAAATGGCGGCCTCCATAATCGAATTTTAAGCACACTTGAAGTCAATTCTTGAAACCTTAAAACGCGATCAGTTTTTTTGAAATTTATAATACTTTCGATAGCGCAGGTAAAACTTACTGGGTTCTGAAGTACACTACACCCATAACTTAACTTCGGGTTTAGCAAATTTTCTTTATCAAATACTACTGACACGTTTTCTTCGCTAATGAATAAAACAAAAGTTCCCTTGACATCTGCACCACTTGTTACGAGAAACTAACTCGTGTGAGCACGGCTTAACCTCTTTTTATCAATGACAGAACAACATTTCACCTTGTAATGAGCCGCTCATCTTCGTCTCCGAATTCGCCGCCCATCAGAGAAGGTTCGCCGACAACCATTACATCCTGGGTCGCCAGAGTAAACCCGGACGCACTTGGCGACTTCTTTTTGCTGGAAGTGCTGTTCATCCCAGTATTAGGGGTCGATGAGTTTGTATTTGTAGGTTTCCGTTTCCGCCTTGTCCTCGTAGCACGAGGCGTTTCTGCTGGTGGGAAACAAGAAACTTAATTCATTAATTTCAGGAATTGTAGGAGAGAAGTAAGAAAGAAACCAAACTCACAAAGGGAACCCTCGGTTTAGAGTGAGTTAATGAAGATAACAATTTAAACTGCTGCCTTACTAGCTTGCTTGCGGGTAAGATGTCTCCCATCTTCACCGTCACCCTATAGTTACCATTATCACTTAATCCACTAGCAAAAATAGAATTTATTGAATTCTCAGGTTTTTGTTTTACTTAAGCTCAGGAAAAATGTCTGCCAACATTCTTTATTCGATGAGGGTCTAAGCTCAAAATTTTTACTCTATCTTCGCTCGGGACGCTTTTGACACTGCCGACTCTGGCAGTATGAAAGACGCGCGTCCCATTTCAAATGACCTGACGCACCACAGAATTCTCTGTGGCTTAATGATACAACATCTGACCATAAAGTGGGGAGTGGCTGGGGTTATATCCTCATGTCTTCCTCTTTTTAGGACGTAGTGCGAGGCCTAACTCCGTGGAAATAAATTTTACAGGATAAAGGATATCTCTACTAAAATCTCTGAATTGGAAATGGAAAAGTCCACGGTGAAAATCCTCACCAGGTACTTAGACTTCAATTTTTTTTGGTCCAACGCTCGCGACTAACTTGTAAAAAATATTTCCTATTAAGACATGGTGAAGAGACCTCAGGAAAATTGGTAGACTTGAATGTTGATAGCAATTCTCTGGAAATATGTGTTGCATATGCGGATTAGGGGATTTTTATTTTGTTTTTGCAATAAAGTTGGAAAAACTAAATTATTTACAATATTTCTAACTTAAACGCCTGCTTAGTACGGAAAATTCTTCAACAGCGAAACGTTTTCAGCGAAACAATGATTGCACTGTTGCAAAATATAGCAGACTTTTTTTGCAACAGCCTTGTATTAATTGAAAAGGTCAATTCTGGGAAATTGGTAACACTAGGATAAGATGCTTTAAAAACATCAACCAGGGCACAGAAGAGCCCAAATCTGCTTTACAATTGTGCAGTTGGGTTTCTGAAAAACAGAAGACACTTGAATGTTGTCTGCAATGTCTACTAAAAATACACAGTGCAGCTGCAGTTTGGATCCCTGTTTTAAGTATTTCATGCTCTCTCTAAGATTTCAAACAGTGTTTGACCACAAGATTTGACTCCTTAAGACTGATTCATTTTTAAAACAGAATTAAACTGCAAAATTCCCCAGACAAAAGGCCTTAAGATGATCGTAGTCAAGTATCAAGCTGGTTTTCCTGTGGAAAAAACGTTGGCTACCCTATGTTGACCAAGCCAGTCTACCTATGATCAAACACTGTTTAAGATTGGAACTGAGGCTAACCTTTTTTGGAAGCAGGCTGCCCAGTCAAGGTTCTCTCAAGAAGTTTAGGAAAAGGGGATCCTTTGGGGTAAAACAGGTATATATAAGATGTGTGCTCTTCTAATTTAGGATCATCATCCAGCAGCCATTTTTGACTTACATGCATTGGATAGGTTAAAAAAATGGCTCCTTGTTAAAATACAGTCCTAGCTGCCATGAAACAGTCTTTCAACCAGGGTGGCCATGTTTAGGGGCTGAAAGTACTGGCTTCTCAGCTGAGTACTTATTTACATGACTTTACACTGCCGCAATAAAGGCCCTGAATGACAGGTCTTATGAGCATTCTTGTCTGAATCTCATCAACTGCTTGAGCAATTAATGAACATGCACAAACTTTACATCACCAATGGCCATTGGGGACATTTTTGTCATGGCTCAAAAGAAACTGATCTTGGGCATATGGGTTCTGACTATCAGGGCTTTGGACTCTTCAATGTAAATTTAAAAGTAAACTGGCCAAAAAAGAAAATTTAAAAAAAAAAATCAATATTCTCAACCACCACTTTGGCCAAATGCCAAAAAATTAGTTACTTTGGAAATCTTGCAAAATTTTCTGAGTAGCCCTGATAGTGAGTTTACAAAAACCTTACAAGGATAACCTTATCGAATGATGAAAGGAATTCTGCTAAACACAAGCAACCAATACAAACATGTTATGTTTAAAACTAAAAAGGAAATCAATAAAATCAAAGGAAAATAATACTAAGTTAGCAAAACCTACAGAGTGAAACCAAATTAGGCAAAACAGGACCTTACCTGGTGTAGTTGGGGTATTCGGCTGCCACATCATTTCATTGCCTTGGTTATAATCTGTGGTAAGATTTGCAAAGATATGTATGTCAGGATCAATCAGTTAGCTCAGCTTGTGCAAAATGGTAATCATTTTGCAAATTATTTCCTTTAATCCCTTGCTTGTTCTGCATTTGGACTGCACACATCATTTCATTGCCTTGTTTAATTTGTCATAGATTATAATTTTTTCAGGGTTGTCAAAGATATGTATGTCAGGATCAATCAGTTAGCTCAGCTTGAGCAATTCTGCTCAGTGTGTCATAAATTCAGTCTCTGTTACCAACAGTAGTCCTCTTCAGAACTAACTAAACCTGGGCAATCACAATTTATTTAAATACATTCTAAATTAAATTAGAAACCATAGAGCAAAGTTACCAAAAATTTGAAATAAAATGCTATGCCAAATTCTAAAAAGAAATCAGTTCAAATTCTGAAAAAACAAAAAAGCAGAATAATATAATTTGCTCAATACCTGGAGGGGCACACATTCTTTGCCATCTCTGGAAAAGAGTGGATTTCAAACAATCTGCAGACACAAAAAATCATTTTTGTCTAAAGTTTGAACATTTGAAGTTTTATTTCATATTATGCATGTTGCATAGATAATCAAAGATAAATAAGTAACATTATACGAAAAGTCTTGGCAAACGACAGAAACAAATGATGTCTTTTCGGATTGGCAATGATCTGTTCCTTTAAGAATACTTGAAATCTTATTGGATGCCTAATCAATATCTCTTGAGCCACTTCAGATGAGCTTCGCAAACTCCTATTTTAATATGAAGATCTTTACATAATTTTTCAATCCTTCATTAAGATCTGTAAAAAATGATGGGAAAAAGTCTCTTTACAGCTTAGAACTAAATACAGGTTCAAATCATGAGACTTGCAGTAGCTCACCTCTGGGGTTCATGTTGTAGGTTTTGTGACGAGACATGAGCTCTTGCATTGGTTCCAGAATGACGCAAAGCTGTAAGAAATTCAACAGGTTTGTTTTTAGAAAGAATTATAATGGGAAAGCCAGAAGGATAACATTACACAGGCAACAAATTATCAGCACCGACTGGTTTGTATAGCAGATTTTAGGGAATATTCCTTTATCACATTTATATAGCCATGGGTGTGTTGCATCACTCATACATCGGTTTGCTGCCTGAGCAAAGCTCTCATCACAAAAAAATTTAAACAAAAAAGGTTGGAAAAAAGTTTTATGAAGAAAGAGTTGTACATTATTTTATATACCAGGACCAAAGTATTTTGAGAAGAAGAACCAGTTATTAAAAAACATCAAAAGGTCATGTTAAAATTCACATTTCAGCATTCAGTGAATGTTTCTGGGTGTGCTGTGAGGGAACCCATAAAGAGACCACAATGACCTGAGTTCAGAAATGACATTCCCTTATGACTTGACCTGAACTTCTCCAAAATAAATTTCCCCATTCTTACCCTTAGATAATTCAGGGTGACATTTGTCATTCCTTGTCTTGTAATATTCTTGGACAACTGATCCAAAAAGTTCGGATCTTGAGCCCCAACAATGACATTCCGTGGGATCATTTCAGTGTAATGCCGAATGGCAAAATGCCAGTTTCTTATCCTCATCAGTTCATCCATTGTGAACTCCAGTAACAAACGGCCTTCTGTACAAACCTGTGACATGACAAGAACATACATGTATGAGGTGTTTGTCAAAAAAGGTCTTTCATTACTTAACATAAATAGATCAAAATTCCAGTCTAATATATCAGGAGGATCAGGGGTGGATCAAGGGAGGGAGGTTTACTTCTCAAACAATCTCCATCCACCCCCCCCCCCCCTGCAATTAGACATTAGACAAATCTAATCAAAAATATCAATATTCCATCAGAAGTCTGGTGGGGAAAGGGGATATGGACCCTTCAACCCTCCCTCTAAGAGTCAATGGGACCATCCTGTTTGTCTACTGGAGGGCAAATACATATTGTATATCACAATCTTTCAACCAATGCAAAATATAGATAAGTACAGCTATGGCTGAAAATTATTGTGTCACTACTGTTAATAGGGTCTCATGAATCAATTTGACTAATCACCTCACAGGGAAAGAACAATGATTTCAAACTAAATTAAATCATGTCAATAAGTGCTTAGGATGGAAGGAATATAAGATGGCTGAGAAGCGTTTCAGCTAATTTGGTTGGTCACTTCTGTGTTTACACTAAAACTGTAAAATTTGGTTTAAAAGTTTCATTTTCCCTGAAGTCACTGCAGCCAAACAAATGTGAACTGAATCTTAACCCAGCAGAGATAGACATGCAACTCCTCCCTGCAACATCCATACTTTGGTAGGCAAAGAGATAATGAGAATACTCAAACCAATCCAGTAAAAGTTGTAATCTTGATCTAACACCCAATTCTTGTAACCAATTTACAAGGAAATGTGTAACAACTAGAGAGGAGAATTAACATCCAGATCTTTGAAGTTGAAGGGTTAACATGTAAGATGCTGTACCCTGTCACACAAAGGTCACTAAAATTAAGAATTGTTGTCACTATTGAATTGAAAGTTTAATTTTGTATCTGTTGTACCACGTCTTATCTTACTACAAGGAAAGCTTCTCCATGTGACAAATTTTCGATTTTTAATCCTCAATTTGGACAAGGTTATGAAGTGTTTATGTTTACCTAATCAAAACTTATGACCACCCAACAAGGAGCAGACCACCTGTGATACAAACCTTGGTGAAGACTGGCATTTTATGATGTGTAATCATCGTTGTATTTTCACAGTCTAATGTTATTGTACTAGTGTTGTTGTGGTAGGACTCTTTTGGCTGCACCACATGATAATACAGTTCTTTGACTCCCCCTTCAAATATACTTCGGAAATATCTTGGAATCAAGTTCCGTCCAATAGCTAAAAGAATTTAAAAAAAAAAAAAGGGAAAAAAACATTAAAAGTGTGAGACTAAAGAGCAATGCACTGTCCCTGTAAATATTTCTATCACACTCACATATAAAATTGTATATTGTTCCAAATGCCTTAAGAAATTTCATCCTAAGTTCCATAAATTTTAAGTTTCTTAAATTCCTAAATCTCTCCACAGGGTTTAGACATTCCAGAGAACCATACAAGGAGTCTTTTTTTAATTCAAATTTTGCTAAATATGTGTTTATTAAAAAAAACATGATGCCAAATGTGGCCTCCAAGAAAATCCCAAACATGCTTATGCTGGTGAAAAGAGGCTAACACAGCCCTACAGTTCTCTCTATTCACCCAAAGTTTTGTTTCTCCTATTTAACAATAATTTGCTTTAACAGATAAATAGACCAATCAGAAAAAGGACAATATATATGGCACTATTCTCATCAATATTTAGGAAGTTACAGACTGTGACATATTTTCCCAACATTTTCTACCAGATTCTGAAATTCAAGTCTTGCAAATCTAGTTATATCCAAGTAAAGGGGTAAAAAAGTTAACAAAAAGTTAACAAAAATGACTAAAAAATATGAATAAAGGTGTGGTCATTAAGGATTTAAAGAGGCTCTAAGTGAGACATACAATATCTTTTTGGCCCATCTTCCAAGCAAAAGCTTAATGTCAGGGTAGCGTCATCATCAAAAAATTCTGATGCAAATGCATCCCACCAAACATTATCAGCATCCTGAAATAAAAAGAGATTAGCAGACATTAACCTTTAACACCCTAACATCGTTATGAATATTCTCCACACTGTTCTTGATACATTTCTTTTCAAACATTATAAATCTTTTTTCATAAATGCCTCTCCTTGCAAGTTTTCATGGAGTACAAGATGTTACCACTTTAAGTAATAGGAAATGATATATTCTGTCAATGGAATTCTTCAATCTGTGATATAAATTTTTGTGGTAACTTTTCGGTTTACCTGACCCAAATATATATGGACCACTCCTTACACTTGTGTTTTCAAAACAAGGTGGATTAAGTTTCACTCTAAGAAATTGAATTGTATAGTTAAGTGAAAGGTTGGTATGTAAAATTTCCTAGTATTAAACATGTTCAGAAGCTTAGCTATTACAGATGATACTTTATATATTCATTTAGACTGTCTTGTGGTGAAACTTCTCTTTGGTATGTATTTTGGCTGTAAATAATGGGCTTGGTTGCATTATCAATGAAGTAGGGAAGAAAAACTTAAACAGGAAGAGCTTCTCATATTTCTCTAAAAGGATCAGTAACAGCAGTTTGACAAGTGACATGATAACAATGGGCTAAACTACCGACAGAATATTTCAGCAATTGTTAAGTATACTAAGTAGGCATTAATAATGTTTTGAAGATCATTAATAAATTCATTTTGGAATGGACATATCGTTATCTGACTGTATGCCTAATAAAATTCATTTTAACGGACTGTAAAGGTTAGGAAAGCTATGATACAACTCCTCTGCAACCTCCTTGCTTTCCTTTTATTTCACAAATCAAAAACCTCACGATCAATATTACTTTATCTCTTTACTGGGTACAAAGAGCAAAACATATTGTATTTTGGCATCACTTGAATACTACAATAAATAATGGAGAGCTATCGTAGGCCTTTGTTAGCAAGCCAGTTCCCTTTCGAGTGTAAATCTTCGGCAGTTTCACCCTGTAAAATTAAACTCGAGTGAAATCTGTCCATATGACCCCACAGACAGTACCAACGATCGTTTCCTAAGTTCGTGACGACCCTCGCGGTGAAAAACATATCTGCTTTTGCCTTTCACGGTACAGTAACAAATGCTAGCAACCCTTGACATCGCCTTACCTCTATCCGGTGCTGTAAGCGACGATTGAGCTCATAGATTCTCACATCTGGATGGGTGTAATACGGAGTATGACGCCTGAAGTGAGAAGGAAAGATTGGTAAACGATCGATTAACTTTTTGCGCCGTGTCGTTTCGATCCTATTATACAAACTCAATAAGCGGCAAACACGCAAAGAGAACGAGTTGCAAAACTGCAAAGCACCCCGTCTGAAATCAGGCTATGTCTATTACGCTTGCATGCATCGATGATCACGACGGAAGCAAGAAAAATGCGTCGATCCAAAGCGGGTTTGCCGCAGCGTACCGTAAAATAAAAAATTATAAAGATTATGCTGTATAATTTACCCCGTTGAATAGCTTGGGCTTGGAAGCGGGACACTGGGCATCCTCCAGTTCCAAGAATCGGCCGTTTTCGAAGCGTTCGAAGCCTCCCCGAAGCTTCGATCAGAAGTTCGAGCGTCTGTTTGAGTGTTTGATGTCCAGCAGGAAGCTGTGCGAAGACTTGGTTGAGCTGAATAAAGTTCGAACAAAGAAAGCGAGAGTCATTACAATAACAAAGGGTCACTGAGCCCGATCGAATTGCACAAATGTACGCTTCACTTCATGTGATCGTTTTAAGCTTATAACTACATTTGTGCCTTAACAAACTTTACTCAGATTAACCTTTATAAAAGTTAATTCAGGCGCAATCTTTTGCAGAGAAAAAAGGATCGATAAGTTTTTCTGACCCACTGCTAGTCACCGAACAAAAATCATGCGTTCCTTTCACCAACTTTCATTCAGGTAAATATTCAAGGCTAAATATAGTCAGTTTTAGCTTGGTATATACAAAGGGTAACGCAACTAAAGCTGGCGCTTGGTTCCTCGATCTTGCCTCTATCTAATTCCGGATATCGTGGGTGATTTAACAGGATATAGATCACATAACACGTAAAGTGAGTCGCAATTTCACATGGCCACTTAATCCTCCGGTTGGTTGTTTTTGTGAATGACCATCGCCAGTTGACAAATGTATGATTTGAAGCTTTCACAGTATCAACAAGTGTGGCATACAACTCCGAGCAGTAAGAGCCACCGTTAACTTACCCGCTTCTGGTTTAACTGGACGCTGTCCAAGCTCTTCACTCGTTAAATAACATGTCTTATAACGTCCAACGTACATCCATTTGTTTATGGTATAAGTTTGGTTCCCTCATTTAAGAAGGACAAAACAAAATGTCTGCTCTATTGCGAGGGTCGCTCAGCGCGGTGCTGAAACAAGCACCAATGTTTGCTGAACTCTGATTGGACAGGTCTCAGCCAATGAAAGGTGAGTTAGACATTTGCCGCGAAACAAAAGTCAAGTTCACAGAACAGGTGGTAATGTTGTTGTCAAGTTAGAGACTTACTTTCTGACGGTTTTCAAACCTCAAATATTTCGTTCAAAAACCTCTAACTTGAGGAAAAGAATTGATAATTCAAAATACAAAAATTTCAGTTCAACAATTTCAGGTTGTAACTTTTTTTTGTCCCTGACAAAAGCAGCAACATGAACGACAAAAAAAATTACAAGGATCTAAACCGGTGAGAGATTCATCGAGTCTCTACATCCTAGATCAATACGAATAGGAAGTTCTTTTGAACTACATCAAAGCCAAATCAGTCTCGCATTCTACGCAAAAAAAAAGGAAAGAAAATTATTTCGCTATTTCCTAGCCATTTTCGTTCTTAAGCTTGTCATTTATAAAATAGCTGAGACACGGCAACAGTGTTTATTTAAGTTCAACCACTTTAATGTAACGTCACTTCGTTCATTTATGTGTGTGAGGGCGTAGGCTATGATTTGCCATTAAAGGAGTCCTTCATTAGCTTCCTATTTGCATTAAAGCTAATGCAAGGTTGTCTCCTATTAAGATAATTGCATCAAAATCATCGTTATTCCTGTCGAAAAGAAGGTTCAAATACACATGCACTCTGGGACCACACCTTAGTTTCACAGTGATAATTGCATAAGTATGTCACGGGTTGTTGACAAAGTTAAAATTTACATTAAGTTTAATACAAACCCTGCAGATTAGTTCTCTATCTGCACGAAAGCAAAAAATTTTTATAACTCATCGAATATTTCCCTCGAATAAACGAACACTAATTTATAACTAAATTTAAGTATTAACGATAGTTGTGCAAGATGAGTCGCCATCATAGCAACTCTCTGATACTGAAATTGAAGTGACTCATAGACAGATCTACCATTATTGATAAATATCATTAGAATTAATATCTTATAAATAGCTCGGCTGATGGTTACAAATCACTTCTCAATAACTATCTAAATCAAAGTGTACCTACGATTTAATAATTTTTCCAGTTATTTTTTTAAAGTACACTGTATGTGACTGGTACTTTTACTTCAAACCGATAATTTGCAGGTCATTTAGAATAAAGATGTAACAAAAAAAAACCGAATCTTCTCTAATCAACAACTGAAACGGATTTATTTTGAACTGCTGGCGTTCTACTTAGGTAACTTCAGCATCGAAGAAATAGCTCATTATTTATCTGGAAAAATAACCAACGAAGAAATTTTATGATCTTATTTTCTAACACTGGCAAAACCCACGGCATCTTCATATGTCGCCATGAGAAGACTTCCGGTGTTCGTTAATTTTTGTACTAACCTAGAATGTACCTTGGCGTCGTTCAAAGTTCGCTCTGTGGATTATGAATATTTGAACTTAAATCGTGTCTATGATTTGAACAAAGAGTTTTTTTGTCGCTGAAATACGTCAGGTAATTGCACCTTGAAAAACACTTATGACGACGGATTTTCACAAGCTAATTATCCTAATCATACTGGTTAATCAAGGTTCACTACTCTCCTGTAACACTCGTCGTCGACCCTCAAGCAGCGAAAATGATGCTGATGAAAATCTCTGGAAAACTGACTTATTCAAATCGTAAATGAGACCTGTTTAACCCTAAATTAGCTTAATTTTACTACTTTGTTCTTGAATTTTCTTTCAAAAAGCGGGCCCTGAATCGTAAAACTCAGTTCACGTGGTCGATAAGTGTGCTCAATTCAACAGAGAGGAAAGCAGAATTTGTCGGTACAACTGACGAAAGGTTAATCTGTATAATTGCAAAATTTTTAAAATTACTACAACTCTTGATGGATCAAATTGATTCGCTCGAGTACTATATTTACAACGTCATGAAGAGGATTTTGAGACGAAACTGCGTCAGTTGTAAGTACAGTAATCTATTGGCGATTAATCAGCTATTTACAAGTAAAACTGCCACCGCAAGAGACAAACTCCTTCCAAAAGCACTATATCAAAACCCAGTTTATGTATGTGATCTGCCCTATTTACAGAAAAAAAAGAACAGAATTTGCTGTCTTTTTCCAGCCAAAACGGCTGCAAATTTGAACAACGGCAATGGAGTCTAACTTACTTGTAAATAACAAAAAGGTTAATCTCGATAATCATATCATTTTTAAAGAACTAAAACCCTTGATATGTAACAAGATAAAATTTATTTTAAACTGTTAAGCTGGTTACTGCACCGATATTTATAGCGTTATGTCATGTTATGTAGAGGATTTTCAAGCTGCAAATAGCGCTGTTGCTACGGCTAATTAAATATGTATCTAAGAGTATTAAATGGAAACAATACAATGCAAAACAACAAAATGAGGCCCAGTAAAAGTCAGAAAGGAAAAAAAGACAAAGTTAGGTTTTACCAACGTCTCTTTGAAAGGGTTTTGCCAAGAGCAGCCCGCGGCCTGCGGCTCATTTCATTGCTACTTTTCATGGTCAGCGGACAACATATACATACCAAAATTGTGAACTCTGAAGACGAATAATGGCAAGTCTTTGTGCTCGTGCTTTTTTATATTTTCAACCATTTGCAAGCTTTGCTACATCTCCTTTCATTTTGCATGGGGAAAATGTTTAGTCTTTGAACGTTTTTTAATCACAGAACCTGCCGGCTAAACAGACATTCATTCTCAAAGTTCTCAGATTTCATCTTTATCATTTTATTGCCACGAGCTACAAGAGCGTGACATATTGGAGCACCCATTGGAGAGGTGGCAGTAAAGTGAGTCGCCAGGCCTTGGACCTTAAGAATACCGCGGGCCGCTGACCCGCTGGGCCGTGGAGTTGCGGGCTTACCTTTGGCAAAACCACTTTCGATACGCACCCACGAAGTAATCGTTATGGGAAATTTTCGACGTTATGGTAACCGGGAATAAATTATGGAAATTTCTAGTTTTTGGAGAACATTATTATCTCTGCTAAGTCATATCCAGCCACACCAAAGGAGTCTCCTGACAAGTCTGTGAATCTTGCTCCACACAGCTGGGTATCTCCAATGACTTGTTGAAATACCATCTCCATCTGAAAGAAAAAAATTTCGGCAATAGAATCAAATGTTGAGTGTGTTAAAGCGAAATTTCCAATGAGTGCCGAAAGGCATCCTGGATTGCTTTGGTTTGCTGTTTTACGCTCTGTGATTGGTCGAGAAACCTCTTGCCACCGATCAACCTAATCAGATGTAAAGTTTGACTAGAACCAAAGTACTTGGTCTTTCAGCTTGCGAGCTGGCCGTCGTCAATTTTAGCGCTTCAGTACTAGCGTTTCTTCGCCAGCGAGCGTATTTCAGCACTTGAGAAACGCGAGTCATCTAGAGGTCTGCGAATGGTCTGACACTCTTTAGTGCCAGACCATTTAAATGTTCTCGCAGGCTGAAAAACGCTCGTTCTGCCGCGATGGGGGCCTGTTTGTAGGCTATCAGTCATTCAGGGTAATTTGGTATTATTAAGCGAGTTGTTGACGGAAATTGGCCACCGTAAAGAGTTTCAAAGCTAAAGGTTCGAGCGTTAGCCCTTCGTCAGGGCGATTGGCCAGTTCTATCAAAACGTTAGCTTTTAAACTCTTTACGGAGGCCAATTTACGTTATCGACTCAGTCGATAATATTAAATTATCCAGTTATACTCTCCCACCGACGTAGCACCACAGTTTCTTTAGAAACTTACACCCTTTTATCAGGTTTTCCTGTGCTTGGAGTTTAGTTATACTCTCCCAACGACGCAGCACCACAGTTTGTTTAGAAACTTACCCCCTTTTATCAGGTTTTCCTGTGCTTGGAGTTCAGAGTCGCAAATCCAAAGTATCACAATGTCCAATCACAACGAAGGATCTTCATGGGCGATTAGCCAATCACAAAAATTACAGCAAAAAGTAATCCTTGCTGAAAAACCTACCGTTGGACTGCTATCAGCAGAAAGCTTCCATACTCTGACACTAGAGTCTTCTGAAACTGTGACAAGCTGTGGACAGTAACAACATTACGTTATTTACATGTAATTATATATAAACAATAAAAGACAAACAATCCAAACAGTGGTGGTTACAACGCTTATGATAGGTGTTTCAAATCTTTCTTCATACAGACAACTAGGCTAGAAATCTCGATCATCTTTTTTACTCGATTTTTCAAAAATGACACCATAAACACTGCTGTTCCTAGGAGCACAGAGGATGCTGGGGCTCGTTTCTTGAGAGACTTATCGAGTTCACGGGCCCGAAAAGCGGGTTTTTTGTCTATCGTGTTTCAATCAAGATCGAGATTTTGACAAATTTGAAATTCAAGCAATAAAGATGTCAGGAAATGAAAAAGGATGGACCAGTGTTTGACCAAAGACTCGCGTAATCATTCCTTAAATTTAGAAATATATAACTTCGGGCCAGTAAAATTACCGGGACTTTCGAGAAAAGGGCCCCAGCATGAATGTCCAAAATGGCCTACTTTCTTTGTTACTCCGCTGGTAGATAGCACTATTGGGAAATCAGAGGAAGTTGGAGTATATCAGTATCTGGGCAACTACCCACCTACCCCTCCCCTAACCCAACATTAACCCTAAATTGTTATCAATTGACTATTGTTGAGTTAGGGGAGGGGTAGGTGGGCAGTTGCCCAGATACTGATATTGATCCGAATCCTTACATGAGCCTCACATAGCTTGCGAGCAGATCCTCATTATAAGCGTTTCTACGTTCGCAGGAAAGTCTGAGGACTTCAGCAATTTAAGGCGGTGGGATTTCTGCCAGGGGTTTAGCACTGATAATTATTAGTGCCAGACCCCCAGCAAATCCCTACACGACTCGTCTCAAGTCTTCCTGTGAGTGGAGAAAAGTGGGTTGTGCAGAGCTGATAATGAGGGCAAGTTAGGATTCACATTTTTTTTCTTTGCCGTTTGCCTGTGACAAAAATCCTTCATTTCGAGGTAAAGCTGGAAATTTAACACCTTGAGCTGTGCTCTAATAGCAAGGTCAAATCCTACTTTGTGCTTATTTCCAAATAATTAAATCAGTTTATGCAGAAGAAAAAATTTCCTTACCAGCCCTGCTTCTACAGAAATATCCATTGCATTGATCCAACGAGCATGAGCACAAGCCTCAATACAAAGTGCACCAGATGACACACTGAAGACTCTAATGTGACCTGTGGCAAAACCACCAATAATAAAGTCCTTGTACAAGCACAGTGTTGAACAGGGAAACCTGGAAGAAAAAATATATTTTAAGGAATTTATTATATTTTACCTGACAACAGAACATTTTTCACTTCAGTTTTTTTGCTAGATGGTACATCAATGGCATCACAAAAATGTGAAGTTGACTTCAGACAAAAAAAAAGATGTGACTGCTAACCCTTTTCCATCAATCTTAATAATCTCTGTAAAATGTCCTCCTGATTGCCACAGAATGATGTTACCCTCCTCATCTGATGACACCATCCGTCCACCTTGTGCTTCAAGCTCACAAATGGCTGTCTTGTGTGAGGTAAGTGTCTCCTGTAGTTTAACAGCTGTGCCACGTGGGGGAATGTCAAACACCATGATACCACCCTCAGAAGTACCTAAAATAACAAACTTGCTGGGTGTAACAAATTTGAGCAAGCACACCTATGTGGACAGAGAGCTCCATGTACACCATCATATGTGTGTAAAATATTAAAGGGGAGAACACTTCTGAAATGATTCTCTGGAAGGTGAGCAATTCTGTCTGCGGACACTTCTCATATGCCAACACCCTTGTATGAGGGACACCCTTGGAAGGCAGACACCTCATGTAAGGGCAGATAGACAACTCTGTCAAGGACTCAACAACGTGAAAACAATTACTAATTTTCTACTTTCTTTACCAGATTACATAACAGACACCTAGAGGGTGATTTACCAACATACATGAGTGCAGATGGTTAAAACTGGAGTGAGAGGTTCAAAGCTAAAACAAACACATCCTAAAGATCTGTCTTGTAGTTCCACTCACCAACGCAAATATACTTGTCCCCTACTGCCGATATTCCTCTTGCAAAATGGGAATAGACTGAAGTATATAAGAAAAATAAATAATACGTCTTATATTGATTAATGAAAGGAGTATACTCATTATGACTTACAGTTTGGGAGTATGGGTGTGATTTAGTATGGTATGTGATACAAAGGTCTCCAAATTGGACTCCATTTTAGATAAGAATTCATGGTCACAAATCTGAACAGAAACAAGTGGTCTGTAACTTACAGTACAGGCCAACAAAACAAGGTTAGTAAATGGTGCGTATGATTTAGAAAAATACATGCAAAGCATACCTCCTTCCTTTGATTCACCAAGTGCTTGCCAGAATATCATTATAGATCCATCAGTTTCAAACATCTAAATCATAAACCATTCAAACACGAACTAGTAAATCAGTTGATGTATGTCATGGGAACTAGTGCACAGTAAAAAAAAAAAAAAAAAAAAAAGTGCCACTTATCATAAGGTGTTAGTTATCTCCCAAGAGAGAACAACCCTTCCCTTTCTGAAAAAACCTATCCAAGTCTCAGTTTTATACCAAGAAGCAACTACTGTGGTAGTTTTGATACATCCCCTGAACTGTATGCTACTTTATCATAAGTCACCCCACCCCCACGGCATTTTGTAAGATTTCTGTGAACTTTGCTGATGCCTGTCAATAGGGACCTTAATCAAGCCCCTAATTGGCAATACTAATGCGAACATAGCCTTTCTATTTGTAACTTAACACTGCCTCACATGTTATGCCGAATAGAAGATTCAGCACACACAGAGATTTACAAGGAGTCCAGCTTGCTAAATGTTACTGGTAACTACAGCTCTCAATGCACTAAAAAAAAAATTTTCACAAAGTAAAGAAGGAAAAGTACCTGGGCACCCTTAACAGAGGTAATAACCAGGACAGTTCTGTCTGGAAGTTCACACCACTTTGCCTGAAAAGTTAATTATCATCAGTAAGAAGTGATTTTAAAATCAGAACATAACAGAATGTTGTTGTCTGAAATTATTTTGGACCACAGAATGTATTCAGGATAACAACAGTTTGAAATGTTCAGGATGAAATTACGGGACTTGTTTTCATCTGACAGAATTTGCAATTGGGTCAGTAATGTGACTTGTGATTATCCAAAACATGACAAATAAACTCAGTGAAGAAATAAGACTCCCTGTACTGCTCCTAGCAAATAGATTCCATGTTGTCATGCATCTGTTTGATGACTGTGATAGATCACAGATAATGTCAAAATGTGGTAAAAACAAAAAGTGGCATATGAGGTGCAGCCAAGTGTGTCACTGATGTTCTTGCCACATTAGTTTGATGTCTTCTGTGATAAATTACTGTACAGACCCACAGCAACAACAAATCTATTTGTTTCATGTATAAAAAATTCAAATGTTGTCAATGGTGACATCACCCATGCATCTGTCCTCTTAATAGATTTATGACCTATGTAACAACCAATCAAAATGCATGAATAATTCAGCCAATCAGGTAATTGACAATAACATGTAAACTAAGATGCTGGAGATTGTTGAAAATGTGTTTATGCTACTGAAAAATCAAATGGTTCAAATGTTACAACATAATTCTCAGTTCAAACCATAAGTCACCCAACTCTTGTCCAGCTCCTAAAAGACTTATAATCTTAAATTTGTAAATTGATTTTCAGGTCTAAATGCAAAGAAGAACGAACACCTGAGCTAACTTTTCACCGATCTAGAGGCACTTTCAGTTTTCATGAACATTTGATTGTCAAATTGTTACCATATATTTTACTGTGTACTGTATATCCAGCATAAGTAAAGTCGATCCGGGTCATGCTCAGGTCATGGCTAAAGAAGCTTGCTAATGTAAACAAGCTGATCATAAAAGTACATTGAATGTGAATTCAACCATTACCCCGCTTGGTGTAACAATTAGCAAAGCAAAGAAATACCTGCAACACAGCAGAACTACTATGAGCTCCTTCTCCTTTACAAGAGACTTGTTTCTGGTTGACGACAGTCCCCTTAGTAACGGTGGTGATACAAACAAATGCCTTATGAACGACGCCATAAGTTAACGACTGCTTCTCCTTCGATGATAAAACCGTAAGATTGTTGCACAAGGAGGAGGCACTGGCTTTAATGCTCACTGATGGATCTCGAGAAAACATTTTTAGCGTCAGACAGCCTTAAAAAAGTAGATCTGGAGTGATTCGATGTGAAATTCGGCAATAGAGTTCGTCGAAGATGATGCAGCGTGAGCAGGTGGAATAAAGGCTCGAGGCATTCCCCTGGTTGCTAGTTCCCAGACCTATCGAGCAAGGAGGCGAACAAAGAAGGGCAGACAAATAGGCGCACCTCTTAAAACCTTTACCTTTTCTCAGATTAAAACACAATTAAAAAAACTATTGAAAGACAAAAGAAACCAAATCAGAGAACAGAGATGAATCCCACAGGTAAAAAGAACTATAATAGAAGGCAGGACCTCAGAAAAAATTCCTGCTGGAACTGAGTACTTGTTGCATTTTAGAAAAGACATTAACACTTTCATGGATTATAGAAGTAATGTTATGCAGGGTTGAATGTCTTATATTCTGTAGTGCCAAAAGATATAAACGTACTTATCCCACCCCTGAAGGGATTGGTCCTGTGACCCTCTCGTCCTTGATGTTATAATACGTGATTCACTCCTTCAGCTGTTACACGATGCCAAACAAAACGAGTGTGTGTCACTGAAAGTACGCTTGCTGTTTTGATAATTATGCAAATTGAATCCAAATTGTGGCCCAGATGGGTACATTTCTTTCCGCTTTTAAATCGAGGATTTTTTTCTTAACTCAGCCACATATGAACTGCACAGCTTGAAGTTTTAGTGTTGCTTGATAACACACTCGATCAAATGTGTTCTTTCGCAGTTTTTTTTCCCAGGGGATAGAATCTTTGAACATTTGTTATATTCTTTGTTTTAAAGATCGGTGGAAATATTAAATTGGGTATCAGCAGACTCCTCTTGACCAATCTAAACGTATAAATCATGTTTTATTGTTAGAGTATTCATTCACGGAAAATTAAAACAAAAGATACAAATTATTATGGAAACTGAAAATTGTCGGCTTCTTACAAACTTGTTTATTCATGAAGTCACATTTAACTCTGAAAAATCAACATTCCACACAATAAAGTTTTTATGTAGAGCTGTTGGAAGGTGCGTAACACAGAAGTTCCAAATATCTGGAAACCCATCTAAAAATTACGATTTCACAGCACACGTAGACCATAAGAGAACTGGCCCAGCTGACACGACAATTCGACGACGTACATCTTGAGTCAAATCTTGGTCTTTAATTTTGGTGAACTCTCCCTTTTGGAGAGAGGAAGCGTGAGCGTGGGAAGTACTTCTTCAAGATTTTAGAACTTGTGTGCAGGCGACGAAACTCTTGTTATTTTAACTGTAGAGCCTCTGCAAAATTAAATAAAATACGCAATAGTTCTGTTAGCAAAATGTTTATAAAAAATATATACTTATATTTTTTATTTGGAAAATTTGGGTCTTCAGTAGGATTGAATTTGAACTAGTAATTCATAATTCTTTCACATCATTTAATTCATCATGGTCGGAGAAAATTTGTCTTCAGTGCATGAAATATCTTTAGGTAGAATATACCACACAGGTGAATGGCGCGCTAATTGGCTAGGTCGAAAGTGAACGGCAAGTACTACTCACATCAGAGCAGCCGAAAATACAAAATCGCGCGTCGAGAGTTTTAATTTACGACTATTTTTTTCGTTGTTTTGATTGAAATAAACTTCTTTTTGGTTTCTGTGTGGTATAGACTAAAAAAGTCAGACCAGACCAGAAGATCGAAGCCAGAGAAGGGCGAGAGGGAGACCAAAGACCACGTGGAGAAGGACTGTCGAAAGCGAGAGAGGCAAGGCGGGATGGAAGAGCTGCATTGTAGCCATGGCGGCGGCACGCCACAGGGGGGGTTGGGCGGACAACGTGATGGCCTAATGTGCCTAGGCCGTCACGTTGGCGCAACGAGCGATGATGATGATGAAACCATGATTCAGCGAATGCCATCGCGAAACCGAAAAAATTTATATATACATACATACACATTTACATATAATTCTGCCAGGAACTAAAATGAAATAATCGAATATATAACCTCAAAATTTGTGATAACTCATCCACTTTATCAGGTTTTTATCGCCGAACCTTGCTTTCGAACGTCTTCTTCGTGACGGCAAGCTGATCGAGGATCCACCGAATGAACTGGACGACACTGTATCACCAATAATAGCTTCTACGTCATCCTGCATGTTGCATACATTTTGCTGATCTACAAATATTTGAGGATAACGGTAACTGCGAGGAAAAAAGAGAAAAAGAACAAATAAAATAATGAGGGATTTTCAACAGAAAGGACCAAGCCGCAGTATTGAGTCTCAAAAGGCCCTCACTTGGTAGAATAAACTTTAAAGATCTCCGAGTAAATGGTTTGAACCCAGATCAAGCAAGAGATAACCTGCTTGAAAGTCATCATCAGAGACAGGTGGCTTGACCCTCGTGATAAAGTATGCTCAGGTTGCTAAAAAGTCAGTCACTACCACTGACAACATGCCTTCTCAGGCTTGCTCGAGTGATCAGACTACAGTATCAAATGAAAAGGTCTTACAGCGCACTGCAAAGGGAGAAGATGAACCTAAGAGACTGGAGCCCTCAAAACAAACTATCCCTCTCCCTCCCTCTAAAGATATTTTTAGAGTCAAAATATCTGGTTTCCAGGGTATAACTTAACTTAGAGAAATCAGTGAATTGCGGAGTAGAGGAGACTCGTAAGTGTTAACCTTAGTCTCGATTCTTTCATGATAACCCTACCTGAGCCAAAGATATAGATCAAGTCCTTCATGTAACGTCTCTAAATTCTTTAGTTGTTCCAGCGTCCTGGGAGCTTGGGGCGGCCATTTTAAAAACGTTTCGAGCTTTGAAGCTGTTATCGGGGAATCTGCACTCACACATTCTGCAAACTGATAGGAATAAATGGGAATTACTTTACTTCCATCATGAAGATAGTATTCCTTAGCAACTAGCATTGAAGGAAGCATGGTAGATACCAAAGAGGTTTGATATTAGGAGACACGGAAGAGCTTTCATGAAATGCTGGCTTTTGTAGTGAATAAAGTCGTAACTTTTAACTAAAAAAGAATCAGCGAAAAAATTAAAAGAAGAACACCCGTGTGTGACCATTCAGATAACGGACCAGTTATGATTTATCGCGGGAAAGGGGGGGGAAAGAGGGAGAGTCGGGAATGGAGGATTTTTGGGAGGTCACATGGTTTTTAGTGGAAAAGGAGGGGGGGTATCAGTCGTCGCCAACAGAGTAAAAAGGGGGGGGGGGAGTGGGCTGTAGAAAATTGATTGCCACCTAACTGCCAATGACGGGGATGAGTTTGCGTATTGTCATTACCTGTTTGCTGGATAATATAGCGACATTATGGGGAGGATACATGTTAATCACTTTTGGGAGTTAGAGGGTTAAAGTTTACTCCAGCAATTGAGGAGTTCTGTGTTGTAGTTATGTTTGCCTCCTCTATTCTTCCCTGAATACAACTTATAAAACACTTCTGCCGAGGAATTTTTGGAATGCGACAAAAAATCCTCGTACCTTTACAGCGAGATCTACGGCGACCGATTTTTTCACACTGATTGGCGCTCTGCTGAATACAAATTGATCACTTATCGACAAAGGAATTCCTCCTAGTTTTCTTGCTAAAATCTATAAAATAAAAAAACAAAAAGGAAAACAACACAAAAACAAAATAAATGTAAACAACAAGGATTAAACTTCTCAGAAAAATACGAGTATACGCTTTCTCAACCATTCAACAAGCCTCGTCCCAATTCTCTGTTCATTTGAAACTAAGGGAACGATGGGTCTTGTGTTTGACGTGATGGGTTGCTGTACTGGAATAAATTTTGGACTAATTGCAGATCTCACACAGAACTGAGGCCATTTAACTGAATCCTAATAACTGTTGCACATTTTAACACAGTAAACAAACCTTGACATCTGCGAGGTCGCACATGAAGTAGTTTGCACCATCCAGTTGAACCACGCTTTCAAACGTTTCCTAAGATATTGACAAACTTTACGTATTTAATTCAGAATTAAAGAACAAACTATGTTAAAAAATAACGAGTATTCTGCAACTTTTCAATCAAAATTTAAGGGCAACGGCTGAAAGTTAACATTCGAATACGTTGCGTCACGTTTATGGACCATTGGATCGTGTAGCCTGATCGTCCGCGTAAGTGTAGTCCTGGGAACGACTCTCATCGGAAGCGGTGACTGAAGTTTCGATAACCAGAGCGAAAGTGAGATCAGACCACGTGATCAAATGTTACCCGTGGGTTCAAACCATTTATTGATTTAAGGATCACCTTCAATCAAAGTCTGCACATCTTCTCCCTAAAACTTCCGCATTTTAATACTTAAAATAGTACTTGGTGAGAGACTGGCGCGAATTTCTCACAACAACAAAGAGATGGAAAATAAAACCAAGGCACTCTCGCATAACTTTAGACACAACATGGACTTACGTATAACTTCAAGAGACTTGCATCCGGTAGATGTTGAGCGAGCATTTCAATTTGTTCCATACTGGGGGATAACCCGGCCGCCTGATGGAGGAAAGAAGAAAGGGAAGGATAAAATAAGAAGCAATTCGTAAATTACTAAAAGAATGCCCGAGAATGATCTTCACAATTAAGTATTTTTGAAAATTCATTGTTATCAAACGCTGTAGGCAGCCTTGTACACAAAATTCCTTTGATTTATCTTTGTTTCTTTCCTCTGATGTTAACTAAGCTGGTGCTTTTTAGCAATGGAAGATCAGAATAAACAAGGATGGATTGAAGAGTTTCTTTAAGTACAGATTCGAGCGGCAGAATTTACCTCTAACGCAGCTTATATTAATAAAATCCTTGAATACATTCACACAGAAATTCTGAAGATATTGCACCATACGCGGTGATCGTTGAGTAGCTCTTGTCGCCGTGTATCCGTGATCATTCTTCCGAGATTTTACAAACTTGGAAAAACAAGTCAGGGATTCAAACCTGAGATGTTCTACAAATTTAACTATGGAGCCAAATCATGTTACCCGAAGTCAATTGCGAAGTGTTAAGCCAAATAATGCTTGTATTTAAGATACTCGTTGTCACCAAGAAAGGAGTGCTTGTCGCGTGGTACCTTGTGACATTGGGTTCCAGACTGCCCTCGCTCTACAGATGAATACCGCCAATAATTTCAACGCAAGCATTCATTTAACTATTCGAAAGACACCTTAACATCAAACAGCCATCACATTCGCCTTCAACAGTTACCTTCACATCTTTTATAGGTTCTTCCATCAGCCTTTGAAGAGTTTTGGAGTCGTGTCCCCTGACCCTGTTTCGTGATAAGAGACATCGCTCGAATTAGTTAATCGACTCATAGTGACCCGTTTTTAAGTTTCCAAACTGACCGTTAAACTCGCAAGAGAACCTAATACATCCTCAGACTTGGTCCCACACTACTTTTACTCAAAGCTGAAAATTGTTTTAATGGAGAAAATCAGCAGCTTTCTTACGTGGTAACTTCTCCCTTGGAATGAGCCGAGCCAAATCTGCCGGCACGACCTGCGATCTGTTTCACTTGAGAGGAAGTTAGCTGCACCATGTTATTGCCATTATATTTCAAAAGCGAACTGAACACAATTCTTTTAATGTTTCTGAAAAATGGAAAGGGAAAAATGGACAAGCAAAACTCAAAATACGTTAAAATAAGAATATTGGTGAACGTTTAAAACTAACTTAAATCGATGAATAATGATTGTAGATATATGAAAATCATATATGTGCACTGCGGTGAAGAAACGAATATAAGAGATCCTCGCAGCTATGAACACTACTGAACTAATAGTTGAATAAGACCTGAAAATATTCAGGCACGTACAGGATTTGAACCCATGACCTCTGCGATACCGGTGCCGATCGATGATTTAGAGAGTTACGGAAATTTCTTACCATGAATCTAAAATGCCAATTAAAAAGAAAGCTAACTTTAAGAATAAGTTGCTCAAGACTAACCAAATTCACTTAACCCTTTAATTCCCAAGATCTCATAAGTAATTCTCCTTACTGTCTGCCATACAGTTCTTGTTATGTTAGTTTGGAGAATTTGGTATTGGATCAACTTGTAATCTCCTAATTGATATTTTTCTTTATTCTCATCACTTGTCTGCTTGATATTGTATTGATATTGTAAGGAGAAATTCTGTCTTGGTCACTCATGGGAGTGAAAGGGTTAAGATAAATAAAGGGGATAAATTCTACAGAAACTCTGGTGCTGCGTCAGTGAGGGGCATCACAAGATAATTTGATTTTTTCACTAGAACTAAGTTGATAAATGTAAATTGGCCACTATTAAGAGTTTCTAAGCAGACGTTTCGTGCGTTAACCCTTCGTCAGGGCGAGTAAACTTTACTTTAATTTTTTTTTTTACCCTTTACGGTGGCTAATTTACGTTTTCAACCCAGTTGTTAACACTAAATTACCTGCTATACTCTCCCACCGACGCAGCACCACAGTTTCTTTAGAAACTTACCCCTTTAAACTTTACTTAAAGCTGACGTTTCGAGTGTTAGCCATTCGTCAGAACAAGTGAACATTACTTCACGTATAGACAAACATTTGTACAAATAACTGTTACAGTTCACTTGACAGACTCACAAGTTCAGCCCCATTCCAATGGCATCCGAGGCTACAAGCACAGAGCACTCATCTTCTGGATCATTAAACTTCATTGCTTGCTCCAATTTTGTAACTGAAGTTAAACAAGAAGGCAGCTATCAAAATTTTGTAACATTAAAAGAAAAGAAAAGGAAACAGTCCGAGGCTGGTTTAAAACGGCGTCTATCAGTCTGAGTTCTATTTGATTTTTTTTGTGTATCTCGCCGTGTTGATCTATTAATATTTATCCACTTAATCTGTACGGTTCAGAAAAAAATTGTAAAATAAAGAATCTTGAAAGTATTCAGGGGTTTCAATAACTTTTCCCTCGAGAGGTTGCCGATGGTGTAATAGACAGCTGTGCCGTGAGAGGAAATCCAAACACGAGAAGCTGTTCGCGGGAAAAACTGACGGCGGTGAGACGTCTTATATAAGCGGTGGTAACCAGCTTTAAACCTCTGAGTTTTACAAAGCTCCTTCCACTTAAAGTTTACTTACCAGGTGGGAGGCCTCCATAAATGATGGCACACTTCTTGTTTGTTTGACTTTCAATTTTCCTCCTCACTTGGTACAAATCCCACTGAGAAAACGCAACAACACAATCTCCAGCTCGGATTTTTTGGAAATTTCCTCCTGAAAATAAACCATATCACGACTCAGTGCAGTTGCTGGTTACTTTTCGTTTAGGAACCACGCATGCTTACAAAACTATCCATTCCTCGGCTAGAACGCACTTCACTAATCCATGATTACTAGTTGTTATGAAGGTTCATAAGCTTACTAAAGCGAAACACCGATGTTACTTGGTATTGCTAAGAGTACGGACTGTGATCCAGAAAGTTTAAGGTCCGTCAATGTGACTGCGTTGTACTACGAATAACTGAAAAATGTCCAATTTTTTTTATGACTTACCAAGACTACGTTGGCTGACTTCTAAAGGGCATAGTCTCTCATAATGACGCACCTGAGGTTTACAAAAACAACGAATACATCTCATTCCAAGGCTGGATTTCCAAAGTCATGTCCATTTTACAATTTCACACCCAAAACTTAGTCAGTCACATAAAACATGAAAAAAGTGGGTAAGTTTCTGAAGAAACTGTGGTGTTGCGTCGGTGCGAGAGTATAACAGGGTAATTTAGTATTATCTACTGATTTGATAACGTCAATTGGCCACCGTAAAGAGTTTAAAAGCTGACGTTTCGAGCGTTAGCCCTTCGTCAGAGCGATTGATATATAAAACATGGAACAAGAGATGGTTTTGTTGGTATAATGTTGCAAGTTGGAGGCTGCACCAGGTCATTTCAGCGTATTTATTGTCGCAGTGACACAACTGAATGAAGGTATAACTGATATATCTTTCTCTCTTTCTGTCTGTTTCATTTATCTGTCCACCTTAGAACAATTAGTCAGGTACAACTATAAAAAAAAAACCTCTTCTTGCAGGATACAGTGTAACTACAATAACTATGAAAATTGCGGATAAGAAGCCTGAAAAGAAGGCTAATATTGTGGCTGACACAGCACATGTTCAACACTGGTATTATGGGAGTCTGTGTCCAAACTTGAGAAAACTTTCCATGCGAGTCTTACCTCTAATTCATCATTGCACGAAGACACTAATCTTTCCACTAAATTTATGGCAGAACTTTCTCCACAAACGTGTATTTCTGGGCATGGCAGACCTATTAAAAAGACAAAAAGTAAAACTTCAGTGATAGATTTCCTTTGGATTTGCACTCACCATCACATGGCATCAAAGATCACCCTCTGTAACAACCACAAATTTCTCTCCAAACTTAAATAAACTTTTAAAGGCAGGCTTTTACAACATTTCATACAGGACTTAAAAATAAGGGGATATCAGGAAATATTTCCCAATTTTAGCTTGGGCATATTCAGTCTAGGAATAAATTCAAACCAAGAGCAAATGAAAGTATTTACTAAATTTAGAGGATTCTATCTTATCTTAGGGTGTTATGTTTAAAGAATCTGATAAAAGTAAAGGTAAAATCAGCCTTCAAGCTTAATGGGACACTCCAACAAAGGATCATATCATCTCACCATCATGAAGCAACAAGGGTTATTGGTACTCTGGGTAAAGTTTTCTTGCACCCAGTTACACTCCCAGATGGAAAGAGAGAAAGACTGAGAGAGTAAAGCGTATTGCTGAAGAACAAATACATAGACTTTGACAGGGCTCAGACCTGGATCTCTTAATTCAAATTCTTGCATGCTAATCAATATACCATCATGCCTTCCAGCTCATGAAAAGTATCCTTCCTAATTTGTTTGAACTCACCTAGAAGAGCTCTTGACCAGGCCCAGCCTCGATCTGTGTCTCTCATCATCTGAATTTCATCTATCACCGCACAATCAACTGAACAAAAAACTTACAATCAACAGGTGGATATAAATCTATAAAATCTTAAAACCCAATAGCTCACTGTTGCCTGAGCTTATCCTATTTTAGTGGTAAAAAGCAGCAATAGCATGGGTCCTCCCCCTAGATGGGATGTTAGTCCATCACAGGCAACTCTCCAACCCCTCCCCCTATAATTGTTCATTGACTGTCCACCAGTTTCCATCAACATTCCTGAGAGGAGAGGGGCACGGAACTAAAGAACACACCACAGTAACTAAGTAACCAAATTTCTGCATCCCTATGAGGTCCTCTTTTAATTCACTATGATCATGAAAGTTTATAAGCTTACTGCTTAAAAGCAAAACTTCATCAATGCATACCCCCATTCTTAGGAAGGTCTAACAACATTTAGGTGACATATGGTCTAAAGGCAAGTACATGCTTTAGTAAGTTGAGCTTGTAACATATTTGCAAGGTGAGAAAAGCCTCTGATCTCAAAAATCTGGTGTACTCAGCTTTTAAAAGCTTTGATAAAAACAAAGCTATACAAGTCACCCAGTGACAGAAGTAAATCACCAAAGGCAATTAGGCTATTCTTCAAGTATAGCCTCAATTAAAATTATGACTTACAAGGTCTTTGAGAGGAACACATCTCAACAGTACATGAAATATGATCAGAGGGGTCATCTGGTGACACTGCCCACTGTCTGTCCTCACCCGTCACCAGGTCACATGGCACTCCCTGAAAACAACAATTAATAGAAATTGAATAACTAGCAGAATTCTAGAAACTGCAACAGAGGGAATTTGATTTTTAGTAACTCAGAATATGAGTAACTATTGAACCAACAACTAGGTGGAATTGCATAATTGAGAAAATTTTTGCAGTAAGATTGGCTATCAAGACAGGGTATTCTGGAAAAATTGTGACTTAAAAGTGAGGTTCATTCTCAACAGCCCTCACAAATTCAGGGAATGTAAACTGTGTCCCCAAGTAGCTCAGAGGTACTACATACATTGACACTTGCAGTTTTTAATTAGAACTTTACCTAAATCAAGTAAATAGACTGGAATCATAGACTAACATGAGCCACCTGAAAAAACATTTGAAAAAGGGAGAAAAGAAACAAAATGAAAATCTTAGAGAAAAGAGGGGACAGCAAAAGCTGACTAAGAGGGATAGGGTGGAGGGGTCCTGTGCAGGGCATTAGAGCCACAAGGAAAAATGTAAATGAGAACAGAAACCTTAAAAATATATTTGATGCTGCACAGTTGTTTATTTGCTTCAACTTACAGCATGATTTGCTCTCTTGAACACTTCTGCTGCTAAGAGCCGTAGTGGACCACAGTAGACTCCAGAGTTGGCTGTATGAAATCTCTCAATAGCGGCATGAGTCTTGCCACTGTTTGTTGGACCGGCATGAAAAATGATTTTCCTTTTCATTGCTCTGGCTTCAGGAAACCTAACAGAACATAAAATACAATGAATGATCTCCAATTCAACAAGTGAATACTAAAGGTCACAAAAGAAAAAAAAAAAGAAAAAAATTGTAGTCAGTGGTAAATTCTCTTCAAGAAGTGGGCAGGGGAGGACCTGGAACCTGTCGTTCAAAGACTGAATAACACCATACAATGTATAAATTCCCATCCAGTAGATTAGTGTCATCAAAATGTGATGAGCCATCCTCTGAACAAAAATTTATTCTGTAGATAGCCTTATCCACCCCTTGAACAACTAGGCCCTGATGTAAATAGATGGCAAGTTTTTTGAGCTTGGTAAAGAAATAGAGAAAGATGGTTCTTTTAGTCATGGGACAAAGAAAACATTCTGAGTCCCCACACTCTACTCTGATACTCTGATGGGGACTCAAAATTTTTTCATCTTATGTTATTAGTTGCTACTTAGAGCCAGCACAAAAAAAATTAATTTGGAGCCTGTGAACTGCCAGGGGAACCTTACAAAATGCTGGAGGTTTCCCTCTGTTTAGCTTACATCACATTGAGGAAAAGAAGACAGTCCATCAGAAGCTGAGAAGAACCAATGCTACTGATGGTCACAAGACTGGACCCTTCTCTAAACCATTTACCTCCCAGAAGTGATTTACACGTAACTTCTCTCTATGATATCCATACATTATCCAACAAACAGCTAATGAGAATACTCAAACTTATGAGGTAGATTTTTAATCTTGACCTAACACCAAATTCTCATGACTAATTCACATGGAAATCTGTAGTAGCTAGAGGGGAGAATTAAGAATCAGATCTTGGGAGTTAAAGGATTAAAGAAAGCCGTAAATAAAGTTCATACTAACAATTAAACAATAATGGTGAGGATAATTCTCTTACAAATCAGCAGGTCCACGTAAGTCTGATATCTTTTTCACCTCCTCCAAACTTTTCAGCATGGGATGTACTTTCTGAGCAAATTTCATGAACAATGGAAAGAGCTGTTGCATGTAATCTGTTGATTATCAAAGTCACAAACAAGTTATGAAAAGAGAATAGAATACACCAAATTTTTAACCATGATTGGGCTCATTTCAATGGATTAGCTAGCCTGCTTGCTGTAAATGGTATACAGTAGAACCCTACTCACTCAAATCTGGTTAACTCAAACAAGATCTGGTTTCCCTTGGATTTGAACCCATTTTTTTAAGTTATTTATTAACAGCTAATTCCGACCCCCCTTCAACACATTAACCACTCTGAGTGGTTACTAATACCTCCTTACAATACTGCCCCTGAATCAAGCATTTATAGTAGGTCACAAAAATATTCAAAATGAACACCAACTAGAGACACTCTTGATTGTTAAAAAAGTTCCCCTTGTCAGCACTTTGGGAGATGTAAGGAGAACAGTATAGAGAAAGTGCACACTAGGGTGTAGAGGGTTAATTTGAACTAAATTTACATTCACTCTGCTTTAATTTACTCGGATAATTCAAACTTTAAGAAAAAACCTTGGTCAAAAAAATATGTAAAATTCCCTCATACTTGCACCAAAGGAGGTTACTGCTTATATTATTTTCCATAGCTTACCTGCATTATAATACAATGAACTAAACACTTCAAGCATCTCTTTGTTCCCATCTTCCACTTGCAAATTTATTTTATTTTTGAAATCTAGAAAAATCTCTTTGAATAAAGTATCTGATACAAAGTAAAATGAAAAAAATACATAGTTATGACATGATGTATAAGTTTTTAAGAACAAAAATTCTGACTATGCTTTGATAAAATAAGTTTCTGTTGTACGGTATAGAATTTAGGAAGAGATAAAAATTAAACATGACACTCACAACAAGAAAGAGGTATTCCTTGTTTAAAGTTTCTCTTGAATGGAAGTTTGATGGTACATGAATACAATATAACTGCTCCCTTGACACATCATACCCTGGTCATATCACCTCCCAGTGACATCACCCACAAGTCAAGTCACACCCTCATCATGCAGCCCCCCCCCCGTCTTGCCATCCTGAAGAGCTGTTTTAACCCTCTAACTTCCAGAAGTAATTAACTTGTAACTTCTCAATGCCACTCCATTACATTATCTTCCAAACAGGTTATGGGAACAGAGAAGCTGGTCAACAAAGGTCTGAGTGACAGAAAAGCTCTGTAACCTCACAGTGATCTAACTTACAGTATGGCCAAAATAACATGACATTGATCATGAAAACAATATGAAAAAAAAAGTATTTGAATTCCTACTTGATAAACCATTTTCACGAGCAGCCTTTTTAACCTGCTTGTTACGAAAGAAATTCATCAAGAATTTTTCCAGCATTTCTGTCACAAAAAATAAATAAATAATACATTGTTAAAATAACAGTTACACAAATAGGCAGAGCATTGATCTTCATCTTCATTCCATGAGTGTTGATGCATCTGGGTCAATGTCAGTATCAGAGTAAATGCTCACCTACTCTAACCCAACATGAGTCATCCCTGTTATCAATTGACTTTTGAGGTGTCTCAGGGAGGGATAAGTGCCTAGTTACTCTGATACTGACAATGATCCATGAATTTCCTATTACCTTAGTTAAAGTTGACATTCCACTTGGTGTAAGGGAGCCAATGGTTTTCAGTTGCATAGTCAGCCAACCAGGCATAATGAGGCCTTGTGCTCAACCACTCATATGAAAATGAGTTTAATTTCCATGTGAATGAAAAATTATGATCATATGAAAAGATGAGCACCAGGACTTGCTTTGAAAAAGAGGCTAGAGGTAATATTGAAATTGGCTACTCAGCTAGTGATTTTCATTGATGACCAAATTTAGCATGAAATGCATGTAAGATTGCCTAGTGTGTCCCTCACTTTAGCTCAATTATGGGCCATTCCTAAATGGAAAATTTAATGTTGTTTGATTGACAAGATTACAAACAAGTCCAATTATGCTTGATTTTCAGACCCATCATATGCTTGTTTGTCATTCAGATCTGATTACATAACATCCCCATGGACAAGCAGCCCGCATTAACTGCTATTCTGTTATTCACTTGTCTCAAGGGTTATTCAATAACTGATTCCCATGCATGATCCTGCTTTTCAGGTATTGAATAGCATTTATAAACCTGCTGTAAGAGGAACAGAGAATAGCATTTACAAACCTGCTGTAAGAGGAACAGAAGTTTGGGAAGAACTGTCTTCATTTGAACAAGTCTCCTCACATGAAGGCTCCGTATCCGCAACGGAAAGGTCATTTAATTCGCTACAATTCGTGCGCATAGACGCGTCATCTAGACTGATTCGAATCTTCTCCTCTTCTCCTGAGGAGTTTTCGTCGAATGAAACATTTTCCGCGCTTTCTTTAACTTTCCTAATTTCTGTGTTCAGATCTTGATTAGTTTGTTGCGTCACGTTGACAGCATTCTCTAGTAAACACGTCCTTGAGAAATGCAAGCCGCAGTTATTTATGATTAACACTCCTTCACGTTCTCCTCGACGAACGAAACGCAGAGAATGCTTATTTAGTGTAGAAAAATGCCTGGAAAGTACGAAAGAACTTTCTATCGGCGAAGTCTGCCTTGTATTGAAACGTGCGAAACATGCTTGATGAAGTGACGTTCTCCAAACTACCACACGACTTTTACCAAAATGACGGTATAAACTTGAATTAAAATGACTCCAGTTGCAAAAACTTATCATGCTACAAGACGCCATGTCACTTTTGAGTCCTGGAGGGTGGCAAATGTGCCGACGTTTGTCTAACCGACTTTCTCATTGACATAACATACATCCTGACTGCCATCTTGTTTGACAAAAGATGTGAGAGATTGGGTCGAGAGTTTCAATCTAGTAACCAGTTCCCCTCCTTGGTTCTTTGGGCTTGGCCATCTCATTTCTCCGTCTTCACTTCCCATCCCGCTAAATGAGAGCAGCTATTTCATCTCAGGTTATCTACTCACATCCCACAAAGTTTCCCTATATACTTTGACACGACATATCCTGACCCAGTATCGTCATTCAGTCTGGCCCCAATCTCTTCTCAATCGAAACTCCACGCCGAAAGCTCTCGCTTCATATCTTCTATATCTTCTAGAGTGCTATCTGTCCTCTGGCGCGCGCTGTTAAATTCTAGCGCGCGCAAGATATTATTACAAAAAACGTCACAAACAGTGGAGTGGTTTATTTTGGATGTTTACCATAGAAACATTCAGTTGCAGTAAAGTTCGCTTGTGGTAACACTGTGAGAATTCTCTAAAACTGTTCGCTAACAGTATTGGGTTGATCTAAAGTTGATTCATTTGATCAATCAACCAAACTGGGGAACGTGAATACAAATCAAACAAAGCCGAATCACACGATAAGAAAATGATTCAGAATCCGAATTTTTCGAAAGATTTGCGCTTGAAAAGAAAGCGCAAATCAAAGATGAAATCAAGTACCCCCGCGAAAAGAAGGCGCTTGGACAAAAAGGTGAGTTCGAATTTGCTTGATTCAACTGAAATACGAAAAAGATATCTAGAAGAACATATGTTGAAAAAGAAAACTTGACACCTATCCGACTTTTCTAAAAAATTGAACACTTTGCGAATTGGTTCCAAAATGGTTCTTTACCGTCTTTCCTATAGACTACCGACAAAGTTTGACATTGCCTTTTTTCTCATTTTTCGTAGCGCTGGGCCAGTGAACAGGAGAACAAACCAGGAATTTCCAAATTCCAGAGGTAAGAAAGTGTATTTGAGATGCATACATAAAGCGCGTTCAAAATTTAATCTTATCATTTCTCATTCAATTTGTTTTCCTTAGAAATAAATTGAGATGCGTTTGGAGTGAGTCTGACAAAGACTACCTCAAGGAAATCAGTAGTTACGACAGCTTTTTGTCCCTCGATTATGAGGTAAAATGTTTTTCATTTAGTGTTACTTTGTTTCGTTTTTTTAAGTCATAATGCGATTACTTTTCTCACAAGGATATGGTATTTAGCCCATTCTCAGGTACCCTGGTGAATCATCATATACTATACAACTTTAATCATCAAAACTTTGTACCCAGGAATTCAGTTTTTTAACCGATATTATGATCTAAGAGAGGGTAATATTCGATGATAAAACAACACTGGTAGAAAATGCTCTCTAACCGTGAAAATGATCGTCTCGACTGACCAGTGATTATCTCGTTAAGGTATTCGGGGACGTGCATTGCATTAGGATGCAATCGTGAAACGAAGCACTTGTTTACTGAAGACTCAGAAGTTGTGTAACAAAGTTTGAGCCTTGTTCCAGGGAAGTCGCAAATCATGGCGGATGAAAATAGCCCGCACAATGGGGTACTCCCTAGAGTCAGTGATTTTTTTTTTAATTCAAGGGGGAATAGGAAGGTCTCTCGGATTCCTCTCGAATGGACCCGAATTTACTTAGACACAATCCAGCGAAATACCATGTTTTCGTTTAAAATTTTCCAGAAGCCTAACTGGGTAAATGCGGAGCTAAAGTTCACACTGTCAGGTGACAGTTCTTCATCCGATGAGTCCAGTCAAGCAAGTGAGAATGATCAACTGAAATTATCTGAAATGCCGATACCAGAATACATAAAGGAAATTGCTTCTCGAGGTATGCTAAAATTTTGAAAACTTATATTCAGTTTTTGAGCTTGGTCGAGCCTTCTGCGGGAATACATTTATCAACCGGCAGAACTCTGTACAATTTGAATTACTCGTTCCGCAACGATTTGTAACACGGTTTTACTCTAATTTGCAACTTTTAGCTGAGTTCATTGATTACGAACTTGGAAAAGTACTTGGGGCTGGTGCGTTCGGTTTGGTTATCTCTGCGACACGCACTAACGGCAACCTGCCGGTAAGTTCTTCTGCTCTATGATTGGTGGGAAAAACTTGGGTCACCCTCTCAACCAATCAGATGCAATCTTGAGTCTGCGCCCGACTCACGTTTTCTGGCACTGTGGGTGGTTTGCCCGTTTTTATTTTGAGTTCTACATAAAAGTTGTACATAAAAGTAACTCTTGGGTTTGATGGCGTAAATTGCTGAGATTCTTCAAGCAAGTAGCTTTTCCTTTTAAATAAAAAAAGAAGGAGTAATAAAATATATATGGCTATCTTTTCAGGTGGCGCTTAAGTTCGTTCAGAAAAATTCAGTCAAGGAGTTTAAAAAGGTTTGTAAACTTCATGTAATCATAAGAATATAGTGGAGCGGGTTTGTGTTGTTATCTATATTAGTCAAATCCAAAAATATGTTTCCCTTTTAGAAAAACTTCTTGAATGTAAAAGGAGTTTGTTTTTAAGCCAAGATGTTTTCATCGATTTGAATTAACTGATGAACCATTCAAAAATTCACTTTCTCTCCTTTCTTGCTACAGATAAACGGCTTCGAAATTCCGTCCGAGGCTTATCTTCAGCGCCAGTCACGTCACCGTCACGTGATCGAAATATACGAAGTTATCATCACTGACGAATTCTACGTATACGTTATGGAAAGACCTCAAGTCTGTAAGGACTTGTTTGAGGTCATACACGAGCGAGATAACCTGGACCGACCACTAACAGAGAATGAAGTGCGGCGGTACTTTGCCCAGATCCTGCAGGCCAACATCAGCTGCGAGGAGAATGGTGTTCTACACCGCGACATTAAGCCAGAGAATATCATCGTGGACATGAGTACTGATGAGGCAAAGTTGATTGATTTCGGTCTGGCATCTGAGGTTCAAGCTGAACCTTTCACGCATTTCAGAGGTGAGATTGATAACGAAAAAGAGTACTTTTAACACATCGGTCAAGTTAAAGGCATTGAAACTCAGATGAAACCTGCCCCTGTTATAATGAAGAACGGTCGGTGTAAACCAATCGACATTCTTTAGCTCAGTCTAATTCATGGTTGTTAAATTGAAGGACGGAATAGGATTGCAAATGACAAACCTAGTCTGAAATCCTTAAAAAAAAAAAAAAAACAAATCCCTTTAACGATTATTAGGATCCCATTACAACGAATGCTTCAGCAAAATTTAATGTGAAATGTCAAAAAGTAGTAAAGGAAATGAGAAAAATGATTTTAATGGAGAATCTCTCATTTCAAACATTCTTGCCTCTACATTTACTCGAGCAAAACACGAAGATAAACAGATGATTAGCGTAATATTTATTGACGAGTAATTGACGGTGACGTTTTTTTTACTTGGCACTATTTCAGGCACACCACACTACATGCCTCCTGAGTACAGCCAATCAAAGAAATATGACGGCTGTCAGGGCACGGTCTGGCAAATGGGAATCCTGTTGGTGGACATGTTATCACCTCAAGTACCCGCATTTAGACATTCACATCTGGCCCTCAGTATGCCACCTAGAGTACCCCTAAATATTTCAGCAGGTATTTTATTTACAGAACCTTCAGATTCATGGTACTTAAAGACAAATTTTGATATTTGGGCCAAATCCAGCTATCAAACAGTTACCGCTTCCTTTGTTGTCCGCAAGAAGTCTGAGAAGGAGTGGTCGACAGAAAGCGTTTTCGGAGGGTCTTTCTCGAGAACGCAAAGGTTCAGTCACCCGTACGGGTTAAACCTCTGTGTAGATTGTGGGGGGAGGGGGTGGGGGGAAGGTTATGCACTGAAAAGAGAACGGCTCTAGACTACGTGGTTTGTTAAGAATTCCATTGCATGTAGTTTAATTTTAAATGTCACAAATTATTAACCCCCAGACTGAAAAAAAGGTTAGGATTTATGCCCGTTTTTTCTTTTGTTTGGAATGCATCGAGTCTGTTGTACGTTACATCTTGCGTTGTCTGCATACAAACAAATTGTGCGACATAAATAAATGGGGAAGAAGCAGGAAAATCAAACTTGTTCCATGTGGTCGAAGCAAGTATTTTCCTTCGTTAATGTTCGGTTGGCCTTACCATCTTCTCCCCTTTCTGTCTCCAAGGGAGTGGTCGTTTTAGCTTCAGATCGCTTCGAGAGTAAGGAGCGTCCCAAGGAGCGTCTAACGTGAATAACCTGGTTAACATTATCAGTTCTTAAATAATAATAGTTTCTTGTTTCCTTTTCAACAGACGCAAAGAATCTTATTTACTCGCTACTGAACACAACTCCAAACAATCGCCCAACTCTTAAGCAAACTCTACGGCATCCATGGTTTGCAAGAACAGACTAGACTGCTGCCTCACTGCTTTTATTAACACTGAATCAACTGGATCGTGAAAACAAAAATAAATAAAACAAAACGGTGTAGGTTTTAAAACTAAGTTATGACAGTCGTATTTATTATTTCACATTTGTAAAGAAAAAAAAAAAAGAAAGAATCGTAAAAAAAAAACAGAGTATCTTTAGCAAGATGTTGTAAGTGGCGCCCATGAAGTGTAAATCACTCAACGAAAAACATCTCAATAACCATATTGAGAGTAGTTTACGGAATCAGTGTTAGTGGTAGGGTACGTATGGCTGAATGAGCACTGTAAGCATTGCGTGTGAACTAAGTGATGCTCCTGTACTTACCTCACCCTAGTGGAGGCTATCAGTGAGCGGAAGAAGCGCAAAAGAGCGAGAGGTTGACAAACTTCGATCGCACTTGTCAGTGCCTATCCCCTCCCCTGTGTTTTTTTTTGTACATCCACTAGTTTGCTCGTTTCTACCAACCGAAAGAATATAGTTGATTCAGCAACACAGACGATATTCTTTTACAGACTGTTTTAATTGAAAGAAACCTCACAGTTTCATTTCAAAACAAATATATATTACTAATAATTCTCGATATGAAAATCATTGTTAACGTAGATCTAGGATAGCTATGTACACATATCTCAATTTTATTTCTGAGTATCACCAATACAACCTGTGTAACTCGTACAAATGTATTGTTTTTGACAAATAATTGTAATATAATTAATAAACTTTTGTGCTTTAAGTAAATTTTTGTAATCAGAATATCAATCTTTGTTGATCAGTGATCTATTGCCGCATTCTGATAAATTACCACTTTAAACATTCCCATTCCTTTTCCCATTACAAAGAATTTCAAACAAGCAGAAGCAAAGACATCCAGTCTGATGCACATAGGAAAAATAAAATTCAAGTCGTTCAAAATAATGTGACGAAGCATTGACAAGATAAACCGCGATATGCAATTTAAGACTTTGCAATTGTCATCTTTGGGGCCTTCCCAAGACTATTCTGAAGGGCTTCCCAGGTATTCGGACATAGCAACCCGTTGCATGGCAACCGGGAAATGCTTGATTGACATTTTCTATTATAGTCTGTTTGGAACTTCTGAACTGCTGTTTGGATGAGCGCGGAATATACCTCTGGTGTATCAAACAATGAACTCAAGTAACTGAGCTGGCGCAGAGCTGTAACAAGCGCACCGATCAGATTCCGAACGGCCCCATGTGGGGAATTAGGAATGCCGTAAGTGTTTGATACAATGTCCTCCATCCTCTGTATCGTTTCAAATACAGTTGTCATCAGCACAATCTCAGCGGGAGCATTTCTGGGAGGTGGATTGTAATCGCAAGCGAGCTTGTCAAGCGTCGCAAAATTTGTCACAGTGTCCTCGAAAGAATCATACTCCCCATCAGGTATAGGAATCAGTGTAAGCTGGTCTCTAACATGATCCACATTCAGTGTGACGGCAATACCATAGTTCGTGCGAATGCATAACAATCCATTTTCATTCGCTGAGCACATGAATACTTGTTCCAGCATTTCTATTTGAGCAAACGAAGTGTTTTCTGGTCTCACCTTGACAACAGAAACTTTGACTTTCTTGCTTTTATCCGAGGACGGCACTATAACAGTCCGATAAAACCTTTTGGAAATAAAATAAAAACTTGTTAAAGAGGAGTTCAAGATTTAAGCTGTTGCCCAAATTACAACCATACTGCGACGCGGAACATTATCCGGGATTGTATTTGGTTCTCTTTTTCTCGTTCTTTGATTGGTCTAAGAAACCGAACCACCTCCTCAACCAATCAGATGCAAAACTAAAACCGCGTTTTCCCGCGTCTATAAAGGCCGGTTGCTTTCCTTCACTCCGACTTACCATGAACTTCCCATGATTTTCTTTCTATTAAAGAGCGGTTGTAATTATTTTCCGACACTATACACGCTATAGGGATTTTGGATCAATTTGACCATAACAATCCAGAACGACGATCAACGGAGCCAATGAAGAATTAATAGAAAATACATGCAAAAAGCCTAAAGGCCGCGAAAACGCCAGCGACAAAATCGAGAATGCTTTAAGTTTAGCATCTCATTGGTTGACAAAGTGGTGCCCATTTTTAACCGATCACAGAGCGAGGTGAAGCATATGCACTGCTGCATTATTTTAGATACTCATAGTGAGGTAAACTGAAAAAAATAAAAATAATGGGAATCAACCAGAGTAAACGTTTCTCACCTAGTTGGATCCAGGTGCCACTCTTTCACAGCAAACACCTCAAATCCCTGGAGCCATTTATCCTGAGAAACTATTTCAAACACCGCTGCTTCTTCTCTGGCCATCTTACCAAACCTAGCTTGCTCACACACGACTATCCTTTCCGTTAACAGATGCGTCTTGTCTCTGTAATCCTGTTCGTTAATCCGCACCAAATACTGACAGGCAAACTCTACACTTGCCAAGTAATACCCTGCTTCTGAGAACGCCAAGTTAGGATTTGAATATCTCCTTAAGAACGCGATCGTCGACGCGAGGTTTGGTATTTTAGATTTTAGAACGACATACACCCAAACATCCATGAACTCATCTGGCGAAAGTGTAAAAGAAAAGATAAGCGAATGAGCAAACGAAGAGGAACGTGGGTGTAAGCTTTGATGAAAGAATTAGTTGACGGAATGATCTTCCCAGTGAATCTTACAAAATTAAACCTTCTTTCCAATCTAATCACACTCAACTTTAGCAGTCTGATTCCAGGCTATTTTTTTTCGCAACACGATAATCTTGTTCCTCGAGAGTCAGTCGACTCTTTTTGACGTGAGACGAGATTTAGGTCTCGTAGCTTGTTTCAGGCGTCCGGTCAGTAGAACGAGGCGCAATAAAACTGGCGCGAAACTTGCGACTGAGTGCAAAAACGAGGGAGGTCTGGGCCAGGTACGCGACCTGAACCAAACCTGCTTCCTATTCTTTTGCTCCATTGCTACTACGTTTGTTTATTTCGCTCCGTTTTACTAACTGAAAGCCTGGAAAAGGCTACACGTCTCACGAGAGGAAGGTAATTAAATTCTTGGAGGTACTGTACCGCAGAATTTTTATGCCTCTCCGTATTCTGATCCCCTGATTACTACCTTGTTACACACAGATGAAAAAAAACTTACCTGCACCAGGAGGTTTAGAATGTTCTAACATGGACAACTCATTAAGTTTTTTGAACACACAATGCGCCGCGCTGACAATCGCGTGTATCTTGCGTGATGGTAAGATGGACAATGCCATGCTTTTCATGGAAGCCACTGCTGCATAATACGGTGCTATACCATCGTCTTGATATACTACGTTGATGCCGAACTGGGTCTGTGTGATGTGCGCAAGATTTTTGTAAATCTGTGATATCCTTTTGTCCTCTTCTGGCTTACGGATGTGCGCTTGAATGAGGTTGTAGATGGATGGAAGCAAGTACTGCTCTAATTTAGCCTGCAACAGTAAAAGTTCATTTTAAAAAATAGTTTTGGGTGAATGTGATTTGCATAGACTTGAAACCATCAGTACAGTCCAACCTCGATTATCCGGACTATTCGATTATCCGGACTTTCTTCTCTGGTCCCAATTTTTCTATGAATATTAATTAGTTGTGTTCTTGAAAACTCAAAGTCGCAAAAAGCCCAATAATCCTTTCAAAAGACTGTTGAAACAGCGTATTATCCTCTGCTCTTTTCAAAATTCGAAAGTGCGACGAGACAAAGAAATATTCTGATGCGTTCAGCTGATATATGGTTGGCTCAATTGTTTTGTTGCCAAGGGAATTTCATGTTTGATTAGTTCCTTCCGCGTAGGCTAGGTAAACACACGAGCGATCGATCGTAAACTCAAATAAAAAACATGCCTACGAAGCGAAAGCTAGCCATTCTATTGATTAAAGATAAGCAGATAATTATTTCACATTTCTATCTCATTAATATTCATATTTTCGATTATCCGGACTCTCGATTATCCGGACTATTTACCGAGGTCCCGATGAGTCCGGATAATCGAGGTTCGACTGTATTTAACCTATAGACAACCTTTTTCTGTGTTCACGTAGCCTCATCTAATTACTTAAAGGTTGGTAGAATTTGAGATAGTTTAGCAGTCCAGGGTTTTCATAACTGTCACAAATTCATCCAACCCACTTCTCAGTTGTTCAGACACTCTAAAAAAGTTCTCCACTGCTCTAAAAATGTTTCTCATCAACACTTATAAATCTATCATGTCAAAACCTAGTTTACATACTGCCATTGAAAAAAACCTATTAACCAATGAAGGCATGCTTACTACCTAATTTATTTTATCAATATTTAAATTGAACCATATACTTTGTTACTATGAAGAATATCATTTCTTAAGATTAACATTGTGTTTTGATTGCCATCTTTGAGGAGGGAGTCTTTCAGAGGTAATGTCACAGACTATTTTGGGTTTGACACTTACTAACAGCTGTAAACAATATCTATTTTCAACAACAAATAAAGTATATGTTATTGAACATTTTGAATCATATATAACTTTAAAGTTGCTCTGATCCATGGTGATTTGCATCCAAGCCTGTTATAATCACTAGGTGATTATGATTATGTGCCAATCAATTCAAATGTGAACTGGAAGTGTCAAGGCTTTCCAGTGGAATACATTTTATCGTTTGATGTGGAAGTATTCAAGGGTGAAGAGTTTGTTTTTCATGATTTTAACATCATAGAGTAATGCTTACAAGTCAAAAACAGAAAATAATACACCAGAAAATAATACACCATACCTTTTCTTCTCACTGATTTTAATAACATTTGTTCCTGGGGGGGAGGGGGCATTTGGCCCAGGGAGGGGAGAAATTTGAATAAACCAATCTTAAAAAGTTGAAACTCCCAGGGGGATGTGGGGGGGAAAGACAATCCAAAACTCATACAGATCAACTTCTTGATATTTCTGAAGCAGTTATACCCATCAAAGTAATACACCATACCTTTTCTTCTCACTGATTTTAATAACATTTGTTCCTGGGGGGGAGGGGGCATTTGGCCCAGGGAGGGGAGAAATTTGAATAAACCAATCTTAAAAAGTTGAAACTCCCAGGGGGATGTGGGGGGGGGGGAGGGGGAGGAAAAGACAATCCAAAACTCATACAGATCAACTTCTTGATATTTCTGAAGCAGTTATACCCATCAAAGTAAGATAAATACTTCTTAGCAATAAGTTGTACCTATATTACTTACATAGACCATATCATATGACAGGCTTTCTCTCTGATGAGTCAGCTGTTTATCTATGATGTACTGTGCCATACCACCCACAAATTCCTGATATCTGTCTGGGTGGACTCCTGTGGGGAACTCATCATCGATATTTTGTACATCCCAACATTCACGAATGTAAGCTTTCAACTTACATGCTTCAAATGTACTGTTTATATGGTTGGTATCTAAAATCCTATCCAAAATGCTGGCAATTTCCAAAGAACCTGGTGAAACCACAACTTCTTCAAGGTTCAAGTCTCCAGAGGTTACATCTGGTTCTTTGGAGCCAAGCTTTTTCTCCAGGTGTGATGTAAAGGACTGTCTTGTTGTTATTGATGATACTGATGACTGTGACAATTCTTTATCATCTTGAATGCAAAATTCTTTGTGCAATCTGCAATTCAGAAGCAATCATGAAATGAATTTCTATTTGGGAATAATTCCTAAGATCTGATTATAACTCTACCTTCTGTTTGCAACACCTTCTCTTGTGAGTTGGCAATGGAAATTTACCAACATATCAAAATTGAAGACAACAATCTTAAGCTGCTTACTTGATGCAGATAATATATGGTGTTGTAAGAAATAAGTTATGCATGGATACTTCTGAAATCAAAAATGGATTAAACATGAACAAAGCAAGAGTTTGATGGTCAAAGAAATGTTTTATCCAGCCATATGGTTTTACTGAGAGCTGACTCAAGGCACTACTAGTAATGCAATTAAAGTGACATGCTCCCTGATAAATAGCCTTAAATAGCCCATAGCCTTTTCACGGGTTAACTAAACTATAACCTTGGAGGTTATGAGCATTTTTAAAATAAAAGCTAACTTACTGCTAAATAGACAAAATACCTGATCTTTGCAGCCTCCAAATCAAGCATTTTTGATTGCAGTTTGTAAATTTGTTGATTTCCTTGCACCCATTCCTCAAATCTGCAGAACTGCAGACCTTCTGGAGTTGGTGTTTTACTACCTGTGGTGATCAAGTCCTGAGTGAAAGGGTGAGTAGTCTTAGGCTATAACTACAGTAATATCAAAATTAATAACTGTTTGTAAAATAAGGTGTAACACACACTTGAGATCATGTACAGGAGAGATTTTTCAGATCATACGCCTCTCATTTCGAAAACCCCATAATTTCCAAAGTCTTGCAAAGTCTATTGAGTTTTCCACACGACAAAGCAGCGACATGCGCTCGTTTCGCTTTATCAGGTTGATTTTCAGAAACTGAAAGAGGATCTAACGAAAGTTTTCCCTGCTTGAAAAAATGTGAACTCACAAACGGAATAAATTTACGTGACCCAGTACCTGTAACTGTTTTATACAGGAGCTCACATGCACTTGCTTCAAACACAGCACTTGAATCTTCAACATGACGATCTCCTTTGTTAGCTGACGCTTTTTACGCGAGTATTCCTCTGCATCTTCAGTCTTGCCGTCCACAGACTCTAATGCTCCCCAGGAACCCATCACCCACACAGTCATTGGCTCCGCGCCGCTTTCCTCATCAAGGCGCTCTTCTTGTGCGCTCAGAGAAAAGCACTGGCTTTGTAGCTCCGTTTTCAGGTGGCGATAGCTGATTAGTGATCTTGCTACTGTTTCTTCTGTCTCCTTTTTCACTGAATCTAATTCCCAGTTATCAAGGAGACGAGAAGACTCGAGGAGACCTGCAATGTCCACCATTTTTAAATGTCCACCTCGTTATGAGGACGAGTTGCATTACAGAAACAAGAGCCGGGGTGGGGTAAAAAAACATTTAGTTTTATCCTCAAAGGAAGTGATTGATAGATGAAAGTTGGAATCAATAAGTAGACTCTCGAAGTTTTTTCAAAAGTTTTCCTTTTTATTTCTTTTCTTAATTTAATAACAATTAAGAGCATGAATTGTTGGGAATTTGTCAAGAAAAATTTAACTTAGGTTCATAGTTTCCCTGAGGGGGTGGCTGAAGGAAAGCTAAAGCAAAGAAATAATAGATCGTAAATTGGTCAGCGGAAACACTTTTGTCATTTACAGTGCATAATGTATCTATGTATGCCGTTTTGATCTTCCTCAGGAAAATTTGAGCGCGGAAACCACTTGCCATATTTTCCTTTAATTTGAAATCAAGACGAAAAAAGAGGGAAATAAATAGAAGTATTTTATGGAGAAGCTTGTATGATTAGAAATTCCCAAATTTGGAGTAAGCCCGGGAGAATCGAACCGGATACGATGACCAATCAGACACAACTATCGAACCAGCTGTTAAACAAACATATGGTCGAAATTTAGAAAGTTCCTTAAATTTTGGTTCATCACCTGTTAGCTAGGGTTCAGATGGTCTTTTTATTTCGCTATGGGCAAAATGCGAATTTTTTCCGTTTCATTTTTACTTCTGGTCATTTCAGTCACGGTCGATGCCGACATCGATGCAGAGGAAGCAGCATTGCCAACAAAATGCCATGGTGAGTAAGGATTATTCTATTCTTCGCTTTTTTATTAATCCTTTTTTGTAAATGATACCCAAGGAAATAAAAAAAAGCTGTGTGTATAAATCTCTGAAAAACAAAAAGTTATTTCAGAGACACGTTACTTTTGACAAAAAGACAAATAAACAACAAAGTAGATGTAGTCTCCTGAGAATGACCTGTGAATTCTGCAGCTACAAATGTTTGTTTGCTCTCTACTTTTTATTTATTCGCTTATTAGCCGTTAAAACTGATCTTCCAAGAGACGATAAAATATTGTAAATTTAGACTCCACAAATTTTTTAGAGAGTATCTTATAGCTAATCTGAAGCTTTTTTCTGCTAACCATAGTAAATACGAATGCGGGGAGATTTTTTTTTCTTCACAAGCTGCTTGTTTGTTTTAGCTCAACAGTTATCTTTTCCAGCCAAATATATTATGCGTTAAAAATTTTCTTTCAATATTTCACACAACTTTTATGTGGCATTTTAACTTTGATTCGCCATTAAAAAAACTTTTGTCGTTCTTGAAGTTACCTGATCGAGTTCGATTGAAGAGATTCGAAACTAAATTTTGTCGAACATATGTCTGAAACATGAAACTGTAGCTTGCCAGTCAACTTATTTTTTGGAGCCAAGAGACGCGAGCACCATTCAATTAACTTCTGTTCATTTGATCGAAATGTTGATTAGGCTTTGTTCACAATCAGATCACTGACTCAAATTGTGTCATATGTCAATATGCACAATTGTGATCTTCTAAATTAACAGTAACCACACTTTTGATTGGCTGCCTCAACAAACTTAACTTTAAACAGGTGCAAATTGTTGGTTAATATTGGCACAGTTTAGAGGCCAATTTTTGTTTGGTTAATGTTTTTCTTTTTTGTGAATAGTGGTTTATGCCCTCAGAGCAAGGATTTGTTAATTCTCTCTCTGAGCACCTGCCTTGGATCTGCAATCTAAATTATTTCAGGTTTGCATTTCTAGCATTAGATTAGGCTGTAAACTGATAAGAATTTCTTGAGGATTTGATACCATTGTGACAGTAGTAGTTCCCCCTCTATCTTTTTCAAAGTCCAGTTAACCCATTAACTCCCACAGGTGATTAACATTTAAATTCTCCTTTAAATGTCCATAAATTATCCAGCAAGCAAGTAATGAGAATACTCAAACCTCTTGAGCAGAATTTGTCAACTCAATCTAACACCAGGTGTAGCACTCACAAGGGAGAGTTGAAATCAGATCTTGGGACATAAGGATAAGGGATAAATAATTTCTGTAAGAAATAAATTTTAAAAACAAAAATTGGTCTTTCTTAATGTGTTTGAATCTCTCAATGTTACAGTTTGTAAACACTTGGTACAAGAACTGCAGGATGAGCTTGAAAGGTCTGGCAAGTCCAAGGAAGTCTTCCAAACAGGGCAGATATTTCAGGAGCAGCGTAAGGAAATAAACTACCAGTATTCGTAAGTATGCAAATCATATTGCTGTAGTCAATTGCCTCTAGATCATGGGAAAAGGGGAGACATATTAGTCTTACAGCTAGTTTGGCATACTCTGGAGCTGGAATTAGCCAACACCAGTTTAAACCTTTTACCTCATTTATGTGGGGTTGCAGACCTCAAACACTTTTCAATGAATCATTAATTACATTTTAGAAACTCACACTCTATACTTTTATATTTTGTTGCAGTGAGGTTCGTCTGAATGAAGCTCTGGAAAATGCCTGTTCTAATGTTTTAGATTACAAAGTGCATAAAGACAAAGTGAAGGCTTTGAGATATGAAAAGAGTGAGTGAAATCATTGTATTCAAAAGTATTCCCCCTTTTCCTAATGCCTTGTGATATACAATTTTTGACTCTGAAATGAGTTTCCACCATAAACACTGTGTAAGGGTATTCTCTGTAGCCTTATTATACTGAGAGATGCTCTCCACTAGGAGGAAACTTTCACTGGGTAGTAGAAGCAGCTTTTCCTTCACAGAATATTTTCTGACAATTTATTGTTTTCTCTTAGAATTTGTATCACATTTTGAAAGAATGCCTGTTTTAAATATAATCCTCTGCAATCATATAGCTTAAGCCCAAATTTTCCAAATTGAACAAGTCCCACAATGGAGGGTGTTTTCCAACACAGGGCCATTATTGTAGATCTCTTTGTTCCAAACAGGGTCATGTAGGCTTCCATGCTCTTAACTGCCCCTTTGTACCTGAAATACCTGGACAAGTTAGCCTAATAATATACTGTGTTTTTATATGTCCCTGGAATTAAAACACAATACTAAGTTGGAATAATACTTCTCTCTCTCTCTCTTTCCAGAGGAAAGTGTAACATTCAACACCCTCAAAGGACTCAAAAATCGAGGAGTCAAGGTAGACCTTGGATTTCCTTATGAGATGTGGGACACGCCTGATGCTGAAGTAACAAGGCTAAAGAGCAGGGTAAGACCTTGGTAGACATTTTGTTATTTACGTTATGGGCTGTAGTCATTGGCATACTTTGTTGGTTACCTTGCAGGGATTTTCTGGCCATGATTTCAGTCAAAAAGATGGTGTATACTGATTGGCAAAACTGAGGCCTGATACCCTGAAATTTTCAGTGCAAATAGTCTGAGACAAAGCTGTCAATTGGCCATTAAGTTTCACTGCAGGTTGTTGACATGTGAATAAAACAGCTCTCATTCAAGAGAGAGATCAAGGACTTGAAATCAAGCACAGTTAGTCACACTAGGATATCTGTCTCCTGCCATACTTAGCACCCTGGCTGCTTTGCTGTTACTCAATAAATTCCTGTTCAACTTTTTCTTATAACTACATGATCTGTTTATCAAAATCACTAGCAACATAAATAGGGTCCTTGACACAAATAGTGATTTTCCACAATAAACAGAACAGCAGCTGTTTTTGAATAAGGTTCTGTAGTTTTGCATGTCTTGTCAGGTTACAGAGTTGTTTTAAAAATGGTGGTATCCACAATTAATTTTTCATTACATTTGAGGACAATTTCTGGTTGCAAAGAAGGCTTTTTAATTCAAAGCTCTAAATGCAGCAAGGAGTGAATTTTTATGAGTATTTTTACATTGTGAAGATACTAAGAATTATGTTTTGGCTGGAATATGATTTAATAATCACAGTTTATAACTACAGTGCCATTTCTTTCAGTGTGAATTAATGGTTGAGACGTATGAAGATGACTTGACCCAGTGGTACTGGCATCACCAAAAGGAAAATTTGACAAACTGGTTATGTATTGAGAGAGTGCTGGACCCTGGGGAGGAGGGTGAGAATTTTTTAATATCTGTTGTTTTATGTGGGTGTGGCCGTGCGAAGGGGTGTGGCACAGGGGCTGGGGTTTGCACTCTAGTGTCTGACTGGTTTTTGGGACCTTGTCGAGTTGTTTATCACCTCTTATTAACAAAGGTGGCAGTCACTGTCTTGGTAACATCCTTGAGATAAGGGTGCACTGTATGCATTTTTATTTTCCTCTCTTAGACAAGAAAACTAAGAAGAAGAGAGAGTTTCTAACGCGTTATGTTATCATTACGCCGTATAACAGAGTTCCATATTATTTTTTTCTTTAACGCAGAGTGTTTCAGTGAAACTGAAGCAAAAAATACAGATGACAAGAAAGGCAGTGAAGGGACAGAAGAGAAGGGAAAAGAGGGTGAAGACAAAAACAACGATACAGATGAAGACAGAGAAAGGAAAAAATCCGGAAAGGAAAAAAAGAAAGGGAAGGGAAAGGAGAAAGACAAGAACAAAGGCGGAAAGCCATCAGCTGGAAAATCGAAGAGGTCTTCGCAGGCTGAAGAAGATGATTCGGAGAAAATCCAGCGTCTCATTAGGCAACAAGCCCAAGAGCAAGAGGAACACCGCAAGAAACGTGGCAGGACAAAGGAGTTTGTTGGTGGTAAGATGGACGAACGAAAACGGCGAGAGTTCCAGACCAGGCTCCGAGACATTCACGATGTCGACCGTCTCCGACGCGAACTTCGGAGGATTCGTCAACGAGAAATGACCGAAGATGATTACAGTGCAAGAGAGCCTTGGGAACGCCATATGGACTCGAGCATTCCTGAAGAAGTCCGACGTGACATGCGACGACATCGGTTTGAGCGAATGAACGATCCCGAAGATCTGAGGAGAGAGTTGCGCATGCGAGCTATGGACCTCGACGATGATGACCATTTCTTCGAAGAGCACTCCTTCGCTTTTCGTGAATTGAGCCACCGTTACATGATAGAAGCAGAAGAAATTCGTGATCCTTTGGAGCTGAAGAAACGTATCGACGACCTTGACGCGCTGTCGGCGATATTTTCTAGTGGTTACGAGCGTGACCGACGACGAGGGCGACACGGTCGGCGCCCTTGGAAAGACGAATTTTGAAGAGTTGGTGCCGGCCACAGAAAGTTTTTTATCTTTAGCAGCCCCACATGAAATAGTGACACAGGGACCCTATCGAGCAGAGAGTGAAACAAACTGGTTTTCACGGACTCTATCAATTTGGTCTGAGGTTATGAATTTCAATCGGTTCCTCTCGCAGAGGGTATTAGTTTAAAGTAATTTTTCTTGAATAACATAGATAGACGGGACTGCATTGGTATTGCTTTAAAACCCCCTTTTTGTCATTAAAAACATGCGTCTCGCACTTAACTCTCTAAAAGCATCAAGTGCAGAGGAGAATAGGGATTTGATCAGCGCCTACTGTCAGCCTCGTACTCAGGTTTCTCTCTTTTCTTGAAACACGTAGCGCAAGGTGTCATGGGCCAGTCGCTCTCTAAGAGTTACGAAAGCCATGTTACCATGGTGCAGTGTTCACCGCTTTTCCCGCCATTGTAGTAGGGTCTGGCTGCTATATAGACAAAAAACCTACCGCTTTACATGTTTCAAGGACGACATGTCACTTAGTAACTATTTAAATTAATTCTTGACTCTGTTCACAAATTTCCTTTTTGGCAGGCGTTTTTGATTGGCTAATTTGTTGGGCTGCTAATGATTAGAACATTAAGGGTCTTGAATTAAGTAGAAATATAAGCAAAGGACATTCCAGATGCACGCATCCTTTATGGTGGAAAACAAGTTGTGTATTTTGGTTTCTATTAAAAGTTTGTTCACACTTGCAACGCAAAATGCATGTAAATTTAATTAACACAAATATAAATGACTGCCCGGCGTAAGGAATGGAAACATCGTTTTCTTGCGCTTGCCTTCTGTGCATTTGTTTGAATTTGCTTCATTTGTGTGAGCTGATCCTTAAGCGCACGCAAAGTTTAAGAAAAATTTAAGGCTTGATATGATTGTAGGAAAATAGTTTAACTGTATTTGTCGAAATAAATGACTGGTTTCTGTTCTTTTACGTGTCACATGTTACATGCTGAAAGACGGGCTTTAGTTAGATTACTATTCGCTCATAATTAAGAACTGGGAAAATGAAGGATAGTTTTAAAAACCGATGTTACTATATTTTCTTGTTATTAATGAGCAATTTAGTGATCAGTGTACGGAATTAACTGAGTGGAGGTTGGAACGCGGGGGAGGGGGGAGGGGAGCTGAAAACCAGCGCCCAGGTCCCAAGGTTTTGTTACATATTTTTCGATGTAACAAACTTAAGGCTAATTGTTAATCGTTCCTACTAAATCTGTCTTTTTTTTCTTTTGAAATTTTACTTTCTACATATCTCCTTATCAATGTTCCGGTGGTTTCTTTTTTTAACTTCAGGGCATTCACTCTCCACGACTTTTAAACAGTAAAACAACTATGAAGATATCACACCATCGCAAATACGTTTAGAGATGAGAATTTTCGAATGGACTTAAGATGCAAATTACGTCCTTTGACCCGGTAGTTATTCTCAAAGATTCCATACAACAACAGGTTTTGTAAAGTTCCTCTTGTATCTAATTTTTCGCTTCCGCAGAAATTGAAACAGAAGGATTTTAAAGAACATATTTTCCATTTCAATTTGCATTGAAGCGTTGTACATTCCTTTTGACATTTATTTCCTGTAACAGCTACAAACAAAACCCAATATGTGTTTTACAATCTTTAAATCCGATGCAATATTTTGATAGGGCGTCTACACACGAAAAGATCGCGAGATCAGTGGACTGAATTTTAACCACGCTTTGTTTGCATATTCTCAGTTTACAACATTAGTTTACTACTAACAATACAGACACAGGCCGCTCAAGCTTACGTCTCGAGAAAAAGCCAACGATTAATTAATGAAAGCGTCGTGCGTTGTGTAACTCGGTGCTAAGTTACGAGAGGAACCGTTGAAAATTTGAACACGTTATAAGGAATAGTACTGAGAACGAAATATGGTCTATTTACAACGATAAATATTTCGAAATATGAACATTTTACACGTAAAATTAATAAAACTTACTCACATCCTGTGTGTCCGTTGTAGTTTCTGGCGATTTCTACCGTTTTAAGCTTGCCATGACTGTTATTCCTGTCAAAAGACTTCACACCGAGTCACACAACGCGTGACGCTTTTACTAATTATTCGTTGGCTTTTTCTCGTGACGTGAGCTTGGGCCACCTGTGGTACAGATATCTTTTCACTGACGCACTATTTAGATATGGCTCAAGTAAAATTGAGTTCCGTGCAAGAAACAAGAAATAACGATGTTTATATGAAAATCAGTAATTCAAAGTTTTGTTTACATCTTGTTTTGTTACTTTCGAACTAACTCGTTAACTAACCATTACGATCGAGAACTCTCTTTCCATACATTAGAGTATTTGCGCACAATTTCGTGGATGGAGATGTTTAGTAAAAAATCATTGGAACTTATTTTTTTCACACTAGCTTCGGTCGCAGATTCTCCTCTTGTATTAATTGTCGATGACTTTTCACTTTTCAACGATCAAGATGTAATCTGTCTCATATTCGTTCTACCTAAAGTCACTGAATAAACAGTAAGCAATATAGCTCGGCGAATTTCTCGCATACGATAGCAGTAAATCAAAGGATTTATGGAAGAGTTTATGTTAATAATTGTCAGTGTGAAGTTGATAGCGATCCAATTCCATTCCGTGTATCCCATTATTTTGCCCAATGCAAGGCACAAAGAGTAAGGGAGATAGCAACACAGTAGTACACAGTACACTAGGAACATGTTTAGAGCCCCCTTCCTTCGGTGTTGCAGCATAAGATTTTTAGACTTATTGTCAACTTCGTGTCTTAAAGTTTCAATCCTCTTCAGATGTACACAAGCGATGCGGTAAATGTTGATGTAAGCCGCTGTTGAGATGACCAGGCAAAACATTATTCCTGAGACGAAAAAGTAGGATCTATATGAAGGAGCAAACATAACCCAGATCAGAGGAGAAATCGCGCCAAGAAGCCATAAAATGACGAGAAATCGGCGGACACGTTTCAATGTGATGACATCTTCGCATCGTAAATGGAGGCGGAGAGACAGATAACGTTCTAAACTGATTGCAGTCACTGTTCCAAAAGACACGCAAGAGAAAATGGACGCTGTTACTGCTACAGCAACAGACATTGTGCAAGTAGATTCTTTAACTCCCCGCTCGGCAAACGAGATTAGATACGCGATGTAGAGTGGCTGCAAAATTAGACCGACTCCTAAATCAGACATGGCGAGGCTTATCAGCAACATATTTGCCGGAGTCCATAGCGAGTACGAGTGCCAAATTGAGATAATGACCAAGGCATTGGTCACTGTTGCCGTGATGCAGAAAGGAACGTTTAGAACAGCGTTGACAATGAAAGCTGTTCTGAACGGATCATTCCCAAGTGCTGCCATGTAGCTAAAACTACTGAAACGATTGCAAAAATCATCCTCTGAAATATTGCGGGACATGTTCGTCACTTACTGTGTTCTTGTTAAATCAGGTTTTTACTGCTGTGAAAAAAAACCATTTTATCTCAATGGAACACATTAAGTTTTTAGTTAAAGGAATTAGTTCGTGACGTATTAATTTGCACTTTCCAATCTTTTGGCCAATTAAATTGCACGAAAGGGCAGTTTGAGGGCTTCCTTTTTTTCCATATCAGCACCTCCATAAGGAAATATCAATATTACCAACTTGTGATATGCAACGTCAATAATTTCTTTAAAATAAGACCCAATATGCCTGATTTCATCCCTTTATTTATTTTCCTGATTTCGTAATTATTCTCGAATAAGCCACGATTCTTGGACGAATAATTTTGTCTCGAAGCTTCTAATTTCGTGCAATCAGCGATGACTTAGCATTTCTGTTTTCTTGTTACTTAGAATAATAAATTTCGATCTCCGCGATAAGCTACCATTGGTTTTGAAGTCCAATGAGGTATATTTCCTAATTTAGTACAATCTGCGTGTCTTTCAATCAACAGCTGTCAAACTTGAGCAACGTGAATATTTATTTTCCTGAGAATGTAACAATTGACTCCAAAAGATTCGGATCTCTTTTTCTTCTTTCAAATTTTATTTCACCTGGACCCTAAAATACTTCCGATCTCTAACGTCAGATAACTCTGAGGAAGCGAAAGTAAATATTCCGACATTGTGTTTCCTCGTCGTAACAGAAGCGACTCGAAAAATGAAAATGAAAACGGCGGTTTTTAAAAAGCAGTTGCCATCAATCAATGACACAGCTCTAGCTTTGCCAAGGTGACAAAAGTGTAAGTAATGAAATGTGCGGCAAAAAAAAAACACAAAAAAACGATATTTCCACGGATTCTCTTTACCTTCCACTATAAACAGTAATTTTAGCATATTAAAGGTCTTGCTTTTATTTTATTCACATCATTCAATTATACAAACTTGCTTCTAGAAGCCATTTCAATTTGTTTGTTTGTATAACAATTTTTAATCGACAGCTTATACGTGACGAAATACGTCTCTGTGTTAGAAGAAAAATATCGCGAATCTGCAGAACTCTAAAGAAAAAGGATAAAAGTCATTGCCAATTCTGAAATGGAAAAGGGAGATTTTAAGAATAAATTTATCACTTGAGAATGTTTGCCGTAAGACTGACAAGGCACCAAAGTTTTTTTTTTTATCCGTAAATTACAACAAAACAGATAAAGAGCAGAAATAAAATTTAGATCCCTTGGCCAAGAGAAATTTATTTCCATTTGTTTGGTTCTGAATTCGGAAATTAAAACAGTTTTTGGTTATCCGCTACGAAACTTCATCTATTACGTTATTTAATCACCTGCTCCTTATAATTTTCCTTTCAAGACTTTTTCTTAAAAACAATGTAGGAAAACACGCAAATTTTGTCGCTGAATAGATCTTTGAAGCTGAATAAATCTTTCTAGTTCTCTTCCTTTAAGAATCAGAAAAGAAAAATAACGAGATATATGGTAATTATACACGTCATAGCTATTCCAATGAGCGTGTTAAGAAAATCTAGTGATTCTAAATTGCGGATCTCACAATCTTGAATATGGACAAAAGGAGAAACGTGCTCAACTGAACGTTCAAAACCACATGTTTTCCTCCAAGCTGTTATGTGATGACAAATTAAATTTCGACTCCATGATATTAAGCAATCGCTGTATTTATTTAAAGCTCAGCTGTGCAACTCTGCAAAATTAATCAACGATATTGTCTGGGCCCAAACTATAGCCGCTCATATCCCTTAAAATTCTGAGCCATTTTCTCGCGAAAGTGAACTTTCTACCGCAAAAGACTTAACAGCTCCGGTTCAAATTTCCCACTCACACCGGGCACAGACGACAGTCAAATGCTCGTGGGTTGCCTAGGAGGGAATGTTCGAGCTTCTAATTGATCGGCGCATAACCTACTTTATAATGGTGTTTACATTTCACATGGACAAAAGTGCTCTTTGTTAGCGGAAATACCGAGAACGGGATCCGGCTAATATGAGACCACCTTGCGGAAACTACGTAAATAAATGAAGCAGGAACATGATCTTCTCTGTGAATCACGCTTAAGTTAAATTAATTGACACAAGGTGTCATACGCATGCGCAAAATTCCATAAGAGCTCTTCGACCTTGGGCGAGAACCGAGGTCTGGAGCCAAGGACATAAAAACTTCAACGTGCCGTGCAAAATGTGTCACGGTGTTATACTGTAGAACTGAGCAAAAAATAAGGAAGGAAAGCGAGAACCTAAATAGCCACACTTAAGCCAAACTCATTCCATTTCTTGTGCTTCAAGTTTACAGCAACGAAAATTTAAGCGCATCTGATTGTCATGTTGGTGATTAAAAGTACTTCATTGGCTTCGCTTATGTCGTTGTCGTCTTTCACGCAGGCCGTATTCGATCAATACTTTGGACAGGATTATACAAGTAACCGTGCTTGATACGATCGTTTTAATTTGGAAGAAGGTAGGAGGCACTTCCCAGTAATAGGCTTATGTAAATGTTCCGCTGGATGAGATCGCATTTCCACCATTGGATTAACGAGGGAGATTGATAAACAGAAAGTGACCATGTTGGGAACATTAAAAAACGATTTGCCCAAAAGTGACTAAGATGGGGTCTATAATTGGCCACAGAATAGACTTTAATAGGGTAGGGGTTCTGGGAGGCCAGCGACACATACCCAGCAAAAATTGATCCAAGTACCCCTCCCACTGGTTGTTTCATACCAGCACTTAAGACAGGTACACTATTTATAAATACAAGACTCACTTCCATCACTTTTTTATCACTATTTAGGGCACAATTTTTGACAATCCAAGTTAACTCCATGTCTCAAGTCTTATTTACACTAGAAATTAAACTTTCTATGATACTTTTTCCTTAAGTTAGTACTCCACCACAGACTAGATTAAAATCAGGAAAAACAAAACAAAAAAAACAACAACCAATTGAAAAAACAAAAATAAAGAAAACACAAACATGACAAGTTCTTTAGCCTAAAATCCAACAAGTAAGGCCTTGAAAAAGAAGATTTGTCAACAGGGAAATCTGCTAGTGCAGAGGACTTCACAGAGACACTTGCCATAGAAATTATTAGCGGTTTATGTAACTCCTGCGGGAAATTTTGACACGTTTTGCTCACTAAAGTAGATTGAGATTAATTATATCCTTGAAAAGTGCAATTTCCGACGGAAAAGTGTTCGTGTTGAGCTCGACGAAATCTACTTCCTTCCGCGCGATCCTCTGTACTTTTTATACTTCTTCCCGCGTCCATAACCCCTGTTATACGATCCTCTGTTATTCCCTCTGTTACCGGAACTTTTATTTCCCCCACGGAAACCAGACCTCCCGTAACTGGGCTCCTTCTGCCCGTATTTTGATTGCCTTTTGTTGTTCTTGCTCTCTTTCAGGTGTTCAAATTGATTCTCGAAGTCCACGACACTGTTCGAATTTTCCGTAAACTGGAAACATTTGATTGGTGAATTACTGACATCGTCCCAGTCCACTTCGAGTTCATCAGTGTCTTCTGTTGCAACAGTTTGCGTGGGTTTCTCAATCTGTCTGTTTTTTGCAACAACCCTTCAATCAGAAAATGTGTAAGGCATTGCAAAATACTGCTATGATTCACAATATTAGCCATATTTGTGTTACAATTCCCTTTCCCCCCGTTGGATTGTTTAGTTCAAAAATCTACGCTTGGAAGGCGAACTGGTTGGTTATTTACAAGGGAGGAGTAGAGCTGTAAGGTAGAGTGGAGGATTTCACCCTTTACTTAGACCCGTAAACTACTCGGCCACTGGTCTTTTGACAGAGTCAAGTTACAAACGTTGAAAACAGATTCAATTGCTCATATGAACACTAGACACGTATTTCTAAGAATGGAGGTAGAATGTGCTATTATGCGTTACGAGTTGATGTGTGAACATTGATGAGTCTCCAAGCCTTCTTGGCATCCTTCCCACCCACAACGCTTGCAAAATTTACTCTTACCGTAGTAAATGAGGAAATTAACACAAAACTTTGATAAAAACAGAAATGCACCTTCTATCTTTGTCTTTGCTGCTTCCCTGACTCCTGTCTTTCAGGGTAACTACTGGAAAAAAGGACATCAAAAGGTTCGATAGAGATAGTACTTTTTAGGCCGTGTCGCTTCAGAACAACAATAGCAGAACCATATGGTCAAGTGGAAGAGCAAATTTCCGATCGATTCATTAAAAGAAAGTGTTTCCCCCCTCCCACCCGCCTTGAAAGGAAGACCTTACTTTACGAAACTTTTCAGTTGGACGAAAAGTCTGAAAATTTTACCTAACAAATCAGACTTCAGAATTACCGCTACTTCCCCTGAATGGGAACTCCTGTCCGTTGCATTTCCCGACAATCAACTGGCACCAATCCAAACTACTGAGTGAGATGAAGCATAGTGAAAGTTTCTTGCTCAAGATCGTAGGAAACTCAACTACCTTGACTAGAGCTCGAACTCCGGATCTTTCGACTACAGCATAAAGCAATAACTACAAGGAAAGAGTTTTTCTCACATAACTGTTAAAAGTAGACCTGATGTGATTCCAATAAACCGTCCAGCGAAAACCTTATTGCTCCTGGAAGCTCAACAAAAGCATCCACAGGTAACCAGACAGTCCAGCAAAGAACTCACCTCCTACTTTACGCTGCGCTATTGATGTCCTTTTCTTAGCCTCCAGTTCTTCATCCACGTGCTGCGAGTACATTTCTTTCGGAATCTTCTCGTTACAGAGCTCACAGACCACGTGATACTCGTCACTCTCCTCGCTCTCAGAATCTCTTGGCCTCCGAGACTTCTTGGCCTTAGAGCTTTTTGATAAAGATAGGGGGCGTTTCTTGCTTCGACCACCAAGTATGGCAAGTGCGATATCATTTTCGTCGGTTCCTTCTTCTCGAATTTTCCTGGATTCTTTACAACGCGCAGAAATGCGCTGAGCTCCGTACTGCATCATGAGGCTGTCATCACATATACCACTACTAACTGATGAATCGCTGTCCGACTCCACTTCTTCTGTTCCACAGGTTTGTCGATACTCGGGCTCTTCGGTACTGCCACTTTCATTTTCTTGTCTTTCCTTGCTCATGTTCAAGGGAATGTACTCACCGAGGAATGTCTGTGCTGCTTTCTTCTTTTCCGCGCTGAATGGACAAAAAGGGAAAATGACATCTTCCGAAGTCCTCAGGGAAGAAAATTCCACCAAATACAAAACAAAATGAAAAAGCAAGAAAAGAAAATTTTGGCGCGCATATCAAAATGCACTAATGAGTGCCAAAGGAAAGAACAGAAATCCCTAATTTTCAATCAGTGTTCTTAAAGGAAAACTCTGCAACAGAAGGCTCATTTATTTATAAGTACATGAATATGATAAGCTGAATCCTACAGGGATTTTGATTGGTTCGTACTAATGATCTACTGGAGGGCAGATGCATAGATGACCTTACTATGAACATCATTTTCCTTGTTTAGCGTGTAAACAAATGCGAAAAAATTGCATGTTGCCGCGGGTCTGTACAGTGTAAAATATCACAGAAAACTTCAAAATGTGGTGGGGACATTAGTGACATTCTCAGCTGCGCATAAATGCCACTTTTTTGTTGTTCCCACATTTTGACGTCATCTGTGATATAATACTGAACAGACCCACGGCAACATGGGATCTTTTTGTTCACTTAAACAGTCTGGGAATCAACTCCTCTCACTGGCTACCAAATATGTCTTCTATTACTTCTTTCAACAAAATCAATCAAACAAACAAAACAATAGGAAAGGAATGCAACAAAACCCTGACCCCGGCATAATCGTTTCCCTTCCTGGCCCCTCGCACCATCACAACTGCATAATTATAAACGTGGACCAGAGTTCTATCCATCGAGAAAAGTACAAATAAACTGAAACAATTCTTTATTTCCGCAATCAGCGTCAACTTTTTCACGAGCTTACACGCATCAAAAAAGAAAAACGATCACGTTATTTACAGTAAATGTGTAATGGCCAACAAGAAACTTTCGTGATGATCAGGATGTTCTTTTAACTTTGGTCACTTCACTGTATGTTATCTTTTCCACAGTTACGTTTGTATATTTAAACTAAACTTTTGGAATGGAAGACCTTATGTAGTGCGTGATCAACCAACCAGAACTTTCACCGATTGTCGCCGGCCGCGCATGTGTTAAAACATGGAACACCAGAACAAGCTGGGACATCGCGGAATTTCGATGAAGGAAATTAAATATTAAATAATAGTATAATTAAAATACATATTTTTTCCTATGTTGGGAATTAAACACACCGACAGAGGGGTTACTAGTCAGCGGAAAACCAAGATGGCGGACTTGACGCACTAAGAGCGCGAGCGACACACAAATTGAGTTTTATCTTTCTTAGATATATCTTAACTCTTTCTTATCAAATTTTACGTTTATTTTCTTTTCTTTTGGAAATTCCACGGTATTCCGGCATATCCCGGCGTTCCGTTATTTTTCCAGTGTTTCAGTGTTCCTGGTGTAAGCACATGCCGCGCACGTGCACGGAGGCCTTTACACACATCTTCCCGAGAGCATTTTAAAAACTACACCACGCGCTCACTTAACTGAAGACGGAAAAGGTTGTTGGTAGATTTAAAGACAATATAATTAAAACAACTATTAATTTCAAGATAAAAATAATGGTTATGAAACAAATAAAATCAAAACCTTGATGTTTCAAGCCAGTTAAGGACACTAGGACTGGTTTCTCTCTCGTTTTTCTCGTAAACTGTCTCTTCACTCTCTGACTCAGCCCTTGAGGCTCCTTTGGTGTCCCTACTGGGTTTTCGCGAACCTCGATCAAAGCTTCTAGAACTACCGTGTTGATCAAATATTCCAGAGGTTGCACAACTGGTTTCAAAGTCAAGATTTCGCTTAGCAGAGGCAGAATCCGACGTTGAAGTGTCTTTCTGGAGTAGTTTCTGTCTCGCCAAAGGAGACCTCTGAAGCACGACTCTAAGGTTTTTCAACTCTCCTCTTTCGCCACTTAAAGTACGGTAAACTGTGTTCGCACCTTCGGAAGGAACACTGCAAAAAGAAGCAGGCTATGTTCAGAGTCATTATCGACTTAGATGCCGATTGTGTGACTCGGACAAACTATCTGACTATAATTAGAAAGGAGATGGGCTGGCACAGTCATTAATTTGTCTTAAGTTTATTTACAGAGCGCAAGTCGAGTGAGCAAGTCGCAGTTAGGTTTACACGTGGATGTGATTGGTTGAGAGGATGGCCCAATCACAAGGCATGATAGAACTGCTAAACTCTAAGATCATTTCGAACACTCAATTGAAAGTTAGTCTTTTCGGTGTTTCAATATCTTGGAAAATCAGACCACCCCGGTAGCAGCTTGCTCGAAATCTCGGCATTCCTGCCCGGCTCATGACAGTACCGTGAAACTGGTCTAATCTAGTAAGATAGAACAATCTTATCCAAAGAAACTACACCATAATAATTTGAATTGGTCCTCATTAACAGCGCTAGCTTAAGTAACTCCTTTCGATATTAGCTGCAGAACCTTTGAGAGTGAACTGCAACCACGGTTACGTTAACGTGCTAAAATAACTTAAATCTGAAAATAGCCAGTTACAGTACTATACTACACCTTTAAATACCCTCTTTGGATGAACCCGGTCTATTGAGCGGGCTAAGATCCCAAGAGCGGGCTGGCTAACATCTCAAGATCTCACCTTGTTACTTAAAAGCGTCCATAAGCTTTTAAAATGAAACTACAAAAATAAAGCCTTTTTAATCTCGGTAAAAGAGCTGACAATTCCCATAACGGAAGCAATTTGGCTTAACTTTCAAACTCTTGCCCAGTTACCGTCCTCATATGAACTGTCCTTCGAACTTTTTGACAACTATGTTAGAATGGCACATAACCAGCCTGCCACGTTATCGTTCCCAACTTTCCCTGAGAATGTCTGATAACCACAAGGCCTGGTTACTTCAAACACATAGCTCCATGCAGCAACTGAAGTAAACCCTAACCAAGACATTCACCTTCTGAAACTCGGTCCAGGCTTGCTCCTAAAACCAGGCTCCTCCCTGTTCGTTTGTAAGCCAAACTGCGCCTGTGGGGGTGGACCCTGGCAGTCTGATGCATGAGCTTCTATTTCTTTGGAAGTAAAACGCTCAAAACACAACGGGCATTCTACCGTTGATTCCAATAGTGCATCCTCTGTTATTTCGCTTGGCTGCTTCACTTCGAAGTGGTCTTGAGAGCTGAAATGCAAAGGAGCGTATCATTAATAATGACCTGGTGCTATATTTAAGTCATGCATGACCAATATCGTTTCTCTGATGTATACCTTGACGAACACGCCTCAAGCAATCCTCTTCGTGTCTTCGTCTTTAGTCTGTTCTCTGCAGCAACTGCTGCTCTTTCAGCTGCCTCCGAACGCTTCTCCCTCGTACGCTGACTCTCAGTCACTTCAAGATGATCTTCCTCTACAAATCTATCTTCTGTCTGCTTAACAAAAGAACTTGCAGCCGTCAATGAACTCCCAGTATTTTCAAATTCACCGACAGCCTCAGGTTCTTTGTCCAGTTTACTGGACGTTACATCAGGGTTGCATAAAGCTTGTGATGGTTTCAGTTCATCATCCTCCACCTCCTTCCCCATCTTCTCAAGAATACTCCTACTAAGCATGGCTTCGGATTCGCTCTGTGGAGACACAAGATGTTCCTCTACATTCTCTTTCTGCTTTCTGTTTCTAGTTGCAGCTGTCTTCGTGCCTTCCTCCTCTGATGTAGCCGGTCTCACACACTCGTTTTCATCATCAGTAGAGTCATCCTCGATGAAAGGCCGCGAAATACTCCTATGCCTTGGAGGCCGAAGAACATCACCCTCGTTTTCTAGTTCAGTTTCCATCAAGCAAACATCATTTTCAACTTCCCTACCATCTGGTAAAACGTCTATTTTGCTCGCTGGACTTTCACCTTTAGCCTCGCCTTTAGTCTTTGCTGAATTCGCTACAATTTCTTTTTCTTTTTCACCTTTCGGAGGTGAGCTACCCATAGCAACTGACTGGATTTCAACTGAGTCTAAATCTAAGTTAACACTGCCATCGAATAACATTTCTGAATCGCGAACGTCTACATTGGTAGCTTTCTTACGCGCCTCTTTTGGATCATTATTACGCGAACTATTAGAATGAACTCCGCCTTCGCTTGACGTTGGTTTTGTCAATAATGATTTTCCTTTCAAGCTAGCTCCTCTTATTTCCCGAGTCTCTACAAAGTCAGAAATTTTTCCACTTCTTGCAGAGCTCTTCAGCGTTTTCTTAGCCAAGGAGCTCTTAGTTGGCGTACAATGTTGATCCAAATAGGATTGCATTAAGTCACCATCACCGTCACTATCACTGTCTATTTTAAACGGAGGTGCGGTAACTGTACTCGTTGATTTACTGCTGGTTGAGGAAGCAGTGGGTTGCTGAACCGTAGTACTTGAGCTTTTCAAAGTTCTTCTCCGCTCAGAAGCATCATTGTCTGAATAGTTCTTAATTCCGGGGCTTGTTTCTGAAGAGAAAAATAAAGGCCTTATCATTCAAACAAAGTTAAGCCGCTGTTTAACAAAAGTATCAAGAGGGCCGAAAGCTAGCAGTGGAAGGGCATTCACTTAATTTAATCAACCCTCTTATAGAGAAAGCCTGCGGCCCACTGATTACTTAAAACCGTGTTTTGGGATAGACCTCGTGTAAATAACCGGCCGTAAGAATCTTGTGAGAGTAATATCACTAATAACCAACTGCTAGTCACATTATTCAAATATCATAGCCTCAAATTAACAAGTCGTTACCATTTTGTTGCGTTTTGTTTAACCCTAGTAACCTGAGTGATAAACATTTAATGATCGCCATTTGGGTGTTGGACAAATTCTCATTGTGAGCACTACAGGAAATGTAAAAAGAGAGCAGTATCGAGAACTTTCATACTGATGTTAGGGCGTAAAATGCTCTGTTAGGCTGGCAGCTCCTAAAGATAATTAGAAAGCGCATAGTCTGATTGGATGAAAAATTATCGTTTATCGAACCGGTATGCCTAACACTACTATAAAAAAGAAAAATCAATAGATGGCACTTTCTATCAGATTTCCGTCGTTATCATCCACTACGGACAACGAGGAATCACACGTGATTAAAGAGAATTATCCTGTTTTCTAAACAGCTAGTGTCTTTTTGACCAATCGTTTGCTCTCAGCACGAGGAAGAGGGCGTCGTGCATGACGGGAGCCACCAACAGCTGCAAATAAGATTATTCAAAAGGCTGCGTGAGCTCTTATGATAGTAAATTGGTGGGAAATGTAGATTATTGTTCAATCATTCTGTACTTTCACCTTACTAAACATAACTCACCTCTACGTAACGATCCTCTGGTAAAAGGGGAGCCTTTTGTTCCAACAGAGGCAGTAGTCTTTGCCGACAGTGCATCCAACGTGTCCCCTTGTCTGCTCCCAGCTACGACAGGGGAACCCCAGGGAATGAGCTTTTTGACCCTGGACTGCGCCTTATGCAATTGCCTTCTATACTTCTCAAACATTCTGATGATGATTCGAGTATACGCTGGAATGCTCACTCCAGGAGGAGCGAAGTACAAATTGGCCTTCATGGCTTCTTTTAGAGAGGTGGGTCTGCACTGCACATTCTTGTATCGGCGAGATAGACGAACAGTTAAAGTTGTAGACTGTGAATGAAAATAAGTGCAATAAGTACAAATGTAATTTTACACTATCACTGTCTCTTTAAACCACGTTTGGGCGTAGAAATGAAAGTTTATTCACTGTACTTACAGCCATTCTTTTTGGAGAAGGATCATCAATTCCATCAGGTGACCTTTTACAACCTTTCTTGTTCACATCTTGCAATTCATCTGAATCACTATCGTGCACAACTGAAGACAGTTTTTGCCGTTTCGGAAGATCTTTCTTTTCCAATACTACAATTGCTTCCTCGTCATCTGTTATGTCATCATCATCTTGCTCAAGTTTACGCTTCTCTCCAGTGTTGTTATTATCTTCACTCTTGGAATTTTCCCTCTGAGATTTTTGATCATTACCCCTAACCTCTTCCAAAGTCAAATCATCGTCTGATTTTGTTCCTGTTAGGTTTGGAAAGCCTGATTCGTCTCTCTTAGTTCTTCTCAATTTCAACTTTCTCCTTACCTTCGTTTTGTGCTGCCTGTAAAACGAAACGTGTTTATAACTTAACACTCCAGAAGAAATTATAAAAACAGTAACTACCGTTTCGCCCGAAAATATTAGGGCATTTGGATGCAAACAATGCCTATTTCCTGAAACGCATATTTTTATGAGTATAGCTTAAGAAAAACTGAGATAAACTCCCAGAACAAGATATGAGCATTTTTTTCAACCTTATGGGAAGTACTGTGTTCATCATCCTCCAACATTTATATCTCTTTTGCAATGAGTGGAAGACAACAATTACAAAAATCATCACAAATATTTCCAGTTTATGATGTTGACTTTTTAGTTTTATTAATGACAGCCTTTTTGAAAATAAGTTTGTGTTTTCTCATGTATAAAATTCCAAACAGAGACTTTCCATGAATCTGTTGCAAGGTTGAAAAGTTGGAGAATATCACTTTTATATCCTCCAGTTTTGGTTGAGGCAAGAATATGTGGTGGATCATAATTACATTTATGAGTAACACAGAAGGTTTGCCATGTAACATCACACTTGAAAAAGGAAACAAGTCAACTGGAGGAAGGCTAACAAGTCTGTGACAATGTTACAACATACCTGGAAGAAGAGGCAGCCTGATAGGAACTTGACTCTTTTCCACTGTCATCACTTAGGTCAGCACCATTTGACCTCACAGTGACAGGTAAAGGGGGGCTGTTTGGATGGTCTGTGTCACTGTCAACATTCCTAGGCACCTAAACCAACATCACACATGTCAAATATACTGTAAACTGTATTGAAATATACCGGTAGTCAAAAATTTACACACCAAAACATGATAGTAAAGTCTAAAACCTTTAAATCACTTGGAGTGACTAGCACTTGATATCTCTTTAATGCATCATCACTAAATTAATATCCAGGTCATGAGAATAAAGAAAATTATCACCAACTAAAATAATATCTTGATTTTCAAGCAAATTTTCCAACCTTTCAACCCACAGTAAAAAAAATCTCCCATATAAATACAAAATTTGCCACAATGTGGATTAAATACAATCAGAATCAAAGTACTGTTTTTCTTCAAATAGAGCTTATGGTCTAATAAGCCTCCTCCCCAAAAGAACCGCCCACTTTCTTGGCCATGATGACAAATGAGGGCCCCTCTCACATAAGCATTCCCCCTCATTATTTACTTTCTTAAAAAAGTAGGGATACAATGAAAACCTGTTCCTATTGCCAATTTTATACCTTTTTAAGCTTTAACAACAGCAGAATTAGTACAGAAGAAAAATAAGCACCCCCCCCTCAAATACCCACCCTCCTTCTAATAAGCACCCCTCCTTTTGACCATAATTTTAAACAAGCACCCAGGCTACACAGAATTGAATTTTTAAAAACAATGTTAAATGCACCTTCTTTCTGGCTGGGTTTTCTTTTTCTTCAAGAGGAGTAGAGAACAAGTCTGGAGATTCAGCACGCTCTCTTTGATCTTCTTCACTACCTGCAATTTTTTTAACAATAAGTAATTTTATCACATATTCATTACACAATAATAATCTTTGTGTTTTATTTTTACAGTTACTCACACAAAACTGACCAAATTTGTTTCAGGCTCTAAGCACTGATTGGAATACAATCAGATTGAATCCCTGTGATAATTGCATCATAATTATATTTAATTAAAATTATTCTTATTTTTTAATTTAGGATCCAACAAATGAAGGAGCTATTAGCATAAATCTACCAGCATTCTATTAACCAATCTGATTGGTTAAGCTACAAGTCATCTATTCCGTGGCAGATAGCGAGCACACTGAGTAGCCTAACATGGTGTGGTTGTGAAAAATAAAATTAAAAAAAATTAAAAAATGACCCATCTTGTTGTAAAGTTTTGAACATGTCATGATAGTTAGCTTTGCTCTCATCAATTACACATGTAAAGTGACAACAAGCTAGAGCTTATACATGTGCTCTAATTGTTAAATAGTGAAGGGATTACAGAGAGGCAGGTATGTTCACCAAGATGGTGGTTGAGTCTTCAGAGTTAAATCATTTGTGACTACTGGGGTGTTGCTACAGCTGTACATGTACAACTGTAGTTCATCAAAAGTAACATCCCAGCAATTTGTCAGGTTTTCCAATCATTTTTTCCAACATTTTCATACTCTTGGGTGGAAAGCAGACAGGTAGTGGGTGAGCTTAGTGTTCAGCCAAAGGAAATAACGTAACAAAGTGGTCATGGCTTCAAATTGATTCCTCCCTGCATGGTTTAGTGTGATAAGCATAGAACTATTAATCTTCCCTCTGCACTGATGTGCACATCAGTTTTTTCCAGCAGATTTTCCCAATATCATATTTCCAATATTTTTCAGATTTTTCTAATATTTCACTACTTGTATAAGGTTTCAGTAACATGCGAGAAAACCAACATACCTGGGCTTCTTTTTGAACATTCTTTCACATTAGTTTTCAGTCCATCTGATCTCAGGGGCTTAATTTCCCCTTGAACATCGCTAATCTTAAAAACAACAGCCATGGAAATGTTTATTTTAAAAGACACACATCAAGAAGACAACAGAACTCACAGTGTCAAAATCACAGAGGTATACACTAATTGAAAAGATTATTGATCTACATGTACAGTATTACTTTGTTAAACAATTTAAATTGAGTCAAATAAGCCATGATAAATTCAGGCCTTCTACAGGATTCAGATCAGCAAAGATCCTTCAATACCATCCCTCCAGTACATTGTATATACATGTAACTCAATTCATACACTAATTTAACCAACATGTTCAAGTATGTGTGTTGTTTTATTCCAGAATAGTTCATCACCATATTGCTTTTCATGAAGAGATAACTTATCTTTCATACAGCAGCACTACTGTTTAACAATACCAGAATCTGGTAATGCATTTTATTTTTGTTTTTTTCTTCCCGTGTTGGTCTAGAATACTGACAGCAGTGAAATATATAACGTATGAACCAAGCCAAAAACCTAGAGTGACTTGGTCAGTCATATTTTTCCAAGCTTTACAAATTTTGCGTGTGTTTACAATTGGCTTCTCTCTAGCTTCTAGTAATGTAGCAATCTCAGTTGCTTTAATTGTTTTCTGGGTTTACTAAATCTAGATTTCATGGCAGTGATTTGATAACCCTTCAACGCCCCTGAGTGACTTGGGATAAAATTTCTCCTCACAATACAATAAAAGATTAAACAAACAAGCAATGAGACTAAAGAAAAATATCAATTGGGGGACACCACTAAATTCTCAGAACTAACATTATAGGAGTGATATGGCAGACAGTAATGAGAATTACTAATGAGATCTTGAGGATCAAAGGGTTAAGTGTTCTGACTCCATGAAAAAAAACACAACAACAGAATAAAAGAAACTGAAAAATCTTACCACATCTTCAAAGCTTCCACACATTTTCCTTCTTTCCTCTTGCTTATCTGCCTCAATTCTACTCATGATAAGAACTTGCTGGTTTGAAAAAAAATGAAACCACATCTGTGTTATACAGTGTAACATCTGGTTGGGTTGGCAAACAGAAGCAGAATTTCACTGTAGTGGAGTTTTACTGATAACATGACCACTGTAGGATGCTAAGGAGATGCCACACCCTAAGATAAGCATTCTGTGCTCTTGAAAGATCTAATGTTTAGGGTCCAAACAAGGGTGAATCTGCCTTGGTTTTGGGCAAGGTACTTCACTCTGCAATTGTCAGCCAGCTTTTGAGTACAAACGGGTACCAACACATTGTAGATAAAACTTGTGGAATATTTTAACAGTAAATGCACAAGAAGAATTCCTCCCATACCCATCCTCCCACAGAACAGGGATAGGATAAATTTCAAGAGAAACAAGCCCAAATGTTGGAAAGACTTAATTAATCCTACTTTACAGTGAAAGCACAGTCATGGAAAAGTCTTCCACTGCTTCCGGTTTTCCTGAAAGTTTGCTGGTTCCATTAGAGTAGAGCATCTTGCCCATGTTCATGTTAATATTAACTGTTAGTACATAGCATCTACCACAAAAAAGGTCTCTGCTTACTCGTAACTCCTCTTCATCCCAGTCACCATTCTCTTCACTACCACTACCTGTTGCTGAAAAGATTAAATTTACTGGACAGTCTATCAATTGACTTCAAATATTTAAAAATTATTCAATGAAGTGGGGGTAAACACATGTGGATATTCACCATGCCCTAAGGCAGCAAGGTGAATACCCACCACTTTCATCAACACTGATGTGAATAATTCTTTTGGTATATACCATACAGACACCAGAAATTTAGTTTATTTCTTTCAATATACCAAAAAATGGTAAAAAATTTAACTCTCAACACATGATTTTGTCTCATTGGCTGCTCGGAGGTGAATAGTACTTGCTATTCATTTCCAAACCAGCCAATAAGTTTGCCCAAATGGCACTATTCACCAGTGTGGTATATACTAACAACAAATATATCCTGGGTTAAGGAAGGGGTAAGAGTAGCTGCCCAGTAGCTCAGATACTGAGACTGAACCAAAATTACAGTGGCACCAGTTCAAGCTTATATTCCTCCCTAGATTATATCAAAGAGTTTGCTATTAGAAAATTTAACCTGTTTCTTGCCTCTGTGAGTGTTTTTTATTTTGATTCATTTCTAGTACAACTTTAGTGTTGAGAGGTTAAGTAATCTTACATGCTCATAAAGTATCTCAATGGTAACCTCTTACTTAATTCAGCCTCTCGTTTTTGCCTCCTTGTCCTCAGTCTTGATGACCTGTTATTTCTCACAGTTTCTGCCACCTCTTGCTACATTACAGAACAACAATAAGTAAAAAACAAAAACCGATAACTTATTCCATCAAACTAACAGTAAAAAAAAAAAAATTCCTCACTGTTACACCTGGAACATGAGAAATGAGTCTTTATCTGTTTACTGTGAGAAAAACACAATTTTGACCAGACACATGAATGAATTTCATGCTATAATACCCTTGATGATTGGAATTTTAAGCTGAAAACTTGAATTAAATAATTGACACCATAAAAAATTTGCACCTGTGATTTCCTATCAAAAACTGATGTTAAGTTCCCACTAAACAGAACAAGGGCAAGTTTTTAGATATCATTGCTTACAATCCTGAAAGATACTCTATAAATATGGAGCATATATTCAAGGAGCTATTAAGACAAAAGAACATGCATCTGGGAAGTGATAGCACTACACTTACTGCTTCTGTTTAAGAATCCCCTCCTCAATAAGATAATGATATCCCCACCCCTCCCCTCTCAAACCACACTCAACATGCAGATTACAATTTTATTTATAATGGTAATAGGACCAAGTGGAGTCCAATTCAGTCTGTGAGTCATACAAGTGATTAACAACATGAGACGACCGCAAAGCGAGTGTCTCATTTGTTTATTACGAGTATGATTACTGACAGAACTGGACGACAAGAAATCCTGTTACCAATTAATCATAAGCAAAAATTTCTCCAGTGGAGACAATGTTTTTAAGTTAAATATTCCTCCGTTTTGGAAATTGCCTTGTTTTTCTTTGGATAAGTGGTTGTTGCTATGGTTGTCGCAATCAATTCTGTGATTGGCAGATTTAGCTGAGTGGACCTCATATGATTGGCTGCTTCAACTGTCTGATTACAGCCAATTGTCTAATTCCACTGTCCGATTACAACTGTACAGAATGATTAGTGAAAAATTAAGCAGCTGATGCACTAATCACATTTGAGGAAATTGTAATGGTTATGATTAATAGGAAAATCATAATTATCAGATTTTGAATGAAAATCAGTACCATTTACGACCAGAATAAATGTAGCCAATGTCCACTTTCAGCTTCAGAGGATGGTTAAAATCAAAGCAGAATTGTCGAGCCTAATTCAACCCCACTGACAACAACATTAAATTAACTATTTCATCCTTCACCACTAACCGTATTTATTTCCTCAATTTCATCGTCATCGATATCCTCGATCACGACTCTGCTCTTCGACCGAGCCCGACTGACGAAATTTCCCATGCCTCTTGCATATGATGAGCTGCTGGCTTCACGACGATTTTTATTCATAATTTCATCAATTTCCCAGCCATTCGCTCCTTACACAACCACTCAAATCAGTAAAAATTGTTTATAAAAGCCCAGGATTTACTTCACCGAGACGATACCGTTTCACTTAACCAGGAACAACGATAAACACAAATCATATTCCGCCCTTCAAATAGGAAAAGAGATAACGATTCGCCTGGATGAAACCAAAATGGCGCGCGAAGCACCATGTGACTACCGCGAGAAGACTGGGCTCTAGGTCATTGATTCCTCAGTGGGCTCCTGAGGGGAGTTACAGTGGAACATGTCTAATGCCCCATTCACACCAAAGCTTAAACATGTTTAAAAGTTGTTTTGTTAAACACAGTTTAATTTTTTTTTCTTCATAGAAACTATTTAGCCGAATATTTTTGACTTGAATGTAGCACATTGGAAATGCAAGTTAGCAAGTACTTGAATCCAATGGAAAATCAAGTTTTTCAGTTCTCTGTTTATAATTTTCATTCAATGAAAACCAGTTTAACAAAACATGTTTTGCTGGTGTGAATGGGGTATAAGTTGAAGTTATGGTGCAAACGAAGATACAGCGACCTTGTAACTCGATCAAGAAACGCAGGAATTCTTTTAATTTATTACACAAATCTTTGGAGGTAAGCTTATAAGTACATTGGATTCGATCAGTAACAGTAACATTGTGATAATTAAAAGAGTTAAAGATAATCAGATCAAGGCAATTCATTTGGCTGAGTCCAAAATTTATAAATATCGATAAATAATTGTATGATCCAGTTTGAGATATAAGCATGATTCCTTAGTCTAATTACAGATGTAAGATTTAAATTAGAACTACTAGATTACAGAAACTCTTTATGGTGACTAATTTACATTATCAACTCATCTGATAAAATCAAATTACTTTTTTATACCCCTACTGACGCAGCTTCTTTACAACCTTACCCCGTTTATGAATTTGAAACAGTCGGACTATCATTCCACTGGCTTTTTGCACAAATTTTTATTGCTATGCACTACCATAATTTGGTGTGGCTGTTGTGATGTCACATGAAAACAAATCGGCTTGAAAGCACAGTGTGAACAAGGTATATCGGTAGATTGGTTGCTTAGAGGTTGTTAAGAATCCAATGGCTCACAATGAACAGAGTCTATTTTGATTTAATTTCTTTAACATTAATATATTGATAATCCTTTCAGCTGAGATATTGGTTCATTGCAAGCACTTAAATGTACTCTTTAATAAAAGCATAGGATTAATTTGATTATCCATAATAAGATAAGCTGATGTTCTGTTCTCCATAGATACAACTCACAGAAGGCTTTAGAAGCCTTTCTCCATGGGCGACCACAGCAACGAGCGCCAGTACCTTTTATGGTAATTATCATGCTATAATGATAAATTCAGTGCAATGTTCAGCATGAATGATAACAGTTTGGTATTTGGACTAATGCTCTAGGGAGGTTTGTCCTTGGAGGGGGGAGGGGGTGCCTCTCAGTAATAGGCTAATGGGGATATGCCCCTGGATGGAGTCAGATTTTCACAACAGGATTGACTATTATGGGGTTGCATTTTCAATAGACTGGAATGGAGTTGCACATTTTTGGGATTTTAGGGTAAAAAAATTCTGGCAAGGAGGGATTTAAAAAAAAACAGACAGTTATTAAGTTGGGAACACATGAATTAAATTTGCCCAAAATTTAGTAATTGTATACAATATAATAGGATATGGGTTCTGAAAGATTAGGGCACATACCCTGCAAAAATTGACCCAAGTACCCCCTTTGAAGTTGGAGAGTAACACTCAAATCTGTGGCAGTGGAGATGTAGAATACACTGGCCTCTCAAACTCAAACAACTTAAAATTTTGAAAAATGATAAATGCATTTGCTTTGGGACAGGACTTCTCAGTGGAGTTGGCAGTTAAGGGGTGAAAAGACAGTGATTCTATCAGCACTAAGATGTAAACAAATGGGTGTTAAAGCTTTAGGAAAAATGCTCACCTTTTGATGTCTATTGACTCATTTCATTGGGGTATGAATGGTTTTCAAGAGCCAGAAAAGTGAACTAAGTAGAGTGTTAACCCTTTAACTCCCATGAGTGACCAAGAAATAATTTCTCCTTACAATACAATATCAACCAGATAAGTGATGAGAATAAAGAAAAATATCAATTTGGGGATAATTAGTTGATCCAATATTAAATTCTCTGAACTAACATTTATAAGAATTGTAAGATTGACAGTAAGGAGAATTACAAATTTGATCTGGGAGTTAAAGGGTTAACCCTTAAACCCCAAAGAGTAATTAGCATTAAATTTCTCCTTACAACATCAGCCCTGAGTCAAAGTAAACTCCAGTCCTGTGTTCACAAAAGACCAACTTTTTATTCCAAACTTCAAGACATGTGTTGTTCCCAAGAGTAGGACACATGAACCCCTTTACACAAGGTATCACCTGAACACATAGCTCATGTAAACAAAACAACTGTAAAATAACATGACAAACACACAGCTACGTCAAAATGATCCCCAATTATAGAATCTCTTGATTGTTAAACAAATTCTCCTCAGCAGTACTGTAGGAAATGTATTGTGAACAGTTTGGAGAATATACATACTGATGTTAGTGTAAGATAGCTTAAGTAACACCCATAGGGTCAAATGTTTCATAACTCCCAATATGGACAATTTTTTATTCTATGAAAAATGAAAATACATTTTGTAAATTGTAATGGGCACTTCTTTCCAGTGGCATGACTCATGTGATTTTGAGGAGTCAAGAAACTTGGGGGTATGGTTTTGAAACTTTTACCAAAACTTGGTTGTTGCTATGTATAATTAAAGACTGGGATCTAACCAATGTGGGGTTGAAAAGAGATTCTTGATTTACACAACAAACTATAAGCAGAGGAACAAAAATGCGGCACTGTTGACAACAATCCTGTCTTCCTTTTTTTGTACAGGGTCTTAAATGGATGAGGGGCTGTTTCATTTTTATAACTATATTTCACAGATAATGTAGTCAGAGGCAATAAACTTTATCTTTCACATTTCACAAAAAAGGTGATGGCCAGTGGTATTAAAGAGTTAATTTGATTTTGAAACATTCTGTTCAAGGCAAACCCTCTCTCAGTGCCATCAAGTTCTGTCAGATAATAAAAGTAGACAAAAGAGGCTTCTTTTTTCTTTCCTTTTTCTTCTCTTTTATCATCAGATCACCAGAAAGATGAGGAAATCACTTGCATCACTGGGTTACACTGAGCAAGACATTGATAGAATGACTCCCAGCGAAGCCAGTGATAAAGTTAGCTGTGGTGTACAAAACTCATCACAAGCATCAGGGACGAAGCAAGTTAAAACAGAGGACCAATCAAGAGATGTTAAATGACATATCATCTCGGCGAAGTCCTGGTTTAAGTTATTCAGAGGATCACATCAGATGTTACTTCAAATAAGTTACCTGAATAGCTTCAAGTAACTATTTCGTCCAAGTTGTTACCCTCGTCTTAGTTTTGGAATATCGAGAAATTCAAAGTAAAAGTTGGTGAAATTTCCGTGACTAGGAACCACTCTGGGCTGTGGAAAAAGAGAAAGTGAATTAGAATTTGGAACTGAATTTTTCAATTTCTCTCATGTTAATCTAAGAAAGAACACTTTGAACTTAAGCCAAAAGCCCTGTGATCATCAGCTTGATTAAAAGTTCATATCAAGGTAGGTCATCGTCACTGAGGTTTGAAACGAACTTGAGTAAAATTTACAGAACTGCCATCAGCTTTGACAACGGGGCTTCAGTAATATAGAGAAACACAAAGAGACCATATTGATCCAAGATGTGGAGAAAAGTAGATAGACTGAGTATCGGCTTGCAGTTGACGAATATGCGCACAAGGATTCCCGCCAATGAGTACTCGAGGTAAACGCAGATAGATACGATTTGATTAGTTGAAAGAACAGTGCGAGTTTTCGAGACAAATCATAGAACTTTCCGAAAATATTCTTTGCATTCTCGACGATCGTGGTTCGCACCAAGAAAAGGGTTGTACATTCTTCAATTTCCTCTGCGTGCGATTGTAAAATCCCTCTCTGGAGCGAGAGAACGAATTTCGAAAATCTGTCAATTGGCGATCCAATTTATACAATGCTTCTAATGTATGAGTGTGAGAGATGATTACAATTTCGAATATGAGCTTGTATAAGGGAAGGTACGTTTTTTCTTGGGGGGGGGGGGAGGGCTGGGGCCTCAGAGGGGAGGGTCATCAGTGCAAGTGAGCACCAAAGGGGGAGGGCCGTACCCTCTTTTTCAGCTATTCAAGGGGAGGGTCACACCTTTTCCAGAATTTTTAATGGGGATTTTTGTGATGTTATTTTCCATTTTTCTTTAACAGACTAAGTTTTTTCTTTTCAACTTGTTTCTTTTAATTCGGTGCAGGTACTAGTTTTACAAGGTTACTGGGTGTCTACATGTATATTATTCCATGGCACATAATTTTCTCGGAGTACTCGTGTCCTTTTGCGTCCGTATCGTGACGTACTTGACTCGGGTATGGTTTCTTGTTCCAGCTGTTGTCTATCCGCTGCCTGATCTCCTGAGTCATTAAGCTCTGAAGAGTTACTAGAAGATCCTACAATGCCCTCTACCCTGTCGCTGTCACTGTCACTGTCAGACTCTGGATTTGAGTCAGAGGCTAGCGGAATGTTTGTCTGTTTTTCCTGCACAATTGAAATCAAAATCTTACTGCCAATATGAGCCTTCACAACCATCATCTCCAAATCTCCATGATCTATTGCACAGTCTTCGTCATTCAGAGTTTCTTCATCAACGTTTAAAATTCTTGTTTTAATTGACTTTTCATTTTCTGCGTAGCGTTGGCATTTGCGTTTATCGGCTTTACGGCGATTCTGCTTCTGCTTTCTCGACTTTCTTTTGAGAGCATTTCCTCGGCGAGGGAAAATTCTTTCAACTCGTTGTTTAGCCTTTTGTAGTAGCTTCAAAGCAAAATACAAGCAAAATGTCGAAAAATGTTCTGAGGTTTCTATGGCATGGAGTATACCATGTGGTAGTGAGGGGAGGGTCGCACTTATTGTCAGTCACCTAAATGTGGGGGGGTCAGAAGTTTTTTAATCAAAACATGAGGGAGGGCCAACACTTTCTTTTGGAAAAAAATACCAAAATTCCCCAGCCCTCCCTCCCCTAGAAAAAACGTACCTTCCCTAAGTCGAAGACAAAGTTTTGCCGCAAAGTTAGTTTGTTGGAGGTTTCTTTTTCTTTTTCTTTTTTTTTCGAAAACAACACGTGAGATAATCTGTTTCGAGCGTTAGCCCTTCGTCAAAGCGAATGAGCTAACGTCCAAAGCTTTGTCGCTCTGACGAAGCGCCAACCGCTTGAAACGCCAGACTTAGACACTCTTTACAGTGGTCAGTTTACATTAATTATCGACGGTTGATGAAAGCAAATAATCTTCTTATACCCCCCACCGACACAGTACCCCAGTTTCTTTAGAAACTTACCCCGTTTAACTATATGATTTGTCAGTCTGGGTTGAAATAGCGAAATTGGCCTTTAACAGCGAGAAAGTAGTGACACGATGGTTTCCCCGTAGATTTTTCATTAAGTTTGGTCAAACCGCGGCGCGTCTGACTCCGTGACCCCAATTTCTCTACAAGTTAAACGATTTCTGAATTTTGCGCAAGATTAGCCGTTTCCATAACATTGTACGTCCTGTCATATTAAGCCTGTCTTTTCTCGGCTAGAGGTCAATGCATTTTGGAGCAAACTCCAATAGCAACAATTTTTTTTGAAAAGCAAAATTAATTCCGAGAGCATCACTAGGGATATCAGAAGTACAGTTGGTTCCAAAACAAAAAGCTGCAATCTTTTAAAAGAGAGGTATTCACAGTTACTATTTTGCTCTCAATAAACAAGACATTTTTGCATTTACGATCACCTATGTTACTCATTTCCGATCGGGAGAGCGAGAATCTTCCTCTCTTTTTAACGTTTTTATGTCATTTCACGTTTCTTTCATTGTGCCCACGGGAAGCCATTGGATGTCACTAATGTTTTCAAAACACAAAGGCAGGGAATGAAAAATAAAGTTCAACTGAAGTAATCATATTTGAAAATTAATCAAAGAATCAGTTAATTTGTCAACGGGCCGTGTGAAAGACCGGATGAAATAAAATTTACTTGACTCGAGCTCACTTGAGGGCGACTATTTCATTTTGAATACTCTCCAAATATAATTTTTAGCGCCATATGAGTTGTCTTCGTTGAGATAATGCGGCACTTTTTTGACATAGACTGAGTACTTCCAAGTGAATACACGCAACTCTGTCTAGATAACGTCAGAGAGGTTTTTGTGCTCTAGAGAACATCTGCCCCTCGGAAATTATTATTAGGAGTACTGAAATACAGCTGAAACAGAGAAATGAACGATTTTTACTGAGAAACAAACTTTGTGTAAACAAGGTGGATGAACCCGAGAGACGGGATTAGACCATAGTTAGACTATTGTTGTGTTTTATTATGTTATATTATTGATGTTTGTGTGGGCTAAACCTTTAGGTTTATATATGTTAAATAAAAGTTTCATCGTGTGCTCCACGGTATTTATATATCTTAGGGACAACCGACGTTTACGAGAATGAACGCGCCTCGTGGTCTTTTGTGGAAGGAAAAGAAAGCTGAAAAGTTTGCGTTCCTTGTGTAAACAAGTTTAATGTAATATTGCAGCAAAGGTTAACCTGACTAATGTTATTTACACTCTGTTTTCTGATCGCTAAGCGGATCTTTCTTTCTAGAAATAGCTGTAAAAACATAAATGAATTAATTAACGCCACGTTTTCTCCGGTAGGTCGGGTCGATATGGATAAAAATTCCGCCTCGTTTTTCACTGTCTGATCCTGTACGACCTCTTTGAAGCCTCCATCTTCACCTCATTTTCACGAGGTTGGCGACATTCGTTTAATTCGATTTAATGACGGATAGGAGAGAAGAGTACATTGACACTTGCGACATGTTCCCGACTCCTTTTCAAACTGCCCCTCACTAATATAACTTTTCTCGCTGATGATGAAATCCAGAGGAATTGAATCTGACAGATTCCATCGCAAAGCGCACTTGAAGACAACTTCATCTTCATCCCGCAGTTGATTATCGCGCTTGATTATCTCTCACCCGAGAGGGTAATTTTGCATTTGGCCGACAGAGTTCTTAGGGCAGAACAAACCTCTAAAGCCTTTCCGGTAATTCTCGCTTTGAAAAGCATATAGTACAGGATTTAGAGAACTGTTGGCAACAATAAGAAAGCTTAAAACTTTCAGCACTTCTACGTTACTTTCATTCTCTGTATACTCTTTAGCTAAGCGGTTTGTGAAAGTGACGTGCAGCATAAATATCGCAAAAGGCAAAAATAAGATATAAAACACAACTGTTACAGCAATAATGAGAACGGCAAGTTTTCGTTTCTCCGAATTCACGTTTGCTGGTCCTGCGCAAATGGTTTGAGTGATAAACATTCCTCGCAATATCTGACAGTAACAATATGTGATGACTAGGAACGGTATGAAGATGTACAAACTGATTGCAATTACAACATAAGTTTTGTCGCTACCAGCGTCCACTTCAGGTCCCAAGGGTGAAACACATTTTCCACGATTGCCATCGACGTGAGTGAAAATAAAGTCTGGAATACTTATAAGTAAAGAAGCAATCCAAGTTGTAGCAATAGCGTACATCACACTCTTCTTGTTAAGCTTATATTTGGTGCTTAGGGGTGTTACGAGCGCTTGATACCGCTCTACAGCTAGTACTGTCAGTGTAAATAATGTAACTCCAAGACATAAAATATCCATTGGATCAGCAATAAAAAATCTGCACAAGTAGTCGCCTGTTATGCCTTTGGGAAGCGATCCAGTGACAACGAAATCGTAAGTGCGAGGACACCATAACAAAACGAGAATATCGCTAGACGCCAAGTTCACAAGCAGATAGTTCGTAGCCGTGTGCATTGTGCGCGTTTTCCAAACCACGGCAATGACAAGCGAATTGCCGAAAATACCCGCTATTATAACAACGCCATATAGGACCACCAACACAATATCATACCGCGAAATACGCTGAAAGTCCTGTCGCGAATCCTCCATGCTCAACTATAGTTTGCAATATTGGTCTTGTTTCACAACGACTGGCCTGTTGTGTGGATGTGACGTGACCCGAAAAACGAGGTTATTCCGCGACATACGGAACGGAAACTAACCTTAATTCGTCGGATGTCATTAAGATGATAATTGAAGAGCGTGCTTAACGAATGGCTGGAGTTGAAATTTGAATTTTTATGACATTAATAACTGCGGGAAAAAAATTAAATAACAACTCCACTGTTTTTCCTCTGACAAAAGGCATTATTGATACAGCATGAAGCCTTTGCGGGGGATGATCGAATATTTGAATTCGTTAAAGTTATAATTTACATCGCTATCCGCCGTTGATCAAAACCCAAAACATCTTTTGCTTGCAATTTATGTACCAGTGAAAGAAAACATTCAAATTTCCATATTTGCCAATCCGTGCTGAAAAGAAAAAATGTTTTTCTTTCACGTCGTTTTCGCATCAAGACTCAAATAACATTTTCTAAATGGAATATCTGGAGTGAAAACTTGGCCTTTATTACATTCTTAGTGCTTTCAAATTAAAAATGTACATATATCTTTAAATTTACACTGTCCTTTTTTCAGCAAAACTGGCTTTTGCAACTGTGGGTTAATCAGCATTACTGGAATTATTTTTGTACAACACTAGTGCATTGAATGACAGACATTAACTGACAGAGCAAAATGAGAAAAACAGGAAAAACAAACTTAATTTTCGGGAGAAGTTATCTAATACTCGAATCAAGATAGTTATTAATACAATTGCAACAGCTGTATTCTGATGTTTCTCTCCTCAGACCAAGCTGTTCTCAAATTCCCCGAAAAACTGTCAACAAAGGTTAAAATTATTTGATTTGCAGTTGACAGCCATGCTGAAAGTTTGACACCTTCATCCTCTGAAAGGTGAATACTGTCTAAGAGACAGCAGCAGAGATGAATTTTAGTGGAAAATTTAAGTAATAGAAAATTAAAGAAACAAAATGAACGAAGTAATGACGACACGTATCGGTTTCATGACATATGTTTTGCAATCTGTTTATGGGACTATAAATACTTGGAATTTAAAGTGTCACAACCTTCAAATTAGAATTTTCCTTTATCGTAATTTCGCATCTTTCTTGTCACAGTTTCCCTTTATTGGATGCGCCTTATTGCACTAAAGTTGTCGCAGAAAAAACAAAAAAGCTGACTAGGAATTTGTTAGCATATAAAACTACCTTCTGGCTACAAGCCCGCCAGCCGAACAAAATTCGCAGAATTACCACTGAAAATTATTTCAAAATTCTTGAGAGAATTAGATGTTGTTTGAAAGTTAATATTTCAAGCGATTCCAAAACTGAAAAATAATATAAAAATTATATCTATATATATGCTAATGCAATATGAATATGCTATGTGCTAATTAATTCGAATTGTTGTTTTCCCTTTCTTTTTACTCTTTTCTATGACAACGTTTCTGAAATACGGTATACATAATGAGTATCCAGAGAAATGTTAAAATATTCACTGCATTGAGGACTTGACCTCCCATTACTGACCAAGAAAAATTTTTTAAATATTGAACTGCAGTCTGGTGCGTTCTCCCTTCAAGTGTCATTTCACAATCCCTCGGAGATAAACCAACAAAAATCACAAAAGCACATCAAAAATAGATCAGGAAAATTCAAGTGTCATTTCACAATCCCTCGGAGATAAACCAACAAAAATCACAAAAGCACATCAAAAATAGATCAGGAAAATTCAAGTGTCATTTCACAATCCCTCGGAGATAAACCAACAAAAATCACAAAAGCACATCAAAAATAGATCAGGAAAATGTTTGTTTTATTGGATGTAAGAAATTTTGTTGGAACACCTGGAGAGTTGAGCCGTTGATAACGTTCCGTCAAAAATAATCCGGATGAATTAGAAAGGGCATCTTACAATTCTTTGTTTCCTTCCACAAGCCCGGTCTAATGCCACATCAATCCGAGATAAAGAGCAGTACCAGGTCCCCACGGTTTGAATGGGTAAAAATAATCCCTCTTACATTGCTGCAGTAACGGATGTTGACGCAATTCCTATCTGATTCCGTTCAGGAGCGAAAAATGCAAAATATTAACGAGGTGTTTGTACTCTCGTTTTATTTCAGCTGCGAACATAACATCGAAGGCATCTCTGCTACCTATCATTTTTGTTAATGTGAACTGTTTATTTTACAAAACCTGAAGAAAAACTAGTATCGTAACTATGTTTATGATTTCATTAATATAAGCTTTTCTTACAAATTAATTCGAATATTCACCACTTCGAATGAAAAGCGTATATAGTTTACTTGCAGTCTACAATACACCGGATGTACACACTGAGCCAGTTTCTGTGCCCCCGCACTGGTACGAAAGGATGAAGTTTTCCGTGCGTAAACTGGGAAGGAGCGTCTTCAGCCGCTCCCAGACACTCAAGTTCTTAGAACGAGTGGGAGGTTGTAGGCTTCGATTAAGAAAATGGGAAGTATAGGGATGGAGTATCATTGATACATGGATGACGGAAAGCAGTTAGTCTCAAATTCCCTCGAGTGAATCCTGTGAATGCAGTGAGTTTTCCACCTTCAATTGTCTGTTTAAAATTGTACAGACTTATTGTTCTAATGAAATATGAACTTGTTTCTTTCGTGTCAATAACGAGAGAGGTTCAATTCAAAAGACTGTATCCACCATGTACGTCTTTTTTTTAAGGGACTCTCTCTTGTGGTATTTTTAAACTAAGGTTATCGGGTCTGCTAGGAATATGTTAAACAATTTTTCTTCCTTGGGCGTGTTTAAAGTTTAAGTTACAGATAAATAGCACTCCTTATAGGATGACCATTTGAGCAAAACTTGCGACGTAGGATTAGTTTTTCTAGATTCTTCGAGAATCGTAAGAAGCAAAGTGATCCAAACAAAGCCTAACAGGACCTTCGAAATAAGACCCTTACGAAAGGGACCTAAGGAATAGGACCCTTAGGAAAAAAGACCTAAGGAATAAAGACCTTGGAAATAAGGACCTCAAGGATAAGATCCTTAGAATAAATAGCTTTGAAGCAAGGTCTATATGTTGAAGGTTCTGTCGCTTAATTTAATCCTCTAATCCTCTCTTAGCTGGTGGTGACGACTGAAAGAAATATAAACGAATTTTTCTCAACACAGAGACAACAGGAACCATATTTGCATGGCGTTCGACTGTCTTAAACCTGGAAAAAGCGGCATTCTCTGTTCCCAGAGGAAAAACTTCGTAACAGTTTTCTCAATTTGTTCTAATGTTGTTTTGAAAATTGTTTACGGTCTCCATATTTACATATGTATCATTTTCCTTACAAAAAGTCTTTTCTCTCTGCATTCACCGATAGATTTGCCACATTACGCCAAAGCATTCGATATTACAAACAAAAGGATCACTCCAAAGGATGCAGAAGTTGTCGATGAGGTAGAGTTCTTTGTTACTGCCAGATTTTTCACATCATCCGCTGAAAATACATGTACGAAAATGTGGACAATAAGTGGAAGAAATTGATTGATTAAAGATTGTATACGTCACACAGGTCAATAGTACTTTTCGTACGTGCTAACTGGCTGGTTCGGAAGTGACTAGCAAGTATTTTTAACGTCTGAGGAGCCGAAGTGACAAAAACGCGCCGCAAGAGTTTAATTTCTGGCCATTTTTCGGTATATTGACAGAAACAAACTACTATTTTTAGCGCCTGTGTAGTATATTCTAAAACAAGTTTTCACCTCAGTGTCGGTGAAAGTGTTGGATGTTTACCTCTACTTCGGTAGATATCCACCACTATTCACCTCCACTCAGTCGATAAATATTGCAAGTAAAGTAAGAGTTCACGCATAAATGTTTTTTAAAAAGCGCCACAAGAAATAAAACTGCTTTCTCCTCAGTCTAACCTACACCAATCACTTGAACGGCACGTATTTAAGCCTTTTAAAGAAGCCTTTACAAACAAAATGTCTGCAGCAAGCGCTCACACCAACCTGTGAAGTTCACAGTTATTACTGCTGGTTTTCCTATACCAAGTCTGTTCACTGCTCTTGTTCGGAATGTGTATGTTTCTGATTTATCAACTTGAAACGTGTATTCCGTGTTTTTAACAGAATCTTTCTCCGCACTGCTCCATTCTTTTCTCACGGTTTTGTATTCAACATGGTAATGTGTGATTGCCGCACCGCCATCATATCTTGGAGGTTTCCACATCACTTTGATTTTTGGTTTGTTCTGCTTGTCAATGAACGCTTCTTTTTTGACCAGATCTTGGGGTTGATCCGGTTTTTCTGTGAAACATAGGACAAAGCAAATCTTCAGATATGAAAGTTCAAGAGTCATTGCAGTTTTGACGGGACAACTGTAACCGAAGTAAAGCAAATAAGCGAACGGCCGAAGGCCATAACACGCACCAAATTTCTATCGTTAAACATATTTCTTTCATAAAATCCTTTGAGATTTCTAAGCTACCCTTCAATGAAGATAAAAAGAAAATGAAGATCAGACGCCCTTCCCGTGATAACTTCTAAATGTTGCTCTCAGTGTTCAGAATTACAAGTTGTTCATTCACAATTGAATTTAGAAGACATTCTACTGCTGGATGATGCGAATTATGGTAAAATACATTTCAAGATCGCTGCAGTTGAATGTAGTGATGACCTCGATAAAAAAAAAACTGAACGCGCCGAAATGCTGTCTCTCTGAGAATTACAAGTTGCTCATTCACAATTGAATTTAGAGGATATTCACATATGTTCACACAGCGCGCAGTGTGAACATACCATGTTTGAGAAACAGCAGAAAATTAAGTATTTGTTTACTATCCATAAAATAAATTCGAGTAATAGACAATAAAACAATGGATAGAGTCAAAGGTGCGCTCTGATTGGCTATTCGAACTCCGAATATTCTTTGCTATTTACCTAAGAGCAACATGCGCGGGATTTGCGCCCGAAGATATTGTAATCGATGTAGGAATAAATGATTTAAAATCATTTTTTTGTGCCTTACTATCTCACTGTTTTAGCACATACTAAAACAAGTATACTTCAGTGTCGCTGGCTAGGTTCGCGGCGCGGTAAATATCCACTAGCCATCTCTATTTCGGTAAATAATTGTTAATAATTTTATCTGCTGGAGAAATTTAATGAAAGCATACCTCCAAAATGAACTATCAAAATGTTCGAGGCTTTTTCTAGTCCAAATTTATTTCTGGCCGTCACTCGTACTTCATACACGTAAGCCTCGTGGGTTTTACTGATCCACATGTAAGTGTTGTTGGTTTTCAGCACTGTGGCAGAATTCCAAGACGATTCAAGTTCTTTGTACTCAAGTGAATACTGTACCAGAGGAGCACCACCGTCCTCTTCAGGGGGACTCCAAGTTACACATACATTATAGGGGCCCCGCTCTTTGGGAACTAATTTGCTGGTCAGGTTGAGAGGCGCAGTTAGTGATTCTAATGAAATAAATTCAAGGCAAGATTCAAGCTTAAAAATATTGTGAGTTGTAACAGCTGTGCACTCACCAGCCTTTATCGTGACAGCTAGGGAAGATTACATATTGCACAAAATTTGACCCGTCTTTTCTTGGCTGGGTAAGCTGAAGTGTATATGTGTGAGAAAAAGTTGTGCATGTTCGAGTTACCCTACCTGCCGAGGCGAGACAACTTGACCTTTCGAGTTGTGCGCGATTTTTATTCTGTTCGGCGTCTTACTGTAATCGCTTTCGTGCTTTCGGGAAAGTCCTTAAAAGCAATCGTTGCCCCCCTACTTAGAATCTTTTAGATGACAGCTCTCAAGCAAGTCTGTAGGGCAATTTTCTAGTGAGAAACCTTCATTGGTGACATCGTGTCATAAACGTAGAGGGCTTTGTAAAACTGAAATACTCACTGAAAAATGAAACCAAGACTGTGCGGGATCGAAACCCTTGACCAACTCTGTTGATCGCTCTAACATCCACGTGCACCTCACGTGGAAATTCACTTTGAAGTTTGCAAATCACGTGCTCTGTGCAGCGATTAATGGTCTTGCTGACGAAAACCCGGCTAGTGAAAAGGGAATGTTTATATTCCACGACGAAACCAGTTAAGGGAGTTCCTCCATCATCCTCGGGTGGCTCCCAGGTGAGCCTGCTGTACATGGGGCACTCGGTTTCATTGCTTGGAAAGTCGTATGCTGTGACATTGATGGGTTCTCGCGGCTTATCTGAGGAAAAGTAAGTTTAATTTATCAAATGATTTGTCTCTCAACTGAGATAATTCAAACGAAATAATGAAAGGACAAATGATTGATTGTATTTTGAATTACTGAATTACTGAATTACTGATTGATTGAAATAATGACTTCTAATAATTAGAGCAGTTTTCAATTGATTGACTGTCGTAAAACCAACATCAAAGTAATGACAACTGCCAATCATAATTAAGGTTTTATTTACCAAGCTGAATTATCCACACATTTTGATTGGTTGTTACTTATGATCTATTAATGGACAGACGCATAAATGACGTAATCGTTAACAAATTTTGCTTCCTCATTGCATAAAACAAATAGATTCCAATTTATTTGCAACGCGTATTATTTTAAATTCAAAAATAAGCAGAAGACACTGAAATGCACTTACATAGCTGTTTCATGCCAATATCAAACCGCTGAGTTGAAGTCCTTGACTTAGCGATGCATGTCACAGGCTCGAAATCCCGGTCAACATTCGTCTCTATTGTCATTTGGCTTTGGTCTTTCCAAGGATCCGGTTTTCCTTTCCAATAAACCTGTTTTCCAATGACTTGCGTATTGTCTGACCATCTCCAGTCAAAGTCCACAGGTAACCCAGGCGATGCTTTAGTGACGATGCAGATGAGAGAAACCTTGTGCCCTACCCATGACTCCACCAGCTGAGTGGAGTTTTGACGATCAGTAATAATGTCTAAATAAGGAAATCGCGAGTTCGTTTCAGTACTACGACAATCAGGGTACCTAAGTAGGTACCACTAATCATTTATTACTCGGAGGGGGGGGGAAGGGAGGTTGGGGGGCACACACGGTTTTTTAGGGGGAACATAGGGAAAATCAGTCGTCTCCAAAGGGGTACAAAGGGGAGGATTTAGAAAACTTCCAAAGAGGGTGGGGGGGGGGAGAAGAAAGGGGGGAAAAGAAAGGGGGGAATTATGAGAGTTTTACAGAGCCTAATGGGGAATCAGGTCAATTTTACCGTGACACAACTCAAACCTTCCGACCCTTTCCCCCCCCCTCCCTAACGATAAATAATGACAAATCCGTTGAATTAAGATCAGTCTCCTTTCCAGCATAATCTGTCACGTGACACCACAGACATCTGTGTAAAAAATATATCCCAGCACCCTAGCAACTCAGGGAAACAAGTTGCACTTTTCTTTCCAAAGTTCATGAAGCGCCACGATATTCTCGTCACCAATTTCTATCGTTTTGCAAGTCAGCCCTCTTGGTGTCGTTAAAAGCGCACAGAAATAAATTCATATAAGATAATAATAATCATGCTCGCCATTGCGAAAAGAGATCTATCTATGAGCGGGCACTAGGGAGAGACAACTGACGCGCCCTCCTCGTGTAAGGGCAGGTGAAGGGAAGAGCAAACTGTCACGCCATCTGCTGCATGGTCGTGACTTATTTTCAAAAACGAAGTTGTTACTCTCCCGTGGATAACAAAAGAAAATGTCAGATATGAACGCGGCGTAATTATGTGATCAGCATAAAAAAAATTATTATCGTCACTTTTGGGGAAAAAAGCGATCCTCAAATTCGATCAGTCCACAAGTTGTCATTCATTTTTAAAGGTGCATATCGGGACTTTGTTACAATATGGATAATCACGTGTATCTAAAGAAACTACGCACTAATGTCAAACAAAGGAATAAAGTGTTTCGGTTACTGACTTCGAAAAAAATTACTGAAATAAAACAGAATAACTTTTCGTCACCCCGTATAAGGAAGCAGCAAAGGAGATATTACGGCTGATCTGCAAATGTCTCTTTTCAATGAGTAGCCAGAAAACATCCGACATAAGGCTCACGTGTGAATAAAAATACTTTTATAATTTCTTATTCTGTCATCGCAATGACCAAGTAAAAATTGAGTTTGAAAGGCTTTTCATATTTAATTTCTGCTCTTAGGGAGAACTGCGTCGAATACTAGGTATATGGGTCTTTTTTAAGATAATTCAGAAATTCTGAAAAGCTTTCTAAACTAAGAATTTTGCACCTGGCTGGGAAATATGATTTTCCTTCGGCCGTGACTCTTCATCGTATGCAAATTTTGCCGCCTAACCATTTACAGGTAAATCTACTCCCTTCATATTCATACAATACGTTAAATTGGAGTTTCTAAATGGTAAAAAAGATCACCTTAGACAAAATATTTACGATGCATAGTACAAAATCAATTTTTGTACGATTGAAACCAAACCTATGAGTAAATATGCGAGATTGCTTGATTATCATAAACCGATCGACAAAAACTAATTAATCAAGGTTCACCACACCATATGGCCGCGTGCATTAGAGATTGTGATCGTTTCATCAGGTCTTGGAAACAAATTTTCGTGGCTTTGATGAAAAAATTCCAACATTTGCTGCGGCTTCGTGTACATTAAGGGCTCATTTACCGCGTCAATTACATTCGAAACTTGCGATCGCTATCGAAAGTTTGATCTAAAATTCACTTCTACTACTTCTGCTGACAGCATTTATATTATTCTAGTTGTGGAAACCGAATGTTACTAAACAAATATTACTTCACAGTTACACCTCTGCCGCAATCTGGTGTATCTGAAGTTAGCCGTTTTTTTTAAATAAAAATGCCAAAATGAAGGCCACTATTAAACCGCAAAACGTAAGTCACAGCGAAAATTTCCCCGCGCTTTCTCCAAATAAATTAAAATACGTGAATACATTTTGGAAGCAATTTGACGTCTGAAAGTTACTAACAAATAATGAAATGTACTTTTATTGCTTTCTGCTGGAAATTGAAATCCTAAATGTAAGTCACACTGTTTTTTATATTCTTTCAAGTCACCACGCTATCTGAATATTGAATTGATTTCCACTGGGAGAGTTTTTAAATATTTAATGTGATAGAATTAATAAAACGCGATAGGGGAACGATCGATCAAAATAGAAAGTTTTAAAATTTGCCTCTTGGAAAATACAGTAAAAACGATTGGAAAAATTTCAAACTGCGATTACCTATCTTTCTGATAATGCTAATTTAAAACGGTAGCTTTTTTGGCAATGTTCTGTTTATTTCTGAGAGCAGATCAAAATTAAGTTATCGCACATTATCACCAAAAACAAATGACTCCTACTTCTATTTTTTGTAACTATAGGCTTGGATGTCAATGAATTTTATCATGTTGAAAGCTGTCGTACAGAAAGATGTCCAAAATACAAAAATGGTAGAAATGTCTCATTACTGCACAAAAGATCGCGGAAAATCTTTAGACTAATGCCGGTTAAGACAAAGTTGATAACCCATCGTCAGGCTGGATCGGAAGACCACGCGAAAAACTGTGACAACAATGAAGAATATGTCAGCAGCACGCCAGAAGTCAATACTACTTTAGCATGGCTTCCAGTGTGTGAATGATCATTTTCAGCTAAATAGTAGTTATGTCGTTCGGTTTAGTCATAAAATACATGAAAAATGAATGAAAGTGGAGTTATTCTGAGTTAATAAAACGGACGTGAATTTTGCTGAATTTACGCTTGTGACATAAAATGCATGCAGATGTTTAATAGCGGCTCTCGTTTGCAAAACAAGTTACATTTGCCGCTGGCGTAACCCATTACTCATTCTCATATTTCATTCTTACGCATGGAATAAAAAAATTCGCGCCTGTTAAGGAAAGTAGAACCATGAAATTGAAGCAAAACTGTAAAATACTCACCTACAACGGTCACTTGGACATACTGGCGAGGAATTTTACTCTCGTTTTGCAGCTCCAAACTAAAAAAATACCTTCCCGTATCATTCAGCGTGAGATTTTTAATCCTGAAACTTGCTTGTTCGTTCTTTACTACATCCACTCGACCGATAAATGATTCTGTTACGTCTGGCCGTTTCAAGCTATTAAACTGAACTTCTTTAGCATCAACATCTTTCACAACAATAGTAACATCATCGTGGCCGATTAGGATTCCAAATTTTACATACTGGATTGCCTTCCGGCTGGAATATTCCCATCGAAGAGTGGCATCACTTTCTACAAAGTAGTCCGCATCCTTGGGTTTTGTGGTAAAGTTAACAGCAGCGAATCCACTTGCCACAGAAACTGCGAGGACAAAAATTAAAATGAAAATGATCAGCATTTCGCGCTTTCGTCAAAAGAAGTGAAAACAACACGGTTAGTGACGAATGAGTGCACTTACTTCGGAGAAAATTTGATAGAAATAACAACACATGCATACAGTGTGGACTGGTCACCACCATTTTGATTTCTGAATATAAAGCGGAAGCTGGCGAAAGAAATAAAAAGTTGCATTCCTTAAAGTACACACGCGCTCAACCGCAAATTGTTAGACAAGGGAATCAGCGCTCTGATTGGTGCAACTCTGACACGTGATAATAAACACCAACTTCTAAAATTGCTGTTCATGTAAGAGCAATCCAAAAACCTCCATGAAAACTTACCTGTTAATTTATTTCTTCTTGTCTGTTACCAAAAAGGGCAGACATGCACATATCCCTTTTAAAAGCACTTTTAATATACTTTTATTTTGCGACTTCGAATGCAATGTACAAGTCTTAACGACTTTCGACATCTCGAAAAAAACACGGCACAAAGATAATACTCTTTACCAAGATTAATTCAGGTCACTGAGAGAAATTAAGTTTCAAAAAGTACTTTCCGCATGTTCGAATGGTAGATCGCGTGAAGAAGATATTTCTCTCATAAAGAGTGTGTCTTCCTTAATTGTCTGGTAAATTATAAACCGCATTAATTTGAGTGGTGAGATCGATTATAAGACACGATATTTTATCAATAAGATTTGTGTTGGCTACAGACAGGAAACACCTTTCCCTTTTCCTAAAAATATATTCATAAAGAAAGATAAACATTTTCAAAAACATCTGTCACGGCCAAATTGGGATCATTTGTTAGCGGGAAATAATTCCCACCGGTGTTTACAGTTTTGGGGCCAAGAAACCAACAGACAGTGGAAGAACATTTATCATGCATATTAATACCTACAAATATATTTTATCTGTGATAGATATAACCGTCGTCTTCTGTCATATTTTCCTTATAAACTCATTTAAGGGCAAATCATTGTTGTTTTTGTTCTTTTTTTTTATTTCCTAATTGAACTAAAACATCTGGTTTTTTTCATACTAAATCTTTGATAGACTTGTGATATTCTTCATAGATATGTTCCATTCTTGTATCACTAATCTTTTTCTGGAGATCATGCATGGCTTCTTTAGAAAAATAAAAAGTTTAGGGGTAATGGATATTTATGAATAACATTTAAATTAATGTCTTTCTTGATAGGCAAGCTTTTCTGGGCTTAACGCTTCCCCCCCCAAAAAAAGATAACCTATTGGAAAGTCATGAAATTAAAAATATTTAGCTAAAGTGAATGAAAGGAAATCTGCCGAACGAAATATTTGAATAGCTTGAATTAGGGAACAACAAAACATAATACGCGAATACCGATTTTACTCCTGAAAACTAAACGGTCACTTCGAAAAAGGTTTGTCTTTTATTTTTTCAGCGAAGTGAAAATGCCCCTAAACCGAAAAACTTACTAATGCGCAAAATTTATATAAAACAACCACATTTTGTTGTTACCATTAATAACATATATACTTTCATTAACCATATACTTTTAAAAATAAGGTAGTATGCAAATGAGAAACTGATTGATTCAATTAAAGTCCTTAAAACTTTTCATTCGTGATTTTGTCGATCTGACTGACCAAAAGTACTGATCAAAATCAAGTTTTGGCTCTTGTAAATGGTTATCAGGAGAAACCTTTTTAGGGTAAAAAAGTGTTGATCCTAGCCAAGGTTAAAGATATAGCCAGCGTCCTAAATGACATAAAATTATTTTCATTTGATTTTGAACATCTGAACTACTTAGGCTGTCACGCTACCCATGTGTGTTTCCAGTCTCTCGTGTGGCAAAGCTCTCGGTCATTCCGTGCAGTGCTCTCCAGTCTGATTCCTGCATCCCTTGCTCTTGACCAATCCTGTAATATATGAGTCATTTTTTCCACATGTGTGGTGAATCAGTGATCCTGATTGTGTATAGTTGTTGACGACAGCCCCTTTATAGGCGTTAGCCTAATGCTTGGCGGCTTCTGGTTCACTGACCTCCTAATCGAGAGGTCTGGGTACGAGCCTTCCGAGCCTTCGCAGGGATTATGTTGTGATCTTAGGCAAGACACTTTACAAAAGACTGTTGATGGATACTAATAAATCTTCAGGGAAGCCTGAGGGACGTACCTTGGGGTGGCTGAGCTCATGGAGTTTAGAGAGGTTTTGGGGGTGGGGGGGTGGGGGTATGCAACCTCCTTACCAAGAAATTGGCTTCAACAGAGTCTGGGCTACCTGTGGCTCACCCGCATGCGATGGTTATTTTCGCTGACTCAGGTTTAGTTATCTTAGCAGTTTAGTCTGCCTCAGTGAGGTGATAACAAGGACAGGTGAATCCAGCAGATACGACTAATATTTTCCTTCTAATTGACTCGACTATTTTTTTGTTCTCAATTTATTTGCTTGGCGGCGTGAAGTATCAGAAGTGTCTGAGTTCTAACCGACATGATTTTATTGAATTACTTATTATTCCTCATGTTTTGAACATGTTTTGTTGTAAAAAAATTGCTTCATTTGTGATAAAAATATCGTTATTGATACAACTAATAAATTATGCATTGAAATATGCAGAGTATAATCGTTCAGTAATGAAGGCCTCGGGGAAAAAAAAGAGAAGATTTCCAAACACGTGCACTTGTTAAATGCCTGTTAGAAATAAGTTAGAAATAAATCACAAGCCTACGAGAACAACTATTTTGGACTTTGCACAACAAATTTTGAAAAACGTGCCGTCATTGTCCAGCGGTTGTTTTAATCTGTTTGCTAGTAACTATGACAACGAAGCGAAAGGAAAATGGCGGAGTTAGCGGAAAAATGAGTCTTTTGTATCTTATGCAAATATTTGGCCAAGAGCGTCAAACTAGAGCAAATTTCACGGCTAAGAGAGTGACGCAAAACTTATATTGACGTGATCCGCTTTTTTTTTTTAAATTCTGCGTAGCTTTGAAGTGTCTTTTTGCCCAAACTGGTTAGTGTACGAACCCTACCTTATACGCGCGAATCTTTTCCCGATCACAGGTAAGATAGTTGTTATTGTATCCTAACTCGTGCTTAGTTGTTCAAATCTTAGCTTGGAATCATCAATTCGAATATTTATTAGCGAAAACATCATGTAGAGACACTTAATTTGAATTTCAGTGGGAGTGAGAGCTTGAAATTTGTATTAAACTCGATCGAATTCCGTATGATACGTACTAGTTCATTTACAATTTTTTTGAAATGATCGTTAAACCTCACCTTCTGCGCAAAGCAGTAGGTTTTCACATGCAGTTGTAGAGGTGTTTGGTTTAGAAGGAAGAACTTGTAATTTTGATTTCACGAGCAAGTTTTTTCTTGTTCTCACTAAAACTCTTTTCTTTCCCTCGTACAGGCGGACAACATTTTATTTTCATCGCTCCGATTGCACGATCGTGCGAAGATACTGTTGGATAAAACTTACTTTTACTTACATTTGAAGAGCTTAATCAGCGACATGTTAATCGTCATGTCAATTGTGTTTTTGTTTGCGCTCGACGTTGTAGACACACGACCCCATTAATTACAAATGCATTTACTCACTGAGGTACTCTGCGAACAGGCTCAGCTGATAAAATGGCGGTAGCATTTGATGGTTACGGTTTATCCATAACTTCTGAAGTCTTCCCTCCGTCTTTGACTCAAATTGAAGGAGGTGATTTGTCAAATTTGACCTTTCACTTGAATTATAATGGAACAAAGATTGGTGCATTACACGAGAACTCGTCTGCTTGTCATGAGCTGAAAAACAGCTCATTGTTCGTGAATCTGGTTATTACTTTGCCAATTGTGTTTGACATTGTAAGCCACTCAAATCAAAGCAGTCAAACCGGGATTGTCACTTCAAACATATCAAATTGTTCGTTTGTGCCATTGTTAAAGATAAACTCCAGCTCTTCAGTTGTTTCTGACCACATGCTAGGAATCAAGGCTCTAAATTTTCACATCTTCTCACAAAATTTTAGTTGGACAGCAACCCTGAATGTCAGACTTAAATTGCTTCCTTCAGCCAGAGCTGATAGTTTATTAAACATAACTGCAAATGTCACAATTTCAAATAAAACTATGGAAGATGACATTAGCATAGCATCATACAGAACTGCAGTTCCTGGTAATCTGCAGTTTGAATTGAAGAGCACATCAATTCCAGAGACACCTGGCCCAACTTTAACTTCAGAGGAGGAAATAACGTTATTTGCGAGCTTTCACATTCCAAGGATAACAGCAAATGTAAAACTTCAGGTACTGCTGCCTGTCTTCAGAAACTCAACACCTATGAAATTTGTAAGTGGATCAGTGGTTGATTTATCAGAAGGAGTGAAACCAAAGTTGCTAATGGAAGGATCAGGACCCAGATTCATTGTGAGTCCTTCAACAGCTCATCTGTTTCCGCTGACTCAAAATGTGGTTGAGTTTGCATTTGGAGATACAGTGAACAAAGGGAATGAATCATTTAATGGAACCATAACAGTGGAAGTTACTGGTGCAGTGGACTCATCCCGTGGTGTTTATATACCAGAAAGTTTTGGAAATGTCACTTGCATTCTTATGTATGATTCACCAAGAGGCTCCTATTTAACAGCCAACAAAACTTTGATTACTCTGAAGCTTGGGCAGCCACTACTTGAGTTTCATTTGGAAGCAGATAACTCTGATTGTTGTTATGAAGGTAAAGACATGGTCGACATCAAATATGAAGTCAAGAATCCTGACTTTTCAACTGCTCCTGCATGGAATTTGACTTTAAACATTTCAGTGCTGTCAGCTGACATAGAATTGCACAATTTTTCTGCCTTTTTGTGTGGGAATACCTCAATTTTCAACATGACTTCTAATCAAAGTGTTGCTGGGACCAAATGCCATGACCTATATGGAACACATATGTTAACAAAAGCTAATGCTGGACTTCAAGTGAAGCTAACAAGGTCAGGTCCTGACTTAAGTAATCCATAGATGCTGTTCATTGGTTACTTTATTATTAAATAAATAATAAATAAATGAATAATACACAATAGTTATGATGAAAGAATTATTGATTGTTTAGCATCACATCAATTTTCATGATTAACTTATAAGACAGTGCTAATCATATAGCATTCCTAAAGCACTATGTTTTGGAAACGTTCTCACTATTACTGGGTGAGATCAAACACTGTAGAGATAGAGTTACATACACATTTACACACACAGATATTATGGATTCATATATCAGTATAAATCTAATTATATCTAAGGTTTAACCATTAAAAAGGATTAGCATCTAATTTCTCCTTAGAAAATCATAACTGAATCACCCATTAAGGTCATGAGAATATTAGGAAATGATCACCAACCAAAAGATACTCTTGACTGTTGAACAAATTCTCTTAGTCAGCACCTTAAGTAAAGTATGGAGAACTGTAAATAAAATGTATATAATGATGTTAGGGTGTAAAGCCGGTTAAGGCTAACTACTTGTAAGACTTAAGGCGTTTGACAAATTTTGCACAATTTTTTTGTAGGTTGAATGCATCTTCATGGGTGTATGGTCATCTACATAATTATGTGAATTCATCAGTGGCAGCAGGAAGTTTCCATGACAACAACTTAACTCTGGAATACACTCGCAAAGGCTGGTTGCCAATTGGAGATGTTGACACAGAGACAATAGGGATCAAAAATGTCACAGCACTGACTCCCTCTGTTCTTAGTAGTGATGTGCCTGATCCGATAGGTGACCCAAAGGATGTTACTATTGGAGAAGACATGGTTTTGCAAGCAATTGTTCAGATCCCTGTGTCTACAAATCCAGGTTTTTTCTTAAAACTCTTTGGGAGTGGTTTTGAAGCAGTAGATGGGCAGATCACCACGGTTGGCAGAAATATAAAATCACTTGAACAACAGATTGATGCAGCTTATAGTAAGTTCAGATGCAGTGTATGTAATGTTTATGAACCTCTGAAATTCTCTAAGTACTTGTTTATGTGGAGGTGGGGAACTCTAGGTAACTTGGGTAACCTGCCTTGCTGTGGTTGAAAAAATAGTCAGCATAAACTCACAATCTTGCCACCCTGGGATCCTGGGGTGAAGTTTTTGGTGCATGTTATAAATGTAACAGGAAGGCAACCCTGGCTAGGCAGGTAACCCCACCTTGAGATGTTTACATGGCAAACTGTGACCCTTGGGCTGACAGGGTTACCTTACCCAGTAGACTGGGCAGCCTGTCTAGGTGGGTTACCTCAAGTATTATGAAAATTTGATCAAAATAAAATAAGAGATTATATGGACAGGCAGGTTACCCCACCTACATGGGGTCCCCCAGCTCCATGTCAGCAGGCCCTAAGATGCTATTAATAATGGTAATAGGACTAGGAGGTATCCAATTTGGTCTGTAATCATACAAGTGATTAACAAAATTGGACAACTGCGAAACAGGAGTCTAATTTTTTAATCATGAGTGTGATTACCGACTGAATTGGATGACACAAAGTCCTGTTACCAATTAATTAAAACTATAGCAAAATTTGAGAAAGAAACTAGACATCAGTTGTACATTTTCATTAAGAAAAAAACAATTAACTCGGTGAAATGCAAGAGAGCAGCACACACATGACATGGTCTGTCCACTTACACAGGTATGACATTTTAACTGTCCCTTAACTGTCCTATTACGCTGTCCAATTACAAGCATGGCATGTACACTGTCCTATTAGTCCTCAAATTGGGCTGGTGATAATTTTGGTATAGTTTTGAGTAATAGAGAAACAGTCAAAGCCAATCAGGTTGAAGAGGCACAATTGATCAGCACAAAAGGGAGTAGAGTTTACAGTGGGTAGTTGAAGGTTAATAGCTCTTAATGTTAAGCAATTTTGAAATCAGGCTAATATTAATATTACTCAGAGGTTTCAATAACTTTTTCCATAAGTGGCTGTAATGGATGGCTGTGGCTGTAGCTGGAAAAGGAACCATTAGGCCAAACCTAAACACATGAGCCTGTTGGACCCCTGGTAGCCCACTTTTATTGAAACCCCTGATTACTGTACATGTACCTCAGATGACTGTCAGAAAATGATATGGAGGAAATGATCAAACCTTGGGAGTTCAGGGATCATAAGCCATCATGACTATTGCTTTTGGTTTTTGAAACCCTGTTAAATATTCTGTTTAACTTACTCATTATTTTACAGATCTCAGTGTCTCTGGATCTACTGTAAGTAGCAATTTAGGAACTGTTGTGAATGTTGGAGACAATGCCCAGTTGTTGGCAAGTACAATTACCTATACTGCAACCATGAGGGTTGCTGATGTTGTGCAGAACATAAATGGCAAAAGACTAGCAATTGTATCTGATACAATCGTCAATGGACAACCCCAAGTTCCCAGTTCATTGACATTAAAGGTGTGTACATGTCTACTGTGAGTTAATGATCTGTAATATTTGCAAGGAAAATGCAATATAATTTTGAAACTACAATTTGCTTTCCTTAGCATTGATTCATTTCACTTGTCACGTAATATTTTTGCAGGATGTTAGCCAGCTAATTAGTAAAGATTTAATTAATTCATCTCACTTTTTATAGCAAAATTAAGTTGTTTAGATGAAAAATGAATGTACATAGAATATTGCCATCAAATGCTGTAAATATATGAAAATCATATATATGGCAGCACTCTACAAACTGAGCTAACAAGCTAACTGGGAGCTGGTCATTATGTTGGATCCAAATATACCTTCGAAGGTTTAAAACCAAGCTCAGTTGGTAGAGCACTGCACTGGTATCACAGAGAGTATGGGTTCAAATACTGTATGGGCCTGAATTTTTTTCAGGCCTCATTTCAACTACTAGTTCAGTAGTGTTTAAGCTGCAAGGATCGCCTCTTAATTCATTGCCATCCAACTTTCAAAAAGATTAAAAAACTGTGCACCAATTATGCATGAATAGATTTGCAATCATGTACAGTGATGTGGTGTTTCACTTAATTGATGATAGAGAAATAGGGATGTAAAGTCTCACCACTGCATACAGAGGTTGTGATTGCATAGTTATTTTTATATCAATAAAACTTCAATTCTCACTTGAATTATTTCCTTGTCTACTAAAGGTTGTCCTACCTGATTTATCTGTCACTGTCACTGTAAATAAGATATCTGGCGTTGACCCAAATGATGATCTTACATTCACCGTCAAGCTGAGCCATTCTAAACACTCAGCATCACATGCATATCGGGTGCTTCTGGAGATTGCTGCATCTGATGAGTACTTTGAAAATGTTCAAGAGGTTGGCTCTCCAGATGTAGGTGTTTTGTCTGTGGTTGCTGGCAACAATGCCCCAAGTGGAAATCCAAGGTAACATGTTTTTGCATTAAATCCACTCTTTAAATGGATATGAAATTTCAATTAATCCTAATTAACTCCCATGAGTGACCAAAACAGAATTTCTCCTTACAATATCAATACAATATCAAACAGACAAGTGATGAGAATATAGAAAAATATCAGTTAGGGGATTATAAGCTGATCCAATACCAAATTCTCCAAACTAATGTTATGAGAACTGTATGGCAGACAGTAAGGAGAATTACTAATGAGATCTTGGGGGTTAAAGGGTTAAGCAATTTGTTTAACCCTTTGACCCCCAAGAGTTACTAGTATCTAAAGCTACTTTCTCCTTACAATATCACTCCTGAATCATACATTAAAGTTATGAGAATAAATGAAATGATCACCAGCTAAAGAAACACTTGATTTCTCATCAAATTCTCCTTGTCAGCACCTTAGGAAATGTGTAGAGAATGGTGAGGAGAAAATAGATACTGATGTTGGAGTGTAGAGTGTTAACTGAGGTTTAATTCTTGAACCTGGTGTCACGTATGAATTAATTTTGTTGTTGTTGTTTCCTGATGGTTCTTTAATGATCAGCCCTTCTCAAAAAAACTGACCCTTGAAAAATTCCAATTTGAACATGAATTCTGTCATGAACCTTTAACTCCCATGAGTGACCAAGACAGAATCTAGATGAATCCTTACAATATCAAGCAAACAACTGATGATGAGAATAAAGAAAAATATCAACTAAATTCGAACTCTGAAAGCTAATTTTTTTTAAGCTGATGGTCATGGGAAAGAGAAGTTTGCTTCTAAAACTATATTATGTGTTATCTCCGTCATTGTTATTGTACTAGACTTGTACCGTTGGTCGACTGTCAGTCAACTGTGGTCCGAAAGCTGGCCGACAGTTGGACGACACTCGACCGACCGTTGGCCAACTGTTGGTCGATTTTTGGCCAATAATTGGTCAACTCAGCCGACGTTCAACCGTTTGTTGACGGACAGGCTTTTTTAAGGGAGTTGTTCTTCACAATAGCCGACAACTGCACAATTTGTTTATGTAGTATATGCACATTTGTCATGTTTATATGTGTATGGTGGCCTGTTATAGAATAAATGTTATTATCTTTCAGGTATAATAATACGAATACAAAAGTCATTCTTTATGAAGTGACCACTGGCCTGCTCCTTGGTAAGAGCGTCTCCTTTCAGTACAAGGCTACAACTGTTGGTAACCTTCAGCCCAGCATATACATCTCTTCCCCAGTCTTCCTCTCCTATGCAACACTGCCGCCCAGTTTGTCACCTCGAGAAGGGAGAAAGTTTGAACATAACTCTGATCAGGTGAGAAAAGTCTCTTCAAAAAGATGTTGCTGTTACTTAACAGTTATTGGATAATGTTATGACTGGTAGCAAAAATGATCGAAGCCGAGGTTATTTTTTATCAGCTGGAGTCGAAGGCTTGTTTGTTTTTGACGATCTTATCTTCGCTAATTTGACGAGAACTGGACGTTGTTTGAAAGAAATTACATGCAAAGAAGTGAAGTTTTGCGTGAGCGAAAAAAAAAAAAAACCAGAAACAAAACGAGAGGAAAGCGGAGGCGATATATTTAGGCTTTCGCGCACTTGCAGTCAAAAATCAAAACCCCTAAAGATCGAGTTTCCTTCAAGATATTTTCAATAAATTCTATGACTTGTTTCTTTTTGATTCTACAGGCTTCTTTTCTCACTTTCCGCCCTCTTCCATATGTAACAGTTAGCTTCCAGGCTCCCGCCAATGGTTCGTTTGATGCCGGTGACAGAGTAGAATATGAACTGATCCTAAACAACATTGATTCAACAATATCAGCGTATTCACTGTCTGTAATAGTATCCTTTGAGACTGTCGACACCAACAGTCTCAACACATCTTGCAGTGGAGGTACGCCTAAGTTTAACGCTACCACAAAGCAATCAAGACTCTTCATAACACCTCTGGCGCCCTCACAAAGCATCCGCTGCAAGTACGAGTCTCGACTCCAAGCTCGCATCAGCCCAAAGCAGTTGATCTCTCAGATGGTTACCGTAGAGTACTACAACAAAAATGTAGGAAACAACCCGCAGAATGCGGCAAGCTATAATGAAAAGAGACATGCTAACATTACTACCAAGCCTATCGATACCTCGATACTGTCCAGTAAGAATGCGGATAAGTTAGAGGCAGGTGATCCAGTTAATTTTACCGTTCAGTTACAACTCCCTGAGTGTGAGACCAACTTGAGTGTAGTAGTTGATTTGCCCACAGTCCCTGAAAGCGTTATTGATCTGGCTCGTAAAAGGAGGAGTTTACAAGGAATCGGAATTGAGAGTGAAGAGGATAACTTAAGGTTGGTTGTTTCTTTTTTGTTGTTGTTGTTTCAGTATTTTTCCTTTTCCTGAAACTTTATTCACTGGCTCCCCAGCTCACTTGGAAATTAGGTTACTTGTTAAACCCCATCACGCATAAAGTGGGATTTAAGCGATTTAATTTCTTCACCGTTTTTCCTCTAATAAAGAAATAGTATGAATCTTTGAAAACAATTGAGACTTTTAAATCCCATACAAATCCATATACTTGCCATGTTCGATTTTGCGGTTTTTAACACGTAATCAACTCTCCAAGTGCTTTTGGGGGGGCCTGTGCTTTATCGTGTATACTGTGATTCTTTGGCATGCCTGCCTTACAAATGCCACCCTTTCTTGAAAAGGAAAAAAAATTCCTTTTTTTATTAGAGCGCATTTCTACTTAGTGCTGTATAGCAAAAACTACAGCAGCAATACAACTAATTATAGCAACCTCATTTATGCCTGTGCTGGTACTAATCACGCTTGTCATTAGAACGTTAAAACTTTACAAAATACTGAAATCGATAGGCAGAAAGTATCGAGCGCATGGAACAGTTTCCTGTATAATTTATGGAAAAATCATGCAATTTCAAACGACATCGAGTCAAGAAGTTCCTCAAGTCGTGGCCTTTTAGGTCAGCATCCTCGAGTAACAGGCTTCGAACACGCTTTTAGCTATATCTGTATTTCCTTCCTATTATTTCTTTTTTTTCCTTTTCTAACTTAAAAGGGATAATTTTTTCACCAAGATTATGCAATGAAAGACATAGGTCACCGTATAATGACTGAAAAACAATACCGTTTCCTCGGAATACGCCTAATTTCATGATGTTATGCGCAGTAAAAGGTGCGCAGTATAATACTGATAGTGCGCGCGCTGAACAATTTTAAATTGTGAGTTTGTGAGCATTATTACGCAAACGATTATTGCGTATTGCATGTCGCAGTTCTCAGAGAGTCGCGTTTACCGTTTTCCCGTTGTTCCCGTTTTCAACCGATTGAATCAGTTCGTTCTTTAAAAGGGTTTTCCGTAATCACCAACGAACTTTTGACTGATTAGTTAGACTCATCTGGGTTTTTAGAGCCATTTATGTTACCTTATAACAGTCTTAATTTTAAAGTACTCTTATCCTGGTAATTAACGGTTTCCAAATGTTTATTTGTTTAAATATTTAACCTTCAGTGTTTGTTTATTTTGAACAGGTCTCGGCACAAGCGTTCAGCAGGTGTGGTCAACGCCCTATCTCCTATTCTAGGTGACAGTTTTGTGAAGTACGGAAATGGCCTGACTTTATCTCTGATCCCAGTCATAACACCTGCGAACCCTACGACTCTGACTATACCCTTTGGTACTGTTCAAAATCTTCCCGGCTCTGGATCCAATGATACAATCGAGATCTTTCTAAAGTTTAACACCGCAAACAGACCACTCATTCTTAGTGGACGACGCCTGTACTTGACAGTGAAGTTGAATTTTGATGCTGGATCAGATAGTGGGGTGAAACAGTTTGTTATCGTTGGACCACTGGTGAAGCCACTACTGTCCATTGTTAAAACTGTGGAGGTATGGTAGTTTTAGCGCTTTTCGGTTGAGTGTCGTAACAATAATTAAAAAAACCAAAGCTCTTCGTGCCTCGTTCGGAAATCTTCGCTTTACGACCGTGCTGGGAACGGAAAGGTTCGCTCGTCGACCTGCTGCGGACAACAGACTGGCCAGTAACGTGATCGCATAAACATGTATCATTGAGCAATCAACAAGAACGACTCGTACTGAAATTGGTGGGTTCATTGAACTAGAGAATAGCCAAGTTTAAGTCCTCTGCTCCTGTGACCTTTCTGAAGTTGACTTTCTACTAAATCCTTTACAACTTTCTCGGCAAATTTCCTGATCAAGACATATAAAACTTGTACACAAGGCAGTTTTGTCCTTGCTTACAAGCTTTTGAAAAAAAAATATTTGTCAAAGTCATGTCGTATTTTCCACCTATACCTTGGAGAAAAGTTCTCAAAAAAAATTTTTGGAAACGCAGCTTGCGTTTTATGTTTAACCATGCCTCAGAGAGCAGAGGAGTTAATTCGACTCTATTTCTAGTTAAATAAACCGTAACATTGCATCGCTAGTAACTACTAGCGCTAAATGCCCACAATAAATTCTGTAAGAGGTTTTTGTTTAGCAGAAAGATTTCCAGAAACGTGTAACGCGATTGCGTGTGTCAACGGTCAACAACGATATAGAGTCGTGCTGCAATCGTCCACCGCCATCTGCTAGGCCTCTTACCGCCGTCTGTTTAGCTTGTGAGGAGACAGGCGGGCACAACCGCATATTACACCATCGGCAGCCGCTTAGGAAGAAAGATCATCGAAACCCCTGAATCGTACAGTTAATTTAATTAGAAATACCGTCAAATTTAACTTCTCTGCCTCCTGTGCTCTGCAAGATACTCAAGTGTACTCAATTTCCCATGTTTTCTAGATAGCAGAGAAGAACGTGGACTCGCCTCTTGTGTTATTTAACATTACCGTCAGTCACACCAACGCCTCTGTTTACGATGCGACCAACCTAACTGTCCAGGATTCCACACAAGGAATGGATTTTTATGATTCTGATTCGTCGACTCAAGGCGCCTTTGTTACGTTTCCCAGAAAGAACAGCTTTGAAATTCGTTTTACCCTTCGAAGTCTGCGCGGTAAGTTTGGGATAACTTCATATTGCAAGAGTTTGAAATAGTATTTATCAACACATTTGATTGATGGAATATGTGATTGATTGACTGGTTTATTGGGTAAAAAACTGATCTGTAACAGCTTGAAAGGGTGTTCTCATTCATCTTACTCGCTTGAATTAAGCGAGATCATTTTTTCTGTTACTTGTTTTCTTTTACTGCAAAGCCTTAGTTTGATTTGTTGATTGATTGACTAATTGATGGAGAACATGTGTAACAAATCCACTAAAACAAAAATCAGCGATCGCTTAATGGTATGTTAGTTCTTCAAGTACTTCCAGATCTTACCATTGTTTATCAATTGGCTCATGGTTGGTGAAATAGAACACTCGGAGAGAAATTTCATATCTACAAGCAACCATGTAATTATTTTGGCCTTTTTTTAAACACTATAGGCCTGAAAAATGATCTTGAATTGAGAATCGTGAACGCTTTGATATTCTTTAATCGACCTGACGGAGTGACGCGAAAGGCGGGTGACGTGTCAGTAGCTGATTGGCGATAAGAAACACGCATAAAATACTATCGTAATTATATACTTGTGCAGTTACTACTTTTATCGGGACTGGATTTCCTTGTAAAACACCGCCGTGTGAACATTAAGAGTAAATAACGTCTATATTGCCCTATTCAACTGTTTCATTTCAGGACAACAGAGATGAGGAAAACTTGTTAAAGAGACATTTCTAAGCTTTATCCAGAAGGATTGGATTACAAATTTTGCTCTGCAATCCTCCTGGATAAAGCTTAGCTTGTCACTGCATGGACAAAATTTCTTGTACACAGGGAATTGTAAGAAAAAAACTGATCCCAATAACATCATATTCAACACGCAATATCCTCATCACCAGTGGATTGACAAAAGGAACCCTTCATTTGATCAAAATAGTTCGATTTGTTAATCGACTGTTGCACAGTCGCATTGTGACCAGTCCCAATAATATTTTTTAGAAGAGTTTTTACTATTCTACACTTTGCTAATTTCAGTTGAATACATCGCGGAACCTTTACATCGGCTTCTGTGCTCATATCCTCCAATCTTTCTTGGTTAAGTCTCCAAAGTAACACAAGCTAACGAAGTCCGCAATCCGCGTTGATACTAGAGATCGAGTATTGCAAAGAAATCAAACTGAATATTGTTTTTCTATTTTACAGTTGGTGAGACAAGATCCTTTATCTATGTGGCTCGATTTAAAGTGGATGAGAAGGTTGGTGATCACCTGCCACAAACTCAACCAGTTGTCTTTGTTCAGTTATTCTAACTCGTGTATTTCTATTTGCTTCCATTAGGAGCCGACCACGCTGCGTATCCCTGCTACAGTGACATGGAAGAGTGTACAGGTGAGAAGATGTGAACAGTTTTATGTCGAACAAGAACTGTAATGTCCTATGAAATCTATGAGAGAGGCAGAAAAGTGGAGTTTTAAAGGAGATATGAAGTTGCTAACAGAGATCTTTTTGTTTTCTTTTTCAGCTAAACAGCCTGACTTACAGAGTCTCAAGCGATGCCAGCACGTCTTGTCTTCAAAGAGCTGACGTGGATGAACCAGAGGTAACAACGAAGATTGATGGTAGAATAAACTCATCCCGCTGCTTTCAGCTATTTTCATCAATTTATCATACTCTGAGGCAGATTACGTAGCATTCTTTTTCGTTTTTGTCTAACAAAGCGAGAGAAGCGTGAGCTAAGCGGGAGAATCGTGAGCCGCGTGTGAGTCGCTCGATTCTTTAGCATGATTCCCTCTCAGTTTACACTGCTCCCCTTCAGCTAAATGATAACGGAAAAGACTTCTGGGTACTTTTACAGAGCCCAATTGTGCGAAATATGGTTTATGATCCTACGCGGCGTGTAGTGCGAAATCTGTGAGCATAATGACAGCTATAAGTTTAAAGGAACATGTATGGTAAAGACCAAAGACGACACCCATTCTCTTAATTGAGCATGTTCCAAAACACAGATTCCATTGTTGTTTTATTCACTTGAGCGTTAGTAACAGATCTCTGAATTACGTTTTAGCTCATTGACCATATATTGCATTAACAACATGGCATTTTATTTTCTAGCGTCGTAAAGTGTTTGGTTATTTTGCTCTTGGCGTTTTCCTTGGTTTGTTATTCGGAGCTCTGATTGCTGCCATCTTGATACTGGTGGTGATCAAATGTTGCGATAAGGGCAAGATGGCGCCATATTATACGGTGAGTCCTGTAAGCCTGTTCAGCGAGCCGTGAACAACTTAAGGCAAACACGCTACGATACCACCCTTGAGTGCTTTAAAATCGTTTATCTGTTCCTGGAAGTGAACAACTAAAGTTTTAGTGATTGTGTCTGCCATATCGTGGATATCAATTCTGGGCAATTTCTTATAATTTTCAGATGTTTCATTTTATTGTCAGATGATCAGGTCAACCTTTGCAAACAGGTCAAAAAAAGTAGGAGCCCCTGTTTCGGTTTTTGTGGTGTTTTGTGCTTCCTCACTCCTTGACCTTACTGTCTAAACTAAAATCGTTTACAGAATTTACCTTTTACAAAAGTATGTACTCGGTCGATCTTGAAACCCTTTCATTTGTTTTATCTTTTCCAGCGCTTTACTAACACAACCACCATGACTGTTCTGACTGGAGGATCTCAGTATATTTACCACGGCGGTGAAATGCCAGACAACAAACCAGTGGAAACACACAAAGAAATCAGGTAAGAAGAAAGATGTTCTAACATAAGTCTTTTGCAGCGCCTATTTACTCGTTTTAGACGTAACTACGAATGGGAAAAGCGACACACGTTCAACCGCTACTGTTTTTGGCGACTCAAAGCTTAGCCCGTCATCACTAACTGACAAACTTCCTCGCTAGGTGAAAAGAAAATAGTCATAAAAGTTGTGCAACGATAAAGAAAGACATACCGTTGGGTCTTGCAATTAGAGTAGATGTCAAAGGCACTTTTGTTGACTAATTTACGGCACCATGAGCGAAAGAATATGAGTTTGAAAACTAAAGATTTGCGACGCTGTTATCTATTTAACAATTAGCTTTGAGCTTAATACTTCTCGAGCGCCTTCATCAACCATCATGCGTAGAAATAGAGAGCGAATGATCTAAATATTTCGGAGAAAACTACTTTTAGTTTAAAACTTAACAAGACATGCTCGTGGTTTCGTTGAATAGTGATACAAATGAGTCACGCCCGTTGACTCGCTATCCATCACAGAATGAAGAGTGTCGTAGCTAATCAGATTGCAGAATTTGTGATATCTAATAATTATATGGTATTTTTTTATGCTTGTTTTTCAGTATTGTTCAAACTGACGAGAGTATCGTACCTATTCTAGCTCTGGACAAAGCTTCTCAGACAGAGAAAGAGTTCAACAGGTAAAGACGAAAGTTAAAGAGCACACTGCAAAGACCACTGAAATATTCTACAACAACGTAAAGTTTCGCTACTTTACAGAACTTTATGCAGAAATTATTTAAGTAGGCTTGTGACGAGAAACGTTGTGGAAAAAGGCTCTCAACTTTCCCAAAGTCATTAAGGCGGGTGAATTGCCTTTGGCAACTTCACTGTTGAGTTAGAACGCTCTTCGTTTGGTAGTCCTAAAACAAAAACCTAAGTCATTGCAACGACGAGTCGGAAGATAAGAAAATGATCTGAAGAGCCAATGAGAACTCAGTGATCTTGGACTGGACGCTTTCCTTTTGTCTCCTTAGCCTTGATGTACAAGCTACAGCGGCTCTGGATGCTGACTTGGAGGCTCAACGACAAAACATGTTTATCAGAGCTCTCAAACTGCTGGCCAAGAAACTGCGGGTGAAAAGAGACATATCAACTGAACAAGAAAACAAGGTACGTCCACCTCTGATGATAAGAGTCTCGAGATAGGCTTTACACCAGGTTTACATATGTCTTATGCGGGAAGTTGTGACGTTGCATAGCAACTCGAGATGCAATTCCGTGATATGATGTTGCACACTAAGTTAAAGGAGAGTGCATCTTGCGTCCGTATATCATGCTTGTGTGCACGTGCCCACATGAGTGGAAGGCACCTTTTGAATAGATTCTATAGTGCATAACTAAACCTGAGAACAGAAGACTCACAATTTTTTGGCCTTTATCATTCTCCGCAGTTTGCATTGGAAATCAAGCAGGCAATCGGTGCAGTGGCATTTAAAATGGCAGCAGAGTACAGGAGGAAATCTGCTGAGCTCAGAAGGAGGCTGACAGCAGACGGAAAGGTAACCTCGCCACTATAATATTAGAACTTCCAAGATCTTATCTGGAGTTCACCTTTCTAGCTGCTACACATTTGTAAATTTTTTCAGAGAATTTGGTGCGTTATCAGGGTAACATTCTCTAACTGATAAATTTGTCTCTTCTCATCACATTTATGTTTGATAATGTATCGTTATTTTTAGGGGGAAATTGCATGTTGATCACTTCTAGGGTTATGGAGAAACTGTCTTTAGTAATGGAGAGGTCATTTGATCGACGCAGAATTCCTTACATTCCTTGGTATGCTTTTGCAGAATCGTTTAGATGCCTTACATCGGGAGCAAGCGAAAGAACGAGAGGAAACTGAAAACAAAATCAAGGGACTTGTGAATGAGGTGAGGAGAAATTTAGTTGTGGTATTTGCGGTTGAAAAAGGGGTTTTTCAATGTCGGCAAAACCTTCGCTTGGTTATTTGGTCTAGATGCAAGTGTCGTCGAATCAATATGTGCTGGTTCAGTTTATTCTTGTTTTTGAAAGTTTTTTTATTTTGGTTTCTGGTTGGTGAGCTTGAGCGAAGTTTGAAGTAGTGATAAAGTGAAACAGAATCCAGTCGCACCAAAAAGTTCAAATGTGACATTTTAAGTAAAGTTGCTTAAAGCCTTGCTCAGAGAAAAGATGAGGCTTAAAAACGGCGAGAAGCATCTCGCTAGGGTAAAACTAATGACAAATATTTTTCTCGACTTGTCTGCATCTCGGGCAGTTTCTGCTTATGGACACTCGGAAGATAATGAGCGAGAGTGAGGCCCTAATCTACTGTTCAAAGGAGCCCAAAAAATGACCAGTATGACCTGGGTTCGATTCCGGCACTTTCTGCACAAGAGCCATGAGTATTTTTTTTTCGTTCGATTTAGCGAGAAAAGAAGAACATCCTTGAACTTCTGAAACGGCGGCAAGATGCCCAAGAAGAAGAGCTGAAACAGAATCTAAAACTGGAGCAAGATGTTGAGATGGAGAAGCTCAGAAAGGTAAAAAACAACCTTTCCTTTGCGTTTAAAAGCTAGAATTCATTTCAGTTAAGTTTTAAACCATAGAAAACAAAATTTTGGAGTATAATTTCTACTTTGTTTGGATCTCTCCGTTTGATTGGTTTCCAACCAGACAGAAAAAATGTTAGAACCATATTTTACAGCATGATAAACTACTGCATGGAAGAACTGCCAGTAGCTTTTATTCGAATCATCACACGCAAGGTTTTTCTCACAGAAGTATTATGTTTTCACCATGCATGTTTTACAGCACAATAAACAGTATCGCATTAAAGAGCTGGTCAGTAGCTTTTATTTGCATCGACAGTTAAGGGATTTATATACGCTACAGAACCACCTTGTAAAATGCATGTCAAATTGTTACCTGTAAGTTATACTGTCTTTTTCGGTCGTATTCTTCTTTGCAGGAAATTTCGATAAGTAAACGTTTTGCGCTGAAAGAATCTCAAAACCAACTGATTCAGAATTTAATAAAGGATGCAAAACTGAATGAAGAACAAGCGAACGCCATTATGAAGAATCACTTGGCCAACATGGCCGCCATAGACAAAGCTACAGACGAGGAGCGGGCCAGACGTGTCATGGCGCTGGAAATGAGGTTGGCAGAGCGAAGGGCGCTAGCAAAACAGAAGGTATATGAGGAAGCTAAATTAGCCTGAAATTGAATGTTGACGTTTTACCTTTTCTTGTTGGTGCTATTTTAACTTTGAAAATTGCTTCAAAGCTAAACTCACCACTTGTCTTTTCTTCATAGCATGAAGAAGAGGAACGTAAAAAAGGAGATCTAGGCAAGTTAGAACAAAATCACGCCGAAGCACTGGAAAATCTTGTCCGGTAAGACTGTGTTGCTCTACTTATGTTTGACCATACAAGAAAATGTACAAATTGAAGCTCCCTTATCAAGATGACTGAACTGAGATAATCCCGGGTAGATAGAGCCCTTTGGCTTGTAAAACCAAACCTTCATTATTATCTTCGTGTCACCAGGTCATCGAATCTCAACTCAGAAGATGCTGCGACTTACTTGGAACGATTTAGAAAAGACTTAGAGGTCGTGAACAGCAAACTTGCAAAGGACAGAAAGCGCCAGGAACAGAAATTACATCATAAACTGACGGCACTTAAGCAGAAAAGAATTGAAGAAAAGGTACACTAAGTGGTTCGATAACATTGTTCTTCTCATCTCGTTTATTGTGAAAAGTCGTATTTCAGAAGTAGGCTCTAAGTTTTCAGTTTCGTCATTTGCAGTTCGTATTGATCTTAGTCTTCAACTATCCATGGTCCTTGTTTGGTTTGCCGCTCATGTTTTTTCCTATCTTTCCGAACTAATGTGTCATTAACTATTCTCGATGCTTGTGTTTGCACACACACCATGTACCTCTGAGTTTGAAGTCAATTTTGAATGTCTTACATGATATAGTGTGTGTTTTTCGCCTTAACAGAAAATATGATGATTTACTGTACAAACACTTATCATCAGTAAAGCTCGAATGACTTATCAAACAGTAAATCCCGTCGTTGATCCGTATTCGTCAAATTTATCATTCGTTCACGCTCAAGAAACTAGGCTGCCTGTGCATGATTCCAAACATCTCTGATAGTTATATTCTAAATAGCTTCATTGAAAGTTGATAGTTCTTTATTAGCCTGTTTTGATTGTTTTTAGTTGCGCGAACATCAGCGGGAAATCAAGGAATTTGAAGAACAACAGGATGAGAAGTTTGAACAAGTAGAAATTGGTGAGTTGAATAAACCCGTTTTTTGAATATTTATGATCAAGTTTCTGGTCGTAGCATTATGTGGAACGATTACAGCATTTTAACTCACATGACCAGGTTACCAACAGCAATTCTGCAGCATAGTTGGTGAAGTATTCGAGCTGAAAATCTGAAGGTCTATCATTCAAAATCCCGTACGGGTTTGAAGTTTTTCTCTTTTCTATGTCATGGAAAAACTCTATCAAAATTTCTAATGTTTTTCTGGATGATTATTTTTAGTCTATTTCGCCTCTTTTAGTCAGTTATGTCGGACAAATGCAATTATCTGAGGAACTATTTTGCAACAGAATTGATGAAGCTATATGTTAAATAAGATAAGGTCAAAATAAAATCATGAAGCTTATCAATTAAAGGTACTAGACGGTTGAATTTAACCCAGACAACAAGAATATAATGTCAATACAACTTTTGTTTTTTTCAGATACTGTGTCTTCCATAACTGAGAAGCAGAAAATTTTGCAAAAACATCGACAAGAAATTGAGGAAATAGAGCAAACTTCTGACAGAGAGGTAAGCTCTACTCACAACGCAATAGCAAAATGTCTTTATACAAAGATGTAATAGAGGTTTTGATATTTAGTTGTTATAGACAGGAACGGATTGTCCAGTTTGGGGTAAAGGGGTGGTACACTGTAGGTTGTTATGTCACAAATAATTGCAAAAGGGGGGATGAGCCACTTCACCCTTAAACCCCCCCCCCCCACCCTTTCTCTTCTAAAGCCACCTTTGTCTCGAATTTGATGTGTTGCTTTAAAACGGGAGGCGCCCTTTTCAAAGAAACACATCATACTCAAGGCAAAGCCTCTCGCCAACGTTTTGTGCTTTGACCTGTTCTGGGTATAGAAGTTGGTTTAAAGTTGAGTGGTAGTCCCACTAAGTCCTCATTAGATGTCACCGAACTTATCTCGTCTACCTCTTAATTCATGACAGCAGTTGTTTTTTATGTGTACCTTGGAAATTGTGGGCGGAACATTGGCGCGCGGTCAGCCGAGATTGATCTCCTTGTGCATGTTCGACGTCAGACTGCTATGTTGCTCAAAATATGACTCACAAATACGAGTATTTTACGCCTCAGTGAGTTCGTCCATTCTGTTTTACTTGAGGAGTGATTTGTATGACTTTTTTCTCGAAGGCTGCAGAACAAATCGAAGCCCTCAGAGATCAACAGACACACGATGGGAACCAGATGATCAAAAACAATACTCAAAAAATGTATCAGGAGTTGGTTAATAAAGGTAAGGAATTTATTAGAAGGATATTGACCTTGGTCGACCGATCTGACAGTTGGCCGTTATGATTTAATTTGGTTCTAGTTTTACAACACTCAATCGAAAAGCACTCTGGTTTTGAATCTGATCATTTGTGAGGTTGGTAGCTTTTCCAGATAATTGTAGATCAATGTGAAGTCACACTAATGTAAACTGGAATTTTCTTGTAGGTTTATCTGAGTCTGAGAAGGAAGCAATTTTGGAACGGCATATGGCGGACATTGCGATGCAGCAAGAGGCCAGAGAAGAAGAGCGAAAACGTCAAAGAGGAATGCTGGAGGTTAGTTAGTTGTTTGTGAAAATTCTTTTTTTCTCACTCAACGAACCAGCCGTCTTTTGTACTTTTGAGCCGAAGAAGGTTGTGTTTATGGTAGCTTTCCTATCTGGTATTAGATAGACTAAGTCTTGGTGTATAAAATCTTTCAAGGTGGTAAAGAACTTCTCTATTGCATAGAGTCCCAGGAGATATGGAACTGAGTAGGCTTGGTGGTTGATACACAAAATTTTCTGCTTTTTCGTGAGCTTGCATTTTTGCTGAAATACATCAATGTGAGCTCCATAGAAGTTAACTACACCTGACATATCAATAACTTTTCTTGGTCAACTGTTACCGATTGATCGACTGATTGATTGATTGACTGACTGATTGATTGATTGACTGACTGATTGATTGATTGATTGATTGATTGACTTATTGATTGACTGACTGATTGACTGATTGAGTGACTGATTGATTGATTGACTTATTGATTGACAGACTGATTGACTGATTGATTGACTGATTGATTGACTGACTGATTGATTGATTGATTAATTGATTGATTGATTGATATAGAAAAGACTAGAAAAACAACGTGCTGCTTTAGAGAAGAAAATGAAGGAAGAACAAGTGGAACAGGCCGAAATCAGGAAACAAGAGGATAAGATCGTTGGGTGAGTCCTCGAATTACTCTTTCTGGCAGACTTGTTAGATAATGTAATTACATTAGTTTCAACTTAACTCTTAGTTGCACTGGCATGAAGGCAGAGGAATCTCGATTGCTCAATTGAATTCGATTTTTTTTTTGGGTGCACAAGGGTTTAATGATTTCATTTCTGTTTGTGAACTTTCTACTGTTTATTTTTATTTTTTTCTATATTTATTATTTCCATATATTTTTTTTAACTTGGTCGGAATGAACACTCAGGCTCCCAGTTCGAGTTTGAAATAGAAAATGAGAAATATTGCTCGCTGAAAGGCTTTGTGGATATGAAAATTCTTGCGATGTGTATCGCAACAATCGTTTGATAGAAGAGCGATTGTAGAACGTCAAGCGACCGAGACGTAAAAATTTTAAATCTTTACAGGGATTTGATAATCAATCAAGTTGCAATGTCTGAGGAGGAAAGAGAAAAAATCATTCAAGAACACGAGAAGAACCTGGCTGCACTTGAAAGCAGGTAGGGATTTCCTCATCAACCTCGCCTTACTAATTTTCACTCGTGCTTTAGTTGTATCCTAACACATTTAGCCTCAGTTCGATTGTGTCATTTTCATCTTCTATTCTCAAATAACCGGGCATAGGTCTCATATTCCAGGTTTTGTTAACTATTGTCTCCCCATAAGAGCTTCATATCAAATGTTTTTGTCTTGGTGTCGCATTTTTCGTAATTTTGGCAATCCGATAGAGTTCTTTTCAGACCTTGCCAGGTGTGCGCCAAGATCTTACCAACACCTCTTGCATGTCAGTTGACGCAAGTGATTATGGATCTTTTCTTATTGTTATTTTTTTTCTCCTTTTTCTTTTCTTATTAGTCTGACCCTAAACAAGTTACGTCAACGGCAAATGTTGGAGGACAAACTTGCCCAGCGGAGGAAGAGAAGAATGGAGGAGTTGGAACAGAAACAAATGCATGAGACTAAGGTATCAAATTTCCTAAATTGCTCACAGATTTCCTGTCTAAGGGAGCCTGAAACTCAGGCTTCCATGGATACTTTCTTCACCCGAAAATCGACACAAAAGCGAGTGAGAAAATCAAGTCCGAAAGAATTGTTTTTTTTTTTGTGCCTGTTACTTTTGCGTCCCGAGGGGAGTGAATTAAAACGTTTTCACACATATTAGATCTATTTCAAGCTGGATCCCGTTTCTGAAAAAAATTAACCCATTACTTGCAAGGAAATGGGACAGATGTAGTTATTCTCGCGGTCACTGACTTAATATGAAAAAACCCTTAGGCTTTGGGAGGTTATATTTCATCTGTTCTACCCCTCTTTTAGGATCGGGATTACAGCGACAAAATCTTAGTGGAAGGCGAAGATATAGAGATGATCAAGAAACACGAGCAAGAGAAAATGGCGGCGATGAAGGAGGATGAGTTGCAAATCGATGATGAAATGGAAGCGGTATGGATACTTTGTGTCGTTGTTGACATCGCTTTAAATATGAGCAGTTCGCCATAAGATACTTTTGTCTTCTCAAAATACTCACAAATTGAAGCTCACATTTGGACTTTCTTCAAATTGGCAGCTGCATGACAATTACTGTAAACCACCGGGTGTTAAGCTTCAGGCCAATTTCGCTAGCGCCAAAAATACTAATATGAGGTAGTGTCCTATATTTATTAGTCTCACAGCCCCATTAAATCCCGATTTCGCTGAAGCTAGAGAAGTTCCCTGTAAATAGAAACTTTCCCAGTCAAAAAAATGTCTGAAGATATGAACAATTGAAAAACGCTATGTGTCACTGTGATTTGTGGTATTTCGTGTGGACATTCGCCTCTTTCTATCTGACATAAAGTGGCTCAGATTGTCAAGGAGTATGATAGTACTGGGGCAATAGTGTCATTTTGTTGGTTGTGCTGTTCCACTAGATGACAGGTAAATAATGAATCAACCTGAATTAACCTCACCACAGCGAAATTTAGCAGCAATTAAAAGATAGCTGGTTTTTCATTGCGCTTTTAGATTTCTTCCGTTATCTCTTTGCATTTTTTTTTTCGCGTAAAACTTGTGTTCATTTTGTATTGGTTTTAGGTTAGGCAAGAAATGCTCGCAGAAAGGTCTAAGAGGCTCGAGGAACATCACGAAAAACTGGGCGCAATCATTGCCAACCTACAGATTGAGAAAGCAAAACAGGTACAACTATTTATTATCAAGAGAAATATCTTCCTTTTCTCTATACATGTACCTCATTGATTTTTTACTTCTGCAATGTTTTAGCAGCAATTTGAAAAGATGTGTTGCTCTTTGACTCATCTTGTACCTTTGCGAAGGAATTTTACCTGCTTAAGATAAGAAAAGCCTGGTTAAGTCTGAGGCTCGAGTGTTCATCCCCAGACAGGACCGACTCTCAGGGTTTCTACCGAGAAGAACGTATTTTCTTTTTGATGACATCTAAATACATATGGGCGATCTAGTCTCACATGTCAGACTTGTCGAGGACCCGTCTCTTTCATCCTTACTTCTCTTATGTAAAGGGAATCATAAACATCTCAGGTAGTCAAAATAAGGAGCACAGTAGGACACGAAGCTTTTAGTTTTGTGTTTTAGAGGTTGCCTTTGTCTGAACAGGTTCACACGTCTTAAAAAATCCAATTTGCTTATGACTTTAAACAAAACAAACAAACCTAACGATCAAAAGTTTCTCCCATCGGAGCCATGGAAAAGGAGACATTTAGACTCAGGTTTACACGTCTAGTGTCACTGCACCAGATTTCAAGATTATTTTTCCATATTCTTACTAAAACGGCTATTGTCTTCTGAATAGATCTCAAAGATAGCAATGCAACAACAGGCTCTGGGCCAGCTTCAAGCAGGTTTAATTGATGAATTAGAATCCAAAGGAACCTTCCAGGATCCTGAGACGCAGAAAATTATGGAAAAATATCAAAAGGTACCTGTTATTTGTTTTTCTAAGGGGGTGAGGAGATGGAAGAAATTGAAACCAAAAGACTGGATTCGCGGCACTCTAGGTCTTATTCCAAAAGTAATCCCTAAGTTACTTTTGGACTCAAGGTTACCCGCATTGGATTGACCTCATGTGGTAGGGAGGGAGGGAGCAGAGATACTCTTTTGCCCTTTATTTTAAGTCCTGACAAACTCACCGGAAGACACTGTTAGTTTCATTCCTGGGCTTTGTTTTATTAATTTTAAAAAAATACACACATTTCCTTCTGTTTGATAGGATACAAAAAATCTTGAAGATAATTTGAAAGAACAAAAAGAAAGACAGGAAAAGGTAGGTATCAATATCCGTCGATAAGGTCTCTCAGATCGGCTTTTATCCTCGGAAATTATGCTCATAGGTACCACATTTAATCTGGAATTTTGGGACATTTGATTTTTTTTCCAGCGATAAATGTTCTTGTCTCACAGCCAATAACATCACGGCAAAGCTCATCAATCATGGTTCACGAACCGGAATTATGACGTTCGACTGACAAACAACCTCTCTCTTTCTTCTGATGTCGAATTCGACTTAAGATGTCGAATCGTTGGTCACCTCTACTGATAACAGTGCTTTTCAAGATTACGATCATTCAGATGATCAGACTACACGATAAAATATTCTTTTTCTTCACTCATTTTTCGTCTTCCCTTACTTAACTTGCTTACTGTGTCTCATTTAGGCACTGAAAGAACGCCTTCAGGAGAGGATGAGGCAGAGAGAGGAAACTCTTGTCCAGAAACAGAAGGTAAATCCCATAATCTTGTATTATTTAAGTTAAATAAAAAAAGCTCAAAGCGTAGATGCTGTTGTAAATGTGAGAGGGAACACGGACCCAACGAAGAACTCTCAATAGGAGATCTTTATGATAAAAGGGAACAACATTACAAACTACGTACAGCTCTTTGCCATCCGCAATTATTTGAGTGTAATTATGTTTTTCCCTATATAAATGAGTAGTATATCGCTGACTGCTGGCGACAAATCCAATGTTTTTTCCAATGTGATGTTACGATTTCTCGCAAAGGTCCACCGAAATAATTTTGCACAACATTCCATTGAAGATTCAAAAGTTTTTATTATTTCTCATTACTTACATATAAATTTTTCACAACATCGAACAACTTACTGGTTCTTAATGATTTATTTCCTCTAAGGACGAGTTAACTCAGTACTTAAACAGTCTGAACGTGAACAACATGGCCATGAAGCTGCGAAAAGCTGCTTTGAAGGCGAGACACGAGAAGGAACGCAATGAAATGAAAAACAGACTACAGAAGGAGATTGACCAATCGATTAATGAATTAAAGATGACATTTGACATAAAGAGAATGCAGGCGATTGAGGAACAGGTAGTTGAAGAGTAGCGTTTGTTTTAAAGCTATTTTCTTCCGGGTGTCTTAGAACCGAAACAAAATAGTTGCACTGATCAATCAGAGAGGAGGAAATTTTCAGAGGAAGCCAACGTGAACTTACAGTAAACACTAAACAATCAGCCCAAGGTGCGGGAAAACGCGCGTAAGTAAATCCCGAGGGGTTTCCAATTTGGCACCTGATTGGTTGGGACTGTGTTTCGAAGTTGTTTGAACCAATCAAATGTTGAGAATGGGAAGTGCTTATATTAAACAAGTTTTGCAGAAAGGGAGCAAATCTAGCCTTGTCGTGGGATGAAACTGGATAAACACTTCGGGTCTCTTTTATTGGCAACGAGTTTTATTCTGTTGGAAAAGAAATTTGTTTTTTAGGTGTCCGATGTATTTGCAATATGCCGGTGCGTAAGCAAACTTAGGCGAATCAAGCAAATTGACTTTATATCTCTGTGTAGATCCTTCCTCTTTACTTATGACAGCTCTAAATGCTATCGAATGAAGCCTTTCAATTCCCTTTAGTCTTTTTCCAAACGGGCCTGATTTTTTTCTCTCTCTCTCTCTTCTTTTCAGAATATCAAGTTGATCTCCATTTTAGTTCAACAAGGTAAACTTCAGGAAGGTGAACTGGAATCTGTGCTCAAATACCTTTTCCCCAAAAAGTAAGTTCTAACTTCGTTAAAAGTAGTTTTGTCATTTTTATCGTCAATTTCTTTATTAGCAGCCCACCTGCAAGGGCCATTTCTTTCTTTTTTAGGACCTTTAAAGTTCCTTTCTTGATAATGATGTGCGACTCTTTCTCCTCAGATCTTCTAACGAAATCGACGAGCTTCTCTCTAAGATATACGGTTCAAATCATACTAAAGAAAGTAAACAGACTTTCACAGACCCTCGGTAAGTTTGTAATACTGATATCTAAGTGGTATGACGAATTATAATCTCTGAACATTGAGCGCTGGATGAATTGTTAGAGGGTTGTTTGCACTATACGGGAGATTTTATCGTCAGCGCCTTGGATCGAAAGCTCCTGCGTCAAGCTGTGGGCTGGACAGTGTGTTGTGATGTTGGTCAAGCCACTTTACTCCCTCAGTGGCCATCCTTATCTCGAAGTATGAATAGGTACCGCCAAAGCTGTGCGGACAACTGATAAAATGTTAGCAGGTACCTGCCATTCACTTGCATACCATCAAGGCTGAATAGCAATATTGCTCGGCGTTTCATCCCAAAGAATTCTTAATCAACCGCAGATAAGCGCGCGGCAGTTATGAAAGTCATTTTTTTAAAGATACGCAATGTATCTATTTTATTTTTTCTTTTCGCAATTTTTTTTCTAATACGAAAGTTATGGACGAGACAATTAAAGTGTTGAAGTTATTATTTCAAACATTGTGTTTTAGGAGACCAAGTACATTAGAGGCTAGGATCAGAAGGAGAAGTTCTGTCCATATGACCACGCCTCCGGCAGGAAGGTACGTGTAGCTTATTTATTTTTTGGGTTTTCGTCCTAACATAATTAAATTTGACTTTGGACGATTATATTCTGATTTAGTACTTTTCCCTTTATTTTGACAACGCTGCACTAACATACTCCCTTGTATCATTAAGCTTAACGCCTGCTCACATTTAGTATTGCTCATTCCTTAATGCTATGGGCTTCAATTTCTCCAGCTGCTGACACTTCTCAGCTGTTCAGATGGGGTCGCTGTGACAGTCTACGTCTAGTGACTTAAGAGTTCTAGTGGAGGTTTTTGTTGTAACGAAAAGATACTCAGGTCGCTGCGTAGCATCGCACACTTTCAAACTGGTGTGAATGTGGGTGATGATATGTCGAAGGAACGTTTTCCGGGAAAAGCAGACCCGGAACAGCTTGTCACAAAAACCTATCGCTGTGGCAATCGCCAAGTGTTTTCTCTGGCCCTAAATTGAAAGCCTCATAGAAAACTAACAATTATCGTAGCGTTGGTGTCGCTTGTTCAATAGATTCAAATTTTTTGAGCCGTGTTCACACTTACTCTCAAATAACGTTTTTAATCCTATACAACACCCATTAAAAGGAGGAAAATCCACTAAAAGCCAAAGTTGTCTCCAAAATTTGCATTTTGCAAATCCTTTGATATACAGGAGAGCTCTGGCCAATCAAAAGTAGGAATGTGCCACAAGTTCACGTGGCAACAAAAGAATTTGTCAAAATTAAAACGTTTAACTTTTATAGTAACTGCATGAGTATGCTTTCAGTGAGACACCTCCGTCTGATCCAAATCACAACCAATAAGAAGACGTCTTAAGTCAACGGCCGTGACATGACAGGTCAGTTATTGCGTGACCTCCTCAATGTGCTCAAATGGCGTTACTTCCTCTCGTTTGACATTCTCAGGCTGACTTTCTAAACTTATTAGACACCATGACATTTTCCATTTGATCGAATCCTCAATCATGATTTGCACTCGTACTAAGCGGCGTTTTCTGTCTTATTTTAATTATATTTACTGTTTTCGTTTGTTTTTGTTTTTTTGGTTATTTAGCTCGGAAACGCCGTTGTAACTAGCACAAAATGAAACCGCAAGCGGTATTTAACGAGCGAACAAGGCGTAATTGGAGTAGTCGCGCTAATCTATGCTATTTTCTTTAATTTTACTGCTTTAACCTTGCACGTAAAATTGACATCTAACATCTCAGTAGCGTAACTTAATTGTTTACCTCTATATCCTGATAAAGTAGTCTATATTCTAGCCGCAATTACACAGCACATCGGTCAAACGTCAGGCATGCGCGAAGGGATGAATTCTGGCCGGTTGCGCAGCAATTTCGCGCGCAGAATTTCATAGGGAAACATAAGAATTCTCGCAAAAGAAGCAATGCAAAATTGACACGTTCATAGAAATCAATGAAGGTAAACAAAAGAAGGGAAAAGGAAACTCGAGGCTTTTTGGATACAAAACGTGTCAAGTGCGGGTATTCTCTTGACTTTTGAAAAGTCAACGGAATGCTTATGTGGTTGTTTGTAAGTTGTGAGCAGACGTTTGACCGCTGTGTTCAATAACATTGCATTTGCTTCCCATGTGAAAGTTAAGGACACTTATTCAAAAAAAGTTGCTAGATTTGTTTAAACGATTTACAGTTTCCGTGATAAATTTCTTGTCGCTTTAGTTACACTTTCAAATTTCGTGCTTTGGGAATTGTCTCTGAGCAAACTCTGAGTAATTCAGTCTCTGTGGATAAGTAAGGGAACTTCTGATGGAAAAAAGCGTCAGTTTTTTTATTTCTTACACCGCTTATAATACTTCTTACGGGAAAACTTGCTAGTGTAGTGGAGTAAATGAAACTTCCTTGCAAATAAACAGTGAACTATTACACTTTTTAATGGCCCCTGACGCACTCTGGAGTTCAAAATACTTCACTAATTATTTTAAAGACCACCGTCAAATGGGTGAAACTTGCGATATCTAAAAGAGTTCAAAAGATCGAACCCGTAAGCGGTGATTGGTGGATTTAAGTTTTTTGTTTGTCTAGAAGTACCTATCATAGTCTGTTATTGGTCGTTGTAAACACGATTGGCGGCGTCAGAAGGGAATTATTTCAGGGTGAAGTCTTCAATTTGTGTAAAGTCTTGTTGTCGTGGGGCATAGAACCTGTGCAATTGGTTCAAATGTGAATAGGTGAAATAATCCGATTCTCTATTTTTATCTGAAGTAGCATGTGGTCACTGTGTCTTCTTAGATTATAAATGAATGACTTATAGCAAAATAATTATTTCATTCCTCCATTCTTTGCTTAAATAAAAGCATGCTAGAGGAGAAAAATGGAAAGAAAACGTTATTTCAACATTTTTTTTTAAAAAATCTATGTAGAAAACAAAGCAAAACGAGGAAAATGTCCAAGAAATACCAAGAAGAACTTCCACCGATAAACTTCAAGGGCAGCAAGAAAGGATTTAACCTGAATGATTCAAATCGTGGCTATCGCACTCTTACAGATGATGAGGAAAATGAATTCCAAAGGAAAACAGTTAATCAGCAACCTGCACCTCAGAAGAGAGGCTCTTATCAACAACTGACGGAAGAAAATAATCAAGAGCTTGTCGACGCAATGTTTGGCGATTCCCCTGAAAAAGTAAGAAAAAAATCAGGCAAGAAGCAGAGGAGAAGACGCCCGAGGGATGATGACGATGAGCCAGTGGTTTGAGAAATGGTAACATGAAGTTGTCATCAAGGCTTTTATGGGAAGGGAAGTAGAGGGAGAAGGGGAGTGTTGGGTGTGGTGAAAAAGGGGGGGGGGGGGGCAGGAATTAATGTGCCATCACCTTGTTCCTCCCGCCCCGAACCCTAATGGTAGTTTGACCTCCCATATTCGTACACTTTTTGAGTGACAAAAAGATTGGGCTTGCTCGCGCGTAATTTGACCGCACAATAGAATGTGTGCATGCACATCTTATTTGATTAGGAGATGTCTGCACACATACTACTGTAGGAACACTACTACCGCAACAGGGCTGGGTTGTTCAAAACAAGATTTACCTTAACCGGGGTTACTGGAAATTTTTAATTTAGTTTTATAGCTTTGCTAAGGGGTTTTTCTTCTCTTTTTTTCCCATTAGTTTCTAATCATATTGAGATAAACCCCAACAAAACCTTACGGCTTAAACGCGCTCCTCAACATGAGAAATAAAGTCAAGGTTAACTTTTAAACCTAGATTAATGTTAACTCCCTTTCGAACAACCCGGCTGAGGTGTCGAAATTAACTTTTTTGCCAGAAATTTAAGACCTCTTAATTCGTACGTTCCTCTTCAGAACGTTAATGTAAATATATTTGAATGTTAAAACATTTAACCATTTCATACGTCATAGTTTCGTCATCCAGCACGATTCTTATCTTTCCTCGACCCCCTCACCCTCGTATCCTTTTAAACGATGCACAGCCTTGAAATAATTTGCATCATTCAAGGCGAAATTGTTCTTGGTTTTGATGTAATGTTCGCTACCCGACAAAGAGAAAAATGCGTATCCAAAGTCAGTGAAAACTGATTTTAACGTAACTGCATACATTCATTGGTACAATGCAATTGGAAAAACATTTGCAGGCAAATACTTTCTCTTAAGAGGCCTGCAGTATGAAATATCCACGTTAGTTGAACACGATATTTAAATGTTTGTAAATATAGACAAGACAAGAATTATCCTGTCTTGATGGGGAGTAAAAGTGAACGCACTAGGAATATTTAAAAAAATGGATTATTTTTTGCACTTCAATATATATTGTTGTAACATATTTATTTTCTCTATATCGGAGGGGTCTTTTTTTACCCCAGATTCCTGAATGCTGGGGAATGTATAAATTATATTTAGCCTGTCTGAGCACTGTATGAGACAAAACTATTTACTTGCAACTGAATAAAACATAATTAAAATTGCAAATGGTGAATTTTTGCTAAGGGAAGGTAATGTTTTCATATCTGTACGCCACCGTATTTTATACATAGAAAAAAGACGATAAGCAAAGTTCGTCTCGCCATCTTGCATCTTAGCGACTGACATTTCTTCAATTTCTCTGTCTCCTTTTTCACTTAAAAGGAACTCCTTGAGTTATTTTTATTCGTCTTAAGTTATTTATCAGGGCCACAAGCTTTTAAGATTTTAGTGTTTTCTGCATCTATTATACTTATGGGTGAACGATAATTTTGCTTCTCTGTATATTAAAATGGTAATGATTCCTGCCCACTGAGGTCTTTCAGCTGTCCTTCTCACATCAATTCTTGAGACTTAGCTTGTATTAAGCAAAGACGTTCGCTTCCCCTTAATTCCCTCAAAATAATTTACTTTTGTCTTTTGCAAAAAAAAAAAACAAAACAAAACAAAACGGTAATCATCGTTTTCTTTTCTATCCAAAGGACATCAAGGACAGATTTACAATGTACAACTCTCCTTTAAGTCAGATAGCATAATAAAACTTCTCACTGACGGTGCAAACAATCGATAATTGTCTCCAGATATGCTATCATTTTAGAGCTTAAACTACAAATTAAATACTGGATAAAGGTGCAGAGGACATGACAAACGAGTGTAACAAATGAGGAGTCCGAGTTCAATAGATATTCATTATATTATTGCTCTTCGTATCTTCCCATCGATGCAAGCAATCTCTTCTCCACCCACGGAATCAAAGAGAGATACTAGCGCTCGGGTGGCAAGTTTGACGAGCCCTTTACGCCCCTATACGGTTTTCGAATTTTTTTGGTTGTTGTTTTCGTTAATTTTGTGTAAGCTTTTTTTCATTTGCATGTGCACGAGATCTTTGATATTGAGAGGGATTGCTTTACCAAAAAGTTACAGCTTACTCTTCAATTTTCAGCATATGCCCAACGGCTCAAATTAAAGCAGTTTTATAAAAGCCCAGAATTTCCAGCTGCGTAATTATTTGTCTTTTGTTCGTCCTTTGTTTGCAATGACAGTCTTGTAATTACAAAATTTGTACCATAAAGAGCTTTGGATGTTCAAAGTTATTATTATAATGCATATAATGTGCATTTAGAAATAAACAAAACCTAACATTTGAAAAAAAATCGAAAAATCAAATATATAGAACCAGTCCTTACTACACTGTTCAATATATTTTGTATATCACGAAAGCATAGCAATGAAGAATCTCGTTTTGGAGAGAGTACTTAGACGACTCGAAGAGGAAAGATTTTACCATCATGTAGTGGTGAAATAGTCCTTATTGTAATCTTGGCATATCTCAAGCTTTATGAATATGGAAAAATATTGGTGACCAAAAGTGATATAGATTTTGCTAGAATTATCATAACATCTAGCTAAATATATCCGTTGTATTTAAGCACTGGGCACATATTTCGAAGCCTTTCAAAATTAGCAAACATCGATGTTGGTTTCTGTGCTGCTCATTCGAGAAACATTGAAATGAGGAAGTTTCTTTTTCTTTCGTTTTGATTTCAGTTTCGTTCAAACTCTCGTGGAAAGATCGAAAGAAATCAAATTTATCTCGGAGTTAGTTGCTTTGGTTATGATATCTGAAATACTCTGAAAGACCCGGAATAGATACCTATCGATTTAGAACCTTAAACACGTCAGCAGAAAGCGATCTTTGAAACAAAGAGCTTTATGACAATATATACATGTGTCTATGGAAACAACTATTATGGCAAAGTAAAGTTATTGACTGTGAAGGGAAGAATTAATATCAGCAGTGCCTAAATTAAAACCTTTGATTTGAAATTGTTCTCGACGGATATAAATTTATTTTCTAAGCCTGTTAACGAAAATTTTACAAACAATTTTATTCATTCATGAAAGGTGAAACGTGATCCGACAAAAATTTGCGGCGATTGAATTTCAAAGGTAATGGAACGTGAACATGGCTCTAATATCAGTAGTGGCGAACTGTAGTAATTATGTCACTTGACTATGACGGAGCGTTTTTATCGATAATGTAAACATAAACTAAACTTGTGGTTTGGTACCCAATTTAGGTTACGATTCCATTTAATATTATTCCAATTGATTCATGAAGTGGACGGACAGGTGTAATGATTACAATTTCGATTAAGGTTAAGATGCAAAGTCTCGCTTCGACACCCAAAGCTCAGAGAAGGAAGAACAGGTGAGACCGACTATGAATTTCAACCATAATTTTACGAATGAAAACATTTCAAGAACAAATTTAACAACTTCAGACGGAGACCACGATCAGCAGTTCCCTGATCCCGTACGCGTGTCTGGGATCTTAGCCAACTTTGCCTTGAATGCGCCTTTATCTGCTGCGGCAATTTTGGGGAATACAGCAATTATTTACTCGATATGGTACAACAGCTCCTTGCGTTTGCCATCCCATATCCTTCTACTTGGCCTCACTCTGTGTGATTTTGGAGTCGGTTTACTGGTGCAACCTCTTTATATTATCTACCAGACTTTTTACATCTTTAATTTGCGGAAGACATGGGTGCAGGCCATGATAGTGTTCAACGTCTTGTCCAACATGCTCTGCTGTGTCTCATTCCTCACAACGACGGCAGTGAGTATAGATAGATATCTTGCAGTTTACCTCCATTTACGTTATCGAAGTATTGTCACAGTCGGGCGAGTTGTGAAGCTTCACGTTGGATTATGGCTCTTCTCCGCTGTCCTCGCCTCCACTATTGTTTGGAACGTCACAATAACATTTTTCGCTGCACTCCTTATTATATCACTGTGCTTGTTAACTACGTTCACGGTTTATCTGAAGATTTACTCAGTCGTGCGAGGCCATCGTAGAGCCATACACCAACAGCAAAACCAGCAACGTGCGAGAACACTGCATCAGGCGAAAACAACCCTGAGTATGTTTTACATCTGTCTGATCCACGCTCTTTGTTATCTTCCATATTTTGTGTTTCTTATTCTTAGAGATGCCTACAAGCTCACTACGTTTACATACTTAGGAACAGAGTTTGCTCAAACAATTGTGTTCCTCAACTCTGCTCTAAATCCTTTGTTATACTGCTGGAGACTTTCTTACTTTCGCGAAGAAGTCAAAAGATCGCTCTCAAGTTGTTGTTCTTTCTCGTAGAATTGTGTTTCTTACCAAACCGCAAATTACAAACAATAATAGCCAAAACGATGAAGTAAAAAGTGAGTTCATAAATAAATTATTTAAAGCTCTTGTGAGAAAGTTTATTATAGACATGTATTCAGTAGACCTACATGGTTAGCGCAGGCGAGTAAATAAAGAAAGGCAAATAAAATTCCTTGTAAGGATCATAAAGAGACAGTGAATTTACTTTTAAGCCGGCGAAAATTGGAATGAAGAGGGAGGACATAACATTGAAAGTACAACCTCTCCAATCATTCATTTTTCCTGTCGTTATTTCTTTGCTGGAGCCTTTTTCCTTGAGTAAATAATTTAGATGGAAGGGAAGTCGTTAGGAAGTTATTATATTTTAGTTTCCCATTTATTTGGTGAAGGAAATTTAACTTTGATTAAGGAAAAGTCTGGGATTTCAGAATATTCATATATGTGACAACGATGACTTGTGTGTTCGTCTATTCGCTCTGACAAAGGGCTAACGGCTCGAAACCTCAGCTCAGCTCAATTTACGAAACTCTTTATCTTGTAATATCCTCCCCCGGGGCAGCACAATGGTTTATTTAGAAACTTACCCGCTATATTCATTTGTGTTTTCGTATTTTTTTACTCTGGAAAACCCTCTCGAACTGTTGGTACGAAACGATAGAAAGTTCTTCTGACCCACCCACTAAGAAGATTCAAACGTACTTTCATCAAGAATCCCAAAAAAGTGTAAGTTAACTGTCACAGAAAGTTCAGGAAATTTGTTCTCTTGGTTTTTAGACATAATTCTACTATGGTGTTTATGATAGAAGAAGGGATACACATATGTAATTTCGTGATCAAATTCATGAACGTGACTTTGGGTTTGACCCTTTGAGATAAGACTCTCTTGGCGAAATTCCGGTCCATAACAGAGAAACTGAATTGTATCCGGAAATCTTAGATTTTTTCAACAGCGTTCCAGGTATGTTTTTAGATATAATTATTTTTTGCTTTCGTCAAGTTGTGGGCGTAATTGTTTTCACTTTTCTCAAGGACGATGGGCTTGTCAAATTATTCTCGTCAACATGGCAAATCAGTTACCTTTCTTCATCAACAATAACAACGCAGGTGGATAAATTATCGTTCCGTGATTAGTTTTTTTTTCAGGCTACCACATTTGCCTTGAAGCTTAAACAATTAATATGTAAAAAATAAAGATAAAATAAAAAAGTTTAGTCGGGATAAATTGTTTGAAATACCAACCTGATTTTAGGTGCATTGACAGTCTCAAACATGCCTGAATATTTTTTAAGGTTAAAAACTGGCAATTTGTATTGCCAAGGGGACGATGAAAAGTTTCAAATAAAAGAAGGAGAAAATTGCAAGCTTACCTAAGTCTGAGTGACACAGGCGCAAAATTTTTCGTAGCGTTAAACCTCTTTTCGGTTTCCCTGAGCCGGAATATTCTACTCTTCTCAAATAATCCTGTTAGAAAACTGAAATAGTTTTAATTTTGTCGTGCTGATATATCATCTTGCCCAAAATAGCTCAGGTAGCTTAGAGAAATTTTTGATTGACAGTTGAAAGTAAACCAGGATTGCACTGGTTTTGCTATACTCTGCTCTGTGATTGGTCCAGAAAAATCGCGCCACTCTTTCAATAAATCAGATGCAAAACTCACACTAATCACGACTTGGTCGCCTGCGGTTTGCTTGTTTTTAATTTGAGTTATTTTTGGCTCTTCAGATTACTTTTCTTTATTCTGATTGGCTGATGTAATTTCTTTGGTTTCAGCTTTAATACACTCAATCGAAAGGCGCTTAAAAGACTAACATGACTGAACCTGTTAAGCAATAAACTTCATTTTCTCCGGTTTTTCAGCGCAAAGTAACCCATACAAGATAATTGAAGTAATGACAAATATATCGGAAAACGCGAGTCGAAAGCAAGATGTGTTTTATTTCAACACACCAAATTTTACGAACTTATTGTGAAAATAGAAGGGTTAGTTTAAAAAACCTGGTGCCGTGTTGGTGTGGGCGGGCGGGGGGTATCACCAGATAATTTGAGTTTGAGTTGATAATGTAAATTAGCTCTCACCAGAGAGTTTTTAAAGCTGATGTTTAGTGGTTGTTAGCAACCCAAAGTCCTCCCGGTAACCAAAGAATACGATTGCAGGGTAGTAACCACTGCTTCTCACCTGTTGGAATAATCCATGGAAACTCTAAACCTTTGTCGGTCTACGGCATCACAATGAAAATAAAAGACCCCACAGAAACAAAGCTATCTTCAAAAATGCCTTAAAATAAACGGTTTGAGGGATCAATCATTATTTATCACCTGGGGAAGGGGGGATCATAAAAATGTAATAAAGCCTTATGGGGGGGTCAGATAAATGATGATCGGTCCTTAACTGATATGTGGGCAAATTTGAACTGTTACGGCACTTGAGTTTGTCGCCTGAATGGATGATGATCGCGTTTGTTGACGGATTTCTTATTTTGATGATTTTCTTTAGTGAAATAATCAGACATTCATTTGAATTCAGGTAGCGACGTCGCTAAAGTCAACAATATATTAAGACGGCCAACCTTTTGTTTTACCTTTCAGAAGACAGTTTCCTTTTGTTTCGTTTATTAATTATCATCTTGTAGATAATTCAATTGAATTGAGATGTCGTTGTCTTCTTGCAAGCAATGTCTGCTACTTCAAAACATCTAAGATAGAACTTTTCCTTAGTTTGTACCTTTTATGAACATATCTAGAAGTTCTGGCTTTCATTATACACGTGCACTTGAATGTTTGTTAACAGTTTTCATAGTTAATACGATTTTAAGTAATTAGTTTCGATCATAACACTATGGTGATAAAAGCACACTAAGTCTTTGGGCTGCATCGATCGAACCTTGGCTAAAGTCGGTAAAGCCTCGGAGATAAATGGATTTTTTACGCCAAAGGATGATATGTCACTAAGATGTTTCGGACAAATGAGGTTTAGTTTGTAGCGTGTGTTCCTTTAAGACTTTAACGCCACGATTCAACCATTTCCGGTTTGACTTTCTTGGACCATAATTAAAATTACATCACGACAAAGGAGTTTGAACTTCGTGTTTAACTTTGTTTGACATTTCCCTTGAAATTTCCTGTTTAGCTTAGGATGATTAGCAAATGAGGTCAAATGGCAGAGCTCGATAATGAACTCAATATAAAAGAGTTATTACTAAGATAATTGCCACTTTCCGTTTAAGCTAACACGAAGTGTAAAAATAGATTAGATCGAAACAAATCGAGATTAAGGAGACACGCTTTCTTAAATGTTCATCAGCATTCGAAAGACGGATTTAAGACACAGTTTCATGCAAATTAGAGAGTTCAAATAAAAATAACAGCCGAGGTTAATCTGCTTCCCTATATGAGAAATTCTGACAGAAATCGGAGTCTTTAAAACTCCTTCTTGGTGTAAATTCTTGACTGAATCAACAAGCTAGCGTTACTGACAATTACACGATTTATACGACTTCATACATTTTTTAATATAGCTGTATCCAAAATCTTGCCTCTGGCATTGGAGAAGAATGTGCCATGTTTGATTTTCGTACGTTGTATACGCTATTGGAATAATTTTTCCATAAAAAGCATTTGCGTCAGTCTTAAGAGGATTTAGTGGCAAATGATTGCTTATACTGGTGTTTGAGCGAATGTCACAAAGCCTTTGCCCGCCAAACGAAGAATCCATCATTAATTTCCTTGTAGATAACTTGAACTGAACATATGTAACCAAGATTATCTATAGAGATGTTTCGCTTACAAGCGTTCGTCTCTACAGACAATCCCTCTGAAAACAAATGTAAATAACAAGGATCTCGGCAATCTTTCCGTTTTAAAGTGATTGAATATCTCTAATCTTTAAGCATGTACTTGAAAACTCAGCCTTTCCTCGAGAGTTGGCTATATATCCGTGTGAATTTTAGAGCAATAACTCCTATTGGTGTTCTTACGATAACCTTAAACCAAGAGTTTCCAAGAGAGTTCGCTACATGTCTGTGTGAATTTTCGAAATGTAAGACTCGTAATATTTTAGACAATAAATAGCTAAATATCCACAGCTTCTTACGGTGACTCTTGCCTAGAATTGATGCAATCATCCCATCTCTGAATGACAGACATTAGAAAATACCACCTTTGAAAGTCTTTAGTTTAAGCTCATTGCAAGCATTTCTTAAATCATTATAATTACTCCACAATTATAAGTGTTTGACTTTCAAAGTGCCAATAATCCACTTTTAATGATATCCGTTGATATTAATCCTCAGACAGTTATCATAAACTGATAACATTTTTAATTACCATCTCGTTCTTTCCTACCTAACGATGTCAACATTATCCGTCGTTGCTATAAATTAAAGCGATACCATGCAATCATACTCTGCATATCAAAGTGCACATTTATATCACCCGCTTTGGTTTGAAAAAGCTTCTGGGGTTACAATTATGAAATGGGTTCTACCTGCTACTTTAGATATGTCAGTGGTAAATTGCAGATTATTTCGAGAATCATCGAAATAGGAACCGTATTTCATTTTTACAGAAGGAAAAACTTGGTGAATAGGAGTCCATACTACGCTAACTTTAGGCAAGTTAAAAAAAATCGACAGAAAATTTCCGTGCCAATAGAAACATTTCTAATTGCTACGATCAGACGTGTCTAATGAACTTTTCTTAGGAAATACCGTTTTACCGTTTTTACCTGCATTTTCATACATGCAGGCATAAGCATCTTTTGACTAAATTGACAGTCTAACGAAAACTTCGATCTCGGCCCACTCGAGAAATAAATCCATATTAAAGAAATATTTTATGATGGCATAACTTCGTAATGTTTTGATGGAAGATAACCTCTATGTCTATTACTATCTGAATGCGTAGGCTTGTGGCTGGATTCAATTGACTCACGGTGACTTACACTATGAATTATTTAGCAAAACACGGGCAGTGAAACGTTATTCGTAACCACAATAATGCATTCACATCATCGGCTGGTTGTTACCACCTGCTTGTATTAACCTGTAAACAAACAAGCCACCAGAATCTGGGGAATGTGTTAAGAGACATTGGCAAGTGTTCACTTTCTGACTGAATCATTATCAGCAATTTTCAATGCTATTTATTCTTCATAGTTGGCCAAAGGCAATCTCGTTAAATTATTTATCTTAAAATTGCATGCTCTACGGCAAGGCGGTTCGCGAAAGTTAACACGGAATTCACGGATGTTTTCAAACCATTTGCATTGCTGTGACAAGAACAGATTTGAGAAAATCGATTTATGAAGCCTTCGATACGGTTTTTCGTCGTTTTTCATTGCATAGACGCTGCTGGTTCAAAACAAACAGTATGATTCAATAAACGACGATTAGAAGATGAAAACAAAACTCGGATACAAAGAAAAGGCACACTCAAATCTTTCATAAAAAGAAAAACAGAGGTGATGATTTTTTTTTAAAGTGAAAAACGAGATTGATTTATACTGAACATCCGACAAACTGAAAGTTTCACCCAAGCGATGTCATTAAAAATTAAAGTTGTTAAGCAATTTGTATCTTGTGGAAGGCTACCAAAACACACAACACATCACAGTAACTTTGAACAGAATAAATTCAGAAGAAATTGTTATATAGACTGATTTTCAAATTTTGGGTCTGAATTATTTTCAATCACTTCAGCTAGGAATTTCTCTCGATACATTATCAACATTTAACAGTTCATCATTTGCAATAAAAGCTATGACATAATTATATTTATGGCCTATTATTATATATTCTCATCTGACGCCTTCATAAAGATGTGAACCCTGGAGCAGCTTTTCATCTTGCTGAAAAATTCCAAAAGTTTGTTTTCCCAGAGTTCCTGATTGAAATAAATATGTCCTCGATCGATTCTCAATGGGCACCTTTTTTTGACCATTTTGTTTCCTCGTTCAAAATATACTACAGAGTTAGTACACGTTTTTTTTTTTTTTTTTTTTTTTACATAAGGTGCTTGTTGCTTATTAACACCTTTCGTTATCCGGCGAAGGACTTCTTTGCCTTTCGTGAACATCAACAATTTGTGCGCCATCGACGGATTCATCGTCTTCGTGTGGTTTTTTCGCGCCAATTTCCGCGGCGTGGCGCTTGCGCCATTTTGTCCTACGGTTCTGAAACCAAACTTTGACCTGGCTCTCTGTCATTCCAAGGGAATACGCCAACCTTGTTCGCTCAGGCCCGGCAAGGTATTTCGTCTGTTCGAAGGTTTTTTCTAGGGCGAATATTTGATGTCCGCTAAACGTTGGTCGAGTATGTTTCCGTTTCCCATCCGTCTCTCTCTCACCGCAGGCCGAATGGACCTGAGCCGCTGCGAGAAACATGCAGAATTGAGAGAATAAACGCTTATAGCTTTGTAAATTCGAGATTAGTGGCATTAGCTGTGGTTATATATTATGTAATTAGCTAAAGCCCGCGGCTTGGGGAAGAGCAGGAGGAAATTTAAATTTGCCTTGAAAGAACACGAATGAAGAAGCTACAAAGCAAGCATTGGTTTCACAGGTAAAATTTTATGCCGTTCAAAATCTTCAATTTGTTGCTACTCCAAGATGTCGTTTTATTGTGTACACGGCGTTTGTTTAGGTGTAGGCTTTTGTGCAAATAAAGAGCGCAGAGAGGAAATGAAGAGGATATGTGCTATTCTCAAGGATTATAGTATTTATTATCGCTGTACTGTCAAATTAGAAAGGGAAATAATGACCTGGGTGAAGTTAGATATTCGATAAAGTAACAAATAAAATCAACTCTTTGTGGGTGCGCTTTGGTTCAGGGAGATTTAGTCATCCCTTAATTTATATTTCACTCAAGTATTTTTTCAGCCAAACACATTTTTGAAGTACACTTTAGATGTTATTCCCACACAGTCAAATATCGCATTGAGATTGATGTGATGAGATATTTAGTGTAATGCAAAAGACTTGAACTTTTTTCGGTATTCCGACCATGGCAAAGCTTAAACCTGAACCGAGTTATAGCAATCAACAATTTTCCAATAATCAGGATGTATTTAGCCCTACCAAACTTAATGCTACCAAACCAAAGGAACCAACACGCAACAACTGCTTCGATGAATACGGCATAAATATTTTGGATAATAGTTATTGTGGTAAACAATAATTTTAACCCACTGTTAACCATGCGGGTTACCAGGCGATACCAGAAAATGCTGACAAGAGCAATAATTTGCTCAAGAAGACCGCGGACATGAAATTAAAACGTGCTAAGTGACATACCGTTGAATCTTTCTCGCCACTGAGACTGCAACATGTTGCTCCACAGATAAGGTACGTTTGGCCCATAGCCGTATCGGCGCTGTGGTAGGGAAGGATATGACCTGTAGTGAATGGTTGTGGGCATGCTTATGGATGGATGTGGATCAGGTTTACTCAGAATGTCGTCGATTCTGTAAGATGAACCAGGTTTGGTGACTGGAACTCGTGGAATCGGAGAAATCGGTTGCTTTATTCCGGGAGATAGTGGTGGGTATGGAGGAACATGTACAGAGCGAGATTTGACATCCAAAAACGGGCTTAGGAAAAACTGTTGACGTTCCATTGAAACTCTCTTGTGGATTGCGCTTTATAACACCAGCTCGTGTAGTGATCGTCCAGAGGTGTCGCTGTGCTATGCGTCTTTCGTCCTGCTTAAAGAATAAGTTAACATTAATAAACTAAAGTTGATTTAGGTTGTGATGCGCCTGTCAGCAGCGCAGCCAAGCGTTACACTCTTGATTGATAGGCTGTCGTAGCAAGCATTAATTGATATAGTAGGTTTGTAATGGAAGATAGCGAATAATGGAGTAGTTATGAGGCCATCGAATGCGTTCATTGGCTGATCGCTGACAGGTGTTTTGGGAGGAAGCCAGTGTAAAGCTCCTAAATGATTGAGGGCTTGTTAATAAATTTGCGTTCCACCTCAAGGTGATGATATCGCGCGAAAACAAAATGCTCGACCATTTGTGATCGCGAGGGTTATACAAACGCCCGGAAAAGGGACAAAAAAAACCCTTGTTTATTGGCATCCTTTAGAACATTTACAGAACCGTTTACAATTTTGCTTCTTGTAGGGAGCTCAAATGAACCGTATCTGTGGTCTATTTATAGACCAATTGAAAACAATATATTCGCGCGTCATTAGCAATTTGGCCGCCTTTCTGAAAAGATTGTTTGCAATAAGAGCGGTCCATGTGTTAAATGTATCCATTGATTTATTTCTCTTTCGTAAGTCAAACAATAAGCGAGCCAAATGAATAACAAAGAATAACAAGGAGTCATCTTCGAAGATGATAACATCCAAACAGGGTGCTGATAACAATATAAAGAAGGAATTATCTGTAATGGCTTGAAACAGATCCTTGATATATATATATTATTTCAACACCTTTTTTAAAAACAATTGCTTACGTCTTTGACTGAACAATTGACGACATTTACTTCCCTTGCCTAAAAGAAATAAACACACAAGCAATTTTTCTTTTCATCCCGAAGGTTTCCTATAAAAACAGTTTATCAATTCACAAGGTTGTTTTGATGCTGATGCAATTTCGCATGCACAAGCTGGAAAGAGATGAGAGCCGAAGAGAGAGTAAATGTTTTTGTTTTGCTCCAAAAGCCATTTCTTTCGCGTTGCATTGTCGGACAGGAGACATGCAAATCTTTTTGAATAACATTTAATTTCCCTTCATGCGATTATTTCTTTTCATAAAGCTTGACATGATGTCGAATAGGGGTTTTCATTTTATTCGAGTCGTTCGGCTTAGTAGATTGCGTTTTTTTCGTTGTTCTTCCTGCTAACGTAAATGAAAAACTATTTAATTAAACAAACATCATCGAGAGGACACAAATTGAAAAGTGTTATGAGACCTTAGTCTCCTGTGTTCTTAAGTCATAGAAATGACAACACCAAATATCCAACTGAAGTGATTCATATAAGTTAAGGAATTAAAGATGAAAGAGACTGAAGATGAATTTGGTCGAAAATGCTAATCATGTTGATGTTACTAAGTTACTTAGTTGCAATGTGACAATATTCACGATATGATAACAGATAACTTTAATTAAAGAAAGACAATAAAGTATCTCATAATAACCAATATTACCTTAACATTTTAAACTCAATGGAAATAAAGTTCAGTGAATTCAAGTAATATTGTCAAGAAAATTATCGATTGTATTTTAATCTTCCTTCATCTTGCTGACTTGCTGACAACAATATATACAAACCTTTGGTAAAAGCTAACTAATTTGAAAATTGAGTAATTGCGGTTTTTGACGGGTGAATAAGGTAGGAAACAGGCCAAAACAGGTGAAATGAGAAAAAAAAATTAATTTAAGATATGAGGCCATTAACAAAATATGTGAATATTTAGAATAAATGGCGGAGTGAGTATGCAAAAGCATATATTTCGTCTTCATTGGCAAAAATACGTGCTGGTTAACGTTGTAGATGTTGTTTATAATGCTAATATTTCTGACATGTAAAAAACCCTTGGTGATTGTGTAATTAGTCGCGGCTGAGCATCACATAAGTTGACTGAAAATAATTCAAGTAGTTAATTTGTGAAGAATTTAAAAGATGAATTTCCTAAAGCTCAGTTAAAGATGTAGTATGTAGAAGTATAGATGTAAAAAAAAAGCGGTGGGTTTTCGAGTAGTGTGATATTTTAATAGTCTGCAAAATTATGAAAAATGGATTAAAATAACACATCGATATCCGTTTCGATTCAATAAAGACTTTTTATGAACTGGATTTATCTTGGCCAGTGTGTTTCAGATGTACTCCAAAGTTTATAGAGCCTATTTTTATAATCATCTTATCTGAGGCCTAAAGTTTTTAAACTGGATTAGCTATTTTAATCTTCGCAAATCTTAAAAATATTGTTTTTTGAAGAATATATATATAGATATATATTTGAAGTCTATGTTTCGATTTTTCCGTAGTTCAGTGCTCGATACGAAGAAGTAGAGCACGATACATATTGAGATAAGGAAAAACAAAGAGACTATAATTTCTTCCCTACAAGCCTTTTCGTGATTACTCACTCATTAGGGGACTTAATATACATATATATATATATATATATATATATATATATATATATATATATATATAGTGTGGCGCATGTTAATTTCTATAAATACAGATCTGAGGATCTGGTTGTACATCAGATCAAATCTCATGGTCCACATTTTCCTTCCCCTTTTGATAACGCGTTGATTTCGCAGGGATAATTTACTCATTAGTCATTCTTGGGAGTAAAGGTTCACGTTTTGCACTGTGTAAGACTTACTATGAAGAAGACGAAAAAACCGTAAAACAGGACAAGGATGGCTAACGATAGAGAAGCCACCACTTCGGGAAATAATTATTAATTGCCAGAGGCCAGTCAATCATACCGTTTCCTTTGTCGAACGCAGAGGCAAATAATGCATTCACGAAACGCTGATAAATGACGATATTTTTGTCATAGCCGAGTTCAATGATTTAATGAATGCATGCATGTTTTTTGATTAATAAGCTTGTTCAATTTTTATTATGGGAATCCCGTTCTAACAAATCAGGATCGCGATCCATTATTTCCAACGGCAGATCGTGGTTACAACTGCGCATGAGCTGAGTACATATTGCAGTAAAGTATAGTTGGGCGGTAATACGCGTGCTTAAACCATTATTTGTAGGCAGATATGTGGAGGTGTGGTGTGGTGTGGTGATGGGCTTTTAGCCAGTGAAAAGAGAAAAGTGCAGCAATTGATTAAAAAAGTTTTCCGCATACCATATGAATTAGCTAAAATTAATAGTTGTTTATTGGACGGTAAGAATTATCAAGGATTAGTGGGCCTCAATTTAGCTAATTAATCATGTCGACAACTTATTAGGAAGGATGACACGAATCATCGGTTACAATGACAAGATAAGCCTACAGAAACTTTGAGTGGGATGAATAAATTGTGTTCGATGTTTGACTTCTGAGAGATCACTTTCTCGTAGTTTTTAAGTGTTTCCTTTCTTTTCCTTTCTCTTAAGAATTCATCCAGGCGTTTTCCTTTAGTAATGCATTTACATCTTGTGCTAGAGTTAGCAGAACGACAAAATTATTGCAAACTAATATAGCGAACCTCATCTGTCATAAGAAGCAATGTGAGCGGAAGTTACCTCATCATGACAACCAAAGAGCTTACAGACGTGCAAACAAACATTAAAAGCATTAATTGCACGAGCGTATAAAAGTCAGTTTGACGTGTCAAGATCCTGGATTAAAAGATTAACGCCAAGAATTTTTCTATTGAGCTTCGTGTTTGATTCACGTGTGCTCCAATTTTCAACACTTTTACTTTTTTGGGGTTATCTGCGCGTAACTGGCTAGTTGGAGGCAGACTGTAGATCGCTTGGACGACTCTAGCTTCTTTTTAATCCTTGAATCCACTCTGTAGCTTTAGCATGAGGCAAATTGCACTCTTCTTAAACGCCTTGAGGGTTTATGAGTAAAGAGTTCCACATTGACAGGAAGTATCGGTAGACAAACAAATACCCATTCTGTAATTAACTTATCCTTCCATTTCCATTATGAAATGGGTAATAATAGACAGAAATCTGCTTTGAACAAAAGGAAATGACTTGAGCTAACAAAGGAGTTAAGCTGCCTTTTCAATTATACTTAATTAGAGCATGTTTGACGCTTTATTTCCAAATTCCTTACCTTTTTAAAGTACTTTATAGGAAATGGTATTCTTAACGGCTTTATTTCGTGACAAATTTATGCAAACTGTTGCATAACAACAGTTGAACCTGCAACCCGTTGAACTTGTAATCCTACAATTTCGTCAAAATCAAATTTATAGAAAGATTTATTTTACCTACGGAATTATCCAGCCAAGCTCGTCGCTTGATGATATCGACTGATTAAAAGAGTAAAAGATTTGTATGTGGCTCGAAGTCAAACTCCCATCCATTCCTGGCATAGTTACTTGTCGAAACACCATCTTTGTTCGAATTATTAGCCATATCGATATGAGTAGATATGATTGGCTGAATTATACAGTTTGGTTGGTTCTACTTATGATTTCTTGCAGGACAGACGCCTGCATCACATTACCACTGACAAACTTTTGCTTTTTTATCACTGGCACAATCGGCTGCGCCTCGTGCGCCTTGTGCGCCTCTTTCTGTTCTTAGCCCATTTTGACGTCATCTGTGATCTATTGCTGAACCGACCAAGGGAATATGGATCTGTCTGTTATTGAAATAAACCTTGCTTGTGCCAGAGGACGGGCTGAATGTGAAGGGACAGCCTCTTTCCTCGTGGATGTGTAATTTGCTTTACGGAATTAAATCAACAAGTCAATCCTATCAATGAGAGTTTGAACACCTTTATGTTTAAACAATCATCCACCTTAGCTCCACATATTTTTTTTATGGGCGCCTTTCTATCGATTTTTATATATATAAACAGAAGATGATTTTAGAATATAATTCATGAGACATTTTGTAGTTGCCATTAATTTTCATATGGAGCCCAATAACTAGCTGGTCACGTAGTGACCACGTGGTTAACACGATGGACTCTGGACTGGATAGCCGGGTTCAGGTCCCGGCTGAGTCATTGGGTACTCCGAGAAAAACGACACATATCGTGACGTAGAAATGGCTTTAAGCTGATACATTTTCTTGTGTCTTTCTTTTTCTACTGCTAGAGGAATTAAGTAATTTTAGAAGAAATCCAATGATTTTTCTGGTTCTATGACAGATTATCTATATCTCCGCTGCAAGCCGTGGAGATACGATCACTATCTTTTACATTCGTGTTAAAACAGCTATGTTATCATGGCAACGAGGCTCAGCATAACATTTCTACATTTTTACTCACTAACGTAACATTACTGCTTCATGTTAAAATAAGCATTGTCAGAGCCCATTACACGGAGCTTCCATCTTCCATACTTACCCTCTGAGTCAACCCTGTATTTTTAGAAGCACCTCCCATTGGGTTTTCGCGGGTGTTTGCATCATAGCCAAATCATAAGAGAGCTGTGGTCCTCTTTTGTGAACGTCAGATGTAAAGAAGGAATAGAGGTCAGCCTTCGCCTTGGGCCGCCATTATTTTTAGAGTGTTATGCGAACGTCAGAGTATTTTTGAGGGATATTAAAGAACCCCCCCCTCACATATCTCAGTCCTAAAAACAAAAAAAAATACGGGACAGGGTTGACTCAACGGTACAGTTGGTATGGAGGCTCCAGGTTTAATGGGCTCCTGGCATTGCCTTTCATCTTAATGATCTATAAACATCTATATACACAACAGCCTCCATTTGGTGGGAAATTATGCACGGATATTAGTCCGCAGACATTATCTGATCAGAGATGAGAACAATGCTCGAGGAATACTGTGAGCTTTGAGGAACAGATTAAGTCCAAGGCAAATTTATGAGCATATTTTCGCGCCAAATGGAGGTTTTTTCGTTTATTAGTCAATCACTTTTTCAATGGGCGGGGGAAAATTTTTATAAACAGCTTACCGTTTGCTGCGGGGGATGTTTACTGTCGGTTTTCTCTGGTATAATGTTATGAGTTATGAGTTTGCGAATTGGATAGCATCACTTGAGGCACATGATTGGATACTCTCTAACTGGTGCGTATTCGGTCACGTGATTCGTTAGGATCACTCGCTCGCGGGCAAAAATAATTGATAGATTACAACTATTAGTAGATATAGCATTGCATGCATGTTGGTGGATGTGACTTTACCGTATTGGATATAAACTCTCATGAATGTGGTAACAAAACAGGTGTGAGGTATAATCAACAATCATATGAAATAGCGGCCATACACCACGTAATATCTTCTGGTGCAGCTTGTTGTGATGACAATTTTTGCAACTTATTTAATTGTTCAAAGCTCGACCAATTGATAACTCTTTCAAATTACCACGAAAAAGAAAAACTATTTTTCTTTTGTTTTTCAGGAAGATAGGATATCTTTAATATCTCTGGGGAGTTTTATACTTCGTTCTTCTAGCTATCGTTTCCAAATTGGTATTCTTGTGACAGTTTTCGAACGAGACTGTTCATCTAATTCTTAAAAATATGGCATTGAATCATATTGAGAGTTTTAATAGTTTTCTGTGGAAAAATGGCTTTTGTTAAGATAAGATCCTATTATTATTTTCGCCAAAATGAAACGAGCTTTTCCCTCTTACATAAAATTCGGCTCACCGGCGAGATACGTTTGAGCTTGTTTGAGCTTGTGAGTGAACCATGATCAACTGAGGTTATGATAGTTGACAATGCGCTAATGCATGCAAATGGCTTATGCATAAACAAACATTATCAGTTACCATCGTTACATACATAAACTACTATCCCACGAATTGCTCTGACGAAGAGCAGGCATGCTGCGAAAGGTTAGCTGTCTTCAAATTTGCTAAGGCGATATCTTGACTGTTATCAACATTAAGCCCATAATAATTAATAAACTGTCTTATTTGACCGCCAACGCGTTGCAAAAGTTTCTTCTTACTTCAGAGAGTATTGGCCAGATTATCAAGCTTGTGTAAACACAAACACACTCAAGTGACCCTTTCTCTCGATCCTGCCAAATTAGAAGTAGACGAACGTTTTCAGGAAAGCGAACATTTTCAACATTTATCTAAGTGATATGCAGGTAATATGAATGAAGGCAATTTAATAATTTAAGTCCCATATTATTCTTATAAATGATTAAAGTTCAATTTCGTTGTGATGAATTTTTAAGGTCTGACATCAATTCCGTAGAAAAAAACGACGTTTGAAATAAACTAACTAACTCTAAGGGTAATGTTTCCGAGCGATCTCTCGGTCATCTTCAAGAAAATAATACTAAGAAATGAAGCTTGATTAATTATTTGTACGATGAATCGGAGTTCCAGTTACAGCACAATTATTTTATGGGCAGCGACAAATAAAAGTTTTAACAGTGAACCTGTTTAAATTTTTTTTAATGAAGCTACTTACAACGACTTATCACCAGACAATTTCTCCCGAACTGGATGTTAAAAAACACTCATAGCAGGTGAGTAATATTCGCTATTGCATGTCATTATAAGTAGCTTCATCAACAAAATGATATAAACATACGGCATCGCAATTTTGTATAATCTTAAATTTTTCGGGATTCTCAGTGAGGATTGTCCTCGAACCGAAAGAAAATCCCCAGAGAAATAAAGAAAATTTATCCTAGGGGGAACCAAGTATTTTTCGTACTTGGACTCGCTCGTATCCACTTATGAATTTATCTATCGTGTAGCTCCCCTCTGCAAAACACAAAATATCTCCAATATGCAAATCCAAGAAAAGGTTTTTAGGTACACGCTAGTCAGCTGTGTTGAAAAATTTCCTTCAAGTATCCTCTGCAGCACTACACCGGCCGATTGTAAACTTTGAAAGTTTCTCGCAGGAAAAAGGGAAGAAGCCTAGGCCCTTAAGTTATGTTTATTTTCTCTGTTAAAGTCAACAGTAATTTAATCTTAATGTTGAGTAACTCCGACCATATTGATGATATGCTAAGAAGTAGATTAAGGAGTCCGTAAATAATGGCACCCGTAAAGAAAAGAGATTTTAAGATAAATCTCATTCATTTACCTGCACAATAACAAGGAGACGCAATTTTCTCGTTCATTTCATATTAAATTTATTCAACGTAGACGTTGTGTCTGTCTTTTACTCGCACTATCTTTAATTACGACGGTCACTCATTTTGCTAATGGATATAGCTCAAGTTTTACCAGCAGCGAATAGAGAATTCAAGTCGTCACACCAAAACGGTGGATCGAGTATTTTTTTCAAAGAAACTTCTTTGCATATTGATTTAGTGTTTATACTGTTTAACAGAATATTTTCCTTTTAAAGTTTAAAATACTACTTTGCAATTAAAAGACTTCTGCTACCAGAGACCGCCTCTGGGCTTTGTGAATACCAAGTATGGATATTAACTAATCAAAAATAAGCTTAAGGATTATGAAGAAAAGTAAGAAAGAATTGTGAATGAAAGAAATATTTACGATTTTACCTACGTGGGGAGTTTGAGTACAATCTATAGTGTATTCCAGATAACCTACAGCGAGCATTCTATTTTTTATAGCGCTGAATAATAAAACACAGCTGTTTAAGTCTTTAAAACAACTTAAAAATGGCGAATGTATGTGCGTTCTCAATACAAAGGTTTTTTTAATCACTATTTCCCTTGAAATCAAGCACTTTGTGAATTGCGGGAGGAAGAAGGATTTTTTTGGATTCATTTTATTGACGTACAGTTGCAATGAAGGATGTTGCAATCCCCTGGTATCACCAATCAGCTTTATGTATATACAACATTAAAATCCTTACACAAGTCAATCAATTAACCTAAATTTATGGGTAATTCGCAGCGTTCAGACAGAAAGGCACCTCTCCTAATTTGTTCGTGGCTTTAATTCAACTTTACGAGGTTTTGTTTTGGTTGGCTGTGACACGCAATTTGATGATTTAACTGACAGAAGTGCATCTCCTGTTGTTCTCAATCTTGAAATACACCTGGGGTTTCAGAGCGATGGAAATCGCTCCTGTCGAGGGAAACAAAAAAAATAAAGTAATTATGAACATGCTTAGTCACAAGACTAAAACCCATCTTAAACAGATGTCCCTTTAGTCAGTTTTTAGAACTCACGAGAATAACTTTTGTCCGCTGAGAAGAACACTGGGAAGAACGTTTGATCCAAAAGAGGTGTAGTAAGTCTACAAAAAACATCTTAGCATCAGGTTATGAATGTTATTACAATGCTGTGACCAATGTGTTGAAGTGATAATCGTTTGCATTACTCGGAGGACTCTTTCTATCTACAAGCCCCTGGCACACCATGTGATATTTGCAACTTTCGCCTATATAACTGTTCGGAGGATGAGGCACATTGACGTGTTAACCGGACTATTGGCTTTGGTAGGCACGCTGATTGCTATCATTGGTAATATCTTGGTCTGTTTGACGATTTACAGAAATTCTCGGCTTCGAACGCCAACAAATGTGTATATCGCGGCCCTAGCCATTCTCGGTTTTTTATTCGCCGTCTTCATCGGGCCTACAGTAACGGCGACTCTTTTTGCAGGAGAGAGGTGGATCTTTGGAAGACAATTCTGCAGCTTTCAAGCGTTTATGACGTTGTTCATTGAATTCGCTACTCTCCACACTATGGCACTGACAGCAATTAATAGATATTGTCGAATAACTAAACCAAATATTTACAAAAAGCTGTTTCCGTCCAAACGCCGATCTTGTGGCATTCTGGTTCTGATTTGGGCAATCCAATTCGCATTTATACTGTCCTTCTCTTTGCCGTCCTTCGCGAAGTACGAGTTCAGTGAAAAGCGGATAAGCTGCATCCTGATATTCGACAGTTCCTCTGTAGACATTGTCTACAGCACAGTTAAAGCGGCTTTATATTTTGGCGTGACATCCGTAATAGTGGTTTATTGCTACGCTAAGGTGTTCTGTAACATTCGAGAACACACTCGCAAGATCTCATGCACGTTTCGAACGAGAGATAGGCTGAACATTGAAGAGATAAAAATAACTCGAACCGTGTTCGGCGTTGTGTTATTCTTCTTGGCTTGCTGGATTCCAGAGTACATTATATCCATTATAACACGGTTGCAACCCAATCATTTACATCCTTCAGCTAATCGAGTCATTGTGTTTTTCCTCTTTCTCAGCTGTTCCTTGACACCCTGGGTTTACGCAGTAACGAATAGAGAATTCCGAAATGAATTCAAACGCTTGTTGACTTGCAAAGCTAAGCGACGGGAAGAAGTGTCCGATTTACCAGCGACTGTCGAGGAAGGTGAGATGCCATGCGTAATTTCCGCTTCCACAAAGTCACCACGAAGATAATTACTCACTTTTATTCTGTCTTAAAAAAAACATATTTTGCCTAAGAAGAACTTTTAAAGGTCTTTCATCCATTGAGTAGCAAGCTCTTTGAAGGCTAAATATGACATTAGATGAAAGCTTTTTATAGCTTGGAAGTACTGATTTCGGAAGACCTTCGATGCTTTATTTATGCAAATTGATCTGACGTTTGGAAGAATAATCTCCCCTTGTATGATTTTCAAGCACTATTTTCTGGTTAAAATTCACGTCGAGTCGTCTAATCTTAGTTGTACAGGCAGTCTCCACTGCTCAGTAGGACTAGCAGAAAGAGATCAACGCGTGATACCTTCGCCTCAGTTGGAGAGATCTTTGTTCAGTCCTCAATTTGCAGTTATGTGCCTTATTTCAGCTCCCTCGGAACATTCAGTATGCAGTCGAATCTAAGGTTACTTGGAATCATACTGTTTTTAGTTCATTTGTATAAAATAACATGCGCATGGAATAAAAAAACCACTTTGTTGTAAGAGGAACGATATGGTTGTCATGTTACAATAAGGAGTCCTTTTCTTTGACGATGAAATTATAAATTTTTAGTGAAAATTTAAGGATCTAAGATTAATTTAGAACCACTTAGCAGCTTCTAAATTTTGTTGATACACTTCATTGATTTACTGAGCCATGATCGGTTATAATCACTTGACAATTCCGTTTAAGCGGAATTTCTTTTCAATGATTACACCTTTGCAGGGATCAGCTTTATATTAAAAGACACAATTTTATCTCTATAAAATGTATTTTGTGTTAATCTCTCTAGTCTTTCTCATTCTTCCATATAATTACTACAGTCTGGATTCAGAAGAGGAACAGAATCATGTATGTGCACCTGACCATCCCCAGCCTAAATGAAATGTCGAATTGTACCCATCTTGCTTTGCGGTTCGGGGTTTTACAGGAAGTATTTTATTTTCCAAAACTGTTAACAGGAACCTAGAATTTTGGCTCCTCGGGAGAGTTCATGGAAATGCTTAAGAATTCGTATTTCAAGGAGCCTGGTAAAGTTATATCAGGTAAAATTCAATTCAGTTCCTTCCGAAGCCTCGGTAAGTTTGGCAAATTCCTTAATGATTTGTAATGTACTGTTGCTATTAAACAAAGGAGACAAAGACGGCAGATAACAGACCCACAAAAAAGACATCAAAAAGGATCAAAGAACCGATAAAACACTGTACTGGAAACGAATGTAAATTCGTTTTTTATGCTCAGTTTCTTTACTTTTCTTTCTTTTTTCCTGGTTTTTTTTTCCTTTTTCCTTTTTTCTTTTTTGCAGATTTGGTCAAGAAATAACCGAAAATCAAAGTACGCAGCTAACGACATTAAGCACATTCATTTTTTTGGTATTTCTCTCATTCTTGCATTGAACTTGATTTCCTACCGGAGTAGAGAATTGTTTTCTTGTAAGAAACCAACCTTCGACGTTTTTCCGTCCATTTGAACTGACTTGAAATCATGTAAATAAGCTTAAAAAAATCAAGCTGTTTATATTATGCTCTTTCTATTTTCTTTCTATTTGATTTTGCCAAAAATACCCCATGAAAAAGCAAATAAACTTATAGAAAAGTCATTTGTCATGCGTTTATGATCTATATTTTCAATTCGCTTGATCAATTAATATGCAGTCTTGCCTTTTCTGTGAACAATCGTGAGACGCCAAGTCACAAGGAATGGTACTTGAACGTTTAAATATTCTAGTTTAACTGAAAGTTAATTTGTCATGACAGAGAAAATTAATTTTCATCAAACGACTGACAGATTTGCTCGAAAAAATTATATTTCAATTCCATGCATCGATCTTAAGGGTCTTACTGAGAGAGTCTAATGTTGTTCTCGGCAGCGAGTTATTGATCTTAATATTTGCTTAACGGATGTCCGCATGTCTTCCTGCCTCAAGAAATAAATGAGGGGATTTAATGAAGAGTTTAGTACTACAGCAGTGCAGCTTATAAAAAGGGCCAAGAAGCTGTTCTTTTCCCTGTTAAATTTTAAAAAAATAAGACAAATGAATTGAGGAAGATAGCAAAACCAATAAACGAATATCAGTAGCTTGCAACTCAACGTAGATTTTCTAAATTTCAACATATTAAACGGCTGGTTTTCAATTTGAATTTGTTGTTGCTGAATCTGAGCTCGATGTCGTCTGACAATTTTATGGATTCTAATCCAAGTATAAAACACAACTGAGAGACAGAACAACTCTAGAGCGACTACAGTCCACTGAAATATCTCGAAAGTCGAAAAAGACACCGTCGCAGCAGCGCATCCTACTGCCCATAAAAAACAAAGAAGGATTCTTATTTTAGTGATCGTGACGATCTCACGATATCGTAGATGCAGAGATATGGCTAAATATCTGTCAATGCTTATCAAAGTCATTGTTAGGAGTGTCACCATACTGAAGAAGACGTTTAGAAAAAATCCTGTAATATTCATCGCACATGACTTCACATCTCGATCATCCCGATACATCGATACCTGGAATACGACGTGCAAAGGTTGAGCCAAACATGCAACACCCAAATTAGACACGGCCAAGCCAAACAAAAGTGTGTTGGACGGAGAATGAAGCGAGGGTGTGCGCCATATTGCGAGCAACGCCAAAACATTTCCAAACGTGGCTGCAATGCTGTTCAGTATCTGAAACGACATATTGAAAATGAGCAGCTCTGGATTTTCATGAAGAACCTCAACAAGGAGTCCATGGCAAATGAACTCTTGCACAGTGCATGATGTGTTAGCACAAGAAGACATCTTCTCTCACACTGAAATGAAAGTCTTTCTTTCTCTTTTTCAATCACTGGCCAAAATTGAATATGTTCAGGGCAGTTTCAGCTGTCTTTAAGATCCTCTCTTTCTAGAAACACTGCCTGAATTTCCTCTCTTTGAGTTTTTTTATCTGCTTAGATAGCAAACGGAAGCCAGGGTGAAGATTTTCCTTGGATGGTAAAGTGACCTTTAACAAAAACTTAGGTAATCACCTCAGCCAATCAGCTTGAAGGAAAATGTCACATATTTTTGTTTCTGCTTGGCTCAGAACAAAAATATAAAAAAGCAAATTAATGCATCCCTACATTGCTTTTGGAACCCGACTGAAAAATTACACTCCTTTTAACATGTGGCTATTTCCCCAGATTAATTATTTTATTTTTATACGTTCTTCCAGCTGCTTTCTTTGATGAAGTGGTGAGAAAAATTAAAAACCACTTACAGAGGCAGTTATCTTCGACATCTGTCATTTTCGTAATTACGCAGGAAAAACCATTAACGCTTTCGGTACAGAAATCATCTTAAAATAAAATAAATATGGTAGATTTATTTTTTATATTTTCTATTAGGATTAATGCAGGGAGATACTGAAATCTATTACGTGAAAAAGACAAATTAAAGTAGAGCTTTGTAATTTATTTACATTAGTGTGGCTGCTAGTTACCGTTTAGCATGGCAGTTTTACGAATTTTGCTTTTACTAGATTGCCCTTTATCTACATAATTAAATTACCTGGAGAAAGAAAAATTCAGACTATATCCACTAGCTTTAAAGCATGTTTAGCTGTTGCAGGGAGCGGAAGATTGTTTGGTTCTATTTAAGAACAACACTTTTTACATAACTGCAGGTAAGGAATTTGATTTACTGAACCATTGCCGTCCCCGAAAAATGTCCAAGATAAAATTCATTGCATCTGGGGCGGATCCAGGATTTATTAAAATGCTTCGAACTTTAGCAAAGGGGATGGGGATGGGAGGGGTGGGGAGGGGTGGGGATTGGTTACCCCGGAGAATTATACTTCCATAGGACATGCAATTTCCGACACGACGCCAATCTGCGTTTTTGATGCCTCGCCTTTAAGTGTCAAAATGTTACCCTTTTTGTACCAAAATATCGCTGTGATACGCCAAAGCGATCGTAGATCCTGGATTCTCGCAATGCTTAAAGTAGTTAACTTTATTTACAAAAAGATCTGTCAAATAGATCCGCCACGTTTTCCAGAATGCAAGAATTTTTAACCGTTTTACTCAAGCGATTTATGTTGGATACTTTTCCTGTCGCCTCCTTTTCTTCCTCTCAGACAAAATCTTGTGGCAAAACTTTCTGATGCCAAAGTCGAGGAATTCGCAAACTGTTAGAGCACTTATTCCCAGAAATAGACCATAGTTTCCACCGAGACTCGCTGTGGAATGTTCAAAATGAAATCGTTAAACAAAAACTAGTCACGAGTGTTCTATAGCTACAACAGATTTCATCATCATCATTCGGAGAGATTGATTTAATCAGTGAGATTAAAAAATAAACGCATTTTCGGTCGAGTATTTTACGTCTACCAAACACTTCATGCATCGTTTTTTATGAAAGTATTTTACCCTTACAGGAGCCCTATCAGTAAAAGATCTAAAACAAGATGAATGTTGATACCTACCAAACAGTCCCCAGACCTCGTACATGGGAACTTGTTCCAACACATCGTAGTTCAAGTCTTTGAAATAGATGTTCAAAGAAATAATATTGTTGCTGTGAAAATCATTTTTAAAAAAGTTGGTTAATCATTAATAGTGATTACGATCGAGTGGAGTTCAATTTGGTCTGAGATCATACGAGTGATTCACGAAATCGGACAACCGCGAAGCGGGAGTCCAATTCGACAATCACGAGTGTGGTTACAGACAGAATGGAACGACATGAAGTCCTGTGGCCAATTCATCAAAACTGTTACAATTTCCGAAAACAACGTTAACAAATACATTTAAGACAAATACCTCCGGTAGAGACAATGACTAAAGTAAAAAATTCCTCAATTTTGGGAATTTCATAGAGGATAAATGGTTCCTTCTATGGTTATTGTGATCAATTCTTTAATTGGTAGATTTGGCTGTAAGGACTAAGTATGATTGGCTGCTCTAACTGTCCGATGACGGGTGTACGATTACAGCCAACTGTTCAATTAGCGGGAAATGCACCAAACACGTTTGGGAAAAATTTAAATGGTTACGTTTAAAATACGAACATTGATAATCTATCTAGTCTAGCCATCATTGTTCTTAAAATTGGTTACGCGGGTGGAACTCGGGAAAATTAATCAATAAGATAATCACAGAGGCGACTCAAAGTAACATAAAATGTCACAGGGGGAAATGGTTATTTACAGTAAATAACTACACAAAGTCGTGGGGCGAGGGAAAATGCACGTGACTGAGTCGTGATTGTTTTGTTTTCTAGCACATCTCATAAATTGAGAGAATTGCACTGGTTTTCAGGAACAATCACATAGCGAACTATTGAAAGCAATTTAAGATCCAAGACTACACAGAGGAAAATGAAACATAAACTTCAGGGGACTTACTCTATATATTTATGCTTCTCTGATTTGGTCATGTTGAGAAATGGCCGATATGTGTGTTGTAACATAGTAGATATTGTCCTGTTAGCAGTGCCATTCAACAATAACGAAAGATAATCCGCAAACAAATCCTTCTGAAGTCCAGCGTAGGACAGAGATGTCTCGTACTCCACGTGACTGCAAGGCTGAGGGCAATCCTGCTCACATCGATAGCCATCTTTGGACGAGCTAAATTTTTCTGTAAGTTAGAAGTTAGAAATCTGAGGGAACTGATAAAACTGTGGTTGCCTTTGCACTATTCTTATCAAAAATCGTAAAACTTGCATCTGCTTGAACAAGTGTAACATTTCGATTCAAAGGGGGATTGTCTGCAGCAATCAGTGTAAGAAAATGACATATATATAGGTAAGAAGTAACAAAGCCTAATACATGCAATTGCATAATCATGTAATTTTATAAGGTTAGCCCACAGTGATACTTTCAACTCACCAAGAGTAGGAAGAACACAAATTACTGTGTCATTTGGCGCACAAACAGGAGCGTTTGCTGATGAAAAAATATGGACGTGACATGTTTCAGATAGGATAATATGATGATTCTTTCTTTAAAGAAGTCATGGATTAGTAAAAACCTCGTGGCTAATTTTACCAGTGATCTATCACAAAAGCTGTATCTTGATTGGCTACGAAACGCGATCTATCTCGTGATAGATAATGAGAAGAGTAAGTAACCTTGCAGAGTGCAGTTGTAAGACAAAATGAGCCAGAAACCTGTGTCAGGCAATGCAATAATACTATTTGACATTCTTAGACGCGTTGACTACTTTTCACAAAATGTATTGTAAATTTTGTAACAAAGTAAATACAATTCCGAAGTAGACACCAAACCCTAAAAGTTCAACCTAAAATATTTTTGAGCAACTTACATTGAGGTCACATTAATCAAATTTTTTTCTATTTTATCTTACCGTGAAACTCCAGCATGGTACATTGGCACTTTTTTATCACAAACTTATTGCGACATTGCATGAGGCAAGCCGGCTTAGAATATGCAAATGACTTCCCGCTGCGGAACATCTCTAGTCTTCTTTGTGTGCAGTTAGTGGCATAAGGTTCAGGCAAATTAGTTACCTGTAAAATGTGTTAACTGGGTTTAGGAATTTCTTGGTGACATAGACATATTGGTGACATCAGCCAGAGCCAAATATATCTAGCTTTGATCTGGGAAATGTTCTTAAATATCACGTCCCTATTTGCAGAACTAACAGACTCAGCGAAAGTTTTTTTTCTACAACAATTGCGCACGTAGACGATTTCATTACGTAATTGTTTGAATCCTTGTAAAGTTTTATCTGATTCAAATCTAAAGCTGTAATTTTAAAACTTTAATAAGCTACACTATCTTTTCTATCTTTGGTAATCACCAAGGTTGATTTAGCGAAATGTGGGTGAATTTCTATTCAAGAGAGTATAATATTTAATTGAAAAGACTTTCAGGGATTCGTTTGTAATGCAAATGTCTTTGAATGTGAACAACATTTGCAGATCGCTTGTCCTCTGATATTTCAATTCCTATAGGCCTTTATGTTGACTTAATCCGGTGCGGTTATAACCCGGAAGAATAATGCGCAATACATTAGCTTTTCAAAATTGGCTAGGGCAGCTTGCTTTCCCACGGTCAACAAGTCTTGTTGACTACCAACGAAGAGTTTTACTCTCTTGCCGAGGCAGCATAACGATTTCTTTTACACCCTTTTACATATATATTTATTACCTGGTTCATTTTAAAGAGAGAATTGTTGAGGAATACCAAAATTGCACAAGAAGGAGGTAAGGAATTTTCCAGGGGTTATTAGAGCGTTCTCACCTTTTTCATCTGAATGGAGCAAAATGTGTGAGTCCCTGGTTCAACTGCAAAACCATACTCATCCATAAACGGAAAATTGTAACTGTCATGTACCAGGACAGTTATTCCAACTAAGGGACTACTTGGATTATCAATGTAACTATCGCGTTGTGTATTCAGAAGAAGCCTCAAACCACTTCTGCGACCAGCTACTGTAGCATTCAACAATGGGCGTCCATTCTGGCCCAAGTTGAAAGTATGACATTGACCAAACAAGAAACTCGCGAACGAGGTAAAATTCTCTGGCCCGCACACCAGTCCGCCGAACGAGCATGAAAAACGTGTGGGTGGAAAGTTTGGAAGAAGCATGTCTTCCATTTGATGACTGTATAGTCTCAGAAAGCTCTCCAGATTTTCACGACTCAAGATATCTGAGAATTTGTTAAGAAAACCGTCCGTGAAGGCCTCGTTTGAGAGTGTAAGGACTTTGGAAATCTGTTTAAGTCTTTTTACCTCCTCAATGTCATGGCTTGCATTTTCAAAATGTATTACCCTGTGAATATTCAGCGGGTTAAAATTGCACAGAGTGACGGCAGGGAAAGTTAAGCCATTTTTAGGAGAGCTCCGCGACGAAGTTCGAGTGTTAAATGGTCTGTCAAAATAGTCAGTTAAGGTCCCGAATGCCATGTAGTTGCAAAATCCGAGTGATACCGATAGCATTATAGTCCAAGCTAAACGCCTCACCAAACTTTCAGAATGCATGAAACGAGCTCCATGCAAAGTTGTATCAAGAAGAAAGCCTTTGAATGTTTCAATTCTTCCGTTAACATTTTTGTTAATTGCTTCATTAACACCAGTTTCATCTTTTGTGGTCCTCGGAGCGTCGGGACTAAGATCGTGATGAACGGAGTTAGTTTTCGTGTTCCAAAACATCTCAAATGACACTCACAAAAACGATATTCATTTACACTTCGTGTAGATTATGCCAAGGACTATAATTTGCATATAACAAATTATTATGGCTCCAACGGGTCGAAAGAGCTGTTTGTTTTTGATACACGCCGATTAAAGTATTGCTACCTTTAGAAGCAGGTGGTCTACTTAATTAAATTTGTTTTCATTTTACTGACTGAACTCAGAACGTCCTCAGACACTGTAAATCCAGCCCAGTTTTATTTGTTAGCCATCAAGCAGAAAATCACTTTCCAACACAAACACGATAGCGCAGATAGTTGAACTAACATCAGGCTTTGTAGCTAACAGCGAATTCAGCGCTCGAAATTACTACAATCGGCTGACGAAAGCAAAGGGGGGAGGGGGGAGGGGTGGATGGGGAGCCATATACAAATACTGTTAAATAATTCTGAGAGAAGCACAAGTAAATATAGAATAATCTATGGGCGCGCGTAGATATGGAATTTCTTTTCGAGTATTTAATTCAATAGCTCACGAGTGAGAGTAGCAACTGAGTGGGATGTCGAGTTGAAAATGAGAAGAGAAATTCCATATCTACAAGCAACTATGAATTATTTTGTTTATCATACAAACACAATAGCCCTTTACTGACAAGAAAAGCCGACTTTTTTAATGAATGAAAATAAACGAATCGACAGCATGAGGGGACGCAAATCGTCTGCACTGTAAGTACATATCAAGCTCTGTAGGTGATTTAATCCCATTTTAATCCCATCCGATCTCACAATTTACGAAAACTTCATTATTCTTGTGGAAAATGATAGCCGTCTTATTGAAACTTGATGACAAGTATGAGCCGGCAAAGAAAACAGTGCAATTATCTGTCACATCGATGTCAAATAAACGAATCGACAGATTCTAGAATAAAAATCGCACAGTGGGTTGGCGCTAAGGCTCAAGATGGAAAAATGCGTTGAATCATGATTACAAAAACAATTATGGGCGTAATTTTTAAGTTACAAAATTCTCATTCATTGATTCGTCCTTACCGACAGAAGAAAAATAGAACACCGTAGTTTATATGATAAAGCTCCCTATAAAATTTTCTTACTGGGTAGCTAATTACAAATTATGAACACGTTTCCATGATTTTATACGGCGGTATATTTTATTTTCTAGATTGGAGGGACCTTTGTTTAAAACATTTCTTTTGAAAGATCATCATTTATTTGAAACATTGCGATTAGTCCTCGAATTATCAAAGCAACTTCTCGTTGTCTCATTTTATGTGTTTGTTCTTCAGAAAATCACAGACAAAAATTGCGCGCGTCCATTTGAAAAATTGATGCCTAAGTACATGGTATTACATATGATCACCAATCAGAAAGCGCCAATATTTATTATCATAAAGGAAATTATTGCAATTCAATTTCAGCGCAGATGTTTTGTTTACGTTTCAAATAAGTTATTTTCAAGTGAAAGTTGTCAGAGTTCACCCCAGGACCACAAGTAGCCTCAGTTTGATATGCGAGTATTATTGTTGGTACGCAACAGGACGCAACAGGGAAAATGATTACATTTCGAGAACGAAAAAAATCTCGATATTTTTTTGAAAAAAGGTTAACTCATCTCAGTTGTGTTTTATTCATCCCCGTCAGAATCCATGCAGGCTGTTGGGAGAACGCAAGAAAAGTTTGTAAAACCACGAGCTTGAGGCAAGTGACTTATGAAGTCTCACTTTCCAAGTTTTCGAATTTAAAGGAGCGAACTTGCTCTCATCTTATAACAGATATCAAAAGTCGGAAGAGAAAGGTGAAAAAAACCACGACAATGTTTTGACAATAGCCAAAAGTTGATGCCTCAACATAATCACAGCAAAACAAAAAACCAAACAAAAAAAATGCAATGACACATTTAATCCAAACGATTTTTTTCTCTCAGGATGATAAAATTAAATTTCAATCTCTTGATAAAGGGAACAATAACCACAACAATGATTATACTTTTTAAAACTTTAGTTTTATTCCTTTACATCCCACGGATCGCCTAATGTTCCTTACCTACTATGATTATACTACGGTACCAACAATGATAAGTCGAAATTGCTTTTAACTCCTCTTTCTTTGTTTTTGTCCTGATAGGCAAAGGGCTGTTTGTCTGTATTTTCATGCAAATTCTAAAGAGTTAGGCTATGCACCCGCGGTGGCATCGTAGCTTTTGTATATTTTTAAGTACCGTGAATTTCTTCGTCCACCTTCATAAAACTCTACCACTTGGAGTTAGAGTAAGGCTTTTTTAATTGACTTTTTTATTTGTTTTGAAGAAAAGGTTTTATTATTTTCATCTTTCCTAAATTTTACTTGAAAAAGGAGAAAATAACATACTTTTCAAATAAGAATTTTTAGCATCAAGGTTAAAAATGTCATGAACTGTCAACAATACTCAATTTTTCTTGAACTTCATTAATAATTCAAAACGCTCGCTAATAACTAGTAAAAGATGTCATGCTATTGAAATCGGCCTATGCAGTCTATTTGATCAGTCTGCGATACTTAATAAGGAAAGTCGAGCGGAGGAATAAGTCATAAATCTATGTGCTTTTAGAAAGATCGAAACAAAATAGCGGTTGTACCTAAAGATAACAGGATTCAAAATACTGAAGAAACTGCTCATGCGGTCGCCTCGGTGAATGATAACGGAAACGCAAAGGACGACAGCCAACCTAAATCTGAAACGTTCAGATCCTTTGTAGAGGAAACATCAATGCACGGAGCTCGTTTCTTGTTTAGCAAAAATGTCTTCCGAAGAGAATTTGGACAGTTCTTCTTCTTTCAAATTTACGCGGGTGTCATATTTTATTACCAGCGACCATTAAACACCAAAATTACGAAAATTACACCAAAGTGTGATACTCGTTTGCCTTTTCCCGCTGTCACGCTTTGTAACTTGAATCTCTTCAACCTTCGAAGATACCGGAGTTACCAGATTGAAAGGAACTTGTCCATGGAGACAATCGACGAAAAGCACGACGTTATCGCCAAATTGTTAGCCCGTTCAAAGGATGTCTTTCACAATGAAACAAAGACTAAGCACCAGGAGTTGTTCTGGCGATTTTATGGCGAAGTTCCGGATATTTTCTTCCTGAATCTCTTCAGTCATGAAATCGAAGAAATGCTCCTTCCAGGGCCAACATTCAACTCTTGTTTTATAGATGAGACAGCATGTGGCCCTGAAAACTTTATCCAGTTTATAAGCTCCAAGTATGGTCGATGTTACACTTTTAACTCAGGCCAGAACGGTAATCCTGTAATAAACGCCACCATGGCCGGGCAGCTGAACGGATTGAGGCTGTTGTTGAACATTGAAAGAGAAAGTTATTTGGAAAATCCTCTCAACCCCTTTGTGGGGCTCACAGTTCTTATTCATGATCAGAGAACATTTCCTTTTATGGAACAGTTTGGATTCTTCGTGCAGCCAGGTGTTCGAACTCTCTGCTCAATAAAAAGGAAAAAGGTTTGATTAAAAAAAACCGATTCTATTCAACCATTGATTTTAAGATTAGTAAGTCACGTATACACTCGATTACATAAATGTTGAGAACTAAAAGGCATTATCCACGAACGATGAGACCCAGAGGCTTTATGAGAAAAGTTCCCACTGATGCATTTAAACTGCAATAATTCGCTTCTTCATTATTCATGTAAAATTTGCTTTATGATAATCTTTTCCTTCAAGGAAAACTTGGATGGCTTCCATCACTCACTGCGACCCATAAGGCCGTAGGGTCCCATCGTTTATTATAACTAAACGCTTCTTCGGTGTTACCATATTTGCAATCGACTCTCACAAATCATATACCATACTTGATTCAAATTTTCATGATGCTATAACTAAGGCTTTGCGTAGGAATATGGGTTTGTCACTTACTTTTCCAACCACCTTTGCTTCCTTTTTTCGGTTGAAAGAGCAGAATCGTAAGACGAGAGATCTTCAAAATGACTCTACACGGTTTCCTCTCTTCCATTCCAAAATTTAAGTTCACTCTATGTTTTCTTTTTTTCAGATAGTAAACTTAGAATATCCGTACGTAACTAGCTGCATTAAGAATAGAAAACTGGAAAAGCTGCATAACACTGATAATTCATATTCCAAGCCTGGCTGTTTAATGTAGTGCTTGGGGCAGTTTGTCATCGCAAGATGTGGTTGCCGACCTGTGGAATATAGAGGTGATATTTTAGTGTATGTTTCTGGTTACAATTTACTTGTAACCTACAAGTTCTTATTATTATTTACACATTTTATCGTTAAGGCGTGTGTATCTCTTTTTATTATTATTATTTTGTTCCAGATTTACAGGTCCCTCTTTGTGCTGCCAATGATACAGTGCTTTGTCTGTTCCCGACGTACAGTAAATTGCAACTCCAACGTTGTTTCAAGCAGTACCATGATCAGTTTGTCAGTATCAAATGTTTCAATAACCGCCAGTTGATCGTCGATCGGTATATTAGATGGTTATTGCGTCAGTTTATCTTATCTAAATTCAACTGATGATTATAGATACTAGTCTCATAATTGATAACAATGTCATTTTACTCTCTGGATGCAGGAAAATATGGAAAATCGACGTTCAGAGATAAATGTGAAGAAAGTTGTCGTGAGCCTTGCCAGCACACTGAATACGAAACATTCCTGTCTTATGCTGGGTTGCAGAGGGAAGTCTTTGCAGAAAAACTTAGCTCAAGTGTGAATTTGACCAGGGACTTTCTTCTCTACGAGAACTTCTTGAACTTGTCAGATCGTGAGAAAAAGGAATACATAAAGTAAGTGGCGTGTAATATGGCGTCATATACCTTTAAACTACCTTCCCTCTTTCTGTCATGTGTTCTGGAATGTGCAGTTTGTTAGCGACTTCCCTTTAGTATTCCAAATACACGACAGATAGCTTCGAGAGCAAAGATACTTTCCCGATTTCCTGCACAATTCAACTACCTTTAACCACTGGCCTGGAAGAAAATGACCACAAAAATTGTTAAAAATAGGGAGCTCTTAGCCAAAGCTTGATAGTGATGGGGGTCAATTCAACTCTGTATCTTTTCACAGCGAAAACATAATTTCACTGGATATTTTTTTCAATGACATGAGCTATGATGAAATAACACAGACCAAGGCTTACGAGGCATGGACATTACTTGGTAAGTTATGTCTTCGTTAAGATTAATAATAGAAGCTAAACTTGATAAATTACAAAGTGAGTAACAACCGGCGAGATGATTTCAATCCGAAGAAGAGTCTTTGAAAATTCCGTGTATCTATTTATTTACCTCAGAGAGTCAACGAACATAGGAACGAATGAACGAAGGAAAGAACGAACGAATGAATGAACGAATGAACGGACGGACGAAAGAATGAACGAAAGACTAAACGAACGAATGAACGAACGTCCAAACGAATAAACGAACGAATGAACGTATGTATGAATGAATGAATGAATGAGTAAATAAACAGAACGGAAGAATGAAAAATGAACGAATCCACGAATGTATGAATGAAAGAGTGGGCGCATTATACAAATAAAAGAAAGAAAAATCAAGGAAATCCATACAGGAAAGCCGCGAAAGTTTTAAGTAACCGAAGACATGACGCATTTATTAAAGGAAAAACAAACAGAATGAAAAATTGAGTCACTAGGTATAACAGAATAAAAGATACATGCAACACAAAAATAGGTATATATGAATATTCTCTCTTTTTGTTTTCTAGCAAATTTGGGTGGAACTTTTGGTCTTTTCCTTGGAATCAGTATACTCACCGTTCTTGAATTGCTGGAATTCATCATCAGAAGGATTTGGTCCAACATATGCAAATAAGAAGGCGGATATTGATAATGATAATGATGATGATGATTTTAATATTGATAATAGTGATGAAATGAAAGATATTGTATTCGTCCTTTTTCTTCACAATTACATAATCATTTAGAAACTATAGCTCAGATGTGAACAAATATGTATGTGCGTATGTGGTAAAACTAAAAAACTAACTGAGATTTTTCACATGATTGTAATAATTTCATTTTGTGATTATAGATTTCGTCAAAATTCAGGTATGACTACAGCTGTTCGTGTGTGTTACATGCTCGGTAAATCAAAAGAAATAAATTTGTGAAAACCATTTGAAAATCCTCCATCATTTCTTAGTTATTTCGGAAAAAATAAATAAAGTTTTAAAGATGTATGGAGTCTCAGAAAGAAAAAAAGTAATTTATATATTCAGGGTTTTTTTTACTTTTGAACGTGACAGATTTAGCCAGCTGAAATATTCCGGTGCTGTTTTTACTTCGCTTTTTTGCTTCGCTTTTGTGCACCAGTTACCGCGGTAACAGGTGCACTCTCTCAGCCAATCAGAAGCAAACACGAAACTATTTCACTTCTCATCTGTTCCTTATGACCTCTCTCTTTCTCCTAATCAGTCGATTCGCGACACTTTTAAGTAAATGCTGAGCAATTTTTCCATAAAGGCAAATCTGCTTATGAAAGTAAAAAATTATATATATATAAGAAACGTTTTTTCCTAAATCAAAAGGTAAATGGATGAACGTAAGAAGGCTCTTTCATAAGTAACATTTAACGGACCAGAAGAATTGCGTGACTAACAATTATGAAAAATATATAAATGTGCCTTTAAGTTTCACGAGCGTGGGATAGAAAAAATTATTAGTCCTCACGAGGATTAAAACCTCGAACTATTGAATTCCACTCTCGACAAGACGAAAACACTTCCCCCTGTACCAACTCATGTGTAAATTTTTCCAGGGCCCCGATAATTTGAAATCGGTATGTATATGTATCTGACCTCAAATACTACCGTACTGGAGTTAAGTTACTTGCCTTTTTTTATAGTTTGTATTTATTTGTCTATCAACTTTTTTCCCCCTTTTATTTATTGTTGTTGTTGTTTTTTTGGAAACCCTAATTTTTGGTACAAGGAGGATATGAGAAGACCTCCTATTCAACATCTTTGTGATTAAATATATCATATGTTTGTTTGGTTCGAACGTAACACAACTACCTTTTTCAGTATCTACTCCAGTTTGCCCATGCCAGTTTCGTGGGAACTAGGCAAGAAGGAATTGCAGTGATGTAGAGCTAATGATGCTGAGGTTATCAAGTTTCGCATCAGTGTCGTTATTGAAGCCGAGAGTTGGATAACTTCACCTGAAAATTCAGCTTGAAAGATGTATTTTGGTTAGGCTCTGGAGTTGAGACACGCACATAAACATTTCCATGGCACGCTCGAGTGGTTCCACTGAAAACCATATCCGATGTCAGGGAAAAAAATGGTCAAAATCTATTCTTTTTACTAGACTAATGCAGCTTAAAAATCCTACCCTCTCAGGGGTGGCACATACCTTTTCAATATCATCCCGACGTTTATAAAAATGTGTTTTTTGTAACCGTTATTAATAGTTCAGCTTTGATTGCAGACTACTTGAGACCTCTTAACAGATCATGTTCCAGTCTAATGCACTTCAAAAGAGGCCGAGTATTAGTTGTTCTGAACAAGACCAAATATTCATTTCAATAACCTACTTCTAAGGTTGTCACCGGTCTTCTTTTGGAAATGACGCTCGATCTCACTATATAGTGAGAGCATTATTGTATTTGCAGACCGTGACGAAGTGGAAGATGAGGGAATTAATGCAATCTGAAGTTGTTCGCCCTAGGCCATTTCGTTTTTTTTCCCTATCGTGAAACCAAACAAGTCCCACATGAAATTATACAACATTTATCGGCCATCTGTTACTGAAATAACTGTTTCCAGCCAAAATGAATTCGCAAATTTTGGTGCATGTTCTATATTTCAGCTAAAATATTGTCTGTGAAAGTTGTCCAAGAATTATTTATTTTGACAAACGAAAAACCCTTTGACTAGCCGCTTTTATCAAAATCTTAGATAATTCTTGGCTTTTAGCCACTACATTAACACGTACTAAACCTTGCTTTTCAGTTTTAATTTATTTTTTATAAAAAAAGGCATATAAATATTTATAATATAAGCATCATCCACAACTGTCACAACTTGTAGAAGACGGAAAAATATTAGTTCTGTAAGAAATAAAAACACAACAAAAACGAGAGAGATGGCTAACAGAAGGCTGAAGATGGAGAAGATTGGAACGGAATGGAATTGGAGCATAAAATAATTGAGCATAAAAATTATGAAAGTTTCCTGCCAAATACTCTGTTAGTGATCTTCAGCAATTAGCTGCTCAAGGACAGAGACTTCTTGTCAACATAAGGGATCCTTTTTTTCTAATCTTATTTATTCTAAAACTGACTGGTCATTTCAGATGGGTCACTTACACCTCTGGGCTTATCCCGTCCAATTTTAGGGCTAACGCCAATTTTCTCAGTTTGTCTTCTGGTAGAGCGAAACGAAGATATGTACGAGCTCGATCCATCAAAAATATGCCTACCAGTGCACATCTGCCAGCAATCGCTAAATGCCCTGCGATATTTAGGAACCCTCCAGGCGTAAACAAAGGGATTTAAAGCAGAATTGATATACAAAAAGCGAGACAATACCACGTCAATCATATGAAAAGTTTTGGAGTCTCGGCATGATTCGCAGAAGTACAGTAAGTGTAAAGTGATATACTGAGGCATGTACGTGATGAAAAACAACACGAGAATGACGATGATTGTGACAGCCATATTACGCTTCCTTTCCAGTGAGTTTGCAGCTATCGAGTCGTAGCCATCCTTTTGCAGTTCGCGAGTTCTTTTACCAAGCGCGCGAAATACATGTACATAGATGACCGTCAATAAAATGGCCGGCAGAGTAGCGTGAGTGTGAAGATAAATTAAGGTATACGTTTCCTCCGAAACATTTGTCACAGGAAGAATGCACGTTGTTAACGATATCAGCCACAACACAGCTATAAAAATCTTGGTTCTTCGCTTGGTAATAATGGATTTGTATTCCATCGGTTTGCTGATTGCTATGTCGCAAGTTAGTGACATGGCTATGATCGAGTAAGAGCTCACGAACAAAGTCGTCGTGACAACTGTGTATATTATTGCTCTAAAAAGCATCGCAGACGGCATCTGTTGAAGTTGAGATCGATAGACATCTCTTATAGCCACGACGAGGACATTTAGCCCCAGCAGTAAATCTGACACGCTAAGATTCGTGATCAAATAAGATGGCGGTGTACGAAGAGAGCGTCGCGGATTCTTGTAAGTTGTGAACAAAAGAATAGAGTTTCCTACGATGATAACAATTGCTAAAATAAATCCAACCACAGCTAAGCTCAACCAGTATTCCTTGTCTTGAATGATCATGAGATAAAAGTCATCATTTGGATTAGATAAATTCGCCATATTCTTTTTGGCTGGCGCACGAAGGTTGTAACACGACGACAGGAAATATATCTGAAGCTATCTTAATCTGTTGCCAAACGTCACGGTGGATGATCACGTATTGAGCTCATAGTGCATGAACAAAAGCCAAAATAGTTATTTATTTCGCCGTGCCGCGCCCCCGTTGCTCTTGCTGCGGACTTCTATTTAATTAAGAGGTCAAATTTCCATCAGTGTTATTGTAGTTTGTTCCGTTTGTCTATCAACCTCTCTTTCCTCTTAGCCGTAGGCATGTAATCTCAAATCCGAACTGCATTGTTTTCAAGCCGATAAGCGCAGGACGAATGATGCAATTCAGAAAAAAGCTTAATTCACGGCGCTTGTGATCGATAAGACATATGCACAAATCGACTTTAAACTACGTTTATTTATCTGTATCCTTTATTCCTAATAAAGGACAAACATCAACACCCACATTTGTCGTCCAGAAATCAAAAAAAGTTCGAGATGTTTCGTTTTGAACACGCACTACAGGCGCTTATATCACGAAAGGGTCAGAGGGAATAACAAGAGAATCGTATTGGCCCCGATTTCCGTCTAAATTTCATGCATGGAAATGGTAGCGATGTATGATTGTGTGTAAGACCGATATTTTTGTTATCATTTTGTGTTGCAGTTATTTTTACATCTTTGCTGTAAGCTGTTGCTGTGATTAGGAATGAAAATTGAACGAAAGAGTACGGAAAGTGCGGTGGGAGGGGGGGATGGGGGAGGGGCGGGGGTGCCGAGGCTTTCTCAGGGAAAGAGGGTCTCAATAGGTGGAAGCTCTTACGGCTAACGGTTAAAATTTTGGCCATTTTACGGCTAACGGTTAAAATTTTGGCCATTTTACGGCTAACGGTTACCATCATTCCATCGTTGTCACCACAAATCTTTTTTACAGTTAACATTTTCTACGACTATCGATTAAAATTTATCAATTCTTACGCCTAAAGGCTACAATGTTTTGGCCGTTTTGAGACTATCGGTTAACCCGATAGTCGTAATCCCATCGAGACAAGGGACCATCCTAATTCCTTCCCAAGACGATCTATATCCTTTGAGGTTTTTGCGTGATAACAGCGCCCACACACCACCGGATTTGATTCGTCTGCCCTTGCTTCAATGCCGTAGCAAGCCCTTCCGTAGCCGCTCATTAATGTGTCATTATATTGTAATTATTCATCCATCTTCCCGGTTTCACAAGCAAATAAAAATGTCTGGTTAAAGGAAGTTGTTAAGTAGCGGCGTAATTCATAAAAATTTGAATTGGCCTTAAAAGCTCCCCATCAATATATTATTTAATTATTCAGAAAAACATTAAATGCTCTTTTCGTGTACAATTAATTTTTCGGAGACAATGGCTTCAATTTATAAAGATATCCCGTTGACTTTTATAAAACATATTGGAGGAAATTTTTTACGTGATTTGAAAAATCCTAGGAAAAAATATTTACAGTCATAGAGTTGAGTTTCACATTTATATATCAGTTGTGCATCAAGGAAAACTAAGCTCAAAAATGACATGAATGAGATTTTTTTGCTTTCTGTTTTAAAAAGGAATTTTACACTCTACTAGAAAAAGAGTGACACTATTTCATCTTTTTTCCTTGTGATGTGCAAATTTACCCTCCACTTGAGAGAAACCACTAATCATTAAAGAAAAATGTTGAGTATTCGGCTGGAGTAACAAGGATTCAATCGAACTGTAACCAAAGTAACATGTGTTTTAAAAAATGTTAAGTATTCGGCTTGCGTAAGGGTTTGAACTTCTGCCAAAAGTTATTAAAAAAAAAAAAGAAAATTGACAAATTTTTTTTGCCAGAAACAAAAACACCGACGACGAACTGAGGACCAAAAATGAACTCGGTGCTAAGGGTGAAGAAAAACTGACTTGAATTTCAAATTGCAAACTTAAAAATTTAGGCTGAACTTTCTAGAGTCAGCAACCGTGACAAAACAGATCAATACTATATTGTTTCCATGTCACTTTTGTCTTTATTCTATGACAGATGTGGTTATCTACTTTAGTGCCAAGATATTGACATCCCACGCCGTCAATAATCAAAAACAAGCTCACTCAGTTTTTCACTTAAGGTATTTTCGTCTTTTGCGAATAAATAAAAAATTACGCCATAAATAACAATTTTTTTGGTTACCTCTTAAATAATAAATTGATTTCAACCTTCGCCTTCATAAAGTTTGACGCTTTTAAGACTTATCATGGTCGACGAGTGGCTCTCAATTGGAATTATTGTCATAATAATTATAACATTGTAGATATTGATGTCAAGCTCTGGTTTGGTTGACTTCCTTTAGTTTGCCAATTTTCCGGATTAAATTCTTCGGGCTTTCGAGGATGTTTCTAGCCCTGTGTGTTCCCTATCAGCTTCCATTCCAGCGTTCATTCGAGTCTCTTTCGGATAATCTTCAAACATTCAAAGAAAGCAGAGCGATACTTTGGAACCCTCCAGGCGTAGACAAAGGGATTCATAGCTGAACTTAGACACAAAAGCCTAGAGGCTGCCACATCAACTTTGTGAAAATTTATCGATTCTTGACAAGACTTGCAGAAGTGAAGCAGATGTACCGTTATGTACTGAGGCATGTAGGTCATGAAAAATAATCCCAGAATTATAATGACGGTCAAAGTCATCTTCCGCTGTCGCTCCAACACGTGTTTGTTGTCCGAGATTGATTTACTTCCACTCAGTTGAAGATCGCGCGATCGTCTCGCGAGAGCACGAAACACGCTCACATAAATCAACGTTAGTAACACGGCAGGTAGCGAGGCGTGAGTGTGAGCGTAAATGAGCTCGTAAATATTTTGGGGAACACTCGTTACTGGAAAAACGCACGTTGATAACGATATCACCCATACCACAACGATAAATATCTTGATTCGCTTCGCTGTTATGATAGATTTATATTCCAGCGGCCTGCTGATTGCGATATAACAAGCGATTGACATTGCTATTATAGAATATCCGCCAATGAAGACAGTAGTAATGTGAATAATGTATATAACAGCCTTTATGATACCAATAAAAGGCATATGGAGTTGTTTATACCGATAGGTGTCTCGCACAGCTATCAGAAGAACACCAAACCCCAGCAGTAAATCTGACACGCTTAAATTTGCGATCAGAAGTGAAGAAGGCGAGCGTAGGGACTTGCGCGGATCTTGGTAAATTGTGAACAACAGAAAGGCATTCGTAAAGATGATGGCGGTAGCAAAAATGTATCCTACTATAGTTAAAGTCAACCAGTAAATTGGATCATCGATTATCGACAAATAAAAGTCATGGCTCGGATCTGAAGCATTTTGGGTGATCATAGTGGCTCGAGCAGAACGACAGCTTTTCTCCTTTCAATTGGGTAGCTTGGTCTTAACCAGTTCCCTCAGTACGGTGGTTGTAGCACGCTGCTTACTTTAAACTTTTCTTGTTGACTACAGTTCAACTTGGCCATCACTGAGCGAATGCAATATCGTCTTTAATTCGTCATCTCAGCAATAAACTCGTCATGCAAAGTTCCTGAGAGATGAATTGATCGTAGAAACCTGACCATGATTTCCGCTTTAAGTCACGAATAACCTTAGGGTAGCTTGTAGTTTCTCTCATTCGTCTCTCGTAACTCTTTTTTTCACCCTTGGGAAGAAGAGAACCTTTGTTTGTCAATTTGACTTTGGTTATATGACTAAATAAAGATGACTGAGGCTTAGAGTTGTGTAACAACGGATGGACATGACACGGAAATGATACCATTAATCTTTGTTCGTTAATACTACTTTAGTTATACGGTAACAGAACAAACCAAGCATTTTATTTGACTTTACTTATGGCTAAAGGAGGGTAACTAAGGCTTAAGGTTGCGTAAAAAGGATGGATATGACGAGGAATATCATTGACCTTTATTAGTTGATATACTGTTTACATAAAATGACTCTAAGACGAGAGTATTTCCTCTGCCTACTAAAGGATGGACATGACGTGGAATATCGTCGGCCCGGCCTTGTCCGTAAATTCTACTTAACTTAAACTCTGTATACATTGTAAAATGACAGCAAGGTATTTCCAATGTACACCGAAAGGATTTGAAAAGGAATTGATATTGCACTTCGTTCGCTGATTCCACTTAAATTATGAAGGAGACGATCGTACGCTAACTCAGTGTCCCTTGCATGGTGGAAAAAAAAACATTTAAAACCATGTTCGTCCCATTTTCGCTTGATTCACGGAACAAAATAGTCAAAACTCGTAAAATTCCACTTGAAAGTTATTGTGTCTCGATAAAGTGAAAAACTGATAAGCGTTTTAAAAATATTTTTTCATGGGTATACTGTAGGCTTGGTCACGTACAACTATGAAAAACGAATTCGTGCTTCTCAACTGAATGGAGTTCCGGAGGTAAAGAATGCACTTCATTTTATTGCGTAAAATCACGTAACCTCAATGAAACGCAACATAACAATATTTCTTAATTCCTAAATGTTTCTTTTTTCTCTTGTTTTGGCAACCTACATGTTATCAGTCGCTGATAATATGTTGGATAAACAAACCTGTTTGGCTGAAAGTGATAAGGCTTGAACATGCTCACTAACTTGTTATTCATAGGGAGCGTTGTATAGAGGTCATTAGATGCTAATTAAAAAACCAGTAGACCTCAATTCATTGTTTTATCGTTCATAATTGAAATTAACGAGGCTGTTGTTTTGGCTGCTGCTGTTCTGGTTTCCGCTGTTTTGGCTACTGAACTTTTCGGTTATGTCCCCCGAATGGCAGTTCTTCCGTGGTATTTCCTTAACATCTTAACCACATTTAACCCTAGCTTTCTAAAAAACACTCCTAACATGATTCACACACCAAAAAAGCGGTTTTCAAACTTCTCTTGGAGCCTCAAATGAACTTTGTCCGCCGGTTGGAGTAATTAATTCAGAAAACTCTTCTCATAATTCTAAAGGAATTAATTCCTCTAGGTTTACTGTCAGTTCATGAACAAAAGTTCGCTGCTTTCTAGTTTTTTATCATTTTTTCCCTTCAAATTGAACGAAGCTTAAAAAAAGTTTAGACTCCATTAATTGTCATTGTCGTAACGACCTTGTAATTAACGCTTCAAAGTTGACTTTAGTTTACTTTGGAGAGCTTTCCAGCAGCTTACCAGAGATCGGCGGTATTTCGGCATTCTCCAAGCGTAAACAAATGGATTTATAGCCGAATTGAAGAATATAAGGCGCGAAGTAATCACGTCGGTTTTATGAAACCTTATTGAATCTTCGTTGATTTGGCAAGGGCTGCAAAAGTTCTCCAGATGAAAAATTATAAATCGTGGGAGGTAACTGATGTAGAACATCATTAGAATTGTCGTCACTATCACAGCCATGTTTCGTTTACGTTCCAAAGCGAGCTTGTGGTTTCTGACCGACGCGTTCGTACTTTGGAGAAGTTCTCGGCGTCGGCGCGAAAGGGAACGAAAACCTTTTATGTAGATAATCATGAGAAGCAAGGCCGGCAGAGATATGTGAGTGTGCATATATATGAGCATGAACGTATTTTCAGGAATAGTCGTCACCGGAAGGCAGCAGATAAGAACTGATGCTATCCATACCATGACTATCAACCAGTAAATTCTCTTCTTTGTCATGTTTGTCTTGTATCGAATGGGATTGTCGATGGCGTAAAAGCAAGCTGCTGACATCGCAACGATGGTAGCGCTACTGACAAAGAGTGTTGCGCTCAGAATGCATGATGTTATAGTTCCCACAATTGACGGCAATGGTACCATTTGTAGGAAAGATCGATACACATCCCTTAACGTCACCATAGGGATTACACACAACCCCACAAGCAAATCTGCCAAGCTTAAATTCGCGATCAACAGACATGGCGGAGTTCGAAGCGACCTCAAAGGATCGTGCCAAATGGTTGCTAGCAATATAGAATTTGCAACCACAGTCACAGCTGACAAGGCGAAACCAACCACAGCTAAAGTCAGCCAGTACTCTGGCTCATTTATGATCTGAAGGTAAACGTCAGACGGGACACGACTTGTTGAATTTTGCCAGCTCATGGTCGTCGCCTCATCGAGATGGCTCGAAACAAATTACGTCAGATTCCCATAACTTTTTCTCGCGAGTGTACCAATATCAACTGTATTGTGGCCGAAATTATATTACAAGGATCGTTGCCCACAACTAACTTTGAAGAGGATACAAAAGCACGCTTTTGAGCCCTTAAATTAGAAGTTTACTTTTGAAACCGAAAGTACATCTGAATTCAATTTTAATTGGAAGTATTGAAAAATATCTTCTCAAGCAGAAATACTATTGGACAGTTTTGGTCTAGAGGATATTGCACATGTAATGAACCACCGAGAAGAACATTACATGCTTGTACCAAACATAAGATAAAAGAGATTTTCATTAAAAGAAATACAATATGACATCATGACAGTAAAACTGGAGATATAAAAATGTAATATTTCGATCATGAGTGAGAATATGGTTGCGTTTAATTAGTTTTCATTCTTTTAAAATTCAGGCTTTCAAGCTCGCACTTTGGTTAAAGCCGGTGCCAAGCTAAAAGTAAAACAGAGCGAGATTTGTATCGAATATAGAATGAAATCTCCCAACGAAACTTATCATGTAAACATCGATAAAATACCAAGTAATTGAAAGCTTTTGCGCGAAAAATTATATCCTCACATGGTACAGATAACATGTTCGCTCACTCGTGGAATATTTTTTAGCACTGGAAGACAAATTTCTTATCTCCGAGCGGCCATGTAATATCTTCTAGTTCATACTCAAGGTTTTTGTCTTGTTCGAAATTTTATCTGATTGGCCAAAGGGAATTTGTGAATTTACTTTATTAAGGTGTTTTGAATCTTGGCTTGGAGGTCATCCCGCTCAATTAGTCCAACATGGAAAGAGTTATTAATGAGAGCTGCATGAATCAATTTAGTGTTTACGTGTAGGAAGTTTAAAGTTTCTTGAACTCATACTAATTTTTCCTGGGAAAGTGTCTGGAGGTCGCAAAGTGAAGTGTTTTCTGGAATAGCTGAGCTGGAATTTTTTTTGGCACCAATTCTCAAATCTTACTCCAGATTTGAATAATTTATAAAGTTGAAATCAAAATTATGTAATCACCTCAGATCGGTGTAAGAAAAATTTGGGCCTGTAAAAACCATTATCGAGTCATATAGTTATAGAGATATTTTTAGTCCATGCTTTACAACTGTCAGCTGAGTGAACAGTAAGTTACTCACGCACGTTTATCGTAAATAAAACAAGCCGACAGCCTGAGACCCTAAAGCACATTTCATGGGACTGCCTTGCACCCACCGTTTAAAACGCAGTGATTTGGTAATAAAAAGGAACCGGGTCAGCGACAAACCCGTGCTACGGTAATAGCAAGCGCGTAATGTTTCTCAAATTATGACGTGAACTTTAATATATATATATATATGTAAATACATATGTTTACACTCAAGTTATCCAAAACTCTATCACTCTTAGCCGCGCTGACAGTTATAATATGTACCAAAACAAATGCAGACGGATTCAGCCTTCACCAGTTTCCCCTAACCCTGGATGCTGGACAATACATCTGGCTTCTGCCTGCAACTGTTCTACCGTAACATCCTCCAATTTTCATTTTTGACCACATCTACTTCTTGGCAAAAGATGTTTTATTTCTCCCTCCACATTAATTGGCAGTCTCCACACTGACGCCTTTTAATAAAAAAAGCCAGTAAAGTAGCAATTTTTTCACGATGTTGAATAGAAGAAATAGAGAACAAAACTTGTTTGATTGGCTTAACCAAAAGGAACAGTTATCAGCTTAGTAACTGTTACAAACGTGAGAGACAGTTCAAACTTTAGGCTATAAACAAGGTGCAAAGACCACAAGTAAACAATAAGTTAACATTAAGAGGATTTTCATTTATCATATGCGAATACTATATTTTGCTGAATTGTGTTTTAAAGTAAATGCCGAGAAATCTTTAGTAGTTCGCCAAATTCAACGCAAGAAAACTTAAAACCGATTCAGTTACGTGGAAATGTGTATAATCCATCCAATTCACCTCCACAAGCGTGTATGTTTACATTTTCAGTCAGTAAAACCTTAGCTTCGGAAAGTGCGTGCGTGTAGCATAGAAGCACTTCGCTCCCATGGTATTCAAGAGTCTGCACATTTGGTTTTCTTTACTTGATCGCTCCTATATTTAACAAGCGACTGATTTTCAGAAAATTTATTTACAAGTGTAAATGCACTCACCATTCTCGCTTTCTTGATTGAGGCGGCCGCGGCGCACGGGCCCATGATCCTCATCTGACTTTCGTGCTCTATTTTAGGTTCGTCCAGGCGGTTCAAACCGCGAGGGCCTGATTTCACCAACTTTTCACTTTTCACCAACAGGTTCATAAACCCTTTCATTATGTTCACCTTCCATCGAGGCCTCAAAATCTGAATAATCAGACCTCGAAGTAGAATTGCTTTCACTCGAATTACTATCCACCATATTTACTTTGCTTAATGTACACGTGTGACGCACAAGGTCAAATGATCAAAATCGAAGCGTTAACGGCGGATGACTCACGAAGCTGCAATTAGGACCGTTTTCCCGGCGAAAAAAAGCACAAAGAGGCATAAGAAGCACCTTGTATCTGTTTCAACGTGTTACCCGAGGCATTTAGACGGTATTCCGAAAAAGTGACCTTCCAGCCGTCGGTTACCCTTTAAGAATAACGAAGGATCAGTTCGGAGTTCAGTAGCCAGTCAGAACGCGCCTTCAACGCTATCCACTTTTTTAACGCATACTTATAAAAGATCAGTATCCTTTCAGTCCAATAAATTTTGAACACCTTACTCACGTATTTCAGAAAGAACTCATTCGTTAAAAAAAAATTGTAGGCGGAAAGAAGAGAGGTCCTGAGAGCGACATAAAGATAGAATGATGACAGGTAGATGTTTCGACAGTGGACCTGGTACAATGTTCATATAAGGTCATGGAAATGCATCACTCAAATTGTCAAATTCGAGGTGATCAGCGGAAGTGTTTTAATAGATTTATTGCTCCACCTCTAAACCTACCGGCCAATTTGTTTATCCAAAATATAAGGAATCCCCCCCTCCCCCAAAAAAAGGAAAAATTGGAAAATGGACGTTTCTGTTTTTTTTTTTGCCCTTTTTGTACTTTAATCCATCACAGAAAGACAATATAAATTAAAGAACATGTGGTTGGAAACTTAATTTTATATTAAAGAGTCTTAGCGGAGGCTGTCTTTTTTAAAATTTATAATACTCGGCGGGAAGTTTTTTCATGACAGCACGGAATATCTCGTCCATCATATCCATTTCATTTTGCTGATTTCCATTGAATTTTATACGTTACAATCATCCAAGTTTGCAAGAACTGTTATATGAAGTGCAACTTCGACAAATTTTGGCTAACTTTGAAGATTATTGAGTGATATTTTCCTGATCTACGAAATTATTTGACAAATATATCGTTCATTCAATATAAAAGAATTGCAAATTGTCTTTGCTCTGATTTTGAAACTGGGAAAGCCGAAGAAAAAATAATATTACAAAAGATTTAACTTCGTTCCCAGGGCCTCTCTTATTTTCCTGAATAATAAAAGTCTGTTTTTAAATTTTCTTTAGAGGTTAAACCAGTTTTTCAGGTAATAGGTTTTGTCGGCATCTTTTTGGATTAATCTGGAAAATCAGTAGAATTCATCGGTAACCGAAAAAAAAACATCAATTTAAATAAATTTAAGAACAGCGATCAAAGCTTCTTTTATGTGACCTCACTTTTTTATTCCTAGCTGTTACTGCGGCATTCCCACTCAGCGATTTCTTTCCTTTTACGTTCCTAATTACATTTTGGTGTTTTTGCACGCAGATTTTTCTTATTGTTTTCGCATTCGAAAACGTTCTGCATCGGATTTTGTACCAAAGAACTAGGATATTAAGCCGAACAAATCGAGTTTAAAAGAGTGTTGAAGTCTAAGTTCTTTGTTTGTCTATCACAGTTCGCTCGACAGATATGATAGATGTTTAGACGTACCCCTTCGTTCGTGGAAACATATTTATCATTTAGTATTTGTTTCTTGAACTTTGCAGGAAAATTTGAAGAGTTAGTTCCTGTGTGCAGTAAAGGCTTTTAAAATCTCAGGAGGTTGAGCTATGTTTGCATGTTTATTTAAAACTCTTGCGAAGTAGCCATTGTAGATGATCAGTTTTTGACGCAGTTACTTTGGCTTCGTAGAACTCTTGCTTGCTATAGGTCAGTTTTGTGGGCTGAACTGGGGGTGTGTCGGGGAGCGTCTATTGGCTGCGCGATGAACACGCGCGTGTCCTTATCATTAAGATTCTCTGTCGCGAGGTTATGTTCCGAAATACATCTGGGCCCGGTTGTTCAAAACTGCGATTAGCGCTAATCCACGATTAAATAGGCTAATCGCCGATTAAATTTAAGTCGCCGATTAGTTTCTGTTGTTCAAAGCCCGATTATTCCTAACCTTCGATCAAACCAAGGGTTAAATCTAACCCTGCTCGCTAGGTGGATTAAATCCTTAATCGGCAGATTAAAAAATAAAAATCACAACATGGCTGACTTGTTGTATGGTTGTGTTGGTGTTGATGGGCGAAGAAAAAGGAAGCAAAGAGAGTTAAGGAGCATCGGTTTCACGATAGATGGATATACAGACGAAGAATTAAGAGCAAGGCAGACTTTTCGGGCGCCATTTGTTTTTTTGTTTACGTGGGAGTACATGTAAAAAAAAATAAGAAAGAAACAAAAGTCTAAAGTCCGTTAATTTTCACTTTGCTTTGTGTTTGTTAGCGAAGTATACATTTTATGCAAGGTATGGACATTGAGAGGTATTACAATAATGTTTCCATTTATAAACTTACCTGTTTCAAACCCCTGTAACCCAGTAAATGACGGAGTGTCACTGAATATGTTTATTATTTTTAAACTGGCTTCTGATGGGTTCGGGGGAGCAGGGCCACCACCTGTCTTCTTCTATTCACTTTTAAAGGAACTGAATTCTCTTTTTGCGTGACTCTGGAGGTTTTTCCACTTGTCTCGTACTTCCTGCGTTGATCTTGCT